TATGCTGGAAGCTGCCCTGGAAGCTGGAATGAAGGGTCAAAATCTCGGTTTCCAGTGTGCACTTGCAACTTGCACTTGGATGGTAACGATTCACGAAAACGCGAAGCCGTGAGAATAGTTCGGCAGAAATGTAGGTAGGTAGATGGGGTTCTTTCCCGATGTTTTAAACACATATATAGAGTACATAGGAACAGCTGTTGTGGCTCGGGTTTCGATCTTCCGATCCTAGATGAAGTCTGAAATACCCATCGATGGTGGGAAGCCGTACCTGCATAAACCTAAGCACGTCATCTGCATTCGAATTTGCTTCACGGACCACATCCTATAGTAACGATGACATGACATGACAGTGGTTATTGTTATCTGGAATCGGATCTGTGTCATCTTGGTGAGTATTCAGCACGTCGAGATACCGTACCTAGGTGTCGCCATATCGTTGTATCGGGGAAGGAGGCTCAGAGTCTTTTCGTCTGGGCCATAACGGCGTCCTCACCGCTGGTTGGATATCCTCATGGTAGGCGAGAGAGAGAGAGGGTCCACGCGTTCCCAACGCTGTCTGGAGTAGAGTATGTCATAGGTATCTGTTAGTTAGGTAGTCCAGGACCTTCCCAGCGATCCGGACTCCGGAGTTTTCCTCGCAACAACCGAGTTCCGACTGGCCGGTGCGATGCAGTGCTCGTGTGCCCACCTCCCACCTCCCACCTCCCTCCACCTGAAGCATCAGCATCGCCGGCGCATCAGCCATGTGTGTGTGCTATGGCATTGATCGACACGCGCCATCATGCAGGGACCAACCAGGAAAAAGAAGCGGGCGGTGCTAACATCGGCCCATGATCGGCCCGGAACCGTCGGCTGGCGACTTGTGGGGGAAGAAAAAAACATTCGGTTTCTTTTCCCGCAAAAACGCGGGTGGTGGTGGTGGTTCGAGAATTTCTGCGGCCCCTTCCCCTCGCTGCCGTATCCGAACTTAAGTTGACCCGGGCTAACTAGCATACATAAACAATCCTCTATGTTATTAGCGTGATGCCCCGGAACCACCAAGCCTCGTCGCCCCACTTGAACCGGGCGGGCCAGCGTCGGTCGTACGCGTGTTGGGCCGCGTCTCGTTGTTTTTTCTCCATGTTTGGCCTGGTCGCTGCTGCTGCGGGTTTATAAAAGTCCCAATCGTCCGGTTGCACTAGCTGAAACCACCCTCCCCTCCCCTCCCCCTTTCCTCTGGGGAGGACGCGGTGAAAATGATCGATCGTAGGTAGGTTCATCCACGATACGATCCTTCCGCAAACCGAGGGGGCTCCGACATATGTGCATGTATGTAGTTATCAGTCGGGGTCGGAATAGGAAAATCGGTGTGACTCGTGAGAGCACAGAACGCGGGCCACTGAAGCCTATTTCTCTTGTCCACTTATGATCTCCCACCCTACAGAACGCTCGAGTAGAATAGGAAGTATGTATCCATCCTGCACTTGTTTTGACTAGTCGTCCCAGCTCGTTTTCTCCGTAACCCCACGTGCGATGCTCTTCAAGAACCATTCGCTTGGACAAGTCTTGGAGGGAGATTCTCGTCGACCATCCGAATGGGGGACAAATGGGAGGGCTCATCGACCATCCGTAGGGGAACAAATCAACAGATCACAGTATAGGCAGTTAGTACCGCTGTACTCTCTTCTCATTCATGTACCCTTCTAAAGACGGCCGTCACGTATATGAGTTGCCCATGTTCTTCGGGTACCTGGAGCCGCCCCCATAAGCTGGAAATCATGGTTGGGTGCTTATGGGTGACACCGAAGTGCAGGCCCCAGGGTTGTCGATGCGGAGCGGAGAGGGAATCGCGAGGAACATCTGTACCCAGATTGCTGTGTCGAGTGGTTCAAACTCGCCTGCACACTCCGTTTGACGGAGCACATGGATGTTGTTCAGCGGGTCCGATGGGGCTGTTCGACGCTGTACATGTAACTGGTCAGTACTCCACTATAGGTGGTATATAGGGCTCATGGGAGAGGGAAGGACGAAGACGAGCATGCCCCCCCCCCCCCCCCCCCCCCCCCCCCCCCCCCCCCCGTGCGAACACTCTCTCTTCCAACCGTTGGCTGCAAGACTCCCGTCGTCCCGTCGTCCTCACCGTTGTCGTCACGACACCCACCCAGGCTGGGGGAGCACACGAGTGAAGCTGGGGCTGGCGGTGGAGCAATCCCTGGAGGTACTTTATGTGGAGTACGATCTGCAGAGGTGGAAGGACGGGATAATCGCAGCCAAGCATCCTAAAATGGGCAATTTGCTTCTTCCCAGGTTGGCTTAGCACCAGCGAGTTGCGACTGGCGGTGCACCAATAATATCGCGTGTTATCGAGTCCACGGCAATCGCGCCTGAGTGGCTGGCGGTGGGGTTCAGATGTCGCAATGCAGTAATCGGGCCTGCATTTGAAACCGACGCGTCTCTGCTGTCTGCGTTCTTCAGCTCTCGGCGGCGCTTTCGGATGTGCGATTCCTCCGTGCAATCGGTCGGCCGGTCGCTGTGTCGTCTGTTTGTTAGGTACGGTATGTATTCCGGAAGTCGCACTGGCCGTGGGAGATGTCTAGGTTCGGGTAATGGGTACATGGGGACATGAGGGCATGGGGACATGTCATAGATCTCGGTGCCACCGTGCCACATTGGATTCTGCAACTGCGGAACCATATCAGAAATGTGTTATATTAAAAAAAATTAAAAATTTAAAGATAGAACAGCAGCCTTCCCTTTCTTCCCCCCTTGATGTCATGGGCGAGCCGCGACTGTTGATTTCTGGGGGGGGGTGGAGAGTGGTGGGCTCGTTGACGTTGCCTGATTCGATGCAGCCGGGCCCTGACTAGTGTCGAGCTAATGTGGCCTCTTCCTCTCCCTCCCTCTCCGCCGAGAGCTGGTGGTGGTGGTGGTGGTGGTGGGTTCTCCGATCAAAAAAAAAGCCGTTGTTGATTTTGTGGCCTCTTCGGATTTTCAGCATCCGTGTTTGTTGACTGGCGGTAATCTGGGGTGTGTCCTGCACGAGCTTCACTCTATTAAAGTGCCTGTATCTCCTGTCTCTCTCTGCCAGTTATTGCCATTATTGCCATTATTTCCGCCGTGATATCGATGTGCTCCAAGGGCGCGAGTATATACTTCTACTTACTGACTTAATGGCCGCTGCCCTCTAGAGTGCTGTGCGGTGGTGTTGTGCTGTGCGCGTATTGTGTGGAATAGAGTAGAGTGGGGGAGAGTGGAGGAGAGGAGTGGAGGAGAGTGGAGGAGAGTGGATGAGAATATAGTAGAAGATCTGGAGTATCTGCCTATGAAGATACCGGTCCTCTCGCGGTGCTTGTTGGTGGATGGAGTAGGAAGCAAAGCCAACATTTCATTCGCACTCTAGATACCTCCTCCTCTTCAGAAGAGCATTGCGACTGGCAGGCATGGACATGGATGGAAGGAAAGATGGGCTGTGGACAGAAGGAAGGATGGGCTGTGGGCGGCCATGGCTGGATGAAGTAATGACCTTCAGTAGATATGATGTCTGTAGAGTATCTAGAGTACAGTAGAGTACAGTGGTTAGTGTAGTGTACATCGTTTCGCTGCTGTGCATGGCGGTGAGCGGTGGTTACTTGAATCCAACCTACATACTTCCTTCCGTCCCTACATAAAAGTTTACTATCACATCCGTCACTTCATTTGTGGATCGCTACCCCCTTCCCCTTCCCTTTGCCCCCCCTCCCCCCTCCCCCTTCTGCTCTTTGCCCTCCTCCCTCCACCGCCCGTGCCGACCGACTTCGCCTTCTCTCCACCCCCATTCGCTAGCTGGGTCGTCCGTCCGGGTGCCCTTCGGTTCTTATTTCTCTTGAGTTGTCAGCCTGGTCATCGGGCTTCTCCTCCGTGACCTTCTCTCCTCCCGCCCCTTCCATTGCCGTCGACCGTCGCCCTGCCTACAACTCTCGCAACCTCTCTCCTCCGTAACCCCCTGGCTCCGTTCTGAAGGGCTTCCACCACAACCACCACCACCCCCTCCCCCCAGCCAAGCGAACCCCCATCCCCCTCCACCCCCCTTCCTTCGCCCTCCAGCAATTACGTCGCCCTCCTATCATCCTTTCACTCACTCTTCGTCTTCGCGCGCTCCCTCGTTTTGTACACTACTCGCCAACCCGCTATCCCACCGCTGCCCGCTCCGCCCTCCGCCTTCCTTCCTCCCCCACGCCCCCTAGACTGCTGGACTGTTGATTTCTCGGATCGCTTGTTACCCGCGCCGGACGACACTCGACCACCCACGCTCCGTACTTCGCGCGAAAGCCAGAACTCTTTCGCTCCTTCGCCCCCCCCGCCCCCTTTCTCTCCCGATTCTCTGCTACCGCACACACGGAGGAAGCAGCAGCTTTGGCCTTTACTACTTTTCGTTCAATTCTTTAATCACGCCGATTTGGACGACCAGATCAGCGGAGGAGCAGCGACGACTTCACTGTTGTAGCTCGAAGAAAGTCACGCAGCCCGCACCCACGGCCCGCCAGCTTTCGTCACTTTTCATTCGATTCTTGTGAACACTTTGCACGCTATACAACGTCGTTTTAATACTTTTAGTGTGTGGTTCTCGCTGTCTTCACGGTTGAGCTTTCAAGGGGTTAGTACCGTCTCCTGCCTCCCTTCACGTATCGCGTTGCTATCATTGGCGTTGTGCCTCCTGAACAACGGTCTTGTCCGTTTCATCCCCCCCTCTCCCGTGGAACGAACGTTTACCACCCCACGATTGGTCCCGATATGCTTACGTTGGATCCGCAGACGGACGCTTAAATCGCGACTGCACATAGACTTTCCTTTTCTTTGCCACTTCTCGGTTTCCCGTCACCTTTATACGCCATCTACATACAACAATCTCACCCAACCCGACCCGACTCAACACAACCCCACCTCCCGATCCCGATCTCCCCGAACCTTCGCAGCCAACCAAGCGAGCCGTTCTTCAAATCGTCGGCCTGGCGGCTTCAGTGAGTAGCGGTGATCGCCCAGCGATGGCAGCTCTTGTCCAGACTTATCCCGCCCAACAGCAGTCATCAGCTCCCGTTAGTCTCATGCAGCCGCGTTCGCAAGCGTCGCATGGTGCTTCTCAGGGACCCGGACAGCACAACGGCAACGCTTCGCGATACAACAACAGCAACAACGGTGGCAGCTATCGGGTCTACTCCGCTCCCGTTTCACCCTATGCCTTCACATCGACCCCTGGCCTTACCTCTTTCAAGGCGCCGAGTCCCTCCAAGCCTGCCATGGGTGGCAGACCGGACGACACCCGACAAGCCTACACCTCTCTGGACTCGCTGTCATCCGACGCCAACTTACGTGTGCCGTCCCAATCATCCCCACGTTCGACCGACGACTCTTCCCTCAATCAAGGCTCGCGACAGAACGTGAGGCCGCTGTCGACCACGATACAAGCCATACCACCAGCGGCTCCATCTCCCACCCGAGAAAAGCCCGACAGGTACAAGCGGGTCAACAGAAATTCACAACTTGGCTTGCCTGCTGGTTCAGCTCAGCCCAGTGGCTCAGGGGTGGCTGCCGTCTACCAACATCCCAGCCGAGCCAACAGTTCTCCGTCGCTACCTAACAGCAACGGCGCGGCAAATCTTGGACAAGGTGTCGTAAAGGCCCCTTTTGTTGGCGACTACACCGGACAGCTACGCAGCCAATCTGTCGACGACATCCACACATACCAACGACCTTCGACCTACCAAACGACTCAGAGCAGACGAAGATCAGTGGGTCCTGGATCCATGACGGCCGAAAATTTCCAGAGTTTTTTGAGGCAGGAGCTTGCGAGTACCAACCCGATCGGCGCGGTCGCGCCCGATACGTCTACCGGAAGCAAGAACACTGTGGTTGGAGACTTCAAGCCCCCGATGAGACCCGGAAGCCGACGGACGGGTAGTACCGATAGTTCAGCTTCGGGTAGCTCCTCTCGTGCTTCGGTAAGCCGCTCCAGCGAAGTTCTGGTGTCACGTGTCGCGATTCTAACGTCATAACAGAGCAATCGAAACTCCATCGTATCGAACGGTTCCAACACAGCGCAGTCGCCCGTACAGACGACGGTCGCACCGACCCACGAGTACAACGTCGTCAACATCCCACCACGAGGCTCATCAGCCGACGTTAGCAAACGGACGACCGCTCCTTCTCCCCTTTCGAGATCCGCAGTCGGCCCCGAATCCAACGCAGCCGGAAAGAAGCCCATGACACCTGTTGCGGCCGAAACAGAGGAGCGTGGCAAGAACTCTTCCGCGGTCGAGCATCTCAACGCATTGAACGATGGCCCGAAGAAGGGAATGAAGAACAGACTTCGGCGTGCATTTTCTTTCGGAAGTGCGGCTGAACTGAGAAAGGCTTCGGCCGTCAATTCGATGCGTGGCGAGGAGGCTGCAGAGCGTGCCCGAGCCCGCCAGGATAGATTCCGAGAAGAGCAGGACATAGAGCAGGCGCGCATCGCGAGACGCCAGGAAGCTGCTGGGTTGGGCGAGAACATTTACAACGGTCAGGGCAACTTTTTCACCGGATCGACCGACAATATCTCGGTTTCGTCCACCGCGTCGTCCGCCTCGATCATGATCCGCAAGATGGGCAAGGGCATCAAGAGACAGAGTCGTTCGCTCGTCGGGCTTTTCAGGCCGAAATCGGTTACCGGAGTTGAGCCCGCGAGCGGTCCCGTGTCCGCACAGCCCAGCCCAGGTCAGGTTTCGATGATCACGGTTGAAGCCGAACGAGAAAAGGTCAATGTCAACGTCAATGCTGCCGACCAGGTGGGTGGAGGAACGGGCTTTCCCAAACTCGAACGGAATTCTCTCGAGGTGAACTCGCGAGTCGGCACCGCCAATTCCGAGGGACGGAGAGGTAGTGCCAGCGGCAGTAGTCATAGGAGAAGGAGCGTTGTTGGTGGAGAGACGGAGGTTACGGCTTCGGTGAAGGGAATCCTTAAACGTAGGTTTATGTTGCACTGTTTATTGGGCTAGATGACTGACTGGAATTGCAGGCGCTGGTTCTTCCTCCCCGGTGACCAAGCCCACCGACACACTTCCGTCCGGATTCCAGCTCCCCGAGATCCCCATCGTATCTGGACCCGAAAACCAGCGACCGGGAAGCAACAAATCCCAGTCCGTCAAGGACAAGAACGAGCAGGAAGATTACTTCATGGCGCCCCCGAGGCTTAATGTCAACTCCCACAGTGCTCCCGCATCCCCCAGCTCCGGCTCCAAGTTCAACGTCAGCTTCAGCCCTCGCATCACCTTCCACGATACCTGGCCCAGTGGCGAATACGACAGGCGCGGCGAGATTGCCACGTGCAACCGCCTTACGCCCCTGTTGGCCCAGCAGATTAAGGAAGAGTTGAACACATTCAAGATGGTACGTACACATATAATGCCTGGGAGTGTCCGAGGCCACACATATGCTGACCAATGTGACAGGAAATGGATGTTCATGAGGATTCAAAGGTGTACACGCATTTCTTCTAACGACCTGGCAACCACCAGGCGTTCGCAAGATTTTGTTTTTATCACTGGAGTATGTTTGTTGATTTCTCGGCGGGTGGCGGGCTTTCTATAAACGGGCATTTTCTTTCTCCTTCTCTTAGTTCTCCTTTTCTTTTTCTCTAGAGCGTGTGCTGTTTGGTGTATCTAAAAAGTCGAAGGGGTTTGTGATATCACACGGCGGGGGGTTTTGGGGTTGGTTGGGTTCTGGTTCGGGTCCGGTTTGGTCTTTTTACTCTTACTGCTTGGTATTGCTGCGACTCCACTACTACTACTTACTTCTTCCACACGCACGCCATCTCATACACACATTGTCATGCTACGTTCAAGGAACGACACACGGGGAGCATCATTCGCACATCACACTCCCTCATCCACACTCTTTCTCTGTCTGTCTACTATATCTCTCTCTTTTTGCGCCGGGGGTTTTCTTCTTCTTGCTTTGTTGCATTTGCGCATTGGGTTGTTGTGTCTTGTCTTGTCTTGTCTTCTTCTCTTGCATGCATGGGGAACTGCCATTAAGTTGGGGTGGTTTCGAGGGGTTTGTTTTGTTTTGTTTTGTTTTGTTTTGTTTTTGTTTTTGCTGCTGCTGCTGCTTACGTACGTGCGCTCGTTTCGTGCCGTGTTGTTGGTTGGTTGGTTTTTTCCAAATTACTTTGGTTTAGTTTTACCGTTGTCGTCGTTGTTGTCGTCAGTCAGCATCATACCTACTATAGCTTCTTCATTCACTCATTCGCATACCATATTTTTTTTACTTTTCTGTCTGTCTGTCTGTCAGCTTCTCGCTCGCTTTACTACATCATACACACTCCAACTGTCTATCCCCTCATTATTTTTTTGCTGTGTTGAGCAAGTCATGTTTTCTTTGCCGGTGTACTGGGGGTCTGTGTCTGTAGGGGGGGGGGGCGGGTGCGTGGGTGGACGGTATGTTATGTCGTTGTTTTTTTTGTGTTTGTTTGGTACTGTTACTGTTACTGTTGTTCGCACTCGCATGTTGCTATGCATGTTGCTATGCTATACATCATCACCCTCCACTCTCTACATCTCTACACCTCTACATCTCATCCTGTCGATTGGTTCTGGCTTGGTTCCTTGTTCCTTGTTTTGCGTGCTCGGGCATACTTTTCCTCTATCTCTCTCTCTCTGGGATCGGGTCTCTCTCTGTCATTTTGCTGCTACGGCTGCTGCTGCTCTCTTTTGTGGAATCGGATGGAATTGAACGGATGGGGATGGGGATAAGTGTTAGATGGGGAGGGAGGTGATGAGTATGCTTCGTCCCGGGGGAGGTGGGAGGGGAGGGGTGAGTAGTAAATTATAGTATCGTACTGCACTGCTGCTGCTGCTGCTGCTTCTGATGCTTCTGATGGTTCTGTTTGTTCTTGCGTCGAATTGCGTCGAATTGCTGCTGGATGGTAATGTGCTGGATGGGGACGGGGATGGATGATGGCGGGGGGAGGATGGGGAAGGATGGGGATGGGGAGGAAGAGGATGGAGAAGGGAGGTCGTCTGCGTATGATACCTATTCGATCTGCTATGTTCGCGAATCGCTATCGTTGGTGTTGGAACTTGGGAAGTTGGGATGTCTATTGTATTGCATTCAACTGTTCACGGAATCACGGAATCACGGAATCACGGAGTCACGGGGATATCACTCGAGAGGTCGTGGGGGGATGGTGAATTGACCGTCAATAGCTGGTGGGAACTGTGATTCACCAGCTCGGAGCTTGAGGAAACTTAATGACGTCTCTGGTACCTTTCTCTCGCCCTTATGCCAAGCCCTGCTTCGATCCCTGCAAATCGAAGCTTAACCCAACGACCAGTCCCTGCACACTGCATTTCCATTTCCATTTCCATTTTTAGTTTTCTTATTTTTTAATTTTCTCTCATCACCGCACTCGCGATGTCGCTGTACATCGAGGCGGCCACGATCCTGACGTCGACGAGCGGGTCACTAAAGTCGCGCATATACCACCGCTCCCCCAGCAGCGAAGAAACGCCGCCGTTCAAGTCGCCGCCCGCGAGACTGTACGCCCTCATCGTTGAGACCCTGAAACATCAGGACATCCTCAATGAGGTTATTGCCAACAGCGGGATTTTGGGGTTGGAGAGGAAGGTTTGTTTTGTTTCTTTTACCTTGGGGAGGGGTGGGGGGTGTCAATGGGCTGATGAATGAGAATCCATAGCTATCCCACCCGCTCGCGCTCCTCCTTCTGCACGACCAGCTCCTCACCCGCGGCGGGATCGCGACCTCCAGCGGCCCGCTCAAGAACGCCGTGCTGAAGCACAAAGCGCGGCTGTCAGCAGAATTCACACGGGCGCGGATCCGGCGGGGGCACGGTACATTATCCTCGCTGCTAGCCGCGGCGAACAAAGCGGCCGCATCCAAGATCCCGCGGTGGGTGCGGATCAACACGCTCAAGACCGCGGGCGTCGAGGCGGCGATCGCCGAGGGGTTTGAGGACTACACGGCCGTCGCAACGATCAAGGAGCTGTTTGCCGAGGATGGCGGGAAGGAGAAAAGGGTCTACTACGTGGACCCCATCGTGCCAAACCTGCTCGCGTTCCCGCCCGGCGCGGAGTTGACGACGCACCAGATGTACGTGGACGGCAAGCTAATCCTGCAAGACCGCTCGTCGTGCCTTCCCGCGCACCTCCTGGCCGCGACGGGCACCGGCGCAAGAGTGGTGGATGCCACTGCCGCGCCGGGGAACAAGACGACACACATCGCGGCGCTGCTTGGCCCGGGGGGAAGAGTCGTCGCTTTTGAGAAGGACACGCGGCGCGCCGAGGTCCTAAGGAAGATGGTTGCGCGAGCTGGCGGCGACGGAGTCATCGACATCAAAGCCGGCGCGGACTTTCTCAAGGCTGATCCGGCGTCGCAGGAGCTGCGCGCGGTCACGCATCTCCTCCTCGATCCGAGCTGCAGCGGGAGTGGCATCGTGGGCCGCGAGGAGTACACGCTCGCCCCACTAGCTGCTGCTGCGCCGGAGGTGAAGGGCGGGAAGAAACGGAAGCGCGGCGCGGAAAAGGAAAAGGCAAAGGAAAAGCCCGTGCCCATCGTCGTCGCCGCCGCCGACGAGGCAGAAGAACAGGAGGAGACGAAGGAAGAGCTGGAGAAATCCCGCCTGTTGGCGCTGGCGGACTTCCAGGAGTCCATGGTACTGCACGCAATGACCTTCCCGGCGGCACGGAAGATCACGTACTCCACCTGCTCGATCCACGCGGAGGAGAACGAGGACGTCGTTGTGGCCGTGCTGGCTCACGATACGGCGAGAAGCAGGGGGTGGCGCGTGGAGAGGAGGGAGGAGGGGACCCTAAAGGAGTGGGAGAGGCGTGGGTGGCCGAATAGGTGCAATGGCGATGAGATCGTTGCGCAGGCGTGTGTACGCTGTAATCCGGTCGAGGATGGAGGCATTGGGTTCTTTGTGGTCGCGTTCGTGAGGGATTCTGCGGAGGAGCCTGAGGAGACACCTGCGGTGCCGGTGGCGGATAATGAAGAGGAGGAGTGGGGTGGGCTCAGTGATTGTGAGCCAGCGGACGTTGTACCGCAAACGGCAACTGAGGCTGTCTCGGCCGTGAAGAAGAAGAAGAACAAGAAGCGGCAGAAGAACAAGTGATCAAGATAGCATAGCAATAGAACACTTCCTCGGATGATAATGTGTGATACATGTGCTTGAATAACTTCATCGAGGCGTGCTTTTGTGCTTAGTATGGGCGTCGAGTTTTTGGTTTTGCCAGAGTATGTATGCACAGAGATTTACAGCTCATACGGTTTAATCTTGTTCAATCCCACTAGCCTAGTTGACTCTTCAAACGTATATTTTCAACATCAGTTCCTCTCGTTGGGAGATGGACCAGGATAGATTTTAATCCGTGAGTCGGACTTTGATATGTACCAGAAAGAAGGTGGGCAAATTGTGGCCGCCTAAACGGTAGCCCAACAAAAGCTTCACCCGAACTCCCCAGAAAGGACACTCCGAATCAATAATCCGACTCCTCTCCCTCTGCTCTTGACTTTTACATCGTTGCATGCTTTCCAGGTTTTCCTCCACACGCCGTTGGGTCGGATGTTCAGCCCCAGCTGAAACTTCAAACCGTGCAGATGTATTTTTCGATGTCCTCGTCCTCATCGCTTGGAGTCTTCCATCAAGCTCACGAATGTGATCTCGTGAGAAATAATGTGCCGCCAAGGGCTGAGATGGTGAAAGGTTGTGGTTGTCGCCTTGTTGCCGTGTTGGAGGGTGACGAGTACTATACACCGTGCGCTGCTCGATGCTGAGGACTGGCTGGTGCATAGTGGTGCTTAATGTTTCATACATACCTAAGCATGCATGCAAGTATGAGCGTCTTCTTATACATATGCTTACTGTGTCTTATTCACTGTTGGTATATCGATCCAATAGATATGATTCGCTACACAGTTGGGTCACATCACGGACGGTTCAGCAGCTTCAGCAGTTTCCAGTCTCGAGCTGGAGACGGTGTATGCAGCACGGCCGAGTAAACATGAGGCCTTAGGTGTTTAACTGCATAACTACGAAGCTTTTCTGCGCGCCGGTATGTAGGAGGATCGAAGTCAGCCGGAGCCGGTTGTAGACTGGAGTGGCTATATACATTGTATTCCTCTCGATCATGACCACCTCCTTCTCAGCGGACTATTCAAGAGTTTGGTTTGACCCCTTTCAAGTTGCATTCGGAAAATACTGTGGGGAAAATATGTGGCTACGTGGGGCTTCTCATCCGGGCCGACTTCAACTTGGTAGGTATATATGATAGTTATCTTGCACGTGCTGTGTTTTTCCAGATAACCACTTCTATATATCTACCTAGACCTGCAAGTAGAGTACCTAGTGGTGGGCTGGTAGCTGGTAGCTGGTTTGCGAAAGCGAAAACGACCGGACGAACGTGCGCATTCTCGCCGCTGCCATACGCTCAAGTTGTTGTTCTCAGCGCCCACGGACGGTGTTTATGCATGTTGCTTCGCTACGGATCGGATGGACGACCTCCAGTTGGGATTAGTTAGCTGCGGTTTCCGAACGTCTTCAGGCCGTCCCTCGTCCCGGATTCTGGAGCGGAACCGTAGCAATTCGACGGACGATGCACCGTGGCCTTCCTTTTTCCATCATATGTATTGTGAAAAGAGACCCCATGCTGATGGACTGCGTGCAGTTATTAGTAGTCGGCCGTACCCGCCGTCCGAACAAGGCAACTTCCCTCGCAACCAGACCTGCTGTTTACAGCATTCAAGCACTTTGAGAAACGACGATTGCAAAACCTCCGGCGCGGCGGGGACCTAGCGGCTGTTATCAGCCTATCGATAGGCATTCCCCGCCACACGTGCGCTCGTCGGGACTCGGATTGCCGAACAAGGGAGCTAGAGTAGTTACCCCCGCATCACTATTCTACGCGGGCAGCATCATAGCATCGCATATCGGTGGTTCCTGAGCTTACATTAGGATTCCGTGCATGCTCTATGTATGTATATTCGGTATCTCCGCAGAAGCATGATGCAGCATCGTTGATATCAGTGGAAGCGGGTTTTGAATGGAAGAGAGCGCGACGACGACGACGACACTCCTCCCTCCCTCTGCCTTCGAAATAACAACAGCATGAATGGGTGCGTTGACATCTCCTCCTCCAGCCTTGAGCGAATGTCGTTAGCTGAGATTAGGATCGGCGGCCAGGGAATGCCGGCCGCCAATTGGCGGCGCCCAGCTCGTTTCGAGGACCCTTAATCCAAGGAGCCCTGAACCGCCTATGTATATACGTGATCGGCGGTCTCGGAGCCCGCCGACGACGACGGCTCGCCGTTAGCCTTCCTTCCTAATGGAGCTGGCCGATGATGAGGCGGCAATCCACAGCCAGTACATAGAATATCTATGGAAATGGCTAGACCATGGTGTTTGTTTATCGCGGGAGAGCACTGTACCGGCGAGAGTGTCCGTGGGGACAGTCTCGTCTCTCTCGCTCTCGTTTGCTGAGCGGATGAGCTCGCTCCTGTACACGGCAGGCCGTATATAAACACCCATTAGCTCCCATCAAATCCCCTCCTCAGCCCAACCAGCCAGCCAGCCAGCAGTCCTCCGCCGCAATGTACTTCCTCACTGCCCTCGCCGTCCTTACGCTTCTCGCCTCCACCGCCTCGGCGGCCGTAACGGGAGTGACTGGCGCCAACTGCAACGGTACATACCTACATACATCCCCCATCCCCCTCCCCGCCGCCTCCCATCATCCCTTCCATCTACTCCCACTGACACGCCCAGGCTACGTATTCACCAAAGCAGCGGTGCAAGCGGCGGCCAACGAGGCCCTCGACCACCTCGTATCGAGCAGCACCGTGGGCGACAACGACTACCCGCACCAGTACAACAACTACGAGGGCTTCAGTTTCAACAGCGGCTGCGCCCCGCCCTACTACGAGTTCCCGCTGTTCAAGAGCTCGCTGTACACCGGCGGATCTCCGGGTGCGGACCGCGTCGTTATCGGCAGCAGGAGCGGAAGCTCGGCGAAGTTCTGTGGTGAGTGCTGTGCTGAGGACCTGCGGTTGAACGCGAGTGCGCGAGTGCGCGAGGGGACGGGATGCATGGCCAGTTGCTGACGAGGACCACAGATGTCATCACCCATTATGGCGCCAGCGGAAATGCGTTCTTGATGTGCGCGAATACGTAGGAAGTGCATTGGGAACTGTTGGGCGGACGCTGGATGGGGCGAGTGCGCTGTTTGGCTGGTACGAATGGTCGCCTGTCGTGTGTGTGTGTGTGTGTGTGTGTGTGTGTGTGTGTGTGTATTCGTGTATCCTGTACTATTATACTCATCGATACGTGGGAAATGGAATATCTTTACCTCTCTACAGGCAATTCAAGTGCGGACTCGAGCGAGATGTGTATAGGGGCATAGGTACCTTATAGATCAGGTATAGCAACAGCTTCGGAAATTCTCATAGCTTAGACTACTTGGGATGGGCCGAGGTCGGAGCCCTCAAGCCTTTGAGACACTACCGCTACATGTATCCTCAATTACAAGGCGCCGGAAGTTTGAAAAAACCAGGTGCTTCTTTGCTAGGATTTAGCTATGTAGATGCGGGTCGAATCCCCCAGACATCGATATTAAACCGATCATGCGATGTGTGCTCCGGTTGTATGTATATGTATGGAGGGCGTGATACATCCGTGGAATCAGCCAGCCCTCCACAATCCTGCGTGCCGTGTTGTACAATACGGGATCGCCACTGCCATTCCACCAAATGTGTGTGTACGTGAGGCATTTCGGAGAACCGACGGATGAGGGTGTCCTTCTCGGGTTCTTCTGCTTGAACCAGTGGGGGGGTCCCTCAGAGGCTATGTCGGATTCCATCGTACCCTGAGGAATTTCCACCCCTACTGTGGCTGGACGATATGTACATACAAGGTACCCAGCGTCGATGAACACCATGGGATCGACGCTCACGTCCGTCGCTCGACGGGAGCGCAGCAGAAGGCGCAGCTGCACCGCTCGTCTGCGAAAACGCCTCGGATCTAGAAGCGATCCCCCATCCGAGTCCACCACGAGTGATAGCCCGTGGGTGTCCGATCGGCCGTGGCCCGAAACGTTGCATTTCATCTGTTCTTTCCAGGAAAACGTGCCCAAAGTAAGACAGAAATGGTCGGAGTGCCTCAATTCAAGATCGCTCTAGTCAATTGTCGACATATTCCCAGCGAGCCAAGTCCTGACACCGGTTCTGCAGGCCATTCACTCTATGTCACTCACAGCCTGGAACATTCACGATGCGGCCAATCAGTTCTTGCTTGACCCAGCCTTTGTCCTTGAGCCTTTGTCCTTCGTGCGAAAGGACAACAAGTACAATGGATAGCAATGAAGCCTACCGTTTGACCCAGCCGCTTCCTGCACAAAGGAAAGGAAAGGAAAGGAAAGGAAAGGAAAGGAAAGGAAAGGAAAGGAAAGGAAAGGAAAGGAAAGGAAAGGAAAGGAAAGGAAAGGAAAAGAAATGACCCGTCCCATCTGTTCTCCACGATGATCCAGCGGCCATGCAATCCACTGCCTCCATCTAGCGTGTCTACTTCCTTCGCAGCAGCACCTCTCCACCTTCGTCTCGACAAACCAAGCCACCATGATTCACAGTCTCCTCTACCGCCTGCTCTGCACGCAGAGGGCCCCCCTGCTGCGCACCAATACTCCCTCTCCCCCCTCCATCTCTTTGCACCAAGCCAGCGTAACGCTCCTTCTCGGACGCTCGCACCCACCCACCCACCAGCCCACCTACCAACCCACGCACCTATACGTCGACGCCTCCAGCCACGGCGTCGGCGGATTCCACCATCCGCCCGACGCGCCGCTAGGCTCGCTACGGCCTTCGGCCACGTTCTTCATACCCTTCGCGGCGAACCCGCCACAGGCGCAGTGTTTCCGCGAGCTGGCGGCGGTCCGCCACGCGCTGGGACTGCCCGGGATTAGGGGGCCGACGGTGGTGCATTGTGACAACGTGGAGGTAGTGGAGGCGATAGCCGGCAGGGCGAAGTACAGGAGCGAGAGGTGGGGGGGCGCGGTGGGGGAGCTGCACAGGCATGCCAGGAACAAGGGGCTGCAAGTCAGCGTCGAGTGGACCTCGAGTAAACATGAGAGGATGAGGTTGGCCGATGGGTTGTCCAGGGGGAAGGATGTGAGTGCTGTTGCGCCGTTGCTGGTGAGGAGTGCGAAGCAGAAGGTGCATGGGAGATAGGGGCATATCAGGCAACTAGATGGGCGTTGGTTTGCAAGCTGGAATGGGCGGGTCATGCGTGCATGAGATCTATTCTCCGCGTGTACATATGATGAGAGATACAATCTAACGCCTCCCAAATCAGTGCGCCCAAATATAATATAACCTCTATGTCCCATTCAGATCACCCAGCAACCTTCATATCCTTCCCTGGACCATTTTCCCACTCTTCCATAGCCTTTGGATCTCCATCTTCGGCAGCCATTTTCATCTTCTTTGTCTCCGGTCCATCATCCGCAGAAATATCTTCCGCCTTCCTCGTGGTCCCAGCAGCTGGCATCACTTCCCCCTTCTTCAGTTTCAGCGCCCCGACCGCCATAGCCTCCTCCGGTAGTGGGCGGTAGTGGGGTTGGCATCGGTACCAGGGTACGGATCTCATGAACTTCTTCCCGTTGATCTCGACCAGGATACCCTCCACGGTGGTCTCATCCCCGTCACCCGTGATCTCCCTATCAGGACCCACCCATTTCCCTTCACTATCCACTTTTTCTGGGTTCTTCTGGAGCTCGTCCTGAACGATTTGCTCGACGCACTTAAGACACTCCTCGTATTCCGACAGCGGGTCGCCGCCGGGCCCCATATGTCTCGTTGAAGCACGGCCGACCATGTTTCTGACCTCGGTGTGGCGGGGGAGAAGTGCGTGCCAGAGCTTGAAGAGGTGGGACTTGATCGGTGTGAGATTGGAGTCTTTAAATATTTCATTGAGCTTCTTTCGCGAGCGCTTCGAGGGTTCCTGGGCCAGGAGCTCCTGAAGTGGGAGGTGAGGGAGAATCTCATGGCGGATTATGTCGAGGTATTCCCGGCCCACGATGTCCATTCTTGGGAATCGTCTGTCCCAGTCTTCTGAGGTCTCGAATATCGCTGGATTGTAGAGGTTTCCCTCGGCCGACATGATGCCGTCTACGCCCGTGGCCGCAAGACACCGCTCCACATCCTCCTGCCACATGATATTCCCGTTCGCGAACATGACCACCTCGCGCGGGAGGTTGTCGCGGATATACTTGATATAGCTCCAATCCGCGAGGCCTGTATTATGTCCCTTCTGTTCCCTCGTCCTTCCATGGACCGTAAGGACCTGCGCACCGGCATCGACCACCATTTTGGCATACTCCAGACTGCGCTCCTTGGTTTCTAGAATTCTGATCTTGGCCGTTACGGGCACGTCCAGGTTCACGTGCAGCGTGTTGATCAATGAGTGAATGAGCCCCCAGTCCTCCTGCAGGAAGGCGCCATAGTGGCCCTTTCTCGCAATACCCTGCGGACATCCCAAGTTCAAATCCACCGCGTCGCAGTGCTCCTGCACTTCCTTCGCCGCGGCAAGGATATCTTCGGGCTTATTGGAGCAGAACTGCACAAACACCGGGCGGTCGGCGACGTTTCCGTCCAGGTTCGGCGGTTGGAACGCTTGCTGCCTGTATATGGGGCTCTCAGCGAAGAGACGGGAGTGGAACATCGGCGTGTAGCAGAGTGTGTTCGGCGGTGAATGCCGGCGCGAGAGGAGTCGCCAGGCCTGTAGTGGTGGGATGCTTTAGCTGGTGGGGTAGCGCGGGGGAGCGTGGGGGGCAAGACGACGAACCAGCTCGCTTTGGTCTACCATCGGCGCGACTACTGTACGGGGTGATCCGATGGATTCGTAGAATTCGCGGCCTTGGAGCTTTCGTCGCTTTGTGGCCGGTTCGGCGCCGGCGGAGGTGCCATTGACAGCTGCGGCGGTTTCCATTGTGGTGAATGTTCGAAACGAAGGGGATTCGAGCAGAGTGACAGTTGTGGTCCGAATACGTTGCAACTTCGTCGGTGTTGCGAGAATGAATGAGGGTGATCGCTGGCCAAGGTGACTCAATCGACGATGAGCAAGTTGGAGGCAAAACGCCATTCCAAAACTCTCTCCAGTTAAATTTTTAGAGAGAACTGAAGGCGGCTCTTGTGCAATTTAAATGCAGCCAAGCCGAGAAAGCCGCAAGGGTCCCCTCTGCCACCAGCCCCGCAAACCTAACTACCGCAGACCTCAGCATCAAGCAGCTCTAAACACGTGCACTTGGATAAGTGAGACCGAAGCGTGTTATCTACAGCGCAAAAGCACAGTCCAAATCGTTAACGTCATTCGGTCGTTCTGCAGAATCGCCCACAACACTACGATAGAAACCTATTCGCCTTGAGAATCTAGTCAGTGATGTATACCCTTGCAAAGGGCTTCTACCTCTATGCGACAAGTAAAGAGGAGTACTCCGTGTTGTGTGTTCGATCTCTTCCGACAGTTTCTCCGTCCGGTAGCTGACGAAACGGCCATCTCAGACTTCTCGGCCTCGACAATGCAGGCAAAACCGTACGCCTCCCCGATCGCTCGTCCTCTCCCCCGCGAAGCTAGCTAACATGCTCTCCCGCAGACCCTCCTCGAAAAGATCAAATCCATCTACCTCCCCTCGGGCCCGGCACCTCCCAAAATCGGTTCTACAATCCCGACCGTCGGCCAAAACGTCTCCATCATCCCCCTACAGAACCCCACAGTGTACCTAAAGCTTTGGGATATCGGCGGTCAATCGACGCTTCGGAAGCTATGGAAGAGCTATTACTCCTCAGCGCACGCGATCGTCTTCGTCATCGACTCCACCGACGTGCCTCGGATAGAGAGCGAGGTTGTTGCCACGCTACGAGAGGTCATAGAGAGTGAGGAGACTGAGGGGGTTCCGGTTCTGGTGCTGGCAAACAAACAGGATCGCGATGAGAGCCTGGAGATTGCCGAGCTGAAGGAGGTTATCAATCCGGTTGTTGTGCAACTGGGCGCGAGGGATAGTCGGGTGCTGCCGGTGTCGGCTTTGGAGGGGTGAGTGTTCACGCGTGTGCCCTTACGTGTGGTGGTGCGTGGACTGACAGGTGCAGGACGGGTGTCGTGGAAGCCGTGGAATGGTTGAGGACGAGGGTTATGTGGAACAAGGAGGCGAGGCCGCCGACAATGCGGTGATGGGATGAGCTGAAGGTGTTTCGTTCTTTTGCATCATGTTCGCTTTGTTTGCGGGAAGGGTAAGTAATTGGCGTCTATGGAAGTTTTTCTAGCTTGCGTTTTGTGGGAGGCAGTCTAAACGTATCGTCGAAGACCATGATTTGGCGTTGTGGCTTAGCCATACTAACATCAAAATACATGCATAGCTGCTATGTGAAGAAGCTACAGTGTTTGGTACGAATACGGGGACTATGATACGAGGACTGTAATACGGGGAAAGGCAATTCCGATGTTCACCGGCCCCACTCTCCATGTGAAGACAGGCAAGACGGGGTTCGGGCAAAATCAATCTCCGAACTCTGAGGCTGTCTAGCCGATGTCCGGCGCGGTCGCCGACGGTCACATCACAACAGTGCTTACCTGCCTCTGCATGTGTGTCTCAAGTGTTGTAAGACGACATCGATATCATCAAGTCGGAGCGGCATTTCGGCGATCCGTTCATTCCGAACCGGGGCCTACAGTGCGGAGGCCCTTCCGCCTCTGCCATGTGAAAGAGGAGAAAACCGCTATGTATGTGGGTATGTACTACGGACCCGGCTCCGAGCTATGAACCTAGTTGAAAGACCTTACTTCCGACGGTCCGTCCCACGTTTTTCCATTGCTAAAAATGACATCGCCGGAGAATTACGAGTGAGATAGGGTGAGCAGTTTGTGTTAGCCGTGCGTTACCTAAAACAGCGGTGTTTTGGTTGGTATTGATCTCTTCGCGATTCGCTTTTGCAAAGAAGTGTGTTCTCGTTTCAGGCGCTGCAGCGGTAGAGATCAGCGGGTGATCGGCTGCAAAAGCTTCGACGTTTCGTCCAATGGTTCTGGAATGGCCCCCAAGCCACACACGCGCAGAATGCGTCGATAACGTCATCCTAACCAAAAGAAGTTTACCGTATTCGTGTTGATCCAAAAAACTGCCACGAGAGGTCGGCGGCCAGGCCATCCATCTATCGCTCGCCCCCTCCCCCCGGACGTTTCCCACTTCCGAGCCAACGAACGAACGACATGATTCCTCCGCGAGCCAGGAAATGAGAGGGAGGGTGTATGAAAGCTGACAGCATCTTGTATGCCTCCCTCTCCCTCCCTCCCTGAGTTGTCCGTGTACATACACACAGCTGTGATATCACAACCCCCCGCCCTACAGCCACTGCAACCTCCGCGTGCCTTTTGACGACTCTTTGCTTCGCCTCGCACTACCGATTCCGATCAACCAATAATGCAAACATGACCGTCGTACTGAACTCTCCGCCGAGACCGCCGAGGTCGATGTTGGACGTTGGAGACGACCCGACATACCAACCGATATTCCGCCCTCCTCCGCCTAAAATTAGTGATACACAGCCGCCACCGCCGATATCTTCATCGGACGAATTTGAGGAGTTACCGGCGCATGATGCTGCCAGTATCCGTCAGCAGAAGGGGCTTCGCGAAGTGGATGCGGAGACGCTCATAGCGCCAATTCTGTCGCGTGTGCACTCAACTGCGCTTTACGACGATGCGCTGAGCCATACCACGCCGCGTTCTGTTTTGCCATCTTCAGAAGAGGATGAACCGGAGGGAGGGGTGAGGGCAATACAACGTTCGCCTGTGGATACAAGTCCGCTTCGTCGGTCGCAGCCGCAGTCGCTGAAATGGTCTAGCTATGATCAGCATAAAAAGCCGACGGCGCATCACAAAGCTTCTTCATCACTTACGTTCTCGCTGCCGTCGTTTTCATTGCCGCGGGGGGTCACCTTCCCGTCTTTTGCGTCCGGAGGCTCGTCCTCGTCGTCTTCATACTCGACGACGGTGGAGTCCATGACCGAAAAGTACCGGCGGCGGAGGGCAAAGACTATGCAGCAGACTGTTAGATCACCTGGCGTGTTTTCCTCTCATAGAAGTTCCGTATTCTTCGGCAAACCGGTTGCCCGAGAGGACACCAATGCACTGAGGGCATCGCAACCACCACCACAGATGATCCGGCGATCATCCTCGGTATCCGAGTTGCCTCGACTCGCGCTCGCTCGTGAAATGACCGCCGAATCGACTACATCTTCGCTCGGCGATGACACAAAGTTTCTGCATATTCAACACCAAACCAATGCTCGGTTTAAAGCTATGAAGGATAATCTTCTGGCGGGGCTGCCGAAAATATCACCAGTCACACATCTTCATCAGCATCTGGCGAGTCTGAACCCGTTCACGGATACCCCTGAACCGCAGACCCCGCCGTTGCCACTTCGGGCGTCGGATCTTGAAGCATTAGATACCGTCCGGGGAGATGTGGTGATCCTTGGAGGATACCGCGGTTCCGTCCTCCGGGATGCGGTTCTGGGTAGACGTGTCTGGATTCCCCTCAAGGTGGGATTCAACCTACGGAAGGTTGACCTCGAGGTGGGATTAAACCCTGAGGATGAGGAACGTGCTGAGGAAAAGATCCGGCCCGATGGAATGCTGAAGAGTATTTCGGCTGTGGATATCAGTCGCCGGTTGTTTCGACGGCTGAGACAGAACACCTATGCGCATGATCGGCGAGTTCATGATTGGGGCTATGATTGGAGGCTGTCGCCGAAGATCATAGCGAGGAAATTGATTGAGTTCTTGGAGACGCTGCCGTGTAATCAGCCAATCGACGGCGAGGATCCAATGGTCCGACGGAAAGGAAGAGGCGCGCTGGTGATAGCGCATTCGCTCGGTGGACTAATCGTGCGGAATGCCATCAACCAGCGGCCTGAGTTGTTCTCGGGGGTGCTCTTTGCAGGCACTCCACAAACGTGCATCAATATTCTGGGGCCACTGAAGAATGGTGACTCAGTACTGTTCAATTCCAAGGTGTTTACAGCACAGGTGCGTGCTCGTCCGCAAGTCGTAATTTGATCAATTAGCTGACCACCACCAGGTAAACTTCACTCTCCGCTCCTCATACACATTTTTGCCCGAAAGCGGACACTGCTTTATCGACAAACACACTGGCAAGCCCCTGCCGGTGGACTTCTTCGACATCAACACCTGGCGCGAATACGGTCTTTCCCCCTGCGTCTCTGACCTCCCCGTGCCGCCACCAGTTCCACCGACCAGCAGACTCACCAACGCCTCCGCAGTCCTTCACACACTAAACCCCCTCTCCGACATCGCCGCCAAAAAGGAAAAAGAAACTACGGCCGGTGTCGAGCCACAACTCAATTTCCCCTCCTCCTCCACACCTTCTGCCGATATCCCCACCATCCCCAAATCCCAGGCAATACCGTATCTCGAGCGCACTCTCGCCGACGCAAAAGCATTCCGTAAGGGGCTACAGTTCCGACCAGAGCTGGAGGAACACTACCCGCCCATGGCGGTATTGTACTCGAAGACTACACCGACAGTGAGAGCGGCGAAGGTCGATGGAAGGGAGGGGATCAAAAGGCCCGATGTATACGAGGAACTTGCATTCGGTGCGGGCGACGGAGTATGTCTTGCCAGAGCGGCTATGTTGCCAGAGGGATACAGGTGTGTCCGCAAGGTGGCGGTGGATCGCGGGCATGTCAGCTTGCTGGGGGAATTGGAGGGCGTGGGGAGGTGTGTTGAGGCTCTGGTCAGGGAGAGGGGGTGGTAATGGTATTGGTAAATATCTAAGGCAGGCGGTTTTGGTTCTCGACAACCCTACATACTATCAAATTGTGTGGTTTCCACATGCATGCACCTGCTGGGTATGCTCCGCATCGCCGGTATAGCAGGTCACCTAGATCGACCAAAGGAAGGGAAATAAAACGAGAAGTGGGATTTTTAGTTAAATACATATACCGGCATTGTCGAGCAGTGGTACCGCTATTCGACGTAAGATAGGTAGATCTAATCAATACATCATAATACCAGTTCATAGCCCTTTCCACGATACGTCACATGTTACATGTAACGATTCCACATGCTATCCACTTGATTGATATGTATAGACAGAACCCCAATGACTTCCAGGGCTGCGGTTTCTATGAGGGACGGCTGCCTAGTAGACGGTCTCGGCCTACATGTGATCATATCTCGCCAACGAGTCTACCTACTTTCTCATTAGCCTGCGTTTCATGTGTAAATCCGTGTATCTCGCTGCGGTACCTTATCAGCGTATCAGACTGCTTTTTGACGTCCATCAGCTGACCTTTCTCCCTATAAAACAACATCCACTAGGTGCCTACATCAACATCAACCAATGAGACGTCGATATGCTAGTTTTTTACATACGAATAGGCAGCAATGAGTTGCCGCCGACTACGGAAACTGTCCCGATGGCGTGCAGCGAAATGTACCCAGTCGATACGACATGTTATGATGTAGCACTCCAATGCAATTCAAGCACCTACCTAGCGTCCGTTACTCGAGCTTTCGGGATTTTCTATACATGTCTTGAGCTTGAGTGAAGCGGGACGTCGAGTGACAATCCGAGATGTATGCCCTCGGCGGAGGCAACATCCCGATGCGTGCGGGATCAACCAACATGGACCGGAAGAGTTTGGTCCAAGTCAGCCATTTGGCAGAAGTAGCGCGAAGAACTCTTTGTCCTGTCCTGTTTCCTGGGAAGGTCTGGGTTTTCGTGTAGAGAGACGGAAAAGCAGGTTCGTTTGGTGCGGTGTGGTTGGAGGGCGGACCTTATTTGGCTTTCTATACATTGTATTGTACACCCATGTTCCCTACACGTGATCATTCGCGATTGACTGTCGGGGACTCATTTGCTAGTGTGGTGGAGAGTAGAGCAAGCTGTTTCTATGGTAGAGTTAGGAACCTATCGTATCTGGTAGTCGGAGTATCTAATCGGTACTTACTTTTACCTATACTTGTTGCATGGATCAGCTGAGCTTCTTGTCGTCATAATTGCAACTGTAGTAATCTTCGCCTCACCCCACACAATCGACATCTCCACATCCCGCCTCAAGTGAGCACGAAAACGAACTTCCGCGACCAAACCCCGACAGCAACAAACCTCGCATGATCATCCAACTACGGGAGTGCTCCAATCATGACTAGAACACTCAATCTCAACGAGGAGCTGCTCTACCGGGAGCTCCAGGGCAACCATGGTGTCGGGGCCATCAACAAGCTCTATGGCGACAGGCGATGGGTCAGGGACTTGGATATCATTGCAGAGCTAAGAGGACACGACGGATGTGTCAACGCGCTGCAGTAAGCGGGAGCCCATCTTTCCCATCATGGCAGGGGGGAAATTTTGACAAACATGAGTTTCAGATGGTCTCGGGACGGATCGCTTCTCGCGAGCGGCAGTGACGATACTCGGGTCAACATCTACAGTGCGAACGCCGGCTTCTCGCTCAACACGCAGATCGAGACGGGCCACCGCCAGAACATCTTTTCGGTCAAGTTTATGCCGCATTCGTCCGATCGCACTATCATCACTGCCGCGGGCGACTCGCAGATCCGCATCTTCGACATCGAGTACGCGCCTACCACCTACACGACATTGGCGGAGACGGCGGGGCCGGTGGTCGATTCCCTAAGCTCGACGGGGAGGTCTCGTCGCGGGTACAATCGCGGGTATTCACAGCCGAGTCCTACCCCAGGGAAGATCCACGATAAGCCGATGAGAGTGTACACTAGCCACTCGGACAGGGCCAAGCGGATCGTGACGGAGTCCTCGCCACATCTGTTCATGACCTGCTCTGAAGATGGAACAGTGAGGCAATTTGACCTCCGGCAGCCGTCGCAGTTCTACACCCGGCCCCATGCCGATCCTTCTAGGCCAGCGCCGCGCGCCCCCTTGCAGAACATGCGTGACGAAGATGAAGATGAGGCGAATCCGCCGTTGATATCCTATCGGCGCCACGGAATCGATCTGAATACCATCTCGTGCTCGACCTCGCAGCCGCACTACCTTGCCGTTGGAGGTTCGCACCAATACTGTTTCCTCCATGACCGGCGCATGCTGGGACGGGACCGTATGGCCGAGGCAGGAAAATTGTATAGCCGCGTTCCGATCACCGAACCCGACGAGGAGAGTCTCGCAGGCGCCACAAAGTGTGTGCGTCGCTTCGCCGCGCGGAAGAGGGGTAAGATAATGTATCACTCGCATATCACGTCGTGTAAGATCTCGGATGCGAACCCGAACGAGCTGCTCGGTTCGTGGTCTGGGGATGGGGTTTATCTCTTCGATATCAAACGATCTCCGCTGCCTAACGAGGAAGGCCTTGGCCGTGAACCGTGGGAACCCGAGGCGCGCAGGAGCAGTGGCAGGGCCAAAAGGGAACGGGATGGGAACGCTCGCGCTCGCAAGAGACGCCGTAGCCGCTCCCCGTCTGATTCTCCCGATGAATCCGTGCCTGGACAGAGCACCCGGAAGATCTGTGCTTTGGTGACTGAACTAAAGGAGGAGATATTCGGCTTCGCCTCATCCAACCTTCTAGGGGATGTCGGGAATCTCGCGGCGGAGCGACGGAGGTCTTACGACGCAGCTCTGGCACTAACGCATGCGCTGCTACAGCGGATCAATGACTCCATCGAAGCCATGGATCAGGCGGACTGCAATTCCCTCCATTTTGAAGGTGATCCAACATATCTGCAGATCGAACGCCCCCGGCTAGCAAATCTAGCCGAGAAAAGGAGGAAAGTCAGAGCCTTCGTGATCGGTGCGGGATGTGTGGCACGGGCCAACGGCGGTTTCGTAGAGGGGATTGGACTGGGTGCTGGAGCCTTCGTGACACCCCTGGCGCCCGTCGCGTCCTTCAGATATCTGTTCCTGAAAGCGGTGGTTGCGTTCCTGAACTCCGGAGCAGCTGGTGTTAGAGAACAGGCAAATGAGTATTATGAAGAGGAAGCGGAACTGCAGGGAGACGAGTGGGTTCCGGAGCGATCGCCGCCATCCACGCAGGAGAATCTTGAGCGCTTCCTGCAGAGTCTTGAACACCAAGCGAGCTTGGATGCAGTTCGAGATGTTATAACCAGCGAGGAGCTCTTTGAGTCCGAGGTCGCGATGGTTAGAGCATTCAAGGCCATCCTCTTGGCCGATTCCGCAGAGTCGATCATGCCCGGAGCCGCAGGACGGAAGTTTTGGGGCGAGAGGGTCGCGAGGGCCTTGCTTGTGAGAGAGACTTACGGAATGGATTATGATTACGTAGCGGATGCCTTTGGCGAACAGACTCCGGAAAGAAATCGTAGACGAGTGAGAGGTTCTGGTGAGACCAGTGCTCTTTTGGGAGAAGGCCCGGAAGATGACGGCGATATCGATATGGATGTGGATATTCCTGACGAAGACGATGACAAGGAGTCCAGTGATGACGGTGATAATGATGAGGATGATGAGGATGATGACGATGACGATGAAGACGAAGACAGCGGTACGGATGCCTGGAATGGATTTGGACGCCCTAGTCGGGGACCTGTGGAAGTCCACGCTCCTGTTTGGGAACACACAAAGGTCTACCGTGGACATTGTAGGCCCCCTTAGTCATCATGGGATGTAATTCTACTGATCGGCCTCGTCTTCAGGTAACATCAAAACCGTCAAGGACGTCAACTTCTATGGGCTCAACGACGAGTACGTTGTTTCCGGCTCAGATTGTGGAAACCTGTTCATTTGGGACAAGAAGACGACCAAGCTGGTCCAGCTTCTCCGCGGCGATGACGAGACGACAAATGTGGCTGTCGGACATCCATACGAGCCGCTCCTCGCAGTCTCGGGAATCGATCATACAGTCAAGCTCTTCTCTCCGGATTCCAAGTTGCAGCAAGAATTCGGCGAGAAGGCTCGGTCGGGGGGAAGGGCTGATGACGGAGAAACCGAGCGGAACTACAGCGAACCGGTTTCAAGAAGATTGCTGAATCGCAGCCAGAAAATCATCGATCGGAACCGAGACAACAACGTGACTGGACTCACAAATACTATTCTTACGGTAAGGAGATCTGTTGCTTTCTTCACGTTGTGGGCTTTATATACGGACGATTCTTGATGTAATTGTGGCCGTGTCTTTTCCAATCTCTGACTCGGGACCGTCTGTGTTTTGTTGCTTTTGTCCTTTGGATACCCTACCTACGGTGCTCGAATAAGAGGAGCTTGCTGTACTGAGTTACTTCGCATCGCGTCTGGGAGAACGGATGGCTAATAGTTGACATCCGGCGGCAGAGGGATATGCTTGAACAGTTTGTCGAGAGGTTGAGGGCTGGCGGTGATATGGAGGGCGGCACTGCAGTCATCGAGGGAGATTGCGCGGTAAGCTTTCGTGCCCTTCCTTCCCCTATCGAGCCGTAGGAGCTAATGGACGGCGGTTAGATCATGTGAAAATCATATGCGCTCGTTTCGTTTGCTCTGTCTTTCTTTTTCTCCTGGCAATTTGGCGTTTATGGTGGGATTTGCTTGTCCAGCAGGAATCCCGTTCACTCTTGTATGTAACAAAGTAACTACGAGTATCTCTACTACCATTGCCTACTTATGTAGGTATAGTATGGTTGAAACGTGGTGACGCCAGATTCAGGAGAGACCTTCCCGAAGGAATGTGAGCGCGAGTGGCCGTAAGCATAAGGCGAGGCGAGATTGGAAATCCTTCCCCGGGCTGAGGGGATTAACCTGTCGTTATCCACCTGTTAGATACCGCGTACTCTGTCTACCGGGTTCCGTTGTGTATTAGGCGCAATTGTTTGGCCGCCCATCCCGCGGTTTGAGCAATTAACGTCCATTTCCACTCCTTAATCCTCGAGGTTCCGTCAGATCAGTGGGCGGTTAGCACCCTGTCATTGGCCCCCGGGCTGACGAGTGCTGTGTGATGACCGGCCAAGCCGTGTCATCGCTCGGCAAAATGGGATGAGCAGCTATTGAATTGATTGTACCCCTTCCCCTCTTCGTTCCCATTCTCGGTTCTGCTCTCTCTCTCTTCTCTTTCTTTCGCTCACCACCCTGTGTTCAACACACATTCGTACACGGGCGGCCACTTTTTCGCGAACTAACTAACCGATTACAGGAACAGCAAACTGGACACGAATAGCAGCTCTGATAACCTCCACACACAGGGTTTTCGAATTGAGAGAGACCCAGTCCAGTCTATGTTGTGGTTGTTGTCATTCGTTTCTGCCTTCTGCGTCCCGTCATCTTGTCGCTCTCTTGCAACCTAGCAACCTCTAACCGGCGACGACAACGACACCATCATCATCGCAACGCACCCACCCATCTTCACCCACAACAACAACAACAAAGAAGATGGCGCAGCTACCAACGCCTTCACCCTCCACGCCCTCGCCGTCGTCATCAGCCCCGGCGCGACAGATCGTGAGGAGCTCGCTACCTACACCGTCAAGGACTACACCCACGGATCCGCCGGAACAACAGCAGTCGTCCTCGTCGACTTCGTCGCGACTGCCCTCGCCCCAGCAATACACCTCGTCGAGATCTCGAACCAGTCGCGAGGGAACCCCCTCCGATAATGGCTCTGCCGATAGCGCGCGTATGCCGCCACCGCCGGCAAGAACTACGCGAGCGGCGACGGCAGCGGCGACAGTGGCAGCAACAGCAGCAGCAGCAGCAGCGGGGACAAAGGAGAGGACGTTTGTTAGACGGACGGCTGGAACGAGGGATTTGAAGGAGAAGGAGAAGAGCGATAAGGACAAGGGCGATGAGGGGAAGACGGTTGTGCCGAAGAGGTCGATGAGCTTGAGGAGTAGCACGAAGCGCACGAGTATTTCTGCGCGAGGGGAGGAGAAGAAGGAGGAGTCTGCTGTCCTGCCGAAGCGGAATTTGAGGTCGAGGACTGTCAGTACTAGCACCAATGCTTCTTCCTCTGCGACGGAAAGGAAGACGACGGCTTCGACTGCTGCCAGCTCGAGGATCGCTGCTGCACCTAGGAGTTTGAGGGAGAGGAGTGGAACCGCCACTGCAGCTGCCACAGGAACTACTACTTCACGTCGACCGCTGTCAATGTATGCAGACACTACTTCGGCCACTTCGACGGGTCCCAGAAGAGCTGCAGCTCCTGCTCCTGCTCCTGCTCCTGCTGCAGCGCCAGCAAGGACCCATAGACGGAACCAATCGACACCCTCGACTGCGGTGCAGCCACCAGTCCGACCAGGGACTTCAGCATCGACAGCCAGCAACGTCTCCAAGTCCCGCCGGCCTCCCTTCTCTACACTACAACAGAACTTTGCCGCGCCCCCACCTCCGCCTACCTCGCGTCGGTCTATGCCCCCACCTCCACTCGACCCAGCAACCATCCATCAGCAGACGCAACTACTACAACACTCCTGTCTCTATGCTAATTCGCACTCTACATATGCGCAGCTTACGGCTTCAGCTACTGCAAAGCTCAAGCGGCGCTTCGACACGCTGGCACGCGAGCACTCCAAATCGCGAGAGCAGCTGGCGCGGCGACAACGGTTGCTAGATATTGCCGGGCTCGTTGCGGTTGTTGAAACGCCCGCCGCGGGCATCACTGGCAAGCGACGGGAGACGATGCGCAGTCCCGAGGAGAAGATCCAGGCGTTTTCGGAAGCGATCAAGAAGCTGGAATCGCTCCAACAGAACGAGCATCGCTTGCTCTCTGCCGCGTTTGGAGAGTGGATCGCCGGGTACTCGACGCCGTCGCCCAGGAGAGGCATCGAGCAGGGCGGATGGGTCAAGAAGCGCGGACGCTGGATCGACGGCCTCGGTGAGGACTGGCGCCGACAGTGCCTGTTCACGTCGAGACGCATCGAAACTGCCGTCAGAGCTATCGAGAGTGTCGTTGCGGCTGTGGTGATGGAGGAGGAGCTCGGCGTCGTCAGCGTTGTTAGCGAGAGGTGGATGGAGGTCGCCAAGGGCATGCTCGAGGAGAGTCAGGGCATGATGTTGGTGGAAGGCAACGTGGTGCAACGGGAGAGGAGAGCACTCGAAGAGGTGGTGGCAGGCGCCGCAATCGTCGAGACCATCGTCGACGACACAGTGGCAGACGCAGAGGAAAGGCCGGTATGGGTCTGATCCGATGGTTTTGCTTGTCAGCTTTTCGAGCGCTGTTCTTTTTCTTTTTCTTTTCTTTTCTTTCGATTATCATGGGGCCTCGCGGTGTCTAATGGCTGGGCTGGGCTGGCCGTCCGAAGTTTGATGGTTTGGTTTGGTTTGGATATGCAAGTCAAGTTCGCATTCTTCATTTTGCATTGGGAGGCCTTTTGTGTGTGTTTTCTTTCTCTTTCTTCTTCTCTTACTCTTCTTTTTATTTTTCCTCTTCAACTTTTTCTTAGGCTGGGGACTCACTCTTGCGATGTCTTTTGCTTTTGATTCTGCCCGTTGCCGTTGGTTTGCTCCTTCGTATCGTTTCCTCACGAGGAATCCAATGAGCGTCATGACGGAACATGTTTGTTCTCTTGTCTTGTCATGCGATATCATGGCATCTTTTTACCTTTCTATTTTTTATTTCTTCTATTTCTTTTTACTTTGTAGCTTTCAGCTTTTTCTCGCTCGCTGAAGCTTTTACATTCCTTTGAAGACGATGATGTCTGGTGGTCTAGGGAGGTTGGGAGGTTGGGCGGGGTTGTGCGGCGCGAAGGGCGAAACTCTCTTTTGTTTGTTCATGACGGTCTTTTATGTGGACGGGTTGGGTGGGAAGGACGGGATATCACGACTTCGAACGACAGATGGGATGGGATGGGATGGGATGCGATGGGATATGATATGGGCTATGAACTACTCTACGAATCGAATGGAAACAGATGATTGATGAAATTCCCTTGTGCTCCTTGTGCTGTGCTGTGAGGCGGAGGCGGATGGAGGGGGGGCGGATTCGGAGGGGGGGTGTTGCTATGCGGATGCGGAATGATGTTTGGGATTGATGGAGACGTGCATGAGATGCGCGTGCGAGATGCGGTGTGATGCGGTGTGATGTGATGAAGTGACGGGTGGGTGAGGTGATCGGACGCCGGAGGCGGAGCTGATTCGATGGATGGAGGTCTGCTGGCCGCTGGCGTGACTGCGAGGGAGGGGAGGGGCGGAGCGACGGATAGGAGGCATAATGGGATGTCGGATGGGCGGGTTGGGTTGTGGTTGGGCTGTGGTTGGCGGAGGGCCTGGTTGGCGGAGGAATGGTTGGACTTGGAGGAGCGGCGATCGGAATGCACGTCGAAGTCGGGTGGTTGGGTGGGTCTCAGGCGCCCGCATGGAGTACCCGGTCACGAATCACGATGTAGCCACTCCGGAGGCGGGTGCAGCTTCTCGATCGAGTGAGTGTAGTTCTTCGCGTTCGAGTGAGGCCTGAGTATGATGAGGTAAGTAGCTGTCCGAGTGACCACTCCGAACATTGAGAGAGAGATGCGTCGGACGAGCCCGATCAGCGAGTGATATTCGTGAAGCAGGCCTTCGCGCTAACCTAACCGACCCTGCCTGCCCCACGCAACCAGCCCCACCAAGGCGTCACTCCCCACTAAGGCCGCCATCACCATCACCACCGCGATGTAGCCAGCAACCCACAACCCACAACCAATAACCCACAACCAATAACCCACAACCCTCCACTCTTCAACACTCTCCTAACCCGATGCCCTCCCCGCCGTCTTCCTCCGAAGAGGGTAACTTCTCCATCTTCACCACCCTCCGTTACGACCCGTTGCTCCTTTCCAGCACAGCCAACACCTCCGCCTCCTCACTGCCGCATCCCACACCGTTCTACCTCCTCTCGCACCACCGGGACCGCATGCTGCAGGCGGCGGAGAACTTCTCGTACCCTTCTTCCGCGACCTCGCTGCTCCAGTCGCTCTCGGCGTTCGCAAGGCGGCTGCAAGACGCCGTGGATGCGTACGACGCGGGCGCGGGCGGCGGGGTGGGGGAGGGGGCACTAAGGGAGGGGGAGGGAGCACTGAGGGCGAAAGCGATTCTGACGCGAACCGGGGAGTTAACGGTCGAGCTGGGGCCGACGCCGGTGGTGTCGTTGTCGCAGCTGTACCCGGAAGCGCTCCCTTTGCCGCCGTTGCCGGCGGGGCGCGAGGATATGGACTGGACGGTCGTGCTTGATCAAGAAGAGACAGAACCGTCGGAGTTCACAACGTTTAAGACTACCGTGAGGGGGATGTATGATCATGCGAGAATGCGTGTGGGGATACAGGGCTTTGCGGAGAGGAGGGAGGTGCTGCTGTGGAATCCCCGGGGTGAGGTTATGGAGGGGAGCTTGACTAGTGTTTATGTCTATGTCAAGAGGGAGGGTGAGGGTGAGGGTGAGGGTGCGGGTGCGGGGTGGCGGTGGGTTACCCCTGTGCTGGGGAGTGGCGGGCAGAAAGGGACTACTAGGAGGTGGGCGTTGGAGAGGGGACTGGCGGAAGAGGAAGTGGTCATGAAGGAGGACGTAAAGCCTGGTGATTGGGTCGTGCTGAGTAATGGCCTGAGGGGCGCCTGGGGCGGGTGGGCCGTCTAAGTACCGTAGTCAGTGAGCGGTGCCGTCCTCTCGAGCCTTGCTCGTCCCGCCCCGCTCCGCTGTGTGCACGTGGAGATACGACGATGCGGCTTTGGTCGCTCTAAGTAGGGCGCAAAGGGTTGCGACCAGCACTTTGGTAGCGGGGCGAGGGAATGATCCTACATATACTCCAGTTCGGCTCCGTCATGACTGGGCTCTTAGAAAGTATATACGGTGAGCTGAAAGCGGCTTGGTTACTTCTGTAGTTGTAGTTCGTGGTTCGTGGTTTGCGGGACAGGACGAACTGAGCGTGCTGGAGAGTTGCTTTCCTATGTAGTGATCCTAGTGACAACGACATCATTGCGCTGATCTACATTATCAACATTACTATTTCACCACTGCAACCCTCGGCATGGAATAGTGACGTTCGAGGGCGCACTCTTTTTTTGGTGAGACGAGTGATACTACGTGACAGAGTGCGCTTTCATGCATGATACCGGCGAGAACGAGACGACGGATGCGGTGTTTTCTGTAGCATCAAACTTATTAGTGACGTTTTGGGGGATTGAGTTTCCGTTAGCAAGAGCTCTGTCATCTGCTCTCCTCGCAATGCCACGGTGGGTACGCTGGGTACGATGGGTACACTCCCGCTTCGGGCTGCGGATGTCAAGCCAAGGTCGACGGTCGGTCCTCAGTCGTCTGTTGGTCCGTCGGTAGCTTTGGTTATATGTATCCACACATAGCAGGGAAATAACGTCGAGGCCTGAGAATCGAGCTGCAACTGCCAACTACCAACTGCCAACTGCTATCGGGGGAAAAATAGAAACTATAATGCGGGGTTCTTATGCTACATAGGTGCACATGATGGCGGACGGCGCAACAAAGTAGCGGATTATAGTATGCACGCCTAAGTATCCATCCCACTCCACTCTGTGTGTACAGCGAACTGCCATTGAATGGATGGTTCGAAACACTGAAGAATTCCGAAGAACAACCCTGAGGGGTTTATCGAGTATGCTTTCCTTGAACTTCAGAATAAAGTAAAGTAGAGGTGACGGGCGTTATTTGATGTAGGCGAGATAATTTGGGATGTCGGCAGTTTGAGACCGCCAGTGAGATGGCCCTCTCCGTGATGCGCCGGTACGATCCTACATACACACCCCAGTCCATGTAGGGAGGACTCCCGAGTGGTCCGAGTGGGCATTTGCTGAGCGGGGGTGGTATGGGAGCGATCGTCAACGTAGAGGAGGACAGAGACGTGGTTTTCTGCATTCGACGGCTCCTCTATTGATTCTCGAGATGCAGTTGTGAGGGACACTGAGGGTGGCATGCACGCAGTTACTACGTTCCGGGCCTTCAACTTGGACCTGATACTGTCGTTAGCTAGTTATCGGCATGAAGGGGGCATGAAGGGTCCACGCAGGGTCGAACCCCTACCGCTACCTCCCACGGTGCGAGCCCAATTCCAGCGCGGGCTCGGGCTCTGCGTTGAGCAACACCTCTCACGGACTGCGGACCACAATTATGTAGAGTTTGAAGACTTCTGATCATCGCAGGGAGCGGCTAATCGGTTCGCAGGAGTGGGGCCCCTTCAACGGTGCCAGAAAATCGCTCCAACTGGTCGCCTCTTGTTCCGATGCGGGGGATCCTTGCAGAATATGTAGTTTGGTGGGTGGACCTTGCTGCGGTTCAATTACTTGTCCTGTCACTAGCGCCATCCTCTATCGTCCCACCGTGCTGTCCCACTATGTTACGGCGGACACACTTCGCTCCCATTCCCTAGCTCTTATCAACCCCGAGCTCTCTTATCCTCGTCTAACCTCTCCTTCCGTTATTTGCTAACTCCCCCCCGAGACACCGTAACACCGCAACACCTCCACTCTTCAACACCTCCACTCCTCAACATCTCCACACCTCAACACCTTCACACTACCATTCCATCCCTCCATCGCCATCACACATCACCACATCTCAATACCTATCGGAGCTTCAGAGGCCTCCTTCGTTTCGCTGCCGCACAAGTTCTGCACTTCCGGTAAGAATAGTCTGATAGGTCGAATCGGCTCCCGGTTCACGGCTCCCAGTTTGCCGAAATACCCGCCCTACAGTCGTTTGTGTCGGCCCCGAATTGTTTCCCCCGCAATCAGGTACAATATCTTCATTATAAAAGAATCCTCCAGGAAACTCATTTGCTTTCAAGCTTTCTAGAACGTTGTCGACCGGAGCACCCACACACGAAGCTCCGACCGCTATCGCCATGAGTTCCGAACCCCCAACAATGAGCTCAAAACCCCCCACCACCCCGCAGGCGTTGCCCCTACTGTCGTTTCCGAATGAGCTTCTCTTGATGATTGCCTCAAATCTTCCCATTAAGGACCTCGCTTCAATCGTCCGGACGGGCCGCTACCTGCACGCCCTTCTCACCACTGAACTCTACAAAGTTGGAGCTAAACTTTATACCAACACTGGAACCCCCCTGCACTGGGCTGCCGAGTTCGATCAATTGAACACCGCGCGCCGGCTGATTTCCTGCGGTGCCAATCTGTCTGACCCAAGACCTTTCGATGGTCAGACGCCCTTTCACCGAGCCGCAGCTTGTGGTCACTTAGAGCTTACCGAATTCATGTATCGCTCGTACTTGGCCATGACGCGCGATGACCGGGGCAGGATGCCACTTCATGTTGCTTGTGCGATGGGCCAGGAAGACGTCGTGAAATACATCCTATCGAGACTGCCGTCGGCTATTGAGCAGAAAATCGTCCCTTCTCAGAGAACCCTCTTGCACTGTGCTGCCCAGAATGGACATGACGCCGTCATCCGCTTCTTGATCTCCCTCGGTGCCGACCATGATGCTGCGGATTCGCAAGGCATCACACCGCTTCACCTAGCTGCTAAGGAAGGCCATCACGATACTTGCAAGTACCTGATCAGCTACGACGCTGGGGTGTCCCTAATCGGCAGCCCGGATGGTAATTCACCGCTCCACGGTGCGGCAGCACGAGGTCATCATCGAGTAGCAGAGCTCCTCCTCGCAGCTGGCGCCCCCCTGTACCAACACAACATCCACGGCGAGGCCCCAATCCACCGCGCAGTACGGTACACGCGCGAATCAGTCGTCAGACTCTTTCTCGCAAAAGACACAAGAGGCCTCCTGAACAAAACGCTATGCGGCGCCGGACAACCACTTCTAACTTATGCCTTCGACTCCCGCAAATCCCCACCAGTGTCACTCCTGTCAATGCTCATCGAGCACGGCGCCGACATCAATTACGCCTCCTATAACAACGGCCAAACCCCCCTCTTTCGTGCCGCCGCCGCTAGAACCACAGACGCATTGGCCCTCTTCATCGAGAAAGGAGCAAACGTGAACGCAACAGACTTCTGCAAAGCGACCGCCCTCCACGAGGCCGCCTCCTCCGGCCGGATCCCTGCGATCGAGATGCTCATTAAAAACTTCGCCTCGGTCGACGCCAAAGACCGCGAGAAGCAAACACCACTCTACTACGCCGTTGAGCATGGCCAGGAGGATGTAGTCCGCAAGCTCCTCGAACACGGCGCCGACATCAACATCAAGGACAGGGTCGGCATGTCCCCGCTCAGCCGTGCGTGCGCACAGTGCGCGGTTCATATAAATGTCGACATGGTTCAACTGTTGATAGAGAATGGTGCGGATGTGAGGAGCAAGGATGAAGATGGAATGACGCCGCTGCATCATGCCTGCAGAGAGGGACATGAGGAGGTGGTTAGGCGGCTGCTCAAGGCCGGGGCCAGCGCCAAAGCGATGGACAAGCGTGGCGAGAATGCGCTGGCTGTTGCCTGGTCGTTCCAGAAGCTGAATATTGTGAATTTACTGAGGATGAATATGGGCATGATTGCGTGCTAGAGGGGGGATTGTCTTCTTGAGACGCATGCGGGCTGCGGTTTCTTTTGTGGATCTAGACGGTGTTCTGGAGCCCGGGGGGGGGGAGGGGGGTGGGGCGGTGGCGTTGTTTGTCTTGTCTTGTCTTGTCTTGTCTTGCCTTGCTATTTCTTAAGTCACGGTGGTGTTTTGACTTTTTCTGGGGGGGGGGGGGGGGGGTTGCGTATACCATGATTCATTGTTCTGATGGGTCTTTCTGCTATATCTGTAATTCATACCGCAGATAGACGCTTTACATGTTTGTTTGTTTTTCATTGCTCAGCGTGGATAGTTAGGGGGAAAGGAAGAGAAACTCTACTCATCTATGGCTGAGATCGGAGGGGTGAGCGGGAATTGTATTTACAAGTGAATGATACACTATGGGCAAGGCCGTAGCTTGACTGTCTACTGCTCATAGGTACCTATTCAGCCAGGTGGAAGTGGTGACAATAGCAGTACAATAGCACATACTTCTACATACGTTCTAGAACGAATGGCTCGTCTTGTAATGAATGGCTTGTCTGAGAATGAATGGCTTGTCTGAGAATGAATGGCTCGCCTCAGAATGAATGGCTCTTCTTGGAATCAATAGCTCGTCTTAGAATGTATCGCAATTATGTAGGTAGCCCATCAATAACTATGCCGACGATTCCGAAATACATACCAGTTACCATGCCATGGTCCAGAGGCGCATAAAAATCCATTTCAGCAAGTTCACCCCGCTGTACCCATCGGTTGACAAGCAAACAAACAAACTACGGAAGTAATACTATTTAGTAGCAGATAAAATATCCAAACCAACCTCGCTGATTACCGGTATATCACGAAGTGGGTGAAAACATTGATTGATACATAATCCATATGGCATTAGTAGAGCCCGCAAGTTATTGCCGGTAGATGGCAATAAAGCTTTTGTGAAGAATCCTCACAAATACTCCCATAAACGGGGAAGAGATTGTCGGCGACTTGGAGTTCTTTTGACAGTTAGAAATCCATTATCCCGCCTCTCTTGGGCGAGTGATGATGCCGGATGCTGCGTACCTAACTAGTTTACTCTTGATACTACATAAAGGCAAAGGGCCGACCGACAACGCGATTCAAGTTCGATTCTCGTAGCTGGCAAATTCCGCCCGGAGACGAAAGCGAGCTCTTTCAATCTACTATTCACATAGAAGTAGAATTATTCCGTCCTATTTGTTTTCTCGCGAGGGTTGAGACAACTCGGCAGGTACTCTACGAACATACCGCGTTCGCTGCGGCTGGATCTGCGCACCGATGGTCTTCTCGCCGTGCATATTTGCTTTTTTCAGATTCGCTCTTTCGCCCGCTAGTCCCAGCAGCCAGGGTGTCTCACTGGGGAACCAAGAAGAAGAAGGCCCATCTTGTCGACGTGGCACTGTTGGTTGGCTGGCTGGCGGGGCTGCGCGTCTTCCCCCGATCGGCGGGTATGTATAAAGACCCTTAAGTCCTGTAGATGCGTAAGTACCGCATCCCGATTCACCGAGCCAGCTGATCACACGTCACGCGGCACGCGGCATCACTCGTTTCTCCAAAACAATGCGGTTCACACCCACACTCTTCCTACTGGTGGTTCCGGCGGCCGTCGTGCTGGCGGCAGACACAGGGATAGACTTCACCTACAACCCCGCCAACCGCGGCCTCGCCTACGAGTGCTCCAGCCTCCCCTGCCACTCCGGCTACCCCGCAACGTATGGCGGGTGCGCCGTCGTGAACACGACGGGGATTGTGTGGTGCTGCCCCGCGAACCAGTACTTCCCCCCCTTCCCCCGCCCCCCTCTCACCACCCCTACTAACTCTCGGGCACCTAGTACAACCTGCTGGCGCTACGGCGCCGCCTCCTCATCCTGCACTTCACAAACCCAGAACCAAAAGCAGTGCAAGCGCGACGACTACTCGTGGTGCTGCGACGCGCAGCTCGAGTACTGCGACACAAAGAACGGCATATGCCTGCCCAACCCAGAGGTCTTTGCGAATCCGCTCGTGGACGGCGCGCCTAAGAGCGCGTTTACTAGCGCTTTCACGGTGGGCGTTGGCGCGCTGGCGACAGAGACTGGGATAGAGACGGCTACGATTACGGAGACCGGGAATGGGGCTGGGGCTGCGACCGCGACCGCGACTGGGACGGGGACGGGGACGGGGAGGATTAGCGGGACTGGGACTGGGACGGCCGGTGCGACTGGTGGGACCGCGACTGGTGGGACTGGGACAGGTGCGGCGGTGCCGGTCGAAACGGCTGTGGTGGGACGGAGCAGCGGGGGAATGTCGAAGGCGGCGGTCGTGGGCGTGGGTGTGGGTGTGACGATGGCCGTCATGGCCGTTGGTGCTATCGGCTGGTATTTTGGACGGCAGTGGCAGCGGAGGGCAATGTACCGTGAGGATGCGGGCGAGAAAATGTTGGTGAAGCCGCAGCGGTGATGGGAGCGTGTGCTATCAGGGAGTACATAGAGTAGATATCGGTTACGCGAAAGCTAAGGCGCTGAATCTTTGGCTACTAGTAGCCCTATCTGACGAATAGTTTGGCGCGAGTGATCGACCGTGAGGTCTCTGATAACTTAACCCGTCTGCATTCAATTGCAGCTCTGAGACGCAAATTTACGATGTATACTGATATAAAGATTCTTACGTAGCTAAAGTTTGAAGAAAATCGTGGCTGCGGGGTGGTTATGTCACCGCATCATTAGATCATGATGTTTGGTAGGTTGACTAGTACAAGACCTTCTCAAATCCGATCGGGTGATGTTGCAGAAACCACGAGACATCTCAAGCCTCATTAACGAGTCTCGCCTTAGGGTCTGCAGCACTGGACAAGGACTAGATAGAAACAACAGGGTGGTACCTCTGTTTTAAAAGGCGTGGGGTGATATACGAGATAATCCAGTGCGATTGTATGATCCTAGGCAGCACTCGGTTCCGTTGCGTTCGGACGAGCCGTCTGTGCAGTCATATCTTGGGCCTTGCAAGTGGTTGACAATGGATTGGGAAGCTGGTTAATTGTTCCAGCTCGGAGACATGCAAAGATCCATAATTATGTATGTACAGATTTTTTTAAGGATCTAGGTATGCCGGGCTGGACTGGGCTGTGTGCGATCCGGTATACACCACACAACCATGGGCGATGATGGCAGTGCCGTAGGTATACGCCTGTGGCTAGCACTGGCTGCTATGTACGTAGGATAAATATCGCTTGAAGAACTGGTACGTACCTCGTAATTTACCTTCCGGGAGAAAAACTTCCCCCCGTTACCACGTCCTCTTCGGACAGCGGGATCACTGCGGTTCCCCACATAAGTGTAATTACCGGGATATCTATGCTTGCACCTCTATCTGACTCCTGCGGTCTAAGTTATGGAGCAATATCCCCGAGTCACTCGCTAGAGTACCGAGAGGCGCTCACGCTTTTGGAAGAGGTAGTTTTCTACCTATTATCTGGTTATCGATACACTCGAGTTGCTGACTACGCTCTCTGCATATAATTTGATCACTTGTAAGCCACCGCCGGCCCAAATCGATGCAATCAAATCCAGAAGAAAAAGTTTATATTATCATTAAATCCTCCGCTAGTAACCATCCGCCAACTGCTTTCCATCCCGAATGCAACGAAAAGCATCTCTCAATACACATTACAGGCCGCACCCCTCTCTCTCTCCGTCAACTCATGCCAGACTTTTCACTAGAAGTACAAATTCCCAGCCAGCCAATCCGGACCGTCTCATGCGTGCCAACCGCTTAGTAGGTGGCGCCGTGCTTGTAGCTGTCATCGGAGTGATCGTGCTTGGAGCCGTTCTCGTGCTCGTGCTCGTACTCGTCATCGGAGTGGTCGTCGTGGTCGTGCTCGTACTCGTCGTCGTGCTTAGGGGCAACGTAGGTCTTCTTGGGCTCGACGTAGGTCTTCTTAGGAGCGACGTAGGTCTTGGTGTCCTTGTACTGGGGAGTGTACGAGGTCTTCTTGGGCTCGACGTAGGCCTTCTTGGGAGCCTCGTAGTGGCCGTTCTTGCTGGGCGCGACGTAGGTGTTGCGGGAGTCGTCGTAGTAGTGGTCGTCCTTCTTGGGCGCAACGTAGGTCTTCTTGGGAGCGACGTAAGTCTTCTTGGGGGCCTCGTAGTAGTGATCCTTCTTGGGGGCGACGTAGGTCTTCTTGGGAGCCTCGTAGTAGTGGTCCTTCTTGGGGGCGACGTAAGTCTTCTTGGGCGCCTCATAGTAGCTGTTCTTGCTGGGGGCGACGTAGGTCTTCTTGGGGGCGACGTAGGTGTGCTTGTTATCGTCGTAGTAGTGGTCGTCCTTCTTGGGGGCAACGTAGGTCTTCTTGGGAGCGACGTAAGTCTTCTTGGGAGCCTCGTAGTAGTGGTCCTTCTTGGGGGTGACGTAGGTGTTCTTGGAATCGTCGTAGTAGTGGTCGTCCTTCTTGGGGGCAACGTAGGTCTTCTTGGGAGCGACGTAAGTCTTCTTGGGAGCCTCGTAGTAGTGGTCCTTCTTGGGGGCGACGTAGGTGTTCTTGGAATCGTCGTAGTAGTGGTCGTCCTTCTTGGGGGCAACGTAGGTCTTCTTGGGAGCGACGTAGGTGTGCTTGTTATCGTCGTAGTAGTGGTCGTCCTTCTTGGGAGCAACGTAGGTCTTCTTGGGAGCCTCGTACTTGTGCTCGACGGCCTTGGGCTTCTCGTAGTAGTCGTTGTGGGCAACGGGGTTGGCGGCGACGAATCCGACGGCCGCGGAGGTCAGGAAGAGAATGGTAGAAGTGCGCATTTTGATGGTTGTGTGGTGGCTGGTTTGGTGATTAGGGATTATTGGAGGATGAAGGTATTAAGATATGAAGATGAGGAAAGATGCTGAGATGCTGTAGGAAGATGATGATGAACGATTGAGTTGATGAGGTTTGATTGAGGTGGACTGGCAGAGTCCTTATATACCAACCCCACTGCGGGCCCTTTCCATGAAGCCCGTCCCAGGGGATCTCGATTGTTGCCCGCAGTCGGTAGTCAGGCCGCCATGCGAGATCGCATGACACAGCGGATTGACCAAAGAGTGGAGTATTCAAGCGAAGGCTGAGGTCTCGTTGGGAAGGCGAGCGCCTCGCTGGCCGAATCGGCATTTCTTTTTTTCTTTTCCCGCCAGCGTGCATAGTGAAGCCCATGGCCGAAAAGAAAAGGGGGAGGCCGCATGCAGGATCAAGGGATTTGAGGATCCCAATTCTAAGGTTTCTCGGCCTAGCTGACGATCGTGAACGTTCATAGGTGCGGATTTCAGCCCTGTGCCATTAATAACCGCTACGAGTGGCTCTGGTACCTTTTTCCCGCATGGGCAAGGGTGGGGGTGATCGGGCCGCTCCATGCAGGAAGAGCTTGTCTGTTGGACCAATTTCCCCCACAGCGACGCTTGATTCGCGGAGAAGCGAGCGAGCCAATCATGACCCAGCAATCTGCAATTAGACTCGGTGCCAGTACCAATGCCAGTGTTGTTAGACTTCTTCAGACTCGGGTATGCTTATGGGGGGAGAACGAGCGCGACTCTTCGTGCTCGCCTATTTGCGGAGAAGCAATGGCCATACGGTGCGAATGGAATGCCGTAAAAATCACCACCGTGTGTGCTGGTAGGATCATGCTCTGTGCGCGCGCTCCCAGAATAGAGTAGAGAGGGCGGACGCCGTACGGTGTCACTCGAGAATAATGCGCAAATCGTATGAATGCCGACGTCCTGGCCAATGCTTCAGGGGTTCATTTTGGGGGCCATTGCACTTCCTTCTTTTGAGGATTTTTTCTTTTTTCTTTTCCTTTTGTGAGATCGCGGGAGGCTGGGAGAGCTTCGGGTTGAGGGAGATAGATGGGCTCCGTACGACCGAGTATCGATACAAGTCCTTGTTCACGTCAATCGGATACGAACTGGTTGAGAAGCAGTGATGTTTTTTTCACTTGAATGTTGTCGTTCAAGGAATACGGTAGATATGCCTCTTCCCAGAGCATTCGACGAATAGATCCTCTTGAAACGCCACGCAGGAAGACCGCACCTATGTTTGGCTACATAGAGTACAGTGCCAGTACATTGGCGGACAAGCCCTCGGAACCCGGTCGGATATGTTGAGCTGAAAACGGGTGCCGGGCAGTTCATGCAAAGGCATTTCCACGGGGCGATGGCGAAGGCGCGAAGAGTCACTCGCGATCAGATCATCACCACTCCCGCTAAGCATAGCATTCCCGTAGCGTCCTCGTGCCGTAAGTAGCGCATAGTGAGTCCTCTAGGGATTCGAAGGACCAACACACTCGAGTCATACATAACTGCAACTCTTTTGAGGAAAACTAGTTGGTTAACTGCTCGTGTGTACTGATTCATGTCGAACCGAAGGTCTTTCGCGAGGTGTATCTGCATATAACTCCGCAGTGCTCTCCGTGCCGAGGGCAGCGGCAATTCCTTTGATTTCGGTACTCCTTGGATTCCGTTCTCCGGCGTTTCAGCTCCCTCTTGGCTCCACGATGCCGAGTACTCTACCTAGAGTAGGTAGGTACTCAACTGCTGGTTTGGCTATCAATATCTCCAAGTATTTTTAGCCAAGTACTCTAGATGCTGCTCGGGACTCGGGAGTTGGAAGAAAGTGCTGGTACTATAGCGGGACAGTGACTGATTGACGAAGAAGTGGAGAAGTGCGAGTAGCCACGAGACCACCGGTCCGAAAGGGCAAAGACGTGTTGGTACCGGAGGACAGTTACTAAGGAGCCTCATAGGTTCCGCCTCTCTCCACCTCCACTTCAGCCCCATTCAGCCCTGAAGCGTTGGCCACTGCACATGGACGTGGGTTCGTGGCTTCCATTGAGCGGCATACAGTCGGCCTGCGCGGTTTACCTGCATACAAAGCAGCAACGGCCGCCTGAACGATATCCCTCCCCCTTTTATGATGCCGGGCGCCTTTTCAGCCCGTCAGCCGGACATGAGTCCATTTGCTAGCGCCGAGGACCTGTACCGATATCGTATCGCCAGCTGAGGTCGGTTGCCGCTTCAAGCCAGTGGGGGATCTTTCCGAGTGACAGCGCACGAGTGTTGGGGTCCGCCGCCGGCGCCGCCACGTGACCATTGGAGGGATGCGGCGGCGGGGGTGTGATGTTTGGGCGGCGGCGGTCCGGGCGCACCTCCCAAGAGAATGGAGATCCGTAAAGTGTCTTTGCAATTAGTGTATTGTCGCATGCGGCCTTGTTGGGTAGATCAGTGCCGCTTTAACGGTGGGGATGTTGGTGAGTGTTGAACAGTGCGGTGTGATAGATACTCTACATGTGACCTATGACGGTAGTTGCAGGTTGGCCGATGGCCAATTCGTTCGCTATGGAGCCCGCAACTTACAGCCGGTCTCTGGAGGTATCCAGAGGTATCCATGGCACAATAAAGCTTTGGTGAAGCTCCACAATACCCCACATCTAAACAGAGAAACACAAATGACTCTGAAATCCTTCAACCTCGCAATAAATACTTGGTATTTTGAAAAGGAGGTTGGGTTTGTTGTTGAGGCGTTTTACTAGTGATGGTCTCCGTAGTTATGTAGCCCTGTCGAGTACCTACTCTAGTTACCGCCACCCCGTACTTTAGTTAACCTTCTTCCCACTCGGTAGCTAACTCTGATGATCCTCTCGGTAACCCTCAACATTACTAGTCTAGCGTAGTGCGCACGGCTGGATGTTGCTCTTGCTTAGCTGTCCAGTGTCATGTTGATGCCCTCGTCTGATGAATTGCACCAGGATGGGTATTCTCGGCTCGAAAGGGCGGGGTGGCAAATTGCTCAAGTCTTGGTTCGTCGGGTTCAGGGGAGGGCGAAGTGTTGGGGATCTCGGGGATCTCTCCAGGAGTTCGCTCTCGCTCTCTTCTTTTCATCGCCATCTCGCCAGTTGCCCCCAGCACGCTGATAGGATTCACGAAGAGAAAAAAAAAACAAGAGAAAAAAGCCTCTACATTCATCTCCTTATTGCTACATACCTACTGCACCGCTTGTCTCTGCCTACTCTTCCCTTCGGCACTCCCCGAGTCCCCCCCCTCTGGCCACTTCGACGTTTTGCTGATGATTCGAGACGGGTTGTGGCGAGTTTGCGGCCGTGATAGTGGTTAGTTATCGTTGCCAGATTTCTACTTGCACCCTATGGGCATAGGTGCTTCTGCTCTTCGACCGTTATTGAGATTCACTGATTTGTTCGATTGATCATACCTACAGCTAGATACAGAAACTCACAACATTCGCTCCGAACACCAAAACCTTCACTTCCCATTACAATTTACTCTGAGTCCTTCCCCCTCACAGCTGCTACCCCCGCTTCCCCAGCATTCCACACAACGCTTGTTCCCAAAACCACATCGGCTGCTACCGCACCGACATTCCCCGTAGCCTCCCTCCCCTGATCCACCAGCTTCTTCGCTTCCTGTCCGTGTTCGTGCTCGACGACCGTGCTCGTGCCCTTCCCCACCGCCGAAGAGACGCGGGCCACACTATTCACCGTCAGTACTATGCTTCGACCTGTTCTACAACCAGGAGGGAGCCAACCTATCCGTAACGCTCTCGGCGACAACAACCACGCCCTCAGCAGCACCCTTAGCACTCTCTGCGACAATCCCGTTTTCCTCCCCCTTCTTCTTCTCCGGCATCATGCCGCCGACCCACTCACCAACGCTCTCGGCGGCACCACTGATAGCCCTCCCGACCATCCCCGTGACCTCCGCAGCCTTCGCGGTCCCCGCCACCATGCCCTTGGCGACCTTCCCCGTCGTCTCGGAGACCTTTGTCTCCTCTCCAGGCTCTACCTGCTCACGCTGTTCAACCCGTTCCTGCGCATATCCCTTAACCCTTTCCGCCACCCCCGTGGCGGAATCCCTCAGCGCGCCCGCCACATCGTCCGCATCCGCCTCGAGCCCCGTAGTGAGGTATCCGTACTGGACCAGCAGCTCCTCGAGCCGCAGAGCGAGCGCATCGTTCTCCGCGCCCGGCGGAATCGCGATCTCGATTGCCGCGACGGAGTTGGATGGCTCCAGCGCGGACGGAGCCGGCAAGATGCATGTGAACAGGTAGGTCTGCGGGTTGGCCACGGAGGTGCCCACCGTTGAGGCGTGGTCGAGAGGCAGCGCGAGCGTCGCCCCGACGGTTAGCAACAGCCGGCAGTTGGACGTCGGCGGCGGCAGCAGCGTGAGCATCCCCGTGCAGAGTGGCAGACGTGAGGTGCCGATCAGCTGCGTGGCTTTGACGGAGTCGATCTGGAGTAGTGGTGTGGGAGTCGTCATGGTGGGCTGTAGGTGGGAATGGAATCTGGGGGATGTGATGGATCTTCGGAATATAGTTTATGTGGTTATCCTTCATTAAAAGTGGGAGATCATCCTGCTCTTGTAGTGTAGAGTGGAGTACGTAGGTACGCCGTCGTCCCGTGTCCAGTGTCCACTCCATGGATCTCGTCAGGCCGTTCGTTCGTTCGTGGGCTTCGCCAGACGATGATGTCATAAAAACCTGAACAGGGTGGGCCCTGCCAAGCGTGACCATCATAGCGCCGTCGATCGTGATTCGTGAATCGTGATCATCCGGTACTACTGGTACTCCACATACGAACACTCGGTACGGCAGGTACTTCCCACACACAAAAAAAAAACCGGAACCTGCATTATGATGATCCGCGAAAGCTCATCAGAGAACCCTTTCGAAGCTCGAACGCCGAGATGGAATTCTGCGATGTCATGGCGCAGAATCCCATCTCCTCATCACCCCACCTCCGCCCCACTCCCCTCTCCCTCCCCTCTCCCTCCCAGGTGGAGACGCGACATGCGTGGAAAATGCATACCTACTAAGACGAAATTCAATGGGCCTTGGATTCTGGACCCTGCTTTTTCGGAGTCCGGACTGCCTGTATGTAGAGTGAGTCCACGACGAGTGCGCTATGTACGTAGGTACCTACTGGTACTACCGGCCGAGATCCAGATCACTCGGTCCCCTCAAACGGTCTGTAAAGCTTCGTAAGTATGCACTGAATGTACCCCTTCTAACACCTAGTTGGCGGCGGCGGTGGAAACACCGATCCGACACTCACGGTAAAATCTGTGGGTGCACGAGGGAGAATGACACATGGCGGCCGATACAATGAATACTCGTGTACTCTATACCTGTGCTTGAGGAGGGAGCGGGTGAAGTACCTAGACTCTCATTAGGCATGAGGTTGGTAACCTCGAATTGAATCGTGTCCGATGGGGAAAACGTGCTTGTGCTAATGAAAGTTACATATTTTTTTCTATCTAATCATTCTTATGGGTCGCAACAAAATAACAAACAGATATCGAGGAAAAAACGCCAGCAATGGAAGTCTACATGGTAAGATATCAATGAAAACAGTAGACCAAGTCTCGTCGAAGTCGCGCAGGCGCCCTCACCACCGGGAGACAGCAGGTCGACGACGTATGGGCAACGCTCTACGAGAAGCTCCCTACGGAGATGGTAGATTTCTTCATAACACCCCTGACCATTACTGATGGCAAACAGCACGGGGTTCTTGAAGACGCTGGTAAGGGAATTCCGGTTAGCCGAGTCTGAGCATGAGGGCGGGGTGTGATTCTTACTCGGCCTTGAACTCTGGGCCTTTCATGGTTGCCCGTGGCTGCCGTGGCTACCGCTTCTTTGAGGCATTGGACGGCTGCTTGGGAATCTTGGGAGCTTTCTCTGCTCGAGACATCTTGAAGGTGTGTTGGAAGTGTATGGTTGGTGGAGAGAGAGGTAGAGTGTGTGCGTAGGCTTGCGGAGGACCAGAGAGAGATTGTCTGTGTGTCGGTTGGTGGAGAGAGAGAGGGAGGGAGGAAGAGAGAGAGAGAAGATAAATGTATCGCGGCAAAGGATCGGCGAAAATGAAGATTGGATGAGAATTTGAGACGTTGAGAAGTTGAGACATTGAGAAGTTGAGACATTGAGAAGTTGAGACATTGAGAAGTTGAGACATTGAGAAGTTGAGGTTCTATTCAACTTCAATGAGCTCTCTGCATGATACATCCAACGTTCTATGCAACCCAATCCAGCTAGTGTGGCCATGATCCGACTAGCCACTCCTCCTATGTTATCTGATCACCATATAGATCTATCCTGTATGTAAGTTCACAACGAGGGCCCTATGCACTGGTACGTACTACATACCGGCCGAGATCCAGATGACTCGATCCACTCAATCGGTAGAAAGTATGTAAAGCTTCCTAGGCACTGAATGTAACCCTTCCATGTCTCTTATTTACAGCACTCTTCTCTATCTCCCCCTCTCTCTCTCTCTATATATATATATATATATATCTCTACCATCTCGCAGGATTACAACTACCGCTCTTTATAAGCCCACCTGGTTTGGACGAAGAAAAAGAAACCCATACACCAAAACAAGTACGCCTTCCAAACCGTCCATAAAAAATGAGTGTGTCGAAGCAAATGTCCCCCAGAATCCCGCTGCGTAAGTATCGTATCCCATCGTAGCACTGTTCACAGAAAGAGCAAAGCCGCCGCCGCTGCTGTTGCTGCCACAGCGACTCCGGCGACATGGTCTCGGGGAGAACGTGATGATGCCGCAGAGTCCACCGTGATCACCGAGGTGTTCGCGAAGCCCGGACCGCAAGCTACACATTGTCAGCTGGGTGCATCGATAGTTAGAGCGTAAGATGGAGGCAACGAACCCATATTCAACTGTTCCGATGCCGGAATATACGTCTGGCTGACCGGCTGGGTTGTGTTTCCCGCCGATGCACCAAAGATCTTCATCGTTTCGGCTAGACACTCGGAGCATCTGCATTTCGTCAGTGACTGACGACTCCGTTTACACCTCACTCCCTCATCCGGAGATAACTCACGTTGGCCGGGCACCACCGGGTAATCTGGTCCCAAGCGGCAGCGAGTAGATAAACAGATCCTCGGGACTCGACGTGTTCGTGACAGCATCCACAAAACAGTAGTCCCCATCCTTAGCCTTCAGGCAGCCCGCTGAATACAGTGGTCTGTACGCTACCAGTGCGGTGAAGACGTTCACAACCACCGGGTTTCCCTTGTTGAAATCGTCTTTGCAAAAGCTCTCTTTGCGCAGTTGGCCACCATAGGTTTCCATCACCGCGGTACATGCATTGAGATCCACGTTGCAGACTCGGTCCATGAGTGCGGTTGTGGCGAAAGCGCCCTTTGACATGATGTCGAAGAAACCGAGAGAATCCTATAGGATTTAGTTATGGGAAAGACACGAAAAGCCGTGAGGTGGGAGGACATACCCGTAGGAGACCGGAGAGCGGTATGCAGCCCTGGAAATTGGGATCCGAAAGGACATATGTGAGGAATTCCGCGCAATCGGCCGTCATATTGAGTGGAGTGAGTGAGATACTGTCGAAAGGTACCGGAATCTCAGTTGGACCGGCGGCATCGGTTACAACTGCAGTGGAAATTTCAGTGGTCGTGGTGTCAGCCTTGGTTGTGGAGCCAGCCGTAGTCGTGGGGATAGCCGTAGTCGTGGTCGAGATGATGCTGGTGCGTCCACTCAGACTCATGTCTGTACTCGTCTTCGTCGGTGTCGTTGTAGTTGTCGTAGTGACGGTGGTCGTCGTCGAGAACGGGAGATCGACGGATGTGTGGTGCAGGGTATCTGCTCGTCGAACCAACCGTTCGACTTTGAGATGTGCCCGGGTGTCCGCATCTCTCCACCGCCCGAGACCAATTTCCGCCTCGCCCGTCCCATCCCCTGCCACGACGCCCAGAACAAAGGTCGCCAAAACCACCAGCACCAGATAAAGGCGAAGAGTGGACGTTAAAGAGTGTCGTATAGGTCGAAATGAATGTTTTGCTGTTGCTTCCCGTCGCCGTCGTCGATGCGCATGCTCCTCAATATCGCGACATCCTCCACGGTTCCCACAGTTCCGGGCTATCATCGTCCACGAGGGGGGGGGGCAGTGTTATGGTCGCCGAGTCGACGTCCACTGCATGATCCAAGCGAAGGCCGTCGAAGTGATGCCACAGAATAGTTAACAGCACACGCAGTGGGGCAGCAACAGCGATATCGTAGAGTAAGGCGGCGAGGGCAGGTTGACGGAAACACAAGGAAAAGGGCGTGGGAACACTGGGATAATAAAGACTGACACCCAACAATGTACGCAGTTAATTAAGACCCCCTATAGACATCAGACTCCTACAGCGCGGCGCACCCCCCACAGCGGTTCGGTTCTTGCACATGTTGTATACGGGTATTACCGACCAGGAAGGTGCCCAGATTCAGGAGCCTGAGAGACCACCAACAGGGGTTATGGTGTCCGCACTGCGCAGCCCGAAAATAATAAAGTTGACAGAGATGGATGATGGATACCGATCGCCGTTACAAATCCGAATTGGACCGTTTTCAAACGGCTTTTTGCTCAGTGGACCAGCGCCACAGTTCCAACTGCGCAGGTAATTATCCTCGCGCTGAAGCCTGAGGGGAAGAGAAGTGCTGTTCTCGCCTCATCGTGCGACTCTATGCCAGGTACGACTCCATCCATCCCTTAGGCGCGTGCGCCATGTTTGCTACGCCTCCTGAGCCGTAACTATCCCCGAAAGGAGGACTGAAACCGCCAGCGACAGAAGAGATCGAAAGCCACAGCCGCCAAGTCCGTGCGCCGGAGCAGCTTGTCACTCGACCTATCAGAGAGTTCACTTGTTACCGTACTCGGTTTGCGTCGCCGCGGCCTTTTCGTCTGGACCTCCGTTTACCCACTCAGGCACGAATACCTGTGATCGGGATAACTACATACGGCGGTGGTAGGGGGCGGATCTGAAGCGAGAGCTGCACCAGGACACATGGGAAGCGATTTCCAGGAAATTCCGATGGCCGTAGACAGAGAAGGAAGCTGCAGCACATCCCGATGGAGCCACGCGGCTTTCGACATTCGGTATGCGGAATAGTTAAACCTGAATATTGTGTTACTCCAAAATTAGAACCGAAGTCCCACGGCTGAACAGTGAAGGTCAAGGAGCCTCGGAAGAAGTCCCTTCTGAAGAAAGTGTTTCCCCGCTTCAAGCGTATGGATCTTGTCGTTGTCAGCACAGGGCAAAAATAGGGACCTGCTCAACGTGATCTTCTCACATGACTATTGACGCGGCCTGCAACACCTAGGCTAATTGAAACCAGTGCAGTAAGCTCGTGGACCGACGACGGCAGGTATGCTGATTGTGCGGAATGTTGCTGCCTCGTATATACATAGCTCTTTGTCTTCACAGTATGTGCCTAAACATCTCCGTGTACGAGCTTTGATCCCCATCGCACCCTATCTCTCTGCTCGTTGGTTGTTGGCCTGCTGGCATTAAACCTGATATCAGCAACGACACATTATCAAAATATACGCTGGATATCCAAAAAGCGGGGCGCCGACGACGGGACGCGTCACGAGAGCTAGGTGCGATGGATGGTTCTTCGTCCTCTCGCAAGTTGAGTATCATTTCCCAGCTTTTCCCTGGAGCTGTCGCCGATTGATATATCCCGAGTGCTGCGAACCTATCGGCACACAATCCGAATGGCATTCCTCACAAGCGCGCACTCGGGCACTCAATCTGTCACCTCCGGCCCATGACTAGAAGTAACTAACGTCGCTTTCCGACAACCGGGCGATCGCTAATAAATTCCCACCTTCGTTTGTGGCACGGAACGGTCAGAAGCTTCTATTCGAAACGGCGCCAAGGTGTGGGATTTCCAAGGAGCTGGACCGCGGATGGGGATACATAAAACACGGATACGCGCCAGTTTGAATGTTCTGTTGTAGCGAAGTTAAGTTCCTTGAGATCCGGCGATTCGGCCCCCAAAGCTGGCGACTAAGTGGGGGGAGGGTGATAAGGTGGCGTATCCCCAAGTGCGCCCTATCTTGAGAGCTGTGGGGAATGTATGTAGATGTCTCGTGTGAGTACTCTGGGTTGTTTCGCTGATGGTGATCTTCCCCGCCGTCAGTCATCCGAGTCATCTGTCAATTGGCGCTGAGAGTCCATATCCGATTTATCCCGATCAACATTTGTGGTTCCTGCTTGAATGCACGAGTAGTATCTACCCAGGCATGTAGGTTACTGTGATGCAATCCATGCAGCCAGGATGATCGTCATCGGACATAGAATAACCTCGCCTATGTAGTTTGTGGATGCACACTGCACAGCGACCGTGTCAAAGGATGCAAGCGAAACGCGAGGTACCTTATCATGAACCCACGCCGAGTCCAGCGCCTTAGTCCAACGATCCTGCGGTCGGTCTTGAGAATGTCCACGTCGTCGTTTGAACCGTATCGGCCCCATTCCGTCCGTACGGCCACACACGCACGTTCGCCAGCGCTCCTCCCGGCAACGATAACAGCCATCCACACGCCAACTCCACATCTGCGTCAGATAACCCTCGCACTCGCGTCTCCACTCGTTTTCAAGCCCGGCCAGTGGATCGATCTGCACCTGCCGTCTATCCGACAACCAGGCGGCTTCACGATCATCACTCCTCCTTCACGCGAATCCACCTCGTTTGAGCTGTCAATCGGCCACGCGCCGCAAAATACCGCTGCGGCGTGGCTATGGCGCGAGCCCGCGGAGACACTGAGACAAGAGGTTGAAGTGCGGGTCGGCGGCGAGTTCGTGTTCCCGCCGGCTGGAGTACGGCGGGAGGATGTCGAACGGGTGGTCTTTGTGGCTGGCGGAGTAGGCGTCAATCCATTCCTGTCGATGATAGCGTGGGTTAGGGGCAAGGAGGCGCCGAAGGAGTGGGAAAACGTTGAGATGAAGTTTCTATGGAGTGGGAGAAAGGGACAGTGGGCGTATCTGGACAGGATTGAACGGGCGTGTGGGAGGGAGAGTGTGGAACTGTTCGAGACCGGTGAAGTTGTGGGAGAAACGACGGATTTGAAGGGATGGGAGGTGAATACGAGGAGACTGAATGTGAAAGATCTAGAGAGGGCAGTGGACGGCAAGAAGGTCCTGGCGTTTGTCTGTGGGCCGAAGGGGTTCACCGACTTCTGTGTTGACGCTCTGGTGCGAGACGTAGCTGTTCAGAAGGAGAGGGTGTTTTGCGAGAAGTGGTGGTAGTGGTAGTCGTTGGAAATAGGGGGCAATAGATCTTGAGCTGTGAGTACCATTTTCTACAAACGGCCGCATGCGTGGTGATCAAAAACAGAACCAAAACGATGGCTTTGTTCCTGTAGAACTGCTCTGCTGTCGTGTTACGCGAGTGACCATACATGACCGTACTAACTACGTCAGCGGCTCCGATGCAAACATTTTCTGCAGGTCGAATTCCTAGTTTAACGCGCCCCTCCCAATGCTTCTCCGACTTCCCCTCCGCGGGACACAATGCCTTTCCCGGCGGCGTTTCACGACACTTGCGATCGAATCCTCCTGGTTGGTCTCCCTTCTCTTACCGACGATTGACCGGCTAACCCTCCCCAAAGCGATGACACCTCCGTGGCAATCCTACACACACCCCACCATTCGTCGACACAGGCCAGTCTCTGCTTCCATGAGACGATCACGTCAGCCAACCGGGCCACCGGCGGAATCCATCCGATTCTCTCTCTGACCTCGCACCGGCGGCACCTCGCCGCGCTCGTCCAACGCGCCGTATCCGCGCTCCCGGCCGGCGTCGACAAACCGGACCTGATCGCCGTCACGCGCGGCCCCGGAATGGTTTCCTCGCTGGCGGTAGGTTTGGACATGGCGAAGGGACTCGCCGTGGCCTGGGGCCGGCCGCTGATCGGCGTTAACCACATGCTAGCGCACGCGCTTACGCCACGGTTGATCGAGCGGCTGGGAGAGGGAAGCGGTGCGGAGTTTCCGTTCTTGACGCTGCTGGTGAGCGGCGGACATACGATGCTGTTGCACTCGCACGCGTTGACGGAACATACCGTCATCGCGGGGAGTATAGATATCGCCGTCGGGGATATGGTGGATAAAGTTGCCAGGCGCATACTGCCGCCTGATGTGCTGGAGATGCAGGGTGAGGCCGTGGCTTATGGCAAGGTGCTAGAGGAGTTTTGTTTTCCACGAGGAGAGGAGGATTGGCGTTACTCCCCGCCGGGGACTACGGAGAGAAAGGCGGAGAATAGAACGAAGCACGAAAGATGGGGGGGTTGGAAGATGGTTCCACCACTACAGTTGCACCCACGGCCGGATGCGTTCTCGTTTTCGGGATTAGGAAGCGCACTCGAGAGGTATATAGATGCAAACCCAGCGATTGAAGTGGAGGAGACGAAGGAGTTGGGGAGAGAGGCAATGATGATGGCGTTCGAACATGTTGCTGATAGGGCCGTGGCAACGCTCAAGTCACCGCAGGCCGAGGGAATAAAGAGTTTGGTCATAAGTGGTGGGGTTGCGAGCAACCGCTTCTTGAGATACTTAATCAGGAGGTATCTGGATCAGGCTGGATTCGAGCATGTGCAGCTGGTGTGTCCGCCAGTGAAGTATTGCACTGACAATGCGGCCATGATTGCGTGGGCGGGATTGGAGTTGTGGAAGGCTGGGTGGCACACTGATTTGGGGGTGTTGCCGATTCGGAGGTGGAGTCTGGATAATTCTGTTGAGTGTGAAGATCCGGGCGAAAGGGGTCCCGAGCAGAAGGGCGGTGTTTTGGGTGTGTCCGGGTGGATGAAGAGAGATCTCACTGATTTCCAGTAGTGGAGAGGTTTGCACATATACCTAGAATAGATAGAACCTGCATCATATCTACATACAAAGGGTTAGAAGAGGGCTATGTAGTGCCGAATGAATACAGAAAAATCATATGGGAAACCTCCCGCTCGCACAATATACAGGATGTATAATTTTCCCATCGCTGCGGTCAGTACTCCAGATGCTCATCTATCACTCGCCCTTGTACATGCCTCAAAGATGTATGGTTCAAAGAAGTCGGGGAGAACTTGCCAGATGGCTCTTTGAAGTTGGATAGAACCCCAAATTCTCATTCATCTTCTTTTTCGCCGATCCTTTACTGGACCACGTTATCTTCTCTCTTTCTCTTCCTCTCTCTCTCTCTTTCTCTCCACCAACCAACACACACACACAATCTCTCTCTCCCTCCGCAAGCCTACAAACACTATCTCTTCTCCACAAACCTTACATCCGACCGACAAACCGTCACGATGCCTCACGCAGCCAAACTTTCGGATGGCGAGGAAGCCTCCGCGAATTCTGTCGCGATCCCGTCTCGTGCGAAGTCTTCGAGGCATTCGCGGGGTTCCTATATACCGGAACCTAGACGTTTCCTCAAGACGCCGCCAATCAGCTCCTGTTGCACGCGGAGCTAGCCATGTTTGCGGACAAGATGCGCGTGGCCGAGCTCAAGGACGCTGCAACGAGGAACCTACCTTCAGCGCTTCGCCGCCATGCCTGGGGAGCTGATTGGGAGGACGAGATTGTTTCGCTGTTGGCCTGGGTCTACGGGATGACCGAAGACGAGTACGCCGATGGAGAAGCGTGGCCAAGCCGCAAGGCCAGTCTCCGGGACATTTTCACGGTGAACTGCGCCATGAACATGGCTGCATTGTTGAAATGCACCGTCAAGAGGTTTGGGGAGTTGGCGCACACTCTTCTGTTGTGGTAGGCGAAAATGCTTCGTGAAGATGACTTAGATGCCGAGTGAGCTGAAACGAAAACCCCCGGTGTGCGTTATACTGATTTTGTGGCTACATGGGTAAATGGGTGGTGATCGAGGGAAACCACCTCACCTTTTTTTTTCTCTTTCAGTTCCATAGTTCGTCTATATATCATTTTGTTATTTTCCTTTTCATTGACTTTATTGGTTCATATTTCATCTGCTGATTCCTTGGGCTACTGTGCTCGTTAGTATCTTACCTACATGACTTCCATTGTTGGCGTTTCTAATTCTTCCTCCAATATCTATTTGGTATTTTGTTGCGGCCCAAAAGAATGATTAAATAGATAGAAAATTTACATACAAATGTCGGTGGCATGAGTACTTTTTCCCATCGAACACCATTCTATTCGAGGGTTCCAATCTCGCGCCTATATAATGAGTCTACTTCACCCACTTCCTCTTCAAGCACCGGTACACGAGTATTTATTGTATCGGCATGCATCATATGATCAAAAAGAGATGTCTTTCCTTGAGCAACCCACGCCTGAGGAACGAACCCCTATGTATGCGTATATGTAGTTCTTGTCACTCGATGGGTACAGAAGAACCAGTCCCACCAAACAAAACGAATCTTCCGATCCGCCAGCAGACTGCGAGACTCAAACCCGCCCTTCCCGGGGATACAAAAGAAAAACAAAAGAATAGATTGAAGTGACCACGGCAGGGATCGAACCTGCAATCTCTTGATTCGTAGTCAAGCGCCTTGCCATTGGGCCACGCGGCCAGTTATATGTGTCCTGTCACTCGGTGACAGCTGTGGCACAGTCTGACTCAACTCAACTCGCAATTTACTCGGGCAGCCTCCGTCACCAGGTCGGCGGAAGGGTAGGTTCGGCATAGATGAAACGGATCAGTCTCGGCACGCTCCGTGTGATCCAGAAAGTCGGACCGCCAGCCAGCCAGCCATAAGGACTCGGTCTGGGTGCTTGAAAGTTGAAACTCACCGGCTTTCGACCTTTCTCTCCATGGAGACGGCCGCTAACAGATGAGCAAACGCACTGTATACCGGTATCTGTCGCGGGATGCTGTCGATGTCCATAGTCCTTTCCAAGTTCCTGTCATAGTGTCAACGGTGGAGATGTACCACATGCGTCGGGTACAACCCGAAGGAGTAGTGGCGGAGCTGTGATTGTTGTCGGCGAGAGGAGGGGATGGAGTCGTCAAAGACGCAAGCGAAAGGCTCGAGGGAAGTGGAAGTATGATACAGTATGAACAGTATGTCAAGCACTGTCAACTCTCGTAAATTGAGTTCTGTTGGTCCTACGCACATGTATCTAGACCCACATAGTTTGTTGACGGCATCTTATGGTAGTCTTTTCGATGGCAGTTCACCTCGCTCGTCTCATCCCACCCTCATCAGACCTTCGTCTCAGCGATAGATACTGGTGCTGTTGGCGGTTGACGATTTCCGTCATCCTGAAGCATAACAGCAAACCGGACACCATATTTATGCACAACGCATAACCATCACCAACACCAGCACTAACTGGTAACCTCAGGCGCCAGCGCCTCCCTACAGCCGCGCAAAAAGAAGGATAAAAGAGGAAAAAAAGAATGAAGTGACCACGGCAGGGATCGAACCTGCAATCTCTTGATTCGTAGTCAAGCGCCTTGCCATTGGGCCACGCGGCCAGTTATATGTATTTCATCACAGGTAATGCTTGTTGAGCTTAATTTTGAATGAGAATAAGGCAATCTACCCGCGCATAGTAGTACGGTGTCATGTTCCAGCACTCGGCAGCACACATTCCACTCCCGCTATTACGCTATATATCGAACGTCAAGATCCAGAGAGAGATTCTTCCTACCTACCCGCACATATGCTAGCCGAGCCAACCGTGCTATGTACATGATACATAATCACTCGTCTCCTTGCGCATACCCACCTAGATAGTTCGAGCCACACCGCAATCAAACAGGCCGCGCGGCCAAAAAAAACCTCCCGGAATTAAACTCTTCCTGCTAATGGGGGTTGGCTATCATACCGTCAACTCTACTACCCGGCATAACCGTCTTGCCTCCTCTGGGTCCTTGCTGATGACTCGGATCGAAGGAACAATCTACTATATGTATGTGCGGTGCGGTATCAGGCCGCCCTGGTGTGGCGTTGCTGCCACCACCCCGGAGCGTGGGGTGCTGCTGCTCGCCCTGGATCCAGGGATGTTGGGTGTAAGACGATGTCTGCCTGCTCACGGACCGTCACTCGCATTGCTTCCCTACCTTAAGTGTGGCTTACATTTGAAGACACGGGCACCGTTAAACTCTAGCGCATCCAGCAGCAATAATACAAAAGTTCCATCGGCAGAACAGTATCCGATCCGGCTTCCGTGCCTGTAGAGTGGTTTCAACTTTCGGCGCCGTCACTGGCCGGCCAAGAGCGGAGATCAGTTCTCAAGACGGCCTGGTCGGCGGTCGCTACTAGCCACTGTAATATAGCTATATTAACGTATTATATATAACCTTGGCGGCCGGCCGGCATAGGGCGAGTGACTTTCCATGGTCACAGACGTGACGTTGGGGCCCTGCTAGATCAGGGAACTTGTAGTTGCGTAGTAGAGATTATTCCTTCCTGTAGTTGGAGGGAGCGGATGGGTAGTTGAGGTATGTAGAAATTGCTAGGTACTTCGTCGACACCACCGAGTGAGCGCCGGCGGGTGAGTCAGCAAGGATCCAGCAACGAATCCATGGACCATGGATAATTGCCGGCAGAGAGTCCGAGCCTTAAAGCTACCCACTTAGCAATTGTGATCGTTCGATCTGGAGAGGTGGGTAGGTAGGATCAGCACCTAACTAATAAACACCCGGAGGCTAGATATGTAGATCCCGAGTTAGGCTTCCAAACTCCGGAAAACTCCTGCCCCGGCCCCCGATGCATTCGAACAGAACTTCTGTGAAGTTCTGGCGTCTGGACTCCGGAGACGCCTACACAACGAAACTGACTGTTCTTACTTTTTCTTTCTCTTTCGTTCGAGGATTCGTATGAAATGCTTCCATGGAGTCATGGTGCCGCTAGTGGTCCAAAAATAATTACGGGAGCTGGGCTGCTGGGGATGGGGACCTGGCAGTGGGGCATCGATTGAGCCGGGGAAGACCCTGCTCCTCCCACTGCTTCCAGTGCCCAGTGTCAAGTTCCCAGTGCCCACCCACCTTATGCCTTCCGCATGCCTTGAACCACGGTTTGAACTTTGAGGTGAAGGGAAACATTACATACGACCGGCTCGAACTCTCCTCCGACAAGAGTTACCTACATATGGTGGACGGCGCGCGCACTGGACAGTAGGTAAGTCATCTTTGCATCCGGCTAATACCGTAGGTATCCCTTCATCCCATCCATCGTGTACCATGTAGAGTACTCTACATTGGTAGACCTGAGTGGCGGGAGGCTCGAGAAATCTGTACATACCGTATCTCTCAACGCATAGGGCCGCCCAACGGCGTACACATAGCAGTTAGCCTCTTCGTGTGGGGGGGCGCAACGACCACAACTATTAACTGCTATATAGTAGCACAATATCGGCGCTCTAGAGGAGAATCTCGGTACAGATACAACTCGGAAGGTGACTCAAGTTGCGTCCGAGAGATGTATGGGCAGGCGCATCTGCCCAGTGCCAGCAGATAGAGTGATTGAGCCAAGACCCGCCCACGCCGATGCCCACGCCGTTCGCTTTGTACTGGGTATATTGTACCTGCGGCCTTCCTCCGTGGCCGTTGACGGCAGTTGCATACATAGAGTACAAAGACCGTTGCAATCGGGACTTGGGAGCGAGCTGGTGTAATCACAGCCTAGATATGCAGATATACAGATATGCATGCATAGCGGCTAAGATCACACGCAAGACGGGTATGTACTAGATAGTAGTGAAGAGTGGCGATGGATACAAGTTATCATGGTTGGTATCTTGGTATCATAGGTTCGGTGAAGCCGCCGACTCGGAGCTGTTTGTTTGAAGGGCCGTATTCTATTCTTCAGCGCCGATCTTGTCGGGGTTTAGTGCTTATCGAACGCGCCACATCCGCCGATTCCTAGGCTGAGGGAGGGAGAACAGCGCAGCGTTTGAGGCCATAAACGTACCGTATATGATATGATATGGCCGACCGACTGTCATCAAATGATGAACGAAGTTGATGATCGCCTTCCGTGCACGTTCAAAGTCTTGTGTTGGGTGTTGGCCCTCAGTGGGGGGACCAACCGAATCCTGTAGATAGACACCCCGCACCGCCAATCACCAGTGTCAACCGCCTCCGACCATCCTCGTCCGCTCATCCCAGTCCAGTGCTTGGGGTTGCGCCACAACGCCCGCATACCATGCATATCCCATCTGACTCCGCTTGCTCTGGCGGGCTCTGGCGGGCTCTGGCGGGCTCTGGCGGGCTCTGGCGGGCTCTGGCGGGCTCTCTATGGACGGAGTCACGGAGGTGCTGCAACGTTCAGTGCAACAGTGCAACAGCTTCAGCCTTCGGCATGGTGAGCTGCTGTATCCGGGCTGGGGTAGGCAGAAGAGGGCATAGTACGGTAGAGGAAGTAGGCATCTGAAAGAGCTGCCGAGTGCGCCAGGTATTGTGATGTATGTATGTACGGTACTCTAGAGTAGATACACATGATACGTACTCTAAACGTATTCGTCGGAGTACGGCGTGGAACTGGAGAGATCGGCACTTGTACATGAATGATGATGATCACGATGATGATGATGATGATGATGATGATGAGTACAGTATAACTAGTGCCGTATGTACACGAAGCTTTCCGGGCCGGCCGGCATAGTATCTAGAGTATATGAAGATTGTCGCGGAAAGACACGAATGCATCGGGCCCGTTGTTTGTTGCAGCCGCCTGCCTACGGGGGGTTCGAGTAGGTATCACCACTGGCCGCAGCAGGCCGGCAGCAGCCAAGACTCGAAATGGAAGGGAGGAGGAAAGTGCAACAGAGGCACATATAAGAGTAGAGTATGTAGAGTACATACTTGCCTGTTGCTAGTACAGCCCGTTGGGCGGGGACTTGCCTCTCCGGACGGCAGGCTGCATTGAGAGCAGTGCAACAGCGAACATGCCAGGGCTGTGGAAGAAGAAGGGCGGAGACAACCGCAATCGCCGGCTTCGGCAGCCCAGGGTTGAGCTTGAACTTCGCACTGTGGAGTGCGGTAGATGCCTTAGGTAAGTAAGTCGGTATGCAGAGTACTTGGCTGTGATGCCCGAAGCGCCAACGGAGAGATCTCACTCCACCGCCGCTGATCAGTGACCACTGCACTCCGCGAACATCAACGCTGGTCCGGCCCTTCACCCCTCCCCTCCTGTCGGACTATGGACCGTCAATGCTTGTCTGACTTCTCCGCCGACAGTACTAGTCCGCGTGTAGAGTACATACGTTGAAATCTTTGGGCAATGGAGCGTGAAGAAGAAGACGACATCATCCACTCACAAACAACCAGACCATCTGCTTCTATATCTCCATGCGACGATGCCCCATCATCGACTGTGTTTGAGTGCTCTCCCCGCTGCGGCGTTGCTGGCTTCGAGTCACTCTCTTGTCATCCATCCATAGCGCACAACACAAACGGAACGTCTTCCAGCAGGCCTGCATGGGGCGAAAGCCTTTCCTTCCTTGCACCTCCCGGCGGGACTTGCATTATTGGTAGCTCGACGCTCACACACGCAAGCGCTAGACACTCCTTTCTGCTTTCAGCCCTCAGGCGGACTTGGCCCTGACCCGGACTTGGCCCTCACTTGGCCCTCACTTGGCCCTCATACGGACTTGGCCCCCTCCCCCCCACATCCACACGCTGCGGCCATACATACAAGAGGATGCAACTGAGCGATCGTCTGCGTACTGAAATTTCTTTTCCTTTTCCTCCATCTCCCAGTACGGCACATACGGCCACTGCCATCGGCTGCGGGCACGTTGTTTGTCTGTGAGTGTGCTTTTGTGCTTGTTGTGTGTTTTGTGCTTGTTGTGCTCGTTGATGCTCTGACGATATCGGTATTGATGCGGTGCCGATGACTGATGGGCACCTATGGATGCTGCTGCTGCTGCTGCTCTTCTTCTTCTTCTCTTCGCGTCTGCTTCTGCTTCTGCGTCTGCTTCTGCTTCGTCTTCTTGGCCCGCGTCTCCATCCCCGCCCCCGTCCCTGTCCTCATCCTCGTCCCCGCCATCATCACCGTCATCCTTATTGTCCTTATCCCGAGACTCCGCCCCCCGCTCGCTTCTCACTTGATTCGCAGGCAGCGCAGCGCAGCAGCAGTGCAGCAGTGCAGCCGTACAACATCGTATCGTTCGCGGTTGCGTCCTAGCTAGCCTGGACTCGGATTCGTGAGGGTTGGCAGCCAGCATCGTCCGTTTTTCAAAGCGAGCCTGGGCTGAAATCCATCCACCCACCCACCTCCACCCCCTCTGCCCCGTAAACGCGACCGAGATCGGCAGTCAACCTAGCAGCACTCCTGGCCTGCCTATGTATTGATCCCTGCCGTGTCAGGCGGGACACCAGAACTTTTCTAACAGCGCCGCGCCCCTCGCTCCCAGATCAGCTTCCCTGCTTTTTACTCTAGCTCGCGCGCCGCAGACATAGAGTAGGTACGTCAAACTGGAAGACCAAAAAGAAGAAAGCTTCCGATCCTCAACTACCTTCTCCCCCTCCTCCACACTCAGAAGGAAGAAAAACTACCTATACCTGCCCCCCCAGACCCGACGCCCTCGCTCGCTCGCTCGCTCTCGATCACATATCGAGGTCACTCTCTCTTCCTCGACGAATTATCCCAATTACTAGCGGTTGCGGCTTCCAACAGCGTCGACGGGAAGGAATCCGGTGCGAATCAGCAGGAAAAAGAGAGAGAGAAAGATAACGTGGGAAAAACGGAATAGAAGAGTAAGGAAAGAGAGAAAGGAAGCACCGGAACGGAACGAAAGGCAGGATCTAAGGAAGAGACACAGAGAGACAGAGACAGAGAGACACGCAAGGGATCTGTCATCTACCGCTTTCTGGAAATCGGCCACGAGCAGACGGCAACGCGGCTAGACACAGCGGGAAGTGGTGCGGTGGTGCGTACGGTACTTGAGTTGTCCGTGTCCTCGGCCCAACCAGCGACAACGCCCGCCAGCAATAGCGCGGGAGCAGGAAAGGCCAAGGGAGAGGGGAGGTGGAGACTGAAGAAAGGAAGGAAGGAAAGAAGGGAAACGAGCATATCTGGATTCATTCAAGAAGACGTCTTCAGGGTGGGCTGGCCCGCTGAACCGCTCGTGCTCTCGCTTTCGATCCAACACCCCCGTGCACCTCTTAACGCGCCCTCGAGCATCGTCATTCCGCGAAACCCTGGCCCTTAATTCCTCGCCACCGAACGCACACGTTTCAACGACGCCCCAACCAGGAACCTTTGCTGTTGGAAACGGGCCAGACTACGGTAATCCTAATCTTGTTGGAAGCTATGCAGAAATTGAAGCTGCCAACCGAACCTTGAGAACTTGGACTGATGCATGTGACACCACAGCGCCGAATGTGAATGTCTTGAAATCTGCCATTCGCACCTTTATTATTACAATTTCTTCCTCTCTCTCTACCATCCATTCACGAACATCGTCGTCCACGGCCGTTTTTCCCACATACACCACCGCGCGTTGGCTTTCAAGGGCAGTTGGTGATCGTCATTCCCGAAATGATGATGCCTTATCCATTGAGGCAGCAGCAGGAGCTGCCGGCCGTTCAGACAGGTGCACCGCAGCTCATCTACAACTCCCTTCCCAATACACCAATATACGGGAATTCGCCGTATCCACTTGACCAACAGATTCCACATAGGCAGGGCCTTACGCATTCGAACCGACCATTGTTTCGAAATCACTCCACCTCATCACTGGTACCGACTCAGCACTCGTTACACGAAAACATGCTCCGACGGAAAACGCCCTCCGGAACGTTACCGGCAGCATACGATGGGGTGGACTATGTGTCGCGCCCGACCAAGCAGATTCTTGTGCCATATCATGGGGAGGAGTCTCAACCTGGGAATCATGGAGGTCAGGGGATGCGCCAGGGGATGGGTCAGGGGATGAACTGGGCGGACAAAACGATGGGGCAGGCTTCGAATCCTCTACACCAAACAGGGATGGATATGGGCAACGGGAATGCGGGTATGTTCTCCAACGAATGGCCGTCACAGCACAATGGACAGATTTCGTTGGACGACAATCTGGATCCGTATGTGCGGCAGCTACTCCTACAGCAACAGCAGCAGCAACAGACGGTTCCGCCTTTTCCCGATTCTTTGTGGATGAACAGTCAGTTCTCAGGATTCCAGCCAATGTACAACCCGATACAACCACCTACGGCCTCGTGCGATGAGGTGAATGCGTTCATCATGGGGGGAAACTATATTCCTCACGACCAGATTTGGTATGGTCAGCAGCAGCAGCCGGCCTGGGGAAATGGCCAGACAACCCCGACGGCACAACTCCCGCAAGCGGTGGACAACATGAACCTCAACGCGCAATACGACAGCAGTGCTGGCATTTTGAATTCTTCCTCCAACACCTGGTTGGATCAGTTTTCGCCAGCCCCGGTTTCGGCATCCCAGGGATTTTATCCTGCACCACTATCGCACGAATCACACCTTCACTCCGCTGCCCTGGATCACTTTCCTACAAGACTGCCACAACGTAACACCATACCCGGTCCGAGCCGTGAGAAAGTCGCGGCATGGGCGCACAAGGCATATGTGGATCTGTTAGCTTCCATCCATTCCCAACAACGCCAAGCCGATCAAGGACACCCGGCCGCCTCCGTAGCAAAGAACGGGATGTATCCGCGGCCGCCGAGATTGAGTGGCTTGAGAAGCTCTTCGAGGCCTCGTATTCAGTCAAGCGTCAGCTCACCGCGGTACACTAACCAAGTCAATGTCGATGGCACCGACCGACGGAAGAGATTGCGGGCGAGCATCGGAGGCAACGCCGGTTATCCAAACATTGGAACTTCGTCGTCGCATTCCGTCCCCATGGGCAGCGCATATCCTTTCTCGAACCATAATGTTCTTCAAGCGCATCACGGAAATGCCCAGATCAAGGGATCTGCCGAACAGTTCCATGTTTCAGGGGCAAGAAAATATGCCGCCGCTTGCTCTCGCACGGGTCATGAACGCAGATTGTCTAACGGGATTTCGAATAGCTCACCACTTGCGATGAATAGCTCTGGCAGTAGTCCGGTTTCACTCGGAGGTGTGAATGTCTCAAGTGCCTCAACACAAGCAGTCGCAGCATCGGAGGCGATCGAGAAGATGTGCGGCGATTCGGACTGGAATTGGGTTGATGGAATGTTACTGGCCGGCTGCTTAGCATATGTGCGGCTTTCTCGTCCTTCCGGTCTCGGCTGTTGCTAACGTTAGAGTTTAGGGTCTGGGCGACTTGAATCGAGCGCTAGCGTGGTATCGCCGTGTGTTGGACGTCGACGAGGGGTAGGTTTTCTATTGGTGCGATCCTGTATCGAATTTTTGGGTTCTGACCATCCGAGTAGACACGTTGAGGCATTGTCGAACTGCGCGGCTACTTTACTTTCCCTCTATCGGAAGGATGAGGCGGAACGGTATTGGCGGCGAGCCATTGAGAAACAGCCCAGTTTCTTCCAGGCGGTCGAACACCTGGTGGGGCTTCTGTGCGGGGACCATCGCGCAAAAGACGCCGTCGAAATCATAAATTACGTCGAGATGGCGCTTCGCAGGCCGGACCATCCGACGGAACGAAACCTGAGTTTGAGCAGCAGCTCCAGCGACGGTTCGGTGGCTGCCGTAGCTCCGGACATGAAGTTTGACTACGAAGATATGGACCATGAGTACATCTTTGGTGGTAAGCGGCAGGAGGTCACAAGGACCGCTCCTTGCACAAACGGTTTCATGATCCCCGGTTCCGACAATGGTCGAATTATAGCTCTCATCCATGCCAAGGGGAATATGCTCTACACGTTGGGCGACAACGTTGGTGCTGCCAAAGCGTTCGAGGACGCTGTTCTTCTGTCGGCTGGGATTCAGAGTGGTGGCATTCAATCCCTCATCAACAAGATCCTTGTGGTCCTCAAGGCAGCAACCGAACGTGTCAATCTATCCGAACTTTCGCCTAACCCGCCACAAACGCCCGTGTTATTACCACCGGATAAGGCGATACAGACCGCCAGGCTTGTTTTCCCTCCCGATGGCAGCCTACCGGGCCTGCGAGATATCTCCAACACTGCGGCGTTGAAGGCGGCCATTTCGACCACCAGTAACTCACTGCTGTCACTCGCGAAGATTTTCCAGGATGGGATGTCGTCAGGTGGGGCAACAGCTGGGCGGCCGGGTGCTAATGTTAAGGACATTCTCGCTCTTTACTATCTTTCGCTTTCGCTCCACGCAAGCCCCTCGACCGCCAACAATGTGGGCATCCTCCTCGCCAGTCTACAACAGGGTTCTTCAGCCCCAGTGTTGCCAGGTAAAAACCCCCATGGTGGACACAGCAATGGTGTCGGGTTGGCTCTCCTGTATTACTATTATGGACTCAACCTGGATAATCGGCACGCGCATCTGTATACCAACTTGGGGAGCTTGCTCAAGGACATCAACCATCTACCGACAGCCATCAAGATGTACGAGCAAGCTGTTGCTTGCGATCCTTCATTTGATATCGCTCTGGCAAACCTTGCAAACGCTGTCAAGGATCAAGGACGCATCAAGGAGGCCATTGAGTACTACCGTCGGGCCGTCAAGGCAAACCCGGACTTTGCAGAGGCTGTGTGTGGGCTGGCGACCGCCCTCAATAGTGTTTGCGATTGGAAGGGAAGAGGCGGAGTGGTCAGGGATGGAGGGAATAGGGACAGGTGGCATGTCGACGACGGCGGAATGTTGAGGGACGCCAAGGCGGTGGGAGCAGTCAGCAGCGGGTGGATGGACAGAGTTGTGGGGATTGTCGAGAAGCAGTTGCTCCAGGGAGAATCGTGGGGGAAAAATTCTCTGCCTGGAGACATGCTCAGTCACTTCGTTAGGGACATCGCATATGCCGAGCATGGGTATCTGGATGATAACAGGAACACGTCGCTGCAAAGGATTGTGGCAGGGTGGGCTGGCCGAGCGTATGAAGGCGCGAAGGTCATCCGGTTGATCGAGCGGGCTAGTCGGCAGGCCGTGTGGAGATGGTACCAGGACAAGTACGTGAAAGGCATCAACAAGCCTCGCACAGCATATCGCCGGCCAATGGTTCCCCCGACGTTGACCACGCCGAGTGCTCCGACGGTGCTGCCGTTCCATACTTTCACCTGTCCGCTATCGGCAAAGGAGGTCAGGCTCATATCCGAGCGGAACGGACTCAGAATATCTTGCTCGACATTACGGTCGGCCTGGCTGGCACCACACATCTACCCCCCGCCCGCGCCTCCAGCGCCGTATCTACGTGTGGGATATGTGTCTTCGGACTTCAACAACCACCCTCTTGCTCACCTCATGCAGTCGGTATTCGGTCTGCACGACCAGACCCGTGTCAAGGCGTATTGCTATGCCACTTCTGTGAGCGACAATTCCGAGCATCGGAAACAGATCGAGGCCGAGTCCCCCGTGTTTTACGACGCACACACATGGGGACCTGATCGCCTGGTTCAAAAGATCGTGGAGGACGGCATACATATCCTGATCAATCTCAACGGGTTCACACGAGGTGCCCGCAACGAGGTGTTTGCTGCTAGGCCGGCGCCGATACAAATGGGATTCATGGGATTCGCGGGCACACTCGGCGCGGAATGGTGCGACTACTTGTACGCCGACACGACGGCTGTACCACCCGGGATGCTGCGGAAGAGCAGGCGGAACGTGGACGTCGACGATGCTATCCAGGGCATCAGCGAGGACGCGGATAACGACTGGGTATACTCCGAGAATATTATATTCGCTCGCTACACGTTTTTCTGTTGCGATCATCGACAGAGTGCTCCGGATTCGCAGTTGCAACGGCTTGGCTGGGATGATGAAGTCAAGAGGCGGTGGAAGATGAGGAAAGATATTTTTCCACAGCTCGAGGATGATCGGATCATCCTGGGGAACTTCAACCAGCTGTACAAGGTAAGTCTCCATTCCTGTCACTCGGTATGGATTGTATTAATATGTTGTAGGTCGAGCCAACAACGTTCCGGACCTGGTTGCGTATTCTGGCGGCGGTTCCGAAGGCCGTGTTATGGCTGCTTCGCTTTCCGGACATCGGCGAAGCCAATCTTCTCTCCTTGGCCGAGTCATGGGCATCCAAAGAGGTTGCGTCACGAATCATATTCACCGATGTCGCGCCGAAACCTCTGCACATCTCGCGTGCGCAGGTGTGCGACCTCTTCCTGGACACGCCGGAATGTAATGCGCACACCACAGCCGCCGACGTCCTCTGGAGCGGCACGCCTCTACTGACGCTGCCACGGCACAAACACAAGATGTGCTCTCGCATCGCGGCGAGTATTCTCCGAGCCGCAGTGCCGCAAACGGACGAGGGGAGGGCCATCGCAAACGGCTTGGTGGCAACAAGCGAAGACGACTATGAGCGCCGTGCGATCGAGCTGGCGGCGGGAATGGCGTACCGCATCGGCGGCGAGGGGGAATATGCCGGCGAGCTGGGCGATATCCGGAAAGTCCTGTTCACGAACCGATGGACCAGCGAGCTGTTTAATACTAAGCGCTGGGTGAGCGACCTGGAAGACGCGTATGAAGAGGCCTGGAGGAAGTGGGTCAAAGGCGAGGGCGGTGATATTGATCTCAAGGCGTTGAAGCCGGGGGGAAGGTATTGATTGAGCGGGGACTTTCTTTCGTGATTTTAGCGGGCGGAGCGGGGGTTTATCTTTTTGGTTCTTTTGGTTTTTTGGTTTGTTATTTCTCTTTTTTGGGCGGAATGGATAGGCAATATTTTGGCGCTGTGTGTGGTTTTTTTTTTTGGTTTTGGTTTATCTTGTCGTGGCATGTCTTGTTTCTGGGGGTTTTTTGGGGGTTTTTTGGGACTCATGGGGTAGAAATGGGGAGGCTTGTGAGTGAGTGCGGCAAAGGGAGTGCGGGCAAAAGACGGAGTTATGTTTGTTTTTCTTGTCTCCCTTTTGGTTTCCCGACATTTCTGGGGTATTGGAATTTAGGGTATCATCGGTTTTTGATAGACGGCTCGCTACATATACTCTACTATATACCTAAAGTACTTGATGTAATGGAATGAGATGGGGTAGCTTGAGTTGGAGCCTTGGAGTTGAGCCTGAGAGTTGAGTCTTGGAAGTTGAAGTTCGATTCGATTCGCTCACGATGGATGGCTTCGGTGGATGGCGAGAGAGCGCGTTATCACAGCCCTGACTACTATAGTTAGTGTGATGTAGTTAGGTGCCTTAACAAGGAGCTATCCTGTAGAGTACCGGCTGCTAGTGCCTATGCCGATTATCTATCATCACCACGGATATCGATACTCTACACAGATGCATTGATACCGTAGTTACCGTCAACAGGCGAATTCCGAATTCCGAATTCCGAATGCGAAGTCCGGAGCGAGCGCCGAGTGGCCACCTAGAGTAGAGTAAATACCACCGCCGCCACCACCACCACCACCACCACCACCACCACCACCACCACCACCTCTCCTCCTCTCCCCCACACCACAACGCACAAAGACAACAACGCGCAACACTACCGAGAAACAACAAGAGGCAATGGCAATCCTCAAAACTCTCACCGCGCCGCCGTCGCTCCCCGTGCTCCGTCTCGAGCCCTTCACCCCCGCCGCCTTCGCGCCATTCGGCGTGTGTATCGAGACACCTCGCGCCAGCACCTCCCCCACCAACACCTCTTTCCCCCCGGCAATAAACGCGAACCAAGGCACAGCCCTAAAATACCCCCACATCTCTTCCATAGTCCACACCTACCCCCCACCTACCCCCAGCACCCCAGAGGCAACACACAACCTCCACCTCTTCTCGTGCTCTCCACGCGCACTCCCGCCGTCCGGCGAGTTCGCCGTCCGCATCCTCGAGCGCCATCCGTGCACCACGCAGACGTTTATTCCTTTAGCCTTCTCCGACGCAGCCTCCTCCGACACCCCAGAGGCGGAGGCGGCGGCCTATGTAGTAATCGTAGCGCCCACAGCCGCCGATGGCTGGCCCGTTCTCGAGGGGGTGCGGGCGTTCAGGGCGGAAAGAGGGCAGGCGGTGACGTATAGCGCCGGCACGTGGCATGCGCCTATGGTTGTGCTTGGGGGGAGGGTGGATTTCGTGGTTGTTGTTGCGGAGAATGGGACGGCGGTGGATTGTGAGGAGGTGCTGATTGAAGGGGAGGGTGGGGAGGGCAAAGGGAAAGAGGATGGTGGGAGGAACGGGGAAGGTGGGGGGGTGAGGGTGCTGTTAAGGGAGGAGAAGGAGGGGGGGAATTGGGGGCTTTGGGAGAAGGGGAGGGGGAAGGCACGGTTGTAGGTACAGAGCTGTGCCGGTGGTGGTGTTGGTGGACCGGTGTAGATACGGCCAGAATAGTAGACTGCGGAGGACATTGCGGAATAACCATGATCTGATCTGTTGTGCGGTGGGGCAATACCTAGGGGAAGGCGCGGTTGTAGCTATGTAGCTGGCGGCGGCGGGTAGGTTTGTGGACTACCTAGATAGTGTAGATACGGACAGAATAATAGACTGCGGAGGACATTGCGGGATAACCATGATCTGATTTGATTTGAGCTGTTATGCGCCGGGACAATATCGACACCCAAGTATCGATATCCACATACCGCTACCTGTAGTGCATAACGCAGCGCTTTAGTAGCCGCCTCCCGGTGTAAGCCCCTCCCTACTCCCTGCTCGTCGCTCTCGCTCATGGCTCCTGCATCAACTGTTTGATCGCCTCGTTTGTGTTTACTCTACTCTACTCTACCCTACTCTAACAGGTTATGCACGGATCCTACCTACCCTACCCAAGTACCCGTAGGCGCCCACAACCTGGTCCATGCGTTTGTTTGATTGTGGGTAGCATATTGTAGCATGGCATATGGCATCTCCACTCGTTCCCCCGTTCATCTCACAGGTAGGTATCACAGCACCAACATTGTCAACATCACCAACACCAACATTTTCGCGATCGGAGTAGATACTGTTGTAGTAGATCACCAAGAGGCAACTTCAAGAAACCGTCACAATTGCATTCCTCCATTCCTTCCCTGCCCTGCCCTGCCCACCCCACCCCACCCCACCCCTCCTCCCATCCCACCGCCATCCTCCAAGTCGTAGTAGAGTACACACGTAACACAGCCAGCCATACCGTCCTTTTCAAATACCGTTACATAGTAGAAGTGAGCAAAGGTCTAGATAACAAGATTAATCGAATGTAGAGTAAATAATCCAAACAAAACCAAAAAAGCACAATTCCAAACATCCCCATCTGAGGGGAGTCGATGCAACGCTGGAAAACCAAAACGCAAGAAAATGATGAGAAACAAAACCCAGGCCTCCATCCCAACCCAACCCAAAACATAACAAAAAAAAAGGAAAGGGAGAAAATAACAGAACCCGCTCGCTATGATGTGGAAAAACAAAAGGTGCAAAAGGAAGAACACAAAAAAAAAATGAATGCGGCACACCACACGCTCTACTCGCGCCACCCGAGCCCACGGTGAACATCCCACGTCTTCGCGGGCACCACCGAGAAGACGATCTTCTCCTTCTTCAGCCCCCACTGGAGCGGTGCTCTGGGTGCGCGAATACCGACCTTCATCAGGGCGCGCCTAAGCTCAGGATGTCTCCTGACAGCCTCATTGACGACCTTCTTATCGACGCCGTCGAGGCGGTCCTTTATGACGTCCGCATACGTCTCGACGAGGTAGAGGATATCATCGACGTCGCCCTTCTTCCCGCGGGTGGCGGCGGCATTGAGTTTTCCACGGAACAGGTACTCTTCGCTCAGGATCGGCACGTAGCTCGTCCCCATGTGTCGCCCCCGCAGCACGCAGTTCTTGCTCACGGGGAACCGCTCCGCTTGGTGGCCCACGAACATCTCCACCAAAACCATGGGTGCGGGCTTGTCTTCGAGTTCGGACTCGGTGCTCGTGCTGCTGATGCTGCTGGCGGAGGAGCCGCTCGAGTACGGGTTGCGGTAGAAATATGCGACGTAGTCTTCCCGGTTCTGCGGGATCTCGAGCCAGCCGTGTCGCTGCGATAGCAGAGATGTGATGGTGGATTTGGTTGCCGACACGAGCACGTCCAGGTCTTTGGTCTCCCGGCTGGGCGATTGTGTTGTCGACAGGATCGCAAAGCCGCCGAAGAAGCCGTGGTGGATGCGGTGGAAGTGGAGGATGCGGGACAGTGCCAGTGCGGCCTACTTGTGTGTTAGCGGGTGTGTGTGCAAGGGCTTGAAGGGGACATGGTGACTTACGTCTGAGAGGTGGATGTGATGCATTTTTTTGTGTGTGTTTTGGATTGAACTTTTATTTTTTGCGGGCGAGTCGAATATGAAAACACCGAACGGGGCCTGGTATCAAAACGGGTATTATAGAGCGTAGCGTGTTGGTTGTTGATGGTATCGAACCAGAACTAGGGATGGAGACGAAGAAACAGACGTTAATGAGAGTCTGGGTAGTAGTAGAAGAAGAGCGATTGTGTTTTGGCGATCCTGCACAGCGGAGGGAGAGGAAGAAGAATGGTATTGGTGGGGAGCGGCGGCGGGGGGAAGGGTTTTGTGTCTTTCTCTTTTTCTTTCGTCAGGTATGTGTGTGTATGAGCGAGCGTATCTCTCGTGATGGCTTAGGAATGGACGATGTGGAAATGCACATCAACTGGGGGAGGAAATAAAATGGAATGTTGAAATGAGCCCGGCTCTGAGTGTACGAAAAAGTCTGTAGCTTCCCGAGCTGAAAGAACGATTGTGCGTAAAGAAAGAAGGCAAGGAAAAAAACAAGACGGAAACGGAAAAGAAAGGAAAGGAAAAAAAGAACTTCGCTGCACAGTGCGGTGGTATGTCTGGCTTATGAGGAGGAGGAAGGAAACATGCAGCAAACAGCGGAGATTAAGCAATATATACAGCCACCCGTCTGCGGCCAATAATCGAGGGGGTGAGGAACATCCAGCATCGAGACGTCGAGCGAGAAGAAAGGGCGGCGAAACCGCCAATGGATCCCAGCATGGGCCGGGTCTGTACCTGCAGGAATCACATCACACCGCCCATCAGTCTGCCGTCCGCGTTCCAGCGTTTCGCCCTGGAGGATGAGGAGGGGGATGGGCATGGGGATGAGGCCAGGAGCTGCCAGCGAGCAGCTGTTGGTTTCGTGTGGCCGGGTTGGGACGCGTTGTGCGGATTCGGTCCCCACACGGGCGTCTGGTTGGCTGGCGCAAGTAAGGCAGGCGGCTATTCGATACCGGGCATCTAATAAAAGCCGTCGTGACTCGTCGAGTCCCGACACCGTTAGGCACCGAAGCCGGAAGCACAGGCCAGCCGTTCTAGCACCTTCTTGGCGATGGATTCCCCACCTTGCAAGTTGCCCTCGTCCTCGCCCTGTCCATGTCTTCAAGACTGCAAGTTCCGATTGACTTATTTTTGGCAGGCATGATCTTCGTTCTGACGTCGCTACTATGGATGTCGCGGACTCGAGGCGACGATTCACGACGACGCTGCTCGCCAAACCGCGTTTCATCGCCGTCGATGCATTGCAAGCAGTATTGCAAGCAGCATTGCGACGGGGGCGTGCATCGATCCGCCGCCTTTTCTGCACGTACTATATGCATGGCGTGTTTTTTACAATTCAACTACCGTACGCACTCTACGCCGTGTCTACGGCGCATACTGGAACTGGCTGCCAGCGGCGATGGCTGCTTGCGGCGCAGATTCGGAGCAGAGAGTGCAAGTCCCAATTGCACTCTGATGAGGCTTTTGTGGCGACGAGGGAATACTTTGCGGTGAGGCTTCTGTGGGCGAGGAGAGAATCCTTCACGGCCGCGCCAACTCCGACCGTCCGAATGGAGATTATGGACGCAACCGGCATTGACCAACGTCAACCTTTCACATCCGTGGAACGAGGAGAAAAAAATCAACAACCCCCTGAGCCATACGCGCGGAGTGTACACGTCCCCACGTGATTCCGACTGCGCCTCATAGATGGCGCCGGCCACCAATAGCACATCTCGCAGGCGTTAAAATCCTGGATTCAAGGGGAGCAGATACCTATGTCTTGCATCCGCTTGCCTGCCTGCCTGCCTGCCTGCTTGCGTGCGTGGCCCCCGGCGGAGGAATCTTGACACATAGTTACAAAAGTAAGGGGATCAAAGTTCGAAACCTCGATTTCCTCTGCGTCTGTGTCTGCAGTATTTACGTACCCACGACGTACGTGCGGAAATGTGGAAATGCACTTTAATGCGATGCCAGCCCCCCTACATACGCCTGACGCGCCGGAATGGCAGAGGCAAAGGCAAAGGCAAAGGCAGCCTTGGGGAGTCGCCTTCGCAATGATATGATCGAGTGAAGTCCTGTCGCTGATCGGACGGTGCTGGTGTGTTCGCTCACTCGTACTGTAACCAACCACCTAACGGGCAGCTCCAAAACTCCAGAATGTGCACGGCGCCACTTCGTGCTGGTCGGTAGCGGGGTCTCCACCCCGGCTGGCCAGAGTGGACGAGAATAGAGTGCGACTATTTGCCATAGTCTAGATAGACTGCATACAAAATAAATTGAAGATCCCTCCCTCTCTCCATCCAGAATGTGCACTCGAGATTCGAGAATATCACTGAGACGCAATCCCGTTTCCCGTTTCGTTCCCGCTACCGGTATTCCACCGGCAACCATTACGACAGGTTGAAGTTCAGCTACGTACCAGTCCATACGTAACGATCATTTCAAAACCCTGTGTATAAATCTCCGTCCATACATCAGGTACATATCCCACATAACGGATCCGGAGATCACGGAACCACGGGAACCACTCAGCGTCCTTGAACAGCCCGCAATACTCTAGGTAGGGCGCACCAATCACTAATCACCCGCCCCCCTTCCCCTCGCATGATACGAAAGCAGCAACGGGAATGGGAACATATGCATACTTACTACCAGCGGGGATCGCAGTACCAGGCTCCAGCTGGTATCGGAAACTTGAAACTTGAAACTGGGCTGGGCTAGCAGCTGGCAGCCGGCTGGAGGTGGCTTTGGTTAGAGGAACGTTCACGGAGACAAACGGTTTGAATGTAATTTGTCCATGGACCCCCACCCCCGTGCGCCGTGTGGTGGGCTGGAGAAGGTTCCAGGTTTAGTGACTGGTCTACCGGTGGCAAGGCTGGCCGATGATAAGGCTGGCCGCTGGACTACCGGTAGCGATCCGCCGTCGGGTCGATTTCTAGGCTAGAACATACTAGTAGGTAGGAGGTATGTGCCGGCCGGACGTCCAGAATGAAACTTACTCCACTATAAAGAAGGATGACGCCAGTATATACTCTTCTACGGTAGATTATGAGGTAGGTGATTGGTGCGGCAGCCTCTGCCAACCGTGTTCCTGGGCGACCAGAGGCCGTCGGCAATTTTTTGTTCTTTCCCATCATAGCTAACTACCTATTGCTGAAGAGGCCTGAATCGGTTATTGGCTGAAGCCCTCCAGGGTCCATCGTCTGTCTACCACCACCATGAGAGGAACGATATGCAGGATAGATATATGAATCAGATACGATACCTACGAGGAGTGGCTATGTAGTCGGATCATAGCCACACTAGCCGGATTGAGTGGTCCCGAACAGTGGAGGTATCATAGCCTGTGGCAGTAGCTACGATTGTCAATCGTAAAGCGGACCCTGTATGAAGAACTGATGGCGACTGAGCAACGCGGCGCGGCTGCGACGAATTGCACATCGGTTTGTACAAATGTTTTGCCCGCGGCACCTGGGTACGCTGCCTTTGGCACATCTGGGTACTGCTTTCAGAGCCTAGAGGGCAAGAAGCTGGTGGAGCTGATTCCATATATATAGACATCCGCGTCGTCAACGGCACCCCATAAACTCTTTCATCACGGAAGATACCGGCTTGTTCATCAGTCAGGAGTTGGAACCGGAGGTTGAGAGCTGAGATTATGGCTCGAGAAGTTGAATTGAACCGCAACTTCTCATTCATCTACACACACAGACAATCTCTCTCCCTCCGCAAGCCTACGCACACACTATCTCTTCTCCACAAACCTTCCATTCGACCAACACACCGTCAGGATGCCTCGCGCAGAGAAAGCTCCCAAGATTCCCAAGTAGTCATCCAACATTTCAAAGAAGCGGCAGCCACGGCAGCCGCGGCCGACCATGAAAGGCCCGGAGTTCGAAGCCGAGTAAGAATCACACCCGCCATCATCCTCAGTCTCCCGGAGAGCTGACCAGAATTCCCTTACCAGCTTCTTCAAGAACCTCTTGCTGTTTACCATCATTAATGGCGGGGGGGGGGGGGGGGGGGGGGGGGGGGGGGGGGGGGGGGGGGGGTGGAGCGCTGTCCGTACTTCGCCAGCCTGATGAATAGGTGGTGATCTCGGGAAAACCCCTCACCTTTTTTTTCTTTTTTTCTTCCAGTTCGTCAATATACCATTTTCTCTTTTTCCTTTTCATTTTCATTGGCTTTGTTGGGTCATCATCTGCTGGTTCCCTGGTCTATTGTGCTCGTTGATATCTTACATAGACTTCCGTTGCTGGCGTTTCTTCCTCCAATATCATTAGATAGAAAATATGTAAATTTCAATGGCATAAGTACTTTTCCCCATTGGACACCATTCCATTCGAGGTTTCAAATCACACGTCCACTGAGTCCACTTCACCCGCTCCCTCCTCAAGCACCGGTACACGAGTATTTATTGTATAGGCCGTCATATATCATTCTATCCATGCACCTATCGATTTTACAGTGCCTTCTTAGGTCAGTATCAGATCGATGTTTCCACCGCCGCCGCTGATCAGGTTATAATGTGGCACGCTCGCTATTGCCGGCGGGGTCTCTTGGGAAAACTGGCCCGATGTACTTCAATCCTCTAGCTAGCTCTCCTCAACCGTCTCCTCTCAAAGTCATCCTGACGTTGACCGTGAGCAGCACGGTTTCTACGGCACATCCTATCATGGTGCCCCCGGATATACCAGCTCGTGCTCATCGCCCACCAACCTCCAACGCCGTCTCCCAGCGCAGACACTGCCGCACTACCGGTTGATTCGGTCCCCACGAAATAAACTGAAATCCAGCAAAGCTAGACAAATTGTGTGTCGCTGAAACGAGACATGAATCCGGCCGCGTGGCCCAATGGCAAGGCGCTTGACTACGAATCAAGAGATTGCAGGTTCGATCCCTGCCGTGGTCAATGATTTCTTTTTGTCATTTTGCTACGTACCCAGCGGACTCGGGATGCAGAGACGCAGATGGACAGCCCGTTGACTTCGGTATCGAGCAGGATCGGCATCGAGTAGCATAAGATCGGCTATCTTGCACTATCTACCAGGGTTACAAGGTGGAGTGAAGTTAGGGTCTCGGACCGAAAAGTGGCACACCGGTAACTACTGTGGGACTCGCTCGTTCAACAGCTGCACGGCCACGGCTGCATATACTCGTCGGCGCCTTTCCCGTCCGGAGTCCAGAACGCGGAGCTTCGCACTCGAGTCCGCACTCTGGTAGCGAGCCATCTCGCCAATACTTTTGCCGGAGACACGAGGGGGAAGCGGGTCCGGCAAGCGTCAGAAGCTTCGGCATGGCTTTGCGTTTACTGAACGGTGTATATATTTTACACAGCGGCTACACAACCTACCTAGAGTTTAGTGGTGACCGGGACACGCGGCAGGTGTTGTCTGCCATCTCAATTGTCACCACGGGGGAGATGGATGCTATATAGAATGCGCCGGATCACTGATGTCTGAAGAAGAAGATTAACGCTAGCTGCAATCGGGTTAGGCCAGCCTGAGGTGTTATTATCGGCTTGCATCAGCCATCCCCAGCCACAAGTAAATCAAACGAACGGGAGATGGATTTCAACGTTTCTCATAGCATGTGAAAATTGAAGGATGTTGCCGACGGAGCTTGCCACGCTAGCGTGTGGCGGATGTGAGAACGGCGTTCCACTATCCGCCGGCTTGTTAGATAAGCGAGTTGATACTCCACACTTTCTTTCTCCCACTCCCCTCATTCACCACTGACGGATACACACAAAAAACCGTTAATACCATCACCACACAAAAACAACCCTTAATACCACCGCCAAACCACCTACCACCTGCCCACGATGCTCCAACAACTCCCGCTCGAGCTCTACTTCCGGGTCATATCCTACCTTCCGTTCCCCGATCTCTTCTCTCTGTGTCTCACGAACAAGGCGATGCTGGACGTCACCCATCCGACACTCAAAAAATACAGCACGGCAGGAATCCTGTACTACGCGATCGTTAACGACTCGGACACGTTCCTCGCGCCGCTCCTCACGCCGGCGATGCTCGAGCACCAATTCCGCTGGGATGCGCGGCCGCACCGCAACTACCGAGCCGAGATGCGCGGCTGGATCTACCAGCACGACTGGTATTTCCCGCCGATCCCGCTGTGGGTCATGTGCGTGGTGCACCAGTCGTGGCGCGTCCTCGAGCTGCTGATCCAGAACGAACTCCGCTTCGAGGACATGTGGTACACAAAGCACATGTGGCTGTTCCAGCACGGCTACGACGTTCTGCCGCTCAGGAAGCTGGTCAGGCTCTACTGCCTCCCCGAGAAGTTCTTGTTTAGGGCGCATGACATTCCGGAACCGCCGTCGGGCAGCGCTTTCTGAGATTTCGCTACCGCTTCTGAGCTGGGCAGGTTGAGTGCGACTTTATTTCGCTGAAAAACGGGGGAGGAAGGAATGTACTCTAGAAGATTAGACTTGGGAGAATTGCGGAATGGGTTGCGAAATCTGGCATGGGCGTCGGTCATCGCAACTTGAGTACTAGGTATTACACTTCTCTCCCATGTGACGTACTAGTGGACCCTCCGTGACCAAACAAATGAGCCTCAACGGCTCTCTCCCGTCCTCTCGCCAACTCCTCCAATCGCCGTGGGGCCGAGTCTCTGCACTGATCCTCGGCCGTAGAGGCACCAAAATAATCCGGTGTCCCCTCGTCGCCGGCTCCGAGTCAGGTGACACCGCACCTTCAATCCCTCTCTACCAATTATTGTGCCGTGCTATGCACTTTACGATGGTTGTAGTACAAGGCCGATTCATCATCATATTGGCCGCGTGGCCCAATGGCAAGGCGCTTGACTACGAATCAAGAGATTGCAGGTTCGATCCCTGCCGTGGTCACAACCAGACAACAGGTTCTTTGAAACTCTTTTTTTTACCTTTTGTTCGGACACGATTCACCCCCACTTTGTATCCCTTGTGTCCCGGCTGAGGCATCAACATATTGTACGGTCCGGCATGACTGTGCTCCACATCTCGCTCTGTTGCCTTTCGATCGGGCACCACAGCGTCCCGGAACGGGCCGGGGCGGGTAGACGGATCATGCACAACACCGGCGATCGATCAATTGAGGATCGAGGTCTGTTGAATTCCGTCCCAATCACGGTCGAGCTGATCATGACCACATCCTCGGCGCCAGGATAATTCATACGCAGAGAAGGATTCGATACTGACACGCAGCCAGAGAGATGTATCTGTCTGTAGAGTAGCGCAGGTTCAACGGGCTACCTACAAGAACAGTACATACTCTCAGTACAGACTCGTGTGTGGATGCTACGGGCAGTGCTACATACCCACGGGACGAACGGGATGGATCGGTGACCGGCCGCCGCCGACCGTCCTGTGCATCCCCCCACTGGGACTGTGAGACTAGACAGCCTACTCCTAGCCAATCCCGGCGGTATGTAGAAAAAGGTGTCGGTGTCGGTCCGCCCTCGCAGCCGCTTGCGCGTCGCGGGCTGTGAGAAGGCAGTGTGTACGGTATACAGGACAGAATAGCAAGCTAGCCGTGGGGGAAACGAGTTATCCGTACATACGAGTGACTCGACGGAGGGTCCGCTGCGCCTGAAATCCGAAGTCCGGGAACTCGAACAGCGGGTGTGGACAGTGAGTGACTTTACATGAACGACGGGTTGGTCCGGCACACGGATACCGCTTACTACTAGTACATACCACGCTTCTTGCGAAATTCGAAATGCTCTCGGTTCGTTTCATGATAAACAGGTGCACTCCGGGCTTGACTGTTGGAATGTGTGAACAAGCAATGTATTGTTGTTGTATTGTAAGAGTCTGAAAGCCTCGAGAGAAGACATAAAAGAGGGGTGGTAGGCGGCTAGTGCTCCCCGACGTCATGACCGCACAAACGACTAAGCAACGAGAGAGAGGGAGAGATCTTCCTGTTTTATTTCGCATGCAGCCTATCTAGACTATGGCGAACCAACGAACTCCGTTTCCTGCCCGCCCCAGTACCGACCAGTCCGACAAACTAAGCGACGAGTGAGATATTACAACATTGACTTCGCTCGTATGGTCGAGTGCTCCGGAATGTACATAAGTTGAAGGGCGTTTACCTCGCTGCGTCCGGACGCTACGGGGCGAATGCTACCACATCGAGGGATCCACGGAAGTGCCGGCGAAACCCTGGTTCAAGCCGAGCGAACACCTATGGAGCGGGTGGAAGCCGTGCTCTCACGCAGGTATTCCCTTCTCCGGTTGCCTGGCGATAACCCCCGCTGATCCGAGTATCGGCTCTGTATCCGACCGCGGGCCATCAGCCTGCCTTCCTCCTCCTCCTTGCAATTTGACCCTCTGGTCATAATGGCATGAATCCCGTCCTCCCTCATCCAGACCGCGTGGCCCAATGGTATGGCGCTTGACTACGAGTATGTAACACCTCCGATATCAAGAGATTGCTTTGAGATCAGATAAGATAGGAGGAGTGGCTAGTGGTGGCCCCGAACGGTGCAGGTGTGATAGTCTGTGGCAGCAGAGAGCTGAGATGGCTCTTCGAAGTTGAATAGAACCTCAAATTCTCATTCATCTTCACTTTCGCCGATCCTTTGCCGGGCCACGTTATCTTCTCTCTTTCTCTTCCTCTCTCTCTCTCTCTCTCTCTCTCTCTTTCTCTCCATCAACCGACACACACAGACAATCTCTCTCTCCGCAAGCCTACACCCCCACTATCTATCTCTCTCATCACAAACCTTACGCTTCAACCACCACACCATCACAATGCCTCGTGCAGCAAAGAAGTCAATTCCCAAGCAGTCGTTCAGGATCGCCAAGGAGCGGCGGCCGCGGCCGACCACCAAAGGCACAGAGTTCAAAGCCAGGTAAGAATCACACCCGCCCTCATTCTCGGTCTCTGCTGACCGGAATTCCCTTCCCAGCTATTTCAAGAACCCCACGCTCTTCACCGTCATTAATGGCTGGGGGGCTGGGGCCGACACCTACCATCTCCATCGGGAGCTTCTCATGGGGCGTTGTCCCTACTTTACCAGCCTGCTGTCGGTCGATGGCGAGGAAGCCTCTGCGAATTTGGCGAGGCTTCCCGATCCAGTCTCGTCCAAAGTCTTTGAGCCATTCGTAGGGTTCCTATATACTGGAACCTATACGTTTCCCTCCAGACGCCACCGATCAGCTCCTATCGCACGCAGAACTAGCCATGTTTGCAGACGAAATGCTCATGGCGGACCTCAAAGACGCTGCAACGAGAAACCTCTCCTCAGCGCTTCGTTGTCATTCCTCCTCGGGAGCTGACTGGGGGATTGTTTCGTTGTTGGCCGATATCTACGAGAGAACCGAGGACGAGTACGCCGGTGAAGAAGAGTGGCCAAGCCGCAAGGCCAGTCTCCGCGACATTGTCACGGAGTACTGCGCCAGGAACATGCGTGCATTGTTGAAATGCACCGTGTTCGTGGCGTTGGTCAAGGACTTTGGAGAGTTGGCCCATACTCTTCTGTTGTGGCAGACACGTATACTTCGTGACGAGGACTCGGATGCCGAGTGAGTTGAAACGAAAGCCCCCCTGCTGTGCGGTATGCTGATAATATGGCTTCATAAATAGGTGGTGATCGAGGGAAACCCCCGCACCTTTTTTTTTTAAGTTCCTTAATTCGTCAATATACCATTTTCTCCTTTTCCTTTTCATTTTCATTGGCTTTGTTGGGTCATATTTCATCTGCTGGTTCCTTGGTCTACTGTGCCCATTGGTATCTTACCTAGATTTGCGTTGCTGGCGTTTCTTCCCTCAATATCTATTTGGTACATATCCGATAATTTCATCGTTAAGCTTGGAGTTTTGTTGCGGCCCAAAAGAATGATTAGATAGAAAATATGTAAATTTCAATGGCACAAGTACTTAATTTTCCCATCAGACAATATTCCATTCGAGGTTTCCAATCTCACGCCCAAGGAGTCTACTTCACCCGCTTCCTCCTCAAGCACCATACACGAGTGTTATTGTATCGGCCGTCATGTATCATTCTCCCCCATGTACGCATAGATGCCTTCGTAGGTCAGTATCGGATGCCGGCGGAGTCTCTCGGGAAAAATATCCCCAAGTAATCCCGTGGTGAACTCTACTCAACCGGCTCCTCTCAAAGTCATCCAGACGTTGACCGTGAGCAGCACGGTTTCTACGGTCTACTCTATCACGGTGCCTCGAAATACACTACCTAGCATACCAGAAAACTGACTCATCGCCCACCACCCTTCAACGCCGTCTCCCACCGCAAGCACAGCCGGTTGATTCAGTCCTGGGAGAATAATAACTGAAAGCCGGGTGAATATGTACAAAGTCTGTGTGGCTAACTCAAGCCATCAATCCCGGCCGCGTGGCCCAATGGCAAGGCGCTTGACTACGAATCAAGAGATTGCAGGTTCGAGCCCTGCCGTGGTCAGATTATCACATCATCAGACTTCTGGGTTCTTTTTTAGATGTTTTTTATTTTGTTCTGCTTCGGACTACGAGGGCGGCGGCGGGGGATTGCGGGTGGGTGATGGGCGATTGGGGGGGGGGGAGGGGGTAGTAGCTGTGCGGAGGAGCATCGAATGTGGAACAATCCGCCGTCTCGCCGCATAAAGAGGATATATAGAATATGGGATGAACAGGTACGGAACACAACGTCCTTTAACTTTCAAGCCGTAGCCGTTCTACTATATGTAAGACCGCTGGCCGCCTATCGTGGGGATTCCTATCCGGGGCACTCGATCTCCACGATGCGGCCCGACTACGGTACATTAGGTACATCTAGGTATGATCCAGCTTCTGAACTGAATATGTACACTTGATTCTTATTAAATGTTGGTTACGTACAATTGAAGGACCAGAATCCAGACTAGGTACCTCAATGATGGGCCTGATATGTCACAGTAGAGTACTATAGATAAGTAAATACCGATCCTGCGCTCCATCATTCCTTTCCAGCTAAAGTCTGTACCAACAGGCGCCGCTCGCGCTCCTCTCGGGGAAGAAGAAGAACCCCATTTCGCTGGGTAGATTCAAGAACGACAAAACTCCGAGATCCCCCGCCCCGCGAGCACCTCGAGTGATTCTGCGTGACCGTCCGATAACCAGTACCATCGGCCACAATGGTTTCTTAATCCTAGGTTGCGAACCGTTTCAATACTGTATGAGCCGCGTAAGGAACGAGCCGAGCTGCGAGCTTGAGCTCCAATAGAGTTGATTAAGTGTCCACCTAGGCTACCTATGTACACATAGTACACCACAGACTTTTGGAAGTCCCGGTCCGGGACATCGGTCTACATAGCGGAACGGCACCATCCCGCCGTCCGTGCGCGGATTGCACGGATTATTTACATATTTATTAGCCGGCTAGGTGAAGGAGTGTCCTACCAACATAGTAGGGCCACCGCAGCACGGCTAGTCGCGACTCGCGAGACCGGCAAAAAAAAAAAAAAAAGCACAAACACAAAAGAATGAAGTGACCACGGCAGGGATCGAACCTGCAATCTCTTGATTCGTAGTCAAGCGCCTTGCCATTGGGCCACGCGGCCAGCCACTATGTCCCTCTGGGCATCTTTACACTCATGGACTACATTCGTTTCACTCTGCTCGCTCCGCTCATACATGAACGGTCACTCTTCTCAGCTCAGCGCCGTGATTCTCCTCTGCTGTCACTCGTCCACCTCGAATGAACGGATACTTGCCCGGGCCCGGGCGAGATACAATGTCAAGCCTGCTGTCCGAAAGCACGAGCTATGCACCTATGGATGGGCATCGACTGATACAGTAGCATCGCATAGCTACATACTCACTCGCGCTCCGAAGCCAGCCAAAGCATTCATTCGACTTCGACTTCCGCTTCTTCTTCTTCTTTTTTACCTCTTCATTACACACACATACAGAGTGAGAGGCACTGCACTGGCTGGCCGGTGGCTGATATATCCCCATCCCATTCCGTCAGCCCTTCCGACTTCAACTTCCGCTATCATACCTACCACCGGCTAACAAGTATGTAGGTAACGCACTGCCATCCATGGCCACTGGCGAGAACCGAGTCTGTGCGATGCGCCGTGCGGAACAATGAAACCCAGAAAAGAACAACCGGCCAGCTTTACGTTACGTTACGGTGGTATGTCGAGCATTGATCACCAGCATTCGTTCGCAAAAAGGGAAAGGACGGACGGACTGAGCCACGTAGCCTTGCACGAGAGTCCTCACCGAACGAACGAATAAGGAACAGGAATGATGCCGCGCAGCCACAATTGCCACCGTCTACTACCACCACCCACCCACCATCCACCATCCACCACCACCGGTGTGCTGGCTGGCTGGCTGGCTGCGATGTTCCACACCGAAGCGACAGTGTGACGGTGTGTCGGTGTGCCGGTGTGTCTCGGTCAGTCAGTCGGTCTCAGGATGGCGAGGGAGAGGGAGAGGGAGGAACAGAACGAGACCCACCGTCCCACCGTCCTTCACTCCTTCCCTCCCTCCCGTGCTGCAGCCACAGATGGATTCGACATAGTCACATAGTTAGCTAGCGTTTCTGCCATGCTCGACTCACTGGAAAGAGCAGAGATTGACATGATTGACATGGAACGCCGCACGCATTGCATTGGTTCGGTTCGGTTGGTGCCTCGACATCTCAACACTCGGGGGTGCGGTGCTGGCTGGCTGGCTGGCCGCCTGGCGCGGCGAATGCGGTATTGCGGTATGTATGTTTCAATATTGTTTCCCATGTCTTTTCCCGTGCGCCTCCCACGCCCGCGGCCCATCGCCAGCCCAGGCATCAGACATCAGACATCAGCCGTTCTCGCTTCGGAAATTCGAACGGTACTAGCCCCCCCTACCATCACCACCAACACACCATTCCAATTCCCCACCATCTCGCATCTCGCATCACGAAAGAAACTGTCGGCAAGTATTTTCGCTGCCGTACCAGTACATCCCCCCTTCACCCCTCCCCCCTCCCCCCGCCACAAAAACCGAAAAAAAACGAAAGTATCAGCCGTAAGGCTACTCTCCGCGCTCCGCGCTCGACGAATCACTTGCGCTCACTCGCGGCGAATCCCCGAATTCCCGAATCCCTGCTGCCCGCCCCTAACCCCCGCCACACCCAACGGAGCAGAGCAGCAAGCAGAGACCACCAATCGGAATGCTTCGCGGACCGACCGACCGGCCTCTCGCTCGCTCGCTGTTTCTACCCAGCCGGCGAGCCAGCCCGCTGCTGATCCAGCCAGCGGTTGGGGTTGTTTGCCATGTATTGTACTTGGGTACTCTGCAGTAACACAGCAGCACCGAGAATTTCTGAGACATACATGCTGCTGCGTCCTCCTCGCTATATACACATACACATTCAACATGAAACCCCCTGCTGTGCCTGTGCCTCTTGTCTTGTGTTGTGCTTGTGTTTGTGTCGATCGCATTGCTGTTCGGTCCCGAATCATGACTACATACTACCACCTAGGTGGGAGGTAGGTATCTTGTACTTGTTGGACTCTTTGTCGCAATTAAATACTTCAACAGCAACAGCAGGAGAGTGATGGAATAACTAACGACAAGCCCGAGTAACCAGCTACCGGTAGTATGCAGTGGTTATCTATAGCTGTGCACAGAACAGCGCAGCGCACATCGAGTAGGTAGGTAACTATGTGGAACTTTCCAGCAATCTTCAGAAACCGCAGCGGTCTCGCTCCGATCCACCAACCAGCACTCTCCGTTGCGCTCTCTCTTGAAAAGAAAGGGGAGGGGGGAGGGGATGAATGGTGCACAGACCGATTGGCCAGCGGCCAGCGGCCAGCCCCTTGGGATTCCAGTTCTTCCTCTAGTTCTTCTTCTGCTCTTCTTCGTTTTCTGCTGCTTCTTCTTCCTTGCTCTCTGCTGTGCTGTGCAGCGCAGCGTTTCGCTTCTGGATCCAATTGCCGAATTGCGGCCTAAGAAACTTCTGGGATGTGAGCTGCCAGTCAGTCAGGGCTTCATTGGTTCAGGGATGTGGGCGTGGCGGAATGCGGTGGCGACTGTTGGAGTCTTGGAGAAGGAGGAGGAGGTAGAGGAGGAGGTAGAGGAGGAGGAGCCTGAGGAGGGGGAGAGGCGAGGAGTGAGCAAGGGATAACAGTATACCTAGTATGTAGAGGTATGTTGTGCTGAAGCTGGGGGGTGCGGTTCCACGATGCTGGGAAAATCTAAAGTGCCGGATAGTGAATATGGATGCAACAAATCCCGCCGGAGCATACAGGCCGCGCATACCACATTGCGCACCCATCGTGTACGCCGTCCTGACCATGTCGGGGGAGGGAGACCACTACCGTCGAGTGTTTCGGTGTGCCGTAACTATAGGTGCCGGAGAGTATGTATGTATGTATTCATGGCACCCACTGGCCAGTGATCACCACCTTCACCTTCACCCATCCGGCGTTTCGAGTCGCATCCTAGCCGCGGGGGGGCCCTGTCCGTACGGTATTAACTCCCACCGAGTAACCATCAGCTACAGTAGTTACTGTGTATCCGAATAGCGGCAGTGGCCATCATCCTTACCAGCCCATATACAAAGCACTATGGCTCTTGGTAGACGCAAACGGCCTCTCTGCCTCACGAATAAAAAACTCAAATCTTCACCGGAATATTTACTTACTGTAACCACCTGGCTTCAATTTAGCCTAGATACATCGTGCGTTAGCCGCCGTTAGTACTATGTAGACGGAGGATTGCACGGAAAGTACTATAGAGTACCGAGCCTTCATCCTCCAGCAGTAGATAGGTGTATATTCTCCTCATTTCTAGATGCCGGACCCACCCCCGTGCGCACGGCATATCGATATCCTTCTGCTTTCTTATTAGCCGATAACTAAACCCACAACCGACCGAGCGTATCACATCCCCTCACTCGATCTCGCGATCGCCGCCACCTGTCACCGATCCCTCCAAGGTCCATCCATTCCAGTAAATTGCCAGTTCCTTCAACCCACCAATCCTTCCAGCCCCCAGCCCCCGATCCACAACCCCCCCATATCCTGCGCTTGCTGCAGGTGTCAAAGCAATCTACGAATTAACGCCAATGGAGTAGAAACCATAACGCCACGCGCACACATCCGCGGAGTGGCAACTCCGACCATGGTCCATGGCCATCGCCGGTACGCGGTCGGCGACATGTAAGATATATCCATCCAAAGATTCCATATAGTAGAGTGCATGTCGTCATCTTCCGGACAGGTCCCGCGTCCGGAGCATCCGGCTGAAGTCACTGTGGTAAGGAATATCCTTGTTGCTAGATAATCTTCAGCTACCGTGTTAAAAATATATCGTTGTGTGGAAAAGGAGGAACTGACCTTTCGAAACCAACCCCCCCAGAGATCATCGCTCGAGGCGAAAGGCGAGACGAGGCGAGACGAGAAAGCGAGTCTGCAGATCTCGTACCGGCTGCACGGGCTCTCCTTCTGCCCGCCCGCATTCTTCGGTATGATTCCTCCCGCGGGCCGGGCGCGTGGGCCCCCAACTTCTCGGTCGTGCATTCCCACAAGGCCATTAATTTGGTTGGGGAATCGGTGCGATGAGTCCCCTCCAGCTCGAACCATCACCACCGACTGATGCCGTATCAGCTCCGCCAGCTCAGTCGTGTCGCACGCGCGAGACGAAGATAACTCCTGGGTTCCTCAGAGATAAAACACAGCTCCGTATCCGGCAACACAACTGCAACTATGTATGATACTGCGGAAAGAAAGAATATTAACCTTCTCTCTGATGACGGCATGGTGCATGCCAAGCGGCGATCTCCCGTCCAAGCGAGCCATAACCACACAACAAGCTTTGGTCTGTCGTTGTCCGTCGTCGTCGTCGCGTCTCCACAACCTCAGCTTGCTGCTGCTCAGTGATCTCTACGACCGTGAAGAATAGCCTGCCATCGGGTGCTGCTGCTGGAACTTTGACCTCCTGGCTCTTGCATATTTCGTCGGTAGGATTATGCGGACGCACCTTCAGGATTCGAACGCCGGCACCAGTCCATCCATCCGCAGAGAGGCCTTCGAATGAACACCGGATCCGGATATGCATCCCCGTGCCCCGTCACACCAACAATGCGATCACAGAACCGCGTCCGATTGCCTCAAGCGACAGGAGGATAGCAACCCCCCATGCCGGGGAGCCAATACCATCGTCGCCATTACATAGCATTGCCCACCGAAGGAAACTGACCTCGACTTCCGAGTAGTCTGCCGATGCATCGCGTCGACGCCGGTAGAGCGCATTCTACTCTGTAAAGTCAGCTCGGCAAATTCACTGCAGCAATCAAAACCGAGTTCATCTCACCTCTCTCTCTCTCTCTCTGTCTGTCTGCCTGTCGCGCTTCGGATTCCGCTCACCGGTTCCCCGCAGGCCGCACTCGTCCCTTCGAGCTGGAGATGACCACCACCACCACCCAATTCGAGCATCCCTCCCTCCCTTCCTCCCTCCCACGCCCCCTCCCTACTCATTCCATCTGCCGTATAGCTTGATTGCCTCGGTAGCAGTATTTCTCGAGCCCCCGCGGAATCACAAATCCGCCGATCGAGAATAAACGTAACACCCATCGCTACCCAGGTAGTTACCTAGGTAGTTGGTTACCTACACCTGCCGTAGGTACCGCGTCGGAATCCGCCGACACAGACACAGACGCTGAGACAGACGCATGCACACATTCCAGCCCCTCGGGATTCCGGCACAGGCTGCACTGGAGTCTGGGTGCGGGGGCGGGCCGTCCGGGGAGGGGGGGGGGGGGGGGGGGGGGGGGGGGGGTGATGTTGATGCTGATGTTGATGCGGATGCGGATGCGGGTGTTGTTGGGAGTGGAAATGATGTGACGTCGCCGTGGTGGGTTGGTAGTGGTGGTAGTGGTGGTGGTGCTGGGACTCGGGAGCTGGGAGAGCTGGGAGGGTGGGGTAAACGGTGCAGAATGAGGGTGTTTCGTTTCAAGAGATGAGATGATGATGATGATGCTGCTGCTGCTGATATTGATGATGGCCCATGCAGCAGAGCAGGTAGGTACATAACTCAGCACCGCGGTTTCCGAGTCAATAACTACATGACCCTCCTTCTGGCCCTCTGGAGCCTGGATGACACTGAAGAGGGGAAAGAGCACGCCATGGTCCATCCAACCGCTGATACCACGTGCCCCCTTCCATTCCCATTCAATTCCCTTTCCAGTCCAGCCCAGGCCAGGTCGGGTGAGACATAATAGTTACCTACCCCGCTCAACCCCCCTCCATCTCCGTATTCACGTTCTGGATGGATGGGATGGATGGGTGGATGGACCCTTGCCCACCGCTGGCCTTCTCCGACGTCGTCTCCGCTACATACCGGGACATACATCTTACCTTAGGTAAGTACGAACGTACATACATGCAACCTCCTCGTACCGTATGTGCATACATACCTCATACCTCCTCATGCATACCGACCTCCCGAGTTGAGTCGAGTCGCAAAGCCGCCACACATACGGACGGACAAATAATCCCCCGCGCCCCCCCGGGGGGCCGGGAGGAATATAGGCTTCCCCGAGACAAACGTCCCTTGCATCCACCCACGTCCGCATCCACGTCCGCAACGCAACGTTATGTCGACCACCCCTCCTACGTATGGATGCATACACATCCTACCCTACTCTACGTCCCTGATAATTGCCCAATCGCAGAAACTACCTATGATACCAGTAAACACCTCATCGCGATTCTCCCTCCCACTCCCACTCCCACTCCCACTCCCGCGTCCCCGCAGCCAATACGGTGCTCTGACGGTACGGTATGTACGGCACCGTTATGTAACCTTGTGAGCTTGTTTGTGCACCATCCATCCGTTTCGCGCGAGCTACCCGCCGTGCGCACTCCCGGGCACTCCCACGCACTCCCAAGCAAGCAAGACGACGGACGGGACCCAGTCAGCCAGTGACTACCCCCCCGAAGCATGCACGACGCACGACGCACGACGCACGAGGCGTGGCGTGGCGTGGCGAAACCGGCTATTGCAGGCTTGGTTGGACTCGCAGACTCCTCATATGTATGTAGAGAGTACATACCGTACATGCCGTATCTGGGCGTTTGAATGGAGCTTGTGGATACTGGACACTGGACTGGAATCTGGAGATCTAGACCTCTGCTCTGCTCTGTTCTGTTCTGACCGCATGACAAAGCAGATGGAAGGCTAAAGCGCAAGGAAAATCACTACATCGCTATATACAACTCATCACGGCCGAGGGGACTTGACGGTTGAATCATGCTCGGATACTAGGTAGTGGGAATTTTCTAGTGGTAGGTGGTCTGTGGAAAGGATGCTTGGAAATAGTTCTTCTATATCCTACCGAGTACACATGATATCAATCTGAGCCGGCCGTCGGACTGGGCTACGGGTACCGATAGGACGGAGTGTAATGAGTGACCGGGAGTGGTACAATGTAATTCCCGGGTGAAAGTCACCATCTTCGGCCCGAGATTATCCTTTTTCCAGTGCGGGAACGTGTTGGATCTAGGTAGTCGTTATGCCGAATTTCACGTTGTGAACCGAAAGGTAGCTCGGTGACAAGTCATGATAGCATTTATTATCGACGCGGAGCATCACATCGCATAAAAGTGGATGTTCCGCAAAGAAGGGTCTCCCATCCGACGCTCAGAGAAGAAGAAAAAAACACCACCCCCCACTCACTAAGTACCTACTCCCCCGAAGCCACTATTCGCGAGCATTGCCCTGCTGCTCGCCACGGCCATTGCTCTGCTGGAATGCCTGGTGGCTCTTCTTGAGCTGAGCCAAGAAGTCGTTGCCCGATGCCATGGCGTTTCCTATAGAGAAAAAAGAGAGTCAGGCACCACCAAGGCGATACAAGAGTTGGTGGGATGGACTTACGTTTCGGTCCCCACGCGTTGTTGTTGCCCTTCGGAGTAGACCAGCCCTTATCGCCCTTGTAGAGGATGGGCTTATCGCCTGAGCCGCAAGCAAGCAATCAGTCAGCCGAATCCACCAACAGCCGAATACCGTAGCATTCCGCAAAGCTCTATCGGTGACAGGTCCGCGTATAGAAGAAGCACGGATACGGATCACCGAAAATGCATCGAGGTATGTAACATACCATCTACGAGCGATGAGCGGGCAGCCTGAATGTGAGTGTCATAGGCTAAAGGGAAAAAACGTCAGCCGCCTGTCCACTTTCGTTCGGCCGATGATCGATTGAGGAAAGAATGAAGCAAGCAAGCGTGACGGGATCTTAGGGATATCCCCAAGCGCCCATTCCTCATGTGTCGGATACCAAGTAGTTGGGACCGTCTGCAAGACATAATGGCGCAATTGGGGGTCCCGGTAAAGGCATATGGGCCGGTTAGGCGCCAGAAGATATGTGCATCTACCGCATCGCCGAGATACAGCAGCCCCAACCACCCCGTCAGATGGAGGGCGATAAGTGCGAGGGAATTGACCCCACCACCACCGTAGCGGCCTTGCAACTTTTCAGCAGTCACAGTCGAGTTGCGCAGGGTATCCGAAAAGGGCAACATGGACCGAATGTCGCACACAAAAGCGTTTTGAATATATTTGGCTATGCAAATGAACAGCTTCGACATGGGGCCAAGACCTAAGGTCTGCCGTGCTCAGGACGCGTAGCGAGGAGCCCATCCGAGAAGTTCGGAAGCGGAAGTTCCACGACGTCAAGAGTGGCCAAGACGCCGAAGACAGGAAAGAAGAAGAAACGGCAGTAATTAAGTACATACCTCTAGTGAGCATCTCGATAGCTTCCTGAGCGTTGAATCCATTCACCGGCACATGCTGCTCATGGTATCCCGTGTTGCTGCCGGACTGGGAGTGCTGCTGCTGCTGTTGATGGTGATGATTCTGGTTGTTCATGCCCCCGCGCCCACCACCGCCGCCACCCCATGCATTCGTATTGCCGTTGCTGTTGTTGTTGTTGTTGTTGTTGTTGTTATTGTTGTTGTTCTGATTATTGTAGCCCTGACCGGAGTAGCCACCGTCACGGGGCATGTTGCGTCCCCGGCCCTGACCTCCTCGCCGGGCATCGGAGCTGCGCCATCTGTTCACCATGTTAGCCCCCATCTCCGCCACGGCGTGTCGGCGAAAGTGTAATTGATGGGTGTATGTAGATCATTGGAGGTCTGATAACCGCGGGGGCGGGGGAGCGTGGCAGTGTGCGTGAGCTGAGCTGCTTGCATCGGAGGGGAGCTCACCTCTGGTCGTCACTGCCGGAGTTCATTGTGGTGTTCGTTTAGCTTTGTTTGGGGATGACGTGTTTAGGTGTCTTTCAAGGATCTTTTTTTCTGCTGATGACGGTAGAGAGGATTCGAGCCGAGAGGACCGCGGAGATGATGGCGCTGTGTGGCGGCGAAGTTCGCGGGGGAGGTGGAGGTGGCGGTCGTGGGTGATGGAGGTGGAGGTGGTCGGTCGTTGATCGTTGGGGCCGTTGAGTCGTTGGTCGTTGGTTGCGATGTGTGTGGGAAGTGAGGTTGGAAGTGCAACGGTCGTCGGGGTTGCGCTGTGTTCACCACATGCACGGGCCCAAAGAAAAGAAGAAAGTCAAGCACAAGTTGCAACCCGCAGTAACTTTGGTTGGACTGAGAGCTAGTGCTGTGATTAGTGGCCCCGCCCAATCCAGCAGAGCCTCAGTCGGAGAACACAACCCCTCCGTTCCCCGCAAAAAAAAAAGTCTCGTTCGCGCACAACGCACGTCTGGCCTGCCATGGATCTCCTGCGGAAAAAAAAAAACGTATCATCGCCGAAAACAAACCGAACGCGCATCCTAAAAGTTCCTTTTGCTGGAGCACTACTAGTTTCAACTTTTACCCTGGACATCCGCTGGTTACAGATACAGGAACAAACGGTCTTCCACCAAAAGAAAGGAAAACTGAAGAAGAAAGCAAACCGCCATAATTACCTCTTCGCCGAGCTGATTTGCTACGTATGTAGTAAAGCTTCCCCTCATCTTTGTAACTTCCGTCTAAATCCTCCAAAGAGCACGTCCAGACCCCATACTCTAGACCCCGCCTCAGCTGTCAGCAGCGTCAATGACGGCGTAGGTATACTGCCATGTCCTGTCAGTCAGTCAGTCAGATCAAACGGTGCAGACGTCCGGCGGCGGCAGCAGAGGTTGCAGAGGGGAGCAAGCATAACGCAGCTGAGCCAACGGCATGCAGCAAAGAAAAAAAGGATTGCGTCAAAGAAAATCAATCGATAACGGTACCGCACTGCGGCCATCCACGGTGGAGGAAGCCCGGCGAACAACAACGACAAGACGACCTGTTAGAAATATTTCGCGTCTGCCAGCTATCCAGGGAAATATGCGCAGAGCATCCATCCTGTCCTATCCTACCCTATCCTACCCTACGGGTAGCCTATCCGTCCATAGCTACGGTCTCAGATAGGTACAACACACAGGCGCAGAAGAAACATACAGGCAGCAGGGCAAGGAGTCAAAGCAGGCGAGCAACTTGAGAAACCTCCCGGTCCCCCGCTCGCGCGCGCGCTCCTCATCAGCAGGCTTCACGGGGTTAGGTTACGTGGGACACTGTCGACATGATGGTGGGCGAGTAGGCCAGAAACCGACAAGGCCTTCCTGAGGATGGGCCTCAACGTTCGCGTTCGTCCGTTCCCTCATCCCAACTGCCAGCTGCCAGGCAGTTTCCCTGTCGACAAGAGATTGAGGTCACACAATCCCCCAAGCTCCGAGTCACCTACATACCTACACACATACCAGTCAGCCCAGTGCCCACCGCAATCTATTCGTGTCAACTACCGAAGGCTACTAGTTAGTTCGGAGTTGGTGAATTGTCCAGGAAAAAGAGGAGGCGTGAAGAGAAGTGCGGTGCAGTGAGGGGGAGGGGTGGAGGGGTGGAGGGGTGGAGGGGTGGAGGGGTGGAGGGGTGGAGGGGGTGGACTCTGGAGGGGTTGTGGGTTGTGGATGGTGGAGGGTGGAGGGGTGACATGGACACATCTCCGGATCTTCATCCACTGTAGCACAGCTTTGGTGTTAGCTGCAGCGAATGGAAACGGTACATCCTTGTGCGAGCGACGAAGGAGGGGGGTGGAGGGGAGTTCCAATTCCCATCAGTCAGGAAGTTGGTCGTAGCTTCCCGCTCCTTCTCCCTGTTCCCTGGAACCTCGCTCAAATCCCGATATATTGAATCTGTGGGGGATGATTTCCTTATACACCCATTACACCCACATTCGTGCGCCCACCACACACACATAACTACGCTCACACACACTCTCTCTCTCACACACACCGCGGCCGCCAGCGGAATCCGACAAGGCGCAAGCTTCCGAACGGTCGGCAGGTCACGGTGTCGGAAAAGGTGTTTTGGCGCCGGAATAATCTGATGTGCTGTGCTGCTGAACCACCATGGTCGATTAGATACGTGGATGTAACATTTCCCTCGAGCGAGCATTCACGAGCCGAGAACTTAGAAGGAGGCAGAGATGACGACGCTGATGGAAGGTACCGAATATTCGATGGAAAACCCCGAGGAATAAACAAGGGTAGATCCGAGGGACTCATGATTGATCGTGGCATGATGGGTATGCGCGATAGAGTGTCGCCTGATTGAAGCCCCCCCAGCGGCGATTAGGCATGTACAACTGAGTGAGTGAGTGAGTGAGTGAGTAAGCGGGCAAAGGGCCATAATCGTAGATTAGTAACGTATCGGACGTACGTACGTAGGTACCGGGAGAAGACAGTCAGAACCCCCCACGATTCTCAGAAAGATGATATCGAAAGCCGGGGAGCCAGGGACTCTCGGACATGGCAGACCAATCGATACGAGCAGGAACTAGTACTATGTACGGTAGTAGTCATAGCAGAGGTCAATATTATTCGGCTGTCCACCGGTGTGGTGGCAGTTATGTGGTACATACTCCAGTGGTCACTGGTGGTGTTCTGGGACGGGATTAACCATCGGGACCGGGGGGATCCAGCCCGACTACGTATCATACATACCATGCATACCATACAAACTGTTCCCAACATCGAGTCGCAAACTGAACTTCCGCCGGGGTGAACTATATCTCGTCATCATACAGCTGCTCCCCTCCCCCACAGGCGAGTAGGTCAGCGCTTGCTTGCATACATACGGGTGTTGGCTAGTTAGCTGGTTCGTACAAGATGTCGATGCATGCGCAGCAAGCAGGCTCCCATTCACTCGCTCACTGGAATGAATGTTCAGCATCCGTCCGTGCAGGAGGAAAGGAGCCGGAGACGGAGACGGAGGTGGAGACGGAGGGGAAGGCCGGAGGCTTGAAGGTCGTCCTCCTCCTTCATCGCTTGCAAATTGATGAACGTCGACGCCACGAGTCCGACATCATTCATTTGTCCGGTACAAGATAGTAGTATGTACCCACCACAGCTCCATAATCCGATCACCGAGTTGAACGGCGCACTGGTGATCAAAGTCACACGAGCAACTGCAAGTCTGCAAGTCTGCAACCTCTCGAAACGGTAGGTGTATGCCACCAGTGTAGAGTAGAGTGCGGATATAGTGGGGTGTAATCACCTTGAAGTACGTGCGTGCGTGCGTGCTTCCGATCAATCATCACGCAGGCGATCATCATCATCATCAATCGAGTGCTGGTAACAAACAGCCGTTGAGACTCGCGCCGAGCCTGATGGTACTCCTCCGGTTGGACCCGGACACGCCTGACCGCTTGCTTGATTCTATGTCCTACGAGAGTAGGTACTCGGCAGCCCGTGGATTAGTGCTGCAGCTATCTACCTGTAGTAGAGTAGCTATGTCTTTCTCGAGCATCGAGCGACGAGTGGCGGATGGTGTGGCTTGCATGGTGGTGATGGCTTGCAGCGCGCTGGCCAGGCAACTCACCTTGGAGTGTGTAGAATATGATAGCACGATATCTACCGGTAGTCTACGATCTTCTTGTTGTCTGCCATCACCATGCGAGCAGCGAGATGTAGGATAGATATAGGGATCAGATAAGATGGGAGGAGGTGCTAGTTAGTGGGATCGGTGGGTCCGAATGGTGGAGATAGCCGGGCTAGCCGGATCGAGTGGCACCGAACGTTGTAGGCAGCGGAGGAGAGCCATGTTCGATGGCTCTTCGAAGTTGAATAGAACTTCAACGTCTCAATCATCCTTCATACTCGCCGTTTCACTTCCAAGGCTGCGTCACCTCTGCAGCTGCCGCTCTTCAGTATCTACCTGTCCTACCCGCTCAACATTCAACATCCACACAGTCGAGTCGCTCATTCTCCAGCACGCTGCTGCTGATCGGTCTACTGCGACATACCCAGCAGTCATCACAGCTCGGGGTCCGGCTGCCAACAGCTTCTAGCCATGAAGGATCGGATTTGCTTCGCTGGGTTGGGTACCGGCAGTTAAGTACCAACTAACTACTCCAAGTGACAACCACTCGCCTCGGAGGTATCATCACCTTCAGATGCTGAGATACCTACCTTGGTTTGGATCATCCGGCCAAGAGCTCTCTCTCTCTCCCGGCTCAGCAGCCGCAGTCGCCGCAATCGGTCTGAAACGGAAGTGCTATCGGTTTGAGACAACACGTGTGCGCTTTAGCTGTTGTTGTTGTTGCGATACTCTATCGACCGATGTTGATCTAGAGTAGCTTAGGGAGGTTGTCGATGGAGAAGACCTTTGTGCGCACCGTGATCCAACCTCACGCTCCCTCCCCACCACCTCGCCTCACCTCGCCTCACCAACCCAATCGTCAACTGCCAGGCTAAACCGCATTGCGCACGAAAGGCCAGAAAGAATAAAACGGACAAGGGGGGGTCCTTCGCTTCGCGAGCGGCGCCCGTGGGAGGGAAAAAGGAAGGATGCCGCTTTGGGAACCCATTGGGCGCTTGGGCATAACGTCTTTTTTTTCTGAGAGATCCCACCTTCAGCCCGCAGTTTGCTTTTGCTTTTTCCAAGGCTGCAATGCTGCAATGCTCCGGCACATCGAACACCTTGTTACACACCCAACAACATCTTCAGCTAAACCCTGAGCTCGAACTATCTACCCATTCGACTCGGAAGCCAGCCCACACACACACACGCACACACGCACACACGCACACACGCACACTCGGAAGCCCACCCACACACACCACACACCACACACACCAGGGAGCCAAGAAAAAACATTGCGACTGCTGGAGCTGTCTCCATCGATTCGGAACGAAAGGGCATCCCGCAAGATCTGAACCACTGGCACGGTGTTTTATCCACCGCTGCCGACGCGCCCCACCCCCTCCCCCCCTCGTCCAGTTATGCTTGTATTACTTCTTACAACCGTACCGCCGCGTCGACGGATGAGGGCAGCAGGGAGGCTACACAGCACAGCACCCAATACAACACAGGTAACTACAGTTACCGTCTCCATCCAATGCCACCGCGTTGGGTACATTCAACTATCTACCAGGACATGCACACTTCATCGTACATGCAAAGTACTTCAAAGTACTTCAAACCTATGTACAGTGCTCAGTCAACGACCTACCTATCTCTATCCGAATCGTTGAACCACTCCGCCTTCCCAGATTCATCACATTATTCAGGCAAACCTGGGCTATAACATCACAAGCACCCACTCCCGGGGCACAAGTTACAACGCACCAGAGTCCAGACAGCTCCCGAGAAGAAAGAAAGAAAGAAAGAGGAAAAAAACACCCACCCCCCCCATTCACTAGTACCTATTTCCCCTCTTCTCCAGCAGTGCTTCGCCGCCGCCCTATCCCCACCCTTCCCTTCCAAGTCACGGTTCACCATCAACCGAAGCCACCGTTATTATATCAGATCCTGATTCCCGATGCGCGTCGATAGTGTAGGTTTGTACGAACGGTGTGCGTGCGTGCGGGTGTATGTGGGTGTGTGGGTGTGTGTGTGTGTCTCTGCCCATTCACATCAGAAAACCGAAGCCCATGAACGGCGGCGTCGGGGCCGATCTCCGATTCCAAAAGGAAGTGCAAACGCAACACACCCTCCTCATCTCTAGTTCAGTCTAGATCTTTCTCTTCTCCCTCTCCCTCTCCCTCTCTCTCTTCTTGAGCTCTCGATGCAGGGTGAGCGTGAGGGTGACGGCGAGAGGAAGCAGCCCGAGACACAAGGCTGAGGGTGGTGGGGGTGGCGAGGATCATCATCATCCTGCCGCCGCCTCCTCCTCCTCCTCGGACAGTCGGACTCTGAGGAGTCTCGGAGTGTGTGTGGAGGGCAAAAGCAAAAGCAAAGGGATGTAAAAATAAAAAAAACCATACACAATCTACACTGGCTGAAGCCTGAGATGGTTACATTATACATATCATACCAACGGCTGGCTACCTGCGTGTCTTCGTGCATGCTCTACTTGCTTCACCGCACAGTCGGCCGGTCAGTCAGGCAGGCATGAGGTGGGTGGGTATGCACATGTATGTATGATGTATGATGTAGGTAGAATATCGGGGGGAAGCGAGACGGGCCGGGAGGGGTGCTGGGTGGGACACTCGCAGCGCTCCAGCCAGCCAACGATAGCTCGGTATCTTCATGCTTCATACCAACATTCAACATTAGTACACTTCCGCCTTGTGTGATGGTGCTGTTTCTTCTTCTTTCTTCTTCTTCTTTTTCTTCTTTCTGGTGCTGCTTCTGCTGCTGCTGCACGAACAAAAGAAAACGAATGCGAAAACCGGGGACTCCTCACTCCTCGCTCGCGGGTTGAGCTGGGCGTTGATCTGGGCGTTGGGCGTTGGGGCGTTGCGGAAGACACGATTGGCGGCGATGGGGCGACGCGGTGACGATGCGGCCTGCGGGGCCGTCGATTATGCAATCGATGCAGGAGGTCCGACTATCGGCCACATCTCGGCCACAGCCATCCAGCCAGCCTTTCCAGTCGTTTCCGCTGTTGCCGCCGCCGCCGTGACTACTAGCTACCGGTAGTAGCGCATGACACACACGACACACCACCACCACTACCACCACCACCACTGAATGCCTGCCTGCCTGCCGGCGTCCCCTGTGCCTACTTGCCGTAGTTGGGTGCGTTGCGTGCCGTACATACATAATTACCTACACACATACATGCATACATAGAATCGCGTCCCCGGCCAACGGGCTGGGCCGTTTGCTTCTGCTTCTGCTTCTGCTTCTGTATCTGCTTCTTTGTGCTTCCTTCCAAGTTCCTTCGTTGGTTCGTTGGTTCGTTGGTTCGTTGGTTCGTTGGTCGGTTGGTTCGTCCGCTGGTTCATTGGCTGTTGGTTCGTTCGCTCGTTCGTTCGTTCCCGTCCTGCGTAACTGCGTAACTGCGTAACTGCGTATGTAACTGGGTTCGGTGACCGGTCCGGCCGCGTTTCGTCTAGGGCTGCACCGCAGCCTTGGGGCCTACGTACGGTACGGGGGAGTTGGAAGGCTGGCTGGTCGGCTGATATGTAGTCCTGAGGACGAGTCGAGTACCGTCGGCACCTAACAACCTAACATAGGTACCGACTCCACGAGCTTACCCAGGTTCCACACGGAAAGCCGCCGCGGCATCTCTCTTCTCCACAATGCAACGGCTCGGAGGAGGTGGAGAGGGAGGGGGGGGGGGGGGGGGGGTGCCTCGCGCCGTGCGTTTCGTGGCGTCCACTAGGTAACCACCTAGATCCCTCGTGAGTCGTGGGAGCAAACCGGAGACAGCAGCAGCAGCAGCAGCAGCAGCAGCAGCAGCAGCAGCAGCGGCGGCGGCGGCGGCGGCGGCGGCGTGAGGGCGTGAGGGCTTGCTTGCTGCTGCTTGTGAGGGGGTCGGGGGCGCAGAGGGCTTTTTTCTATGTATGTAGCTACCGGTAGGTATCTGGATCAGTAGCTACAGGTAACCACATGTGTAGAAGTTATGTATGTAGGTGTGATATGAGGTATGTACCGTATGTCACAACGGCGAGCCGACACACACCGCAGGAGATATGAGATATGAGATATGTATCGTGGCCTTCCTACTGCTTCTGCTGCTGCTGCTGCTACTGCGCGCGCACGCGCCCACAGGGCTGCCGTGGACGGTGGGATACGGTACCGGTACCGGTGCTAACTATCTGCAAGGCCGGCGATGGCCGGCCGTCGACTCGATGCAACAGGGTGTACATACATCAAGATGGCGGATAAGCTACGGTCTTCTGCGGACCCGTGGTGAAGGTCTGCGGTCTGGTCTACTCTACTCTACTCTCCTCCAGCTCACAGCGGGAGATGTTTCCCCAGCAACAGCACCAACACCAGCACCAGCAGCTAACAAATGTATCTACATATTATACCGTAGGTAGACTACGTATGATACATACTTCGATGGATGGATAGGTAGTTCAAGATCATCACGTCAATCCGCATGCCGCATGGGAAACGTTGGACCGTCCCTGGATCCATCCTCTAAATATCGGCCATCCATCCGCCATCTCATTGGTTGATTGAGCGAGGTCACAGGGCGAGTTAGTAGTACTATAGTAGCAGTGGTGGTAGTAGTGGTAGTAGCAGTAGCAGTAGTAATGGTGGTGGTGGTAGTGGGGAAAATGATGCAGCAGTTGCAGTTGCAGTTGCAGTGGTGGTGGACGGTGGTGGTAGTGGTGGTGGTAGTGGTGGTGGATAGACAATCTATTTTCCCTACTGAGCTCTCTCGAATAACTGCCGGGCTTAACTGGGAGAAGCAATAGGACATCCCCCCATCCCCCTCATACCCATCTCCCCGCTCGTTCCGACAAGGATATGGTATGGGTATGGGTAAGGGTATGGGGGGGGGGGCAGTTGGAAAAGTCACCATGTATAATCCAAAAGAGAAGTCGTTGAAAGTCAAGTGTAGTGTAGTGTAGGTAGTGTAGACTGTGTATAGTCCCCGAAAATCCTCCTTCTGTTGATATTTGTCCCCCCCTCAGGCGAATACGACGTATACGCATACCTCCCCCCACCACCACCACCGCCGCCTCCTCCCCCAGGTTATTATTCGAAAGCATCATGGATATTCGCAGAATCGCAGAGCGTAGCAAAAACACACACACACATACACACATACCAAAAAAAAAAAGGAAAAAAAAGAAAAGGAAGCAACAAAAGAACTGATATTGCCCATTCCCTTCCCCATCCGCTTCGTCATCCACTTCCCCCGCCCGTCGTTGATGATGAAAATGATGATGATAGAACCCAATACAATAAAAACCTATCCTAAGTATCCCCACATAAAACAAATAAAAAGAATATTTTGAAGCAACAGGAAAGAAAAAAAAGAAAAGAAAAAAAGTACGCAGAACGCCTCCATTTTTAAAAGAAAACCACGAGAAATACACCCAAGTCCCCCATTTCCGCTAAATAAAATAAAATAATGGTACAAGAAAACGGCAGTAGCCAAAACATGCTCCTCTCCACATAAAAATCCGACCCGAATAATAATAAAAACCCACTCCCCACGCCCATCCCCACCCCTTGACCAAAACAATAGAAAATCATACCGTGAAGTATCCCGAAAAGCTACCCCCCTCCCCACCCCATCCGACGCAGCTATACAGGATTGTAGATTTGAAAAGAAAAAGAAAAAGAAAACCCAAAGATGGAAACCCCCAGAATGAATACCCTAGTGACAAAAGAAATATTCCCAAGATGAGGGACCAGAAAAAAGCCTCGAAGTAGTATGTATATAAGTTTTTGACGTCAAGGAAATGAAGTATTTTCAAGAATGATGATGCAAGAGGTGCGTGGGAGGGAGTGGATGGATGAAACATCTCAGCCCAGGAGGAATCCGAGGCTCATCTTGTTGCCGTCGTTTTGCTCCTGCAGTTGGGCCTCGGAATAGGAGACCGCTCGCTGCATGGGCTTCGATCCGAGGTGGTCCGAAATGTGCGAGAGCTTCATCTCCGCTCTCTCCTGGAACGAGCCGTGTTGGTGCGTGTACCGCGGCGAGTCGTAGATTTCGGGAGAAGTATACATCGCCGGCATCGACTGACGCCTCAACTGGTTGTCGTGGTGGCCCAGAAGAGGAGGGAGAGTGTTCTCGTATGTCGGCGAAGCCGGGACCCTTGGGGAGGAGGTGGAAAGCGAGGAGGCCGTGTCGGAGATGAGGGAAGGAGTCTGGCCCCGCGAGTACTCGGAGTACTGGGAGTAGGTGGGCGAGACCATCGGTTCGTCTGTGTTGCCGTGGATGAAAATGTGGAGTCCACTCTGTTGAGGCAGAAGCGATGGCGAAGACATGGGAGATGGCGACATATCGTGGTGGTTGTTGCTGTTGCTGGAACGATGGCTGTGGCTCTGGCTACCCCTCTGACGGCCGATCATCCGTCGTCGTCGGTTCATCCCACCGTTCCACCAGTTCTTGACGGCATTATCGCTCCTTCCGTTGAGCCGCCGGGCGATTTCCGCCCACCGCTTTCCCATCTCCGCTACCAGACGCTCGATCATCTGCCCCTCCTCCGGTGTGATGGGGTCGTGGTTGAGTGTTGGCTTCAGGTTCTGGTGAAAGCGTTCCCGACACTGCTTAGGAGTCCTCGAGCCGATCAGAGCCGAAATCCGAACCCAGTTGTGAGCTCCATGTGTCTTGACCAATGAAACAAGCATGGTGTCCTCATTTGCGGACCAAGGGCCTCGTCGGTGTCCCTGCATTTTGATGTGTGTGTGTGTCTTTGGGTAGGTGATGATGTTGATGTTTTTTCTAAGGGCCGACTTCGTTAGCCTGAGGACTGTGCTTACGGAGCAAAAATTCAAGGGGAAAACAACTCACCGAGATAACTATCGAAAAGTCGTTATGGGTCCCAGTATCCTGTGTAAACAGATATTGATCCGAGAGAAAACAGCTTTGGGATTATGTGGTGATGGTTTTTCCGGTGGGGTACTTCGAGTCCAAAACAAATGTCACAGGAACGGGACCTGGGCGGACTTATGATGTGGTTGCTGCTGGTGGTAGTGGGGCCGGGCTAGCGTGGCGCGTGCTGGCACTTGCTGGTTGAGATGCTAATCGTGGGGTGCGGTAAACTGAAGGGAATCTAGGGTTCGGTGCGCAAGCTTAAGTCGACCAAAGCTCCGAGATTGATGGCGCTGGCTACGTGACTACACAGAACGGTCGAGGTGGGATCGGAGGGCGAGGTGTGTGTGTGGGGCGTCAGGTGGGGTGGTGGTGGTGCGGGAAGTGTATATATTTATTGCGGTCTCGAGATGGAATAGGAAGGGGAGGAGGTAGGATGATGAGGATGAGGAGCAAAGTAAATACTCTTCAGACAAGATGTTTGATGTGGAAGAGGCCGGATATTTGTTCGGGACCAAGAGGATGTGAGTATGCACTTGGGGTGGGGAGGGGGGTGTGTGGGTGGAGGTGGGTTGGTTATTTTTTGATGGAGTGGGAGATCCGATGGGTCGGGGTCGGGGGGGAGCTCTCGTGTGGCTGGCGAAACTTCCGCCAGGGCGTCCAGGCTTATTATATGCGGAGAAGGGAATGGGGGTGCTTAGGCGGTACCCGCGCTGTCTGTTTTGGCACCCTACAAACGAGAAAAAACAATGTGGGTGTCTGTCTGTGGGAAAAGTTGGTGCCAGATTCCTGGGAAGCAAATAAAGAGTTAGCTGGGTGGGATGTGCGACAGGGGCCGCCGTTGTGCGGGATGCAATAATATCAGGCCGAGTTTTGTGGCAGGCGACGGGCGAGAGACAACACTAAGGTCGCAAGTACTCGATACAACCCGCGCATCATCACCACCATCACCATCCCCTGTCCCCTCCCCCCTCCCTCACCCCCCTCCCCCATCCCGGGAGAAACGCATTTACGGGCGACATGATTGTGATTATTGATTGTATGTCACCGCATAGCATCGCACAGCACAACACAGCACAGGCAGCGGAGAAACACACGCGGCGAGGCGAGAGGGCCCTGACTCGCGAGACTCGACTTGCCGGGAGGCACTCGGCGGCGGATCAGAAGCAGGCCAGGTCAGGCCTGGATCGGACAGGAGGACGGACGGACGGACAGACGGGGCAACGAGGGCCAGGACAGGATGGACAGGGCAGGGCAGGGCATGCCCGGCATGTTGTTGCTAAGCTCGTTCTTGTCAATCGTGTCCAATCTCGACGGAAGGGAGACACGGACTTATTGGCAGCGAGGGCGAGCATGATGGCAGGTTCGTCCATGGATATGGATGTCAATCGATTTGGCATTGCCTGAACAGTTGGTTCTTGAGTAACGACGAACCACCAACTAGCGAACCCAACGGACGGGGCACCGTGTAACGATCACCGCCATTCGAGAGCATCTATGTACTCGAAATAGCCAAAATGAGGGTGAGAGGGAAAGTGAAAGTGAGGCTTCCAAAGATAAGTTCCTGTGATCTACTACTATAGAGTAGTACCTAGAGTATGCTCTACACGGTCCCGCGCCCTGTTCAGCATTCTCCCCGCTGGGCGTTGGTGCGGATGGATGGCTGGCTGACGGCTCTCGCCCTTCTGCCAGATCGACATGTAATGCAATGTTACAATCGACTATCAGAGTACCTACCTACTTACTTGGGCCAACTTCTGTCAAGCAAACTACAGGAGACAGGGCAGAGAGCCGCCGTCGCCGTCGTCGGGCTTCCAATTGCACGAAGCACGTCCGGATACCAAGGAATCAGGAGTACCTGCCAACCATGTATCTACCGGTGCGTGCTCACTGCTGGCTGCGAGATACACTCCCACCCGGGACATCTGGCCGTAGCCTCCTAAAGCAGGTACATACTCGACCGCCATCTCGGACGGGCTCCTTTTCGAGCATCATCGATTAGACTGTTCAGCACGGATGAAGGGTCTTAGTTCTTCGATAGTCTCCGTAACTCATGATGATCTCACGGGCAAAGACATCTCTATCGTCCGCTAGGCCCGGAGGATGCCCACCCCGCAAGATTAGTTACGATTTCTCAGCCTTTGTTTCTTTTCTTTCTTTTTTTCCCTCTCGCTCGGGCCACAACTTTCTCATCGGCTGACTCTCTTTTTTCCTTTTCTTTCTGTCTTTCTTTCGTTCTTTCTTTCTTATTTCTCCCTTTTTGCACTTGCGCAAAATACGCACGCCGTCGGTCTTGATATGGCAGCCAGACGGTGGCGTTGGCTCACTCCGCCCCTTGGTTGCTTTTTTAACATTGGTCCATTCGAATCGGGTTACAGACCGTTTCCTGTTCGCGCTGTCGGAAACTGCTGGCTACTGGCTGGTCGGGAAGCCCATCAACTGCCGAAGGCAGCACATCATCATCGTCATCATACACAGCACTAAACAGGACTAAACACGACCAAATAATTACACTTATTCCAGAGTAGAGTAGGTGGTTAGCCATGAGGCTGCTAAGTGCGTGCGTACCTACCTTAGAATAGAGTACTCTACTTTCTACTATATCTACACACGCAAATGTATCCAGGTAACTAGGCTTCTTCCTTTCTTTCCCCTCCGCTCCGCTCCCGAAAAACTTGAATTACTCCGATTTCGATCTGTCACGGTGTTCAATCAGGGCTCTCAAAAGACGATTTCAGTAGTTGGATACTCTAGATACTAGTAGTTCGACAGGGTTCCCAGCCAACACCAGTGGACGGTCCAGCAGCTGCACACCTGGGTGGGCCATGTAGATACCACGGTACTAGATACTAGAGTGAAGTAGTACCGTAGTCGCTATGTATGTAAGGCAGGCCACAGTATGTATGATACCTAATAATTTTTCCCCTGCGAGTGAGCTACAGTGCGTGCTAGAGCTTGCTTGCTTGCTCGCGAGCGAGTGGAGCGAGTGGAGGATCCTCGATCTCGGGAGGAATAAATTAGAACAACCCCCCCTCCCCCCCTTCCCCCTTATCCCTCCCATCCCCCATGAGACGCACGGTCCTCAGATATTTACCGTGCCTCGTGCTCGTGTGGGACAGATTTCGCCTCTGTTCCCCGTGTCCGTGGGTTTTTTCTTCGACACAGATCCAATCCTGTCCAATCCAATCCAATCAGTAATCACGGACAGGAGGTCGCCGAATCATCAAGCTAACTAGTACCTACGTGAAAAAAAAGATCCGATAGTTAATTAATCCTTCACCGAAAGTAAAGCAATGCATCTCGCTGATGTCTGATGGTGCCAGGTGGAAAAACCTTTAGGGGATCACCGAAATGCCGGCACGAGGGGATGCATTGCAATTGCCACTCCTCTCGAAACGATACAGAGATGATACTCTACTTTTTGTCCCCACGGGGGGACGGGGGCATCAACGACGACGAGGCGCTGGACGAGGCGTATACCGTACCGTACTCTACTCTACCAACTCTACCGAGCACGAGGACCATGATTCATCTCCTCCTTTTTTGCTCCTTCCTTTCGAGGCCCAACCAACCAGCTAGGAGACGGTGATGGTTTAGGTTGTCCGTGTCCGTGTCTGCCAGATCCCGGAACCATCGCCTTGGCTTGGAGCGGGGGATGGGGGACACTCCCGCCCGCATCATATGTATCTACCGACTCGTATGTAAGTAGTTTTGAAAGTCGAAACTTTCCGCCTTGACTCTTGAACAATGAGGGATCTTACGGGCCACAGCTTGAAGCCGTATATATGATATGTAGAGTACCTATACTCTACTGTATCTATACCTAGTAGTATAGTAGCACAGCTTCCGCCTCAACCATGGGCCCGGACTTCCTCCATTGAGAACCGCCATCGAGTGTATGCGTGTTCTCCCCTTCTCCCGCACCCGTACCCGTACCTGTACTCCCAGGGAGATCGTTCGGCATGATGTGCAGGCAGCCAGGGCATCGGAACATGCTATTCTGGTTGCCAGTTGGTCTCCTATTCAATATCGGAGTTGGAATTGGAGTTTGGGTCGGGGATTCCGCGAAAACAAAACTGCTATCTACTCGTGAGTCGTGCAACGGTATAGTAGTAGTAAAATGTAGTTGACAATAGCAATAGCAATAACAACTAGAGTCTGGCAATAACTGGCACTGGAACTGGGTGTTTTTGCGTGGACGCCGTACCCAACATTCAATTATTAGCCGCCGGCGCCAACAACAACAACAACGATAATACGGTAATAATACAGTAATAACACACAATAATATTGACAACTCCCAACCAGGAACCCAAGCAAGCACCAAAGCAGCATACCTCCTAAGCGAGGGCACTCTAGGTACCGGTATCTACCATACCTACCATACTACGGTATATTCGCTACTGATCTCCCTGAACGGCTGATGTGAACCACGATACCCGGCCGCGCCGCCGCCGCCGCTGCGTACGGGTGGAGCACTGGACACTGGACTGGAGCATCCCGACATGTTGGGTCGGAGGAGCGCAAGCAACTGATCGTGAGATACGGTACGGTACATACGGTACATAGATACGGTATTGTACATGGCAGCAAAAGTTCACGCTGGAACTTGGGTACGCACTGACTGCGCAGCAGAGCCGGGGGATCCAGGGGGACGGGGAAAAACTGCGCACACGCACACGCACACGCCCGCACCTGCGACTGCACCAAAAGCTCGATGCATCGAGTACCGAGTACCGACCCGACGACCGACGACCGACGACCGACGCAGAGCATCTACATACAAACATTGTACATACACAAGTAAGCACTTACTAAGTAAATAAGCGGTGGTTATCAGCTCCGTATCGATAACCGTATCCCCCGCCGCGAAGCCAGCAACTATCTGTCGGATATTTATTTTCGTCGGTTTTTTTTGCGTCGCCGAAATCAGCAAGAAACCTTGGACGTGGGGTATTTCTAGCCTCCAGCTTCCAGCTTCCTTCTTCCTTCAGCTTGTCGTCGTCGTCCTTGTCGTCGTGGTCTTGGCTCCTGTCAACTGTCCGCCGAATCGCCGAGGACTGCTATGTATTGTGCAAGTACCTACATTCACACGGTAGATACTGGTACTGGTAGTTTAGGCAACGGCCGCAAGAAACACCCCAGCCCCCGGACCGGGACCGGGACCAACCCCGTCCCAGGGCGCGTCCCGGAGAAACGCTTGCAAGTTTCGAGGCGAGAGTCGGCGAGACGGAAGATCGTTTACTCCAGCATAGCAGAGCTGCAAAGGATGGCGAACGTAACCAATATGCACCTACCTTACTACCTTACTATTAGTCATAGTAGAAAATACCTGCATACATAAGTATCGGTAAGTACTCTGGATGCAGCGAACACGGCGGCCACCAAACAGGTAAAGGTGGTGATGGTGATGGTGTGGAACGGTCAGTACGAACAAACAAGGGGTTCACTTTCCCGTCCGGGGACTATCTACCGTACCTACCTTGTACTCACTCTACGAACCACGGACCAACTCGAGTAGTTGGAATTGGATAACCAACCTGTATCTACCGTATATATAGTAGAGCACATAGTACCAAAAACCCTGGTTGGCCATCTCAACTGCTGAGGCAGATGCCGGGTCGGTCTGTTCCATCATGCCGGGGAACGGGGGATCTAACTACTAGTAACAAACACTTATGTAACCCCAACAACGATTGCACACGGACATGGCTCACCTTTGAGAGAGAGGAGAGTATAGTAGCTATAGAGTATCTACTATCCCTACCATTACGAGCAATGAGTCTCTCAACTTCCCCCTTCAGTGTCTTACTCCGCGTGTGTGAGCCTCTTCCTCCTCCACCTCCTCCTCACTGGCCTCACTGACCTCAAGGGTAGTAGAGTAAAGTACCGTACATACCAGCCAACAACAACAACAACACTACTGCCGCCCTGATATAAACACACGGGAAAGGCCATCCCCGGGCCCGGCCCGCTCCAAGGAGCGGAAGCCCCATCGGGCCATCATAGCGGGCGTGAAAAAGCGGAGGAGGCATATTGCACCTGGCCGCGGAGGTGAGGTTGTGGGGCGGGCACATAAGCCGTGTGCACGTGAGTGCACGTGTGATCGCTGGACGGAACGTGGCGGCGCGGGGAGATCTCCCTTTTCCATGCTGCCCAAGGGTCAGGGTTGGCCTTTGGCCGTTGGCCATTGGCGATGGGAGCTTTGGTACATACTCTAAAGCTTGGTGCTGTGGAAGTGACCACCTCATGTATGTAACTACTTTGTATGTACATGCACTCCTGACGGATGCTGAAGAGCAGGCGCATCGCTCTGTCCGTTTCACGTCAACCGTGCTGTCACTGCTGTAGAGTACTGTGCTGTGCTGTGCTTATCTTCCCCACGGAGTTCCATCCTCACCACGGAGGCGGCAAGTTGCAACCGCCCATCCTGCATACAACCCACGGTGCAAAACTTCACTAGAACCCCGCGCCGGCGACATGTTTCTTTCTGATTCCTACATAACGGGGTGGGCACTGGTCACTCCGTCGTAGATCTCTCCGGCGAATAAGGCGATAGCCTATAGGTACGGTCCCTTACAAAGTGCGCATCCTACATCTCCGATCCTGGTCTATCAGATATCCTCTCTCGCGGATGTCAAACGACAGCATGATCACCGACGTCCTTACAATCCACGTCTACATACTCCTCCAACCCGTCTGACACATCGTTATATAGTTAAGCAGAGGACGAACCCCTCCGTAACATACATATCATGCACATGTACCCACCAGCGTTCGCCGTCATCTTCCTCCGTGTTTCAACGTTTTTTCCTTTCTTTTCTTCTTCGCGTTGCTGACATCGCCGTTCTATAGAGTGCTCTAGTGAGCCACCATGCCAGGCTAGACAAGGCGTCGTCGTCTTCATCAATGACGGCGATTGCTGACACCGGGAAAACGAGCGCCGAGAACCGAGCGCCCGAGCGGTCGTTTTCTCCCTCAGACTAGATATCGGTAGACAGAAATCTCGTTGCAACGGCGACACGGCACGGAGGAGGGTGGCCGTCGAACTGCGGGCTGATCTGGATTTTGGATTACATACGCAAACTAACGAAGATGGAGTCGGGACACGCAAAAATATGTTTCCGCCAAAGCATGTCGGAGTTATGGAGCGGCCTTCGTATCATCCACGATTCCACGTGGAGCTACTCTGGAATAGTAAAGATGCAAACCGAAGAACTACTCTGTGTATTCGGGCCACAGATGATTCGGTGGGGATGTATGAGGTATGTACTCTACTCTACATACATTCGGTCCCCCCGCGGTGTTGTCTGCCACCACCATGAGAGGAGAGATATCTAGGGGATCAGATAAGATAGGATGAAGGGCTAGCCGGATCAGGTGGTTCCGAACGTTGTAGGCAGCGGAGGAGAGCCATGTTCGATGGCTCTTCGAAGTTGAATAGAACCTCAACTTCTCCATCATCCTACATACTCGCCATTTCCCTTCCAGGGCGACATCACGCGGCCCCCGCCAGGGAACCGAAAACTGCGAACCCGAGAGCTCTCATAGTATCTACCGAGTTTGGTGCACGTGATCTGTCATCACCATCATCATCACGATCAGAGACTGAAACACAAGCATAGGCAGGCAGTTAAACGGGGATGCAGACCGTCACCGTCACTGGCATACATAATAGTATTCTACATAACCATCCATCTCTCCATCCGTATGCTAGTTACCAACAGAAATCTGATCGGAAAGGATCCCACCAGAGTACCGTATCTGAAGCGGGCCCTTTCGAGATCGGCCATATCCATATCGACACCAATTTGTTGTAACATAGAGTATGACTGGCATCATATCATTCCCACCGGCTTCTCCGAACGTGTTGGTTTTTTTCTTTTTTTCCTTTCTTTCCCTGTTCATCTTCTCTTCCAAATTCCCAATTGCACGCACGCGGTGGCTAACTATGGGTCGGGTATTTTTAGGCACGATTATTTGCATTCTGAACTGAGCTCGCACCAGGCGCCCATGGAGTCGACTGGTAGTTACTCGACATAACCAGTTACCTACGGGTGGGCGTGCGTACGTGCGTTCTGCGTTCCGTGAGGCTGACACCCACTCGTCTAAGTGGGAGATGGGAGATGAATTTCCGCGGGCGATATCTAGGTAGAGTATCTAACTACCGTTGAAATCGAGTTCCGAGCCGGTGGAGTGGAGTGGGGGGAAGGGAGGAGGAGGATCCGGATCGCTACGTAGGTAGCCTGCGCTGCGCTTGAGCCCCCTCCACAATTGGCCAAAGTAGCGAAAAAATAATAATCAAAAACAGGGGAACGGCCAGGAGGATGGATGGATGGATGACTGCAGTCGTGTCGAGTTGCTGTGCGGTAGGTTCAGGTTCAGGTTCAGGTTCGGGTTCGGGGGCCCGCCCGTAAGTTGGTTGGTTGTTCCACTACGGTACTGGGTATAACATCCTCCCAGCTGGTTGGGTGAATCGAGCTCCAGGCGGCTGGACCCTGCGGCTGGAAATTGCGATCCGCTGGGGGGTGGGAGGGGGGAGAAGGGGAGGGAGGGGGGAGAAGGGGAGGGGGTGGTAAAAAAGCACCTGCAATTTGGATCCGGCCCGAAGCCTTACGGGGGGAGCCTATCGAGAGTGTGTGTAGTATCGCGAATCCGAAGCCCAGCAGCGGGCTCAACTCAATTGATCAATCAAGCACCAGGTCACGCAAATCCACTCCACTCCCTCCACCCCACTCAACTCTACCCTGCTCCAGACACAGACGACTACGGTACGGAGCGGCAACTGCGAAGTCCACTCTCAGTCCCACTCCCATTAGTCTCGACTCTCCAAAGCCCGGCTACGGACTATGGCCCGTATGTATGGTATGTGCGCAGACGATCCCCCTCCCCCGGGTGCCCGGCCAGACAGGGCAACGCCGACCTGACCTTCCTAAATCACATTCAGCCGGAAGCCTGCCACACACACAAACCTCAACTCTAGAGCACCGTACCGTACGCAGAGTACTGGCATGGAATGCGACCAGACCAGACTCTAACTGTTGCGGACGTCGGTCGGTCGGACGCTTCCTCTTGTGCGGTCGCGTCGCGATGTGCTGCCATGCCATGGCGGTGGCTTGCTATTGAAACCGCACGAGCTTCAGAGCTGGTGGGGGTTGCAGGTGGGGGGTTGGGGGTTGGGTTGAGGCCTTCCCTTCCCTTCCATTCCATTCCAGCATGGAAGATGTGCCGGACACAGATAACTCTACTCCAGAGCACCTACCTGATCACCTGGTTTCGGAAGGCCCGGGTTTCGGAACGACTCCTGATGCGTTGCGATGCGATGCTCAGGCCGCTTCGCCAATCTGTTGGTATTCTGCTCGAACGGCGGTTGTCTTGATAACCAAGGTACCAGTACTGGTGCTTACACCTCGAACCACCGAGGACGGATAATCGCCGCTCGCTCGCTCGCTGGAACTAATGAAGATTGTGATCACCGGTGATGGACTCTCTCTCTCTCTCTGATGATGATTATGATGATGCTGATGATGATGCTGATGATGATGCTGATGATGATGCTGATGATGATGCACGGCGAATGTATGCATAGGAACACCGCACATCGTTTTAGGGAGTTTACCTTTTACTCCAAACTCTACTCTACGTACATACATACGCGCCTCCTTGTTTGTGGGGAATCGGAGCTTTTCACGTGTGGTGGTCTCGATGCACGATGCAATCGACGAGATCGGCTAGTTAGCCGGATGAAAACAAAGCCGTCACTACCTACTAGGACTTAGGTAAGTTCGTACTAGGTACACGACGGACGGGCCTGACGTTTGGGGTGGGCAGCCGCTGTTCCACGGTTCGCAACTACCGTACGGTAGTCTACGGTACTTTACTAGTTGCGCCGCGCAGCTGCGCAGGTGCGGCGGCGGTAGAGTCACGATACCTCCTCACGTGCACCTTACCGTATGATTAGTACACCGGTACTGGATCCGATAGATAAGCATCCGAAGGCAACGAATCGATCTCCTACCTACCATCCATCCACACATCTCTACATATCCGCCAAAGGGACTACCTACCAACGTGTTCGTCGCCGTGTCTCAGGTCTCCGTCGTCGCCTGGAACCATCTCGTTCTCCACCAGCCATTCCCGCACGTGCGCTCCGGCCGTTTGCGTGATCGCAGCCTAGCTTTGCTGCACGGCTATCATGTATCTACTGCTAGTATGATAGCTATTACCGGTAGAGATCTCCCACGCGCCAGCCTTGACTCTTGACTGTTGAGCTTGTTGGAGTGGGGTGGGGGGAGTCGTTGAGGAATCGTTGAGGTATGCTACATATCATACCTGGTATGTACATGCATACATAGGGGAGTGGGAGTGAGCACCGCGCTACGACGGCGGCGATGAGGAGGAGGAGAAAGAAGAGGAGGAGAAGATGGAGGAGAAAGTCCAACAATCGGGACAATGTTCTCCTTCTCGACCATTTGCCGAAGGCCCGAAGATGCATCATGAGGGTTTTAGATACGGGAGGGTGCCGTACTACTACCTAGTATATGGTACCGGTAGGTAGTGTGAGGTACATACCGTTACTATGTAACTAGAGTACCAGTAGATATGGCAGTATCCGTCCCGCGTGCTCTTTGGCACGGAAGAATACCGTACTGCTAGTACAGGTAGGCATCGTTACTTTGTCCCGCGTGCTCTTTGACGAGAGTTGAAGCATGGTTACCGGTATGTACTACGGTATGGTACTAGGTATACGATGATGGTCCTGAGATTCTCCTCGTCCTGACCATAGAGCACGCTACATAGAAAGCCCTTCGGAGATATACTTACGCGGCGCATTGCTTTTAATTTTTAATATTTTTCCTCCAATTTTGTGGATTCGGCGCCCGGAACATCACCCGAGAACCACGAACGCCTGGCTCTAGCTTGCGACGGACAATACGTAATGTATGGTTGGGGACGCCTAAAATAGGAGTGAAAAAATGCCCAACTCCACCCTCGGTTTAACTCAACCACAACACCCAGTAAAATTAAAAGAGCTCTATAGCACGATAGAGAAAGGGTTATAGTAGGTCGCTATAGAAGTAAAATAAAAATGAAAAGCGTGGTGAATTAATTTAAGCGGGTTGAAAAAAACTGATTTGTATGGGGAGGATTTTGGAATGTCGCAAATGATAGCATGCATTAAGGCTCTAGCGCTCTTTTATTTTCTTCAAGCGACAATACGAGTGACAGATATTGAACCTTAATCCAGGCCTTGGCGCCGATTGATCCTTGCTCACCCCAACTGAGCTCGCGCATGAGTGCTGTTCGACTTGGACCTCCTCAGGACACACGCAAATAGGTCAAAAATGGGGCCATACGGCCCAAAAATCTTCACAATTACGAGAATTACTTGCTCTGTATTCGAAAAATTGCCTGCGCCGCACTTCTTGACCCTCATTTTGGCGTAGACACACTTACTCACTCGTGATTTGTCAGCGAAATGAATGTCGCATTTTACTCCGGTTATAGGCGTCCCCAACCATAGGCACCCTTTTTTTCTTTCTTTTTCTTTCGTTCTTTCCTGTCGGCAGCTGCTGGAGGGGAGCTGAAATGGCGCTTCCGGAGCTCACTAACTAACTGACTTAAGCACCTAGTAAAGCCCTGTAGGTTCGGCTCATGGATCACCTCAAATCCGGGGCTCAGACTACAGGCCAGGGGGGGATCAAATAATCGATGCTGAATGGAGCTTCCGCCTGCACACGTCAGGTTTCCATACCACGCCCACCCTCCCCCCCCCTTCCCCGGCGGGTCGCTGATAATTATTGACATCTGCTGCTCTGTGCGACCCCCTCCACCACCGTTGTCAACGTTCGTGCATAATGAGCTAGTCTCGAAGCGCCGATATCTAGCGAAGCCAATACTCTGCACAGCTCTGCTCTCCTCTGCCTGCGCTCATGAGGCAACTTACTCTACCACTCTACATACTTGCCTGCCTGCCTAGCGAATTTTGTGACCAAACCTTTTTGCTACATACCGCACATACCGTACCGTACTCTACTCTACCTAGAGGGTACCTACCGGCTCCTGGGATTCATCATCATTCGACGGATTTTCTTCGACCGCTGATGCCCGAAACTTGATATCTATGCCTGATTGGATCTGATCGCGGAGACGGTGTTGCGTGTCCGAAATAGGTCGCTGATTCTCGCCATGTCCTTGCCCTTGCCCTTGCCATGCTTGGCAAGGCTCGTATCGTGTCGTGTTCGCCGTTGTTGATTGTTGATCATCGATAGCTGAGCTCCCCGAGCTGAGCTGGTGGGTGCCCCGTGTGTCGTTGTTGGTGGTGATGGTGATGTTGGTGGCGGCGACACTGCGACAGTCGGTTGCAGGTTCCACGCAGGCGCACGGTTGCATTGCAAACACGGCTCCTCCGTGATGTGATGTCGTGTTCTCGACACCCTCTACTCTAGATAGGTACTCTGGATACACAACGGGGAGCCTCAGACCGAGTCAGGATGTGCACTCGGACTCTCTAACGGTTGCTCATTTTCGGATAAGCGCGCGTTGACTGGGGGGGAGATGGAACAGCCAGATGCAGATGCAGATGCAGAAACAGAAGCTCACATCGAAGCCCGTGCTCGGTTGATAGTGGTGGTGGTGGATGGCTGTGAGTGATGCACCGTGTAAGCCCGGCCAACCAGACGAAGCCAACGGTTCGCACTCCACAATCACAATCCGTAATCCACATCCACCATCCGGCCCCTCCCCCTTCACCCCACTAGATGTGGGGCCTAACTAAGCACGTAAGCGCTCCAGCAGCGGTTAAGTTTTGGGAGTACCCAGTATTATGCGCAACCCACATAGGTAGTCATGGATGCTACTCTACCAGCCCAGCGCTGGGCGAAGTCCAGAGTCCGGAACTCGATGTCGGCCCCATAGGGCTCTCGGTAAGGTCGGACAACCGGACGCTACTAACTATACCTAGAGTAAGCAGTAGTAGACCTACATACATATCTACCTTTCCGAACTCCGTTTTCCCAATCCACTTCGCGCCAGTATGTAGTTGGATCAAATAAAAACGTGGCGGAAACGTGGGAATTGTGGGGGGAAGGGGGGCGGGGGGCGGGTCTCGAATAGGGTATCTATCGTTATGTGGTTACGGTACCGCATCTAGGTATGAAGTTACCGGTGAGAATCGAATCGAATCGATCGGGATGATGACGACGACGGGCGGCGGGCGACAAAGACGACGCTGGGTTGGGTTTGATGTGACAGCGAATTTTCCTTTTTTCCTTCTCCAACGCATACAACAACTATACTATACCTACATCATACGGTCGATGCGATCTGAACCTTCCGACGGACGGCAGGACGACAGAGGACGGACGGACGGACGACAGCGGACGGACGACAGCGGACGGACGGACGGACGGGACCGCCCCTCTCCGCCGCGGCCGCCCCCATCTCCTCTCCGCCATCTGCAGCCCGTCCGAATCGAAAGGGCTTCGAGATCCATGAGAGGGGTTTTTTTTATTACATGCCTGCGACTCTGCGACTCTCCTGCGACTCTCCTGCGGGATGATCCATTTGCCCGGACTTTCAACGGCGGCGGTGATCATGATCATTAGAAAAGCCGGTGCCCGGGGAAATAAGCATCGCATCTCATGCAAACGACAGGCGACATACCCAGGGAGGCAATACATTGACCGGTTCGCGAAAAACGCTCAACCTTCCATTAGATATTGGGGGGCTTTGGGGGCCGTTAGACGACGACGACTCTGCTTCGTATGTAACTCGTTTTTTGCCACCTATAGATGGATGTGTGTATGTAGGTAGAGTAGAGTGCTCACCGCGATCCCCCGGTGACGATCGCGAAATCCTCCGAGGCTACATACATACCTACATACCTACATACGCGCGCTTTCTCCTGCGCCGGCACAACTCCGAGGCTACGGCTTCGGATCGGAGTTGTAGAGTGGGTATGTGAGGCCTTCTGCTGTTACGTTCCAGAGGGTTGCCCCTGCCCTCGCAGTCTCGCACAAACATAGTCCGATTCCGAGGAGCCTTGGTTAACTAAGTAAGTAACTTAAGACTATGGCTAACTATGGCTGATCCATGATCCATCTGCCGCGTTTGGTTTTTAAAAACAGTTCGGGTGGGTGGGTGGGTGGGTGGGTGGGTGCAAAGATGTGCCGAGTGCTGGCGCATGTTTCACCTGCCTGGCACAGAAAACGGTAGGTGGAAACTTGAGACGCATCGAACGGTGTTCTCCGCCTATGTAGGTAAGATGTAGTTACCTGCTCGTGAGCCAGTGAACACCAGTAGCAGGAGCAGTATGTAGCAGCGGTAGCAGCGGTAGCAGCGGTAGCAGCGGTAGCAGCGGTAGCAGCGGTATTGCACCCCAAAGAGACAGCCGGCTGCACAACACCACCGCCGCCGCCGCAGCAGCAGCACCGTACCCGTCGGCGGTTTCTGGATCTTTCTTAACTACCTGCCAACCTGCCTGCCTGCTTACCGCTTCACACCAGCTCAGCCCAGCTCCGTTAGGCCGCAAGCCTCTCCTCCCCCCTCCCTTCCCTTTTCACGGCACTTGTGGCCTGTCGAAGTCCCTCGAGCTCCCTGGGGCCTGCACCCCACTCGCTCGCGTCTTCCTCCCGCTTTCCCTTTGCTTCCTTTTTCTATTCATCTAGGTGGAGTATCGCCGCATTTTGGAGAGTTAGGTATGATACTCTACCTCGCTCCCTTCGCTTCATTTTCCACCTATGCCATACGCTGCCGCTGCCGCTGCGCCGTCAGGCTCAAAGTTCAAACTCCGCTGGGCGTTCTGCACACTCAAGGATGTCCTGGAAGCTCCTTACACGGTTACCTGCGTATGACTGTAAGATGTATCTATCTACTGGGTCACTGCCTGCTTGCCTGCTTAAACGTACACGCGCCTTGCGTGTGCAGTGTACTGTGTGCTGCACTGACATTGCCGTTGCCGAGCCCGCCGACGACGACGACTTTTCCTGCGCGGTTTCATTTACCGTAGTTACTTAGAGCATGACATGTAACTACGGCCGGTTGGCCGGCTAGGGTAGGGTGAGTGGCCATGGCTATCAGTCAGAATACCTATCCCTTGATTGGTCGGTCGGTCCGCCGGTCGGTTTGGCTAGCTGGGCGGCGGGAGAGCGTCTTCCGGTACATACATACATCCTACATACATCCTACATACCTCATATCATACATACCTGGGCGCCTGGTGCGAGTCGCGAGTGATGACTAGTGCCCGCTACAATAGGCTAGCACACAAGAAGCGGGCGCCGGGCGGGTGAGTGCACTGCACTGCACTAACTACTACTAGTATAAATAAGTAGGATGTATGTAAGTAAGAGGTAAGGACTTGCTGGCTTGGTTGAATCATCTCTGAGTCCTTTCGTTTGTATGTAGATATTGTACATACATACGCCGAATTCGGCATGATTTACACCGCTGCGTCCCTAGGGTACAAGCAATGCGCTAATCACGCATTTATTGCACCCGGATTGTCGCAAAATGCGTTGCACATCGGTTTTTGACAGATACGCACTGTGATAATTGCGTTGTTGCTAGTAAATGCGTGAATTCTGCCAAAGCTTTACTCGCAGGTGACATACTGAGGGGGGACAAAAAACCTCGGCCGGGCAGGAGTGTAATTCGTACGGCGCCACACCATAATTCGTGACCATTCACCACGCCAAAAATTGGGCCTGTGGTGGTTACGACTATTGGTGCAGTGCCGGACCAAAGGAAAGCTTTTGTATTGGTCTTTTTACGTACAAGTGTCATCCGGAAAGCATTGGAAGAGTCAATCAACCGAAGTAGTTGGAGTCATTGAGGGTATGACTCTAATCAATGATCACGAATGACTCTAGTCATTGAAGGAATGACTTTAGTCAATTAGCAGGAATGACTCCAGTCACCGAGTAGGAATGACCAAGTAAACCTGCGAGACTCGAATAAAAACCCAACCTCAACAGTCTATTGAAGTTTATGTCGACAGCGCGATGATTTTGGCCTTCGCGATGCGCATCACGGTGATGTTGGAGTACTCCTGTCTACCTAGGTAAACTGCCGTAGTCTGGTCTCCTCTCGGCGCCGCTGTAGAGTAGGTATACGCATCGGCACTCCTTCTCCTATGTGAGGACATTGAAGAAGCCTCGTTCATGAGTAACTATTCAAAGGGCGAGAAGGTAGAGGGGGGGGGGGGGGGAGAACCTAAATTTCCGGCTGTGAGTAGTGTATAGGTTTAGAGATCCTTCGACCGCCCGCCGCGCAACCATATGCGCGTCCACCAGACCGTATTTGTGCCAACATCTCTAGGCATCCAAAGTTTGACACCTCCTCTCTCTCTCAGCATCATCATCATCTACAGAATAGACGATCAACCTCTACCTCATCCCTCTCTACATAGTACCCATTTCAACGAGAGCAACAGATCCATGGCGAGGATATTAGGTTATTTAGTCTTGCGAGGGCTCTTTTGTTGAAGCACCGGCGGCGGTAGGCCACCGTCGCTAAGTTTGTGGCCTCGTCACCAAGAAGTTAAGCTCGTTATCACACCGTGTCCTTTTGTACATAGTACACTCTCTATTTTACTTCTGTATCATACACTGTCTTTACATGAGCGTCAATACATCCATTGGCATCAATATCTTTTGCTGATTCTTCTCCAGGTCGACCGGCGTGACGAGGATGGGGAGCACACACAGGTGACAGTGGAGAGAGCACACACACAAGAGAGACCAGAGATGGGAGGTTGGCCGTCTATTAGATAGATGATGATCAAGAAGAAGAGAATCTTTGGGTGCCGACTTAGGTCCCCCTCCTCATTTGGTCAACCCGGCCATGCCCACCAAAGTTGATGCCCACTACTACCACATTCGTTTCCTCTCGCTGACAGCTCCTCTCACAGACAGCTCCTCCTCTCACAGACAGCTCCTCCTCTCACAGACAGCTCCTCCTCTCACAGACAGCTCCTCCTCTCACAGACAGCTCCTCCCCCACTTTCTCCTCTCGCCTACAGCTCCATCACCACTCCGCCACAACAGTGTACAACCCCCGGCGAGAAGGAGTTGTGTAGTGTCCCCGGCTGGAAGAGTGTGGGAAGACCAAAGGTTGACAGCCAGCGCAGGACAGCAAGAACAGGGACATGGATGACTACGGCACCAGCGGAAATGTGCTATCTGCCGAGACGGGTGGGGTATGGTATCCATGATGGGAGAGTCTGCTATCAGCGGCGGGGAGAGTGCGGTATGCAGCGAGGCAACTGTAGGAAGGCATAGGGGGACAAGGCACATATGGAGTATTTAGTATTATAGATTAATGCAACACATTTGATAACACTGCAAATTACCCAAAAGAACGCATTATACACCAGCCCATTTTGCGACATCGTGGAATCCCATTTTGCGACACCGTGGGCTGCATTTTGCGACACCGTGGACTACATTTTCCGACACCGTGGACTACATTCTGCAGCGCGTTTTGCGACATCGTGGACTACATTCTGCAGCCCATTTTACGACGTTAACGTATATCTCGGCGACTACGCATTCCTTGTACCCTAGGGCGTAGATCTGGTGGATCTAGTGGACCTAGTGGGGGGGGGGGGCTTGTGTGGTGTTGATTACACACTACTGCTGCTGTTAGTATGCAGAGTACCGCCGGTCTCACCGCCGGTCTGCAACCTGTCACTCGCCGCTCTCACCGCACTGGCACGGCACGACACGGTATGTACATACTAGAGTGCCTAGTAGCGGCTGCCGTAGCTGTGGCCTCAGTACATACCGGCCGAGCAAGGCTTCCGAGGACCGATAGTTCTTGCAAGTTACTCGTCGCGATCGCGAATTGTAGCTAGGTAGGTACCAAATTTGCACGCCCCCGACGCCCGTATACAGGCAGGTAGGTACGTAGTTACATAGGCACACACGATACGCCGGTACGGTACGGTACGGTACTACGGTTCACCCACTTTATCTATGTAGCTATAGTAATCATCGGCAGCCTTCGACGCATGTCGATGTCCTTCGCAATAACCAGTAACTAGTACCTACTCGAGTAACCCCCCGTGATTCGGGAAAAGATTCGGGAAAGCAAAGCCCCCAGATGTCTACTGTCCGCCGGCCGGAATCTGACAATCACACGGGATCACTCAAATTTACCGTTCCGTTCAGTGAAAATGTCGATATTTGCGCCCAAAATCCAACGATCGCGCAAGGTCTGGGGGTTGTCGCTACGTCACAGCAATTTCAAGAACGACTGCATCATATTTTCTGAATCCTAGGGGTTGAGGGCAGGATTTCATGTGGTGGTGGGGGGGGGGGGCAGTATGGTCGTGAAAAGCTGTGAAAATCACGCGAATTTGCACTTCTGTGTGGAAAGTGGGCCTTAAACCATCCTCACAACCACCATGAGATAATTGAAACCCTTTATGGTATCTAAAGAACAACTATATAGTTATAGTCCTAATCTGGAGTGTTGGTGGTGCGACTGGGTGGGTGGAGGAGTGGCCATTTCTGAGACGATTTGGAACTCTAGCGCGGTACGATCCATAGGATAGTATTTGAGCTCGTAGCTTGCAGCTTGGCTCGTTCCTTACATGGCTCCTTCTACGGCGGGCTCCGATCATTGCTAGAGAGTAAATAACGAGTGACATATGGTGGAATTGATATTCGATAATACGTCGTTCATTCTGCGTATCCTGCTCGTTGGTTGAAGGGATTTACTATACTGTCCTTCACATTGCTCGCCGTGACTGCCGACTAGACGTGAACGTTCAGAGACGGGGATATTGAGAGAAAGAAAGCAGGATGTAAAAGTAAAATTGTCCATGAATTCTTTTCTGTAGCTAACCCGCAACATCATGCGCCATGACTCACACTATCCCACCTTTTGTATTTTCGAAAACCGCCAATACTTAATCCCACAAGTGCAAATACTGTAGCAACCCCGTAACGACCAAAACGATTCTACCCCCATGCTCCGGCGCCTTCACAACGGTCCCCAGCGGCCATCCAACGCGCCAGTCGCCCTCATGATGCCCGCCCTACCCATCAACTCCTCACGGCCCTGCACCCACATCCTCGTCTTCTCAAACTCATACATGACGCAGTTCCTGCGTCCCGCCCTCTTCTCGCCAGTACCCACTTTCCTTCCGACGAAATCGAACTCCCAGACCCCGCCCTCCACACCCGCAAGCACCTCCCCACCGCCAGGGGATCCCGAGGCGAGCGAGTACACGGGCGATTCCCGTATAACAGCGTTGCGGGTGTTCCGGTGCGGCGTGTAGCGGTTGCCGGTCGAGCTGTGCAAGTAGGTTGCCCAGCCGTGGGTGCGCTCGTCGGAGCTGTTGTTTGCGTCGAAGGATGGGTGGTGCAGCGGGGAGCTGTAGGCGCGGCCGCCCGGCATGCGGATATCGAACACTTTTAGGAGACTGTGGCGGGCTCCGCCAGCGATGATCCTCTCGCGTCCGATCGGTAGCAGGGAATAGATCTTGGAGTTATCGATAGGGTCGAAGAACTCGGCTACGTGCAAGTCTGGCGAACGGAGGTCGTGGACTCTGCGGAATGTTAATCCACGGGAACCGAGAGGTGGAAAGGATGGAAACCTACAGTGTGGCACCGGTGTACCATCCCGTGATGAACACATCTGATTTGGCTCTGATGTCTGGGAAGGGCGCGATGGGATTCACTGAGGATGTCTGGCAGCCGACACAGCCCGAGGCATCGTACTTGCGTAAGAGCGTCAGTCCGGTCGGGGTGATGCTGTAAATAGCGAGTGGATCCTCGCTGCTCTTCCCAACCGCGAGCAAACCTGGCGAGAGCAGCTGGGTGCTCCATGGTTGATCTTCAGTCGACCATGTCGTGATTTCGCTCGCGATATCCACCATCACCTTCCCGCCACCCCCACCACCACCTTCAGGTGGTAGTCTATGCAGCGCAACAAGATCATTTCCCAGCACACTTGACACCAAATCCCCGAGCATACTCGCATTTCGTACCTGCTGTCCCCTAGTATTGAGGGACATATCGACCGCCACGGAGCCCACGCCACCGGCCGTCGCATCCGGCGTCAAAAGCCTTATGCACGACATCGTGCCGTTAGCTCTTCCGACCAGCGCTCTGGCCTCATCTCCGTTCGAATCCGCATCCGAAAATAGCTGCATCGCCGTGATATCGTCTTTGCCGGCCACGTGCGCCGCATCTGCATACACCCACCACTTCTCCTTGACCCCTCCGCGGCGCCTAATCAGCAGATCCTGACCGGCGCCCATACCCAGGGTGTTGCCCACAGCATGCAGCACGGGATGATACCCGACACTCTGCTTCCCGTCCTTGACCTGGACAGCCGCTGCCCAGCGATGGTACTGTGGCGCGGCAGGCCTCCAGTGCGCACCCTGGGCAGCCGCGCCACCCCTCCAATCCCCGCGAGTATGCCTCGCGGCATAGAACCTCAGCGGCTTCTGGATCAACACATCAGGATCCAGGACCTCTGCGACGAACGCGCGACGGTCGAAGTTGTGCGACAGCAGCGTCAGCTCCTGCGCGTGTCTCTGCCAGAACTTTGCGTCCGCGGCGACGGCGGCGACGGCAGCGACATCTTCCGGCGGCGATAGCGTGGCGTAGATCGACGGAAACCGGGCCTGCACGAAGATTTGCCAGCCGTGTTGGCGCGCGACGAACTGGTGGAGCGTCCGGCAGGTGCGGCTGAGGGCGGCGAGGGAGGACGCGTCCGGGATGTGTGCGATTACCGCGTGGAGGAGGTCGAACGGGAGGGTCGCGAGTACCGGCTGCGGCTTAATGGCGGTTGTGGTCGTTGGTTGGTTGGCTGGTTGCTTGTTGTCCATGTATGTCGTGTAGAGAAAATCGATTTGAAGGAGTTTGCAGGAGATGTAGGAGGTTAAGAATACGTATCTTCTGTACCTCTTGATAACAAAGGTGAAGAAGTAGGCGAGCAGCAGGGCTGCAGTCAAGTGCGTCATGGTCTGTTTGGTGCATGATGACAAAACACAAATCTATTTGTGGGGAGGGAGGGGGGGAGTCACAATCAACTGGCAACTTTGGATGGCTTCTGCAGAGCATATTGACTCTCGGGTGAGAGAGCTTGGAGAATCAAGGTCTGTTGATCGGTAAGTTTGGCGATCTATCTAGCTGCCGCCGGGCCGTACCGACAGTCAAGGAGCAGGGAGTTTTACCAGGTAAACGCACAGCGGAGAGCCGGATGATACGAGAACAATCCACTAGACTGCCTTTGTGGAATGGATCACCGCTGAAGCGCAGGTATCACACCGTCACTCAAGAATGCGTCAATCGCGGTTAGTGATTTAATTGCAATAGTCACCCAGCCAATTCTCCATTCATGCAACATTAAAAACAGTGCAGATGCCTCATGAAAACAACCCAGAAATTGTGGCAAAGGCAAGTTATGACACAGCACGACACCAGAAACATCAATCATGAAATGAGCCTTTTAACCTCCAAGTAAAACGAAACGCCCGAAAACCCCGCGGACCAGCCTATGTGAATCTCTCTAAGAAGCCCGGCGGCCGACTGCCGATAGCGCGGCCACCCTCTTGGAAAGGCATTCCTGCGTGATTCTGTCCTTTCACTCCTTTGACTTCCAGCCCCGCGCGCACCATGTTCACCCTCACCAACTTAAGCCGTGCTGCCCGTTCGTAGTTGCGTGCCATCGTAAGGGTGTCTTTGTGTACCGTCGCCCGCATGTCCGTTTCCTTCGCCACGAGGAGCTTCGTTTGTTAGTAAGAAGACCCCGGGAACGAAACATAGAACCACGTACTCTGTTTTTGGTATCAATCCGAGCATCCAGGATTCCTTGGCCAATCATGCTCACCAGCTCTTTCTCCAGTTGAGTCTCATTGGTATCGAACGCTTCGGCCATGCTTGCCAAAGTGACGCACGAAAACGGGATAAAGTATTGTACAATACTCTTGGATTGGATGATATCGTAGAGCCACTTCACGTGTCGCGTAAGGTGAATATCAAGTAGGTAGTCATTCCTGTACTCGTTTAGAATCTGTAGACAGTTGCTGTATTTTGCCGTGTAGAAGTATGAGATGGCATGACGGATTTGCGGTTCCAGCTCCAAGAAGGATCGAAAGTTACTGTTGTCAAGAACCTCTGCTTTGAGGGTGCTGCGGTCCATAGACGCTAGAGCGCACAGACCACCGTATACTGCGACATCGTTGGCCGAGATAACCTCGTTGAAGCTATTACCTAGTGTCGACGGGCAATCGAGGAAGCATCTTGCAGCGTCCAGGTAGTGGCTGTTACTGAGGTTTGCCAGTCCCATGGCGGCGGCAAGCTTCGGTTTGAGTTCCTCTTCCTCGTCCGGCGTCCTCTGAAGGTTCCCGATCTTTGAAACGTGGGACTGCACCGACATGTAGTTCCCCTGCTCAACACAAACGCGGATGATCTGAAGTGACATGTCGAGGACGTGTTTGGGAGCCGTACAGAAGTCGCGCATGCGGCTGTACGACTTGAACGCGTTAGGTAGCTCGCCCGAGGCGTAGTAGTGATTGCCTAAGTCTTCGTGGCCCATCTGCGCAAAGATAACCCGTCAGTTGCCGCATTCACAGAGAGAGAGCATGGGATCGGAGCGCTGAAAAATACCCTGATGCTTTCTTTGATCAAGTTATGCTTGTAGCTCTTCAACGCCGCCTCCATCTTTTCCGTCTCGGCCGCAACCTTACGTGTAGTCCTATCCGCCCATTCTTCATCCGGCTTCGCATCGGGATCGTTCGGAGCGATCTTCTGTAGGAACGAGACTGCAAGCCTGTAGCACTTGACGTCGGAACCTTGCTTGAGGAGCTTGATGGCGATCTTCACGGCTTCGACCGAGAGTGGGACAGAGTGCGTGGCGATATGGATCAGACGGCTGATTTGCGTACGGCCTGTAGTATCAGATACATCAGCTTCCAGCAATGGGGATGATGTTCGAGGGTGTCGCACCATGGTAGTTCGCGATGTAGGTCTCAAGGTCTAAACGTGGGGCGCCTAGTGGGGTTAACAAGACCTTCCCAGGCATAGAAAGAACAGATGAAGAAAGGTACCATGAACAACGGTATGGTTTGCAGCTGCCCGGCCTTCGAAGTAGGCATTTATTGGGTCGGACGACATGATTGGGGATGGAGGGAGGTGAGGGTGTGCTGTGGTTGAAGGTGCTTGCTCAAGCTGCGTGGGATAATGGAGGTTGGCGGCTGAAGATGGGTAAGCTAAGCTAACGATAAGATACATAGGATAGGGCCGGTGACCGGACACGTGACTTAAAGGTTCACTAGCAGACGCTGGACGGTGCTCGGGTGACAGAGAGTTGAGTGGATTCAATTTGGAATTTGAGGTAACCGAAAGTCGTCTCAACCCCTCGATGCTATTTCCGTGAGTCCATAATACCTAACAGCAGTCCTAAACATCTCTTGCACACTGTCGAGTAGGTATTTGAGCGGTAGATATTTGAGCGGTAGGTATTTGAGCGGTATGTAGAAGTATGATGTAAACTTTTACATACAAGGATGTTCTAACTCGTTACTCTGGAGAAACATGTTCTTAACTGCTCTCCATACCAGGACCAACGCTTTCACCGATTGGGACACCCTCCTGAACATGGCTACCGTACCAACATCCTCCACAGGCTTTGCGACTACAGAATCTTTCATAGCAACTCGAGGAACATCATGCACCTTATCTTCTGCTCTCAGTTAACTACCAAGGGTGTTTGTCGCCCGCATCCTCCTGATGTCTAATACCCGCAAGGATCCCTTCTGCCCCAACTAATGGACCAAGAAGAATGAGGAATCATTCAAGGTGGAGTTGCCTACCCGACGACTGATAGGCGAGGCCTCACCGATTCCGACCCCCCGTATGTGATGATGTACTAGCCCACTGGGAAATGCTGTCGGGATGCCATTCGTTCTCAGGACTGCTCTATGTGGGGATCGGCTCAACAAGATACGAGCCAGTACCGGGCTTAGTGACATGACAGAGTACCGGAGAAAGAGCACCGGTCTCGCTGCGGCCTTTGTACAGATTTGTCTCAACCAGCCTCGAACGAACACATCGGATGCTAACGAATCACTAAACTCGAACTTTCTGTTTGCAAAATTGCTGTACAGTGGCACTCTGACGATAAACGGAGATCACATGATCACACAATGCTAGCTCCCAGGCTTTCAATAGCTCTTCGTGACTACAGAAGAGTATCTCCCTGGACCACCACCGCCGCAATATAAACTCAAAGTCTCTCAGACGAAGGAAAAGTTTAATCTCCACCGGATAACCGTCGTCCGGAGGTTTCTTCCCTTTCCTAAGGCTCCCAAAACCGCCTCAAGGTCATCCTCTAACACTTTCCCCCTGGAACGGGGGTCTGGATTCTCACTCACAAAGTCCTTCACGTGCTCGTCCCGTCGCCCCCCACTAAAACACCAAAAAGATACATATTGGAACTGATGAGATCATATGACCACGGCAGGGATCGAACCTGCAATCTCTTGATATCGGAGTGTTACTCGTAGTCAAGCGCCTTGCCATTGGGCCACGCGGCCAGTAATTGTTTGTCTTGAGAGCATATTGTTTCAACATCAATTTGGATTTGCACGGTAGCTTCGGATGGTTGAGGTCGGTCATAACTTTCGGGGGGCGAGGCAGGCGGAAAGTTCCACTAATCGGAAAACCCCGAAGCCTACTAAGAGCTCACCAAACAGACCCAATTCTCATAAGGAGGCGAGGGACCTTACCAAGAAAGACGTGATCCGAAGCGGGCATATGTATACAGGCCGTGAAGCCTGAATATCCATAAGCTTGGGGACGGAATGGATCTATACGGGGTTTGACGCGGTCTTATCCCGTGTACGTCGCTTTTCCAGGGAATTTTCACAAGCTAGCACTCGCATGCGAAGTGCATCGCGAATATACTTTGAGTGTGAAAGGCTGAAGGTTTCTGGAGCTAGGCTTGAGTTCGAAAACGTTCCAAGAATAATAGCACCAAAACTTGCTATTCACGGCTGCTCGTTTGAAGGTTTGCTGTGACGGGAGTTCACGCCCTAACTCACATCTTAACTTACATTCCGCCTCGACCAACATCTCTCTTCAACCCACAGCTCTCCATCTTTCTCTTCAATACCTCTTTCTACCTATATCTCTCCTCAACCAACAACTCTCTTCGACCCACAACTCTCCTCAATATCCCTTTCGACCCACAACTCTCCTCAACCAACAACTCTCCTCAACCAACATCTCTCCTCTACCAACACTCTTTGCCCCGACCCATACTATCCACTGGCACCGTCGATACACTCGACTTGGATTTAGAACCTTGACTGCAGAACAACGCGCAGTGTACGTACATGCAACTTCCTACTCTGAGGGTTTGGACCATCGCTAACAGTAACTCCAGCTTTCCGAAGAACACATCCCCTGGAGAGCGGTGGGCGACATGAATCCCATTATCAAGAAACTTCGCGCCATGCTGGCCTACATAGCCAGTACGCCCTTCTACCGATTTTTCCGCCGGCTTTCCCGTCGGCGTCCCGCTCCATGGGAAAAAGCAAAGGCTGCCCGCGACGCTGCCTTCGCCAAGCAGACCGACGACAGCGTTGAAGCGCCTAATATCCGCGGCGCCTCTCTCGATAGCCAGATCGACGACAGCATGAAAGGCATTTCTATCCGCGACAGTCCGCCACCAGAGCCCGCCGACAGTCACCCGAACTACACGGAGGATGTAACCTTACTGTGCCAGGCAGACCCAGTCTACGCCTTCACCGCCACCACTACCACCACCACCACTACCACCATCAAACAACTGCCCAACCACTACCACACCTTCCACAAAGAATACGTACTTCAGCGCGTCGACTACGTCCTCATCCTTCCGCCAACAATTATTATCACGCCATGCGAGGACAACGATCCAGAATGGGTAGAGAGCAATTACCCGTACGAGCCTCCCATCCGGGGACTCCTGAGTCGGAATTGGGGAGCACGGAGGCATGAGACGTCGTGGCAGTATACGGCGTTCTGGGAAAGACAGGAGAGGTTGTCGCGGTCCCAGCAGAAGAGGCTGGATCAGAAGTATGGTGTTGGGATGAGAGTTGCGAAGCAGGCTGGGGAATTTAAGACCAGTAAGGGGGATGATTGTTACTGGACCGATGATGACGACGAAGATTCGGATGATGAGGATGAGGACGAAGATGATGAGGATGAGGAGGAGTAGGGCCAGGACGAAGATGATGATGGGGTGTATGTATCTGCTGGGGGTGGAGTACCCCTTGGAGCTTGAAGAGAAGCAATAAGGAGCATATACCCTTGAATCTACGGCCATCTCCTGGGGGTAATTTTTTTCATTCTTTTTTTTTTACTTAGGAATATAATTTAGTAATCTTTCCCACTACTGTTGTCTCCGCTGTCTTCCCCCGTGATCGTTCCACCTGAACAGAGGCTGGAAGAAGGTTTTCGTCCTGGACCACATGGCAGACGAGTGCCCTCAGTAACCAGTCGTTGAAATAATCAGGAGACCAAAAAAAGCTAGCTACCTCATTCGTTCCTACGAGATGAAAAGAACCCCTATCCCCGACTATTAACCATAATATGTACATTGGCCAACATCAGACCTTCCCTCTCAGAGCGGCCTCGCGCTTAACTCCTGGACAGTGCCTTGCTTTGACGGATCCAGCTCATAAACGCCATGTCCTACTCCGGCCTCGGGGTCACCCTGACTAATCTTCTGCTTCCCGCCACGCTTCCACGGTCTGAACATCTTCACCGCAAACGTCAGGTACGTGAGGTACAACACCCTTTCGCGAGTGACTGGAAGTCAGCAATCAATTGCCAGAACTCGCACCCGTGCCCGTACCCCCTCGGAAGGAATTCTCACAGCACTATAAGGTACCCAATGAACCGAGTAACATTCGCATAAGTAATTACACCGGTGCCGTAACTGGTAATATAATTCACCATGGAGACACCCGGCCAGAGTGAAGATTATCGCCAGCAGGCTCCATATCGATGCGATCGATACCGCGTAGGTGGGCCGTAGATGGCATTTAAAGAAGAGGATTAGGTCCAGTGCCGAAAGGAGGATGAACTAGATCTGGATCGGCCATCTGTGATTACTTTAGCAACCTATGTATCTACCTAGGGAGGGAACATTTGGCTAGGGAAGAGGGAAAATCGCACGTGAAAACATCAATGAAGTAGCCGTGGACCACTAGGTTGACGCCGACGGTCCCCGATGATTCTCCAGAGGATGCGGATGGGATTGTGGTCTTTCCAGCGCGGATCACCGACAGCCGGGTTTGAGACGAAGACGTTCTTGATGGGCATGGTTTTCGTTTCGTTTAAATTGATCGTGGGAATCATCTGTGGTGTGTGGGGTCGGGAACTACCCTCCTTAAATATGGCCTACACGACCGCCTTGACGACGGGTAGATGCATAGCCAATGCCCCCATGGATCTATTCGGGGAGCGGGATCGAATGGCGGTCTGGCAGGTGGTCACACCGCATAGTGAGTATTCGCTTGGGTTCTCCAACCGCGTGAAAATTCTTCAGCCGTGTCTCACAAACCCCACCTACATGCAGCACTTGAGCTGCCGTCCAATGGGGAAATATATATGTACCGGTACGTAGCTCAAACGGTGGTACTTACCGGTAACTAGTGCAACAGTTTCGACTCCGTCAAGAGGTTGTATGTAGGAGGCTGTTACTATTACCGGGGCACAATTCGAATATTGAACCAACGCGCCATGTGCATTGCGCATAAGCCAAGAATACAACAGCACTTCCAAGTTCCCCACCTGCTTGGAAGATGGATCCTCCCATTCAAATTTCACCGACTCTTTTCCCCACGATGACTACGGGTATTATGCAAGGGTTTCGTACTGGAAAAGATAGGAAGCACCGGCGTGTGACGGGCCGCGGGTAGGTACTCGAAAGCCAAGGGACTTGGATGATCGCTGGCTTTTGTCTTTCCTTTTTCGAGTATATATTTCTTTTTGCTGACAGGAGTGGCAAGTCGGATCATAGCCACACTAGCCGGATTGGGTGGCCTCGAACGGTGGAGGTATCATAGCTTGTGGCAGCAGAGAGCTAAGATGGCTCTTCAAAGTTGAATAAAACCTCAGCTTCTCAACTTCTCATTCATCTTCATTTTCGCCGATCCTTTGCCGCGCTACTTTATCTTCTCTCTTTCTCTTCCTACCTTCTCCTCTCTCACCAACATAGACACACACACAATCTTTCTGTCCACAAACACACGCACACACTCTACCTCTCTCTCCACCGACCTTACGCTTCGAACACACCGTCAAGATGCCTCGTGCAGAGAAAATCCCCAAGATTCCTAGGTAGTCGTCCAGGATCTCAGAGAAGCGGCAGCCACGGCAGCCGCGGCCGACCACCAAAGCCCAAGAGTTCAAGGCCGAGTAAGAATCACACCCCGCCCTCATCCTCAGTCTCCGCTGACCAGAATTCTCTTACCAACATCTTCAAGAACCTCGTGCTTTTTGCCGTTATTAATGGTTGGTGGGCTGGGGCCGACACCTACCATCTCCATCGGGAGCTTCTCGTGGGGCGTTGTCCCTACTTCGCCAGCCTGCTGTCGGCAGATGGTGAGGAAGCCTCTGCGTATTCCGCGAGGCTTCCCAATCCCGTCTCGTCCAAAGTCTTCGAGGCATTCGTGGGGCTCCTGTATACTGGAACCTACACGTTTCCTCAAGGCGCCACCAATCAGCTCCTCTTGCACGCGGAGCTGGCCATGTTTGCAGACGAGATGCTCATGGCCGAGCTCAAAGACGTGGCAACGAGGAACATCTCTTCGGCGCTTCGGCGTCATGCCTCTGGAGCTGATTGGGAGTACGAGATTGTTTTGTTGTTGGCCTACGTCTACGATGAGACCGAGGACGAATACGCCGATGGGGAAGCATGGCCAAGCCGCAAGGCCAGTCTCCGCGACATTGTCACGGAGCACTGCGCTAGGAACATGAGTGCATTGTTGAAATGCACCGTGTTCGTGGCGTTGGTCAAGGAATTCAGGGAGCTGGCGCACACCCTGTTGTTGTGGCAGACGCGTATACATCGCACCGATGACTCGGATACTGAGTGAGTTGAAACGAAAGTCCCCCCCGGTGTGCGTTATACTGATAGTGTGGTTACATGAATAGGTGGTGATCTCGGGAAACCCCCTCACCTTTTTTCCCCTTCTTTTTTCCCATAATTCGTCGATATACTATTGTTTCTTTTTCCTTTTCATTTTCATTGGCTTTGTTGGTTCATATTTTATCTACTGGTTCCTTGGTCTACTGCGCTCGATTATATCTTACCTAGACTTCCATTGCTGGCGTTTCTTCCTCCAATATATATTTGGTATTTTGTTGCGGCCCAAAAGAATGATTATGTAGTCACGTTACCAAGCGTTCGACCCGAGTCTTTTCCGCTGCGATCGGCGTCCGCAGCTGCTTCACCCCTTCTGAGGATGGATTCAGTCAATTGGATGCAATTTGATCGAGTCGACAATTCAGCGGCCGAGCTACACCACCCATCACTCATTCAAGAAACCCACTGAACGAAGTTAAAGCATGATGATGCAATTCGAGTACAGTACACCCGTATTCTGTAGGGTCTAGAGTGTTCTATACCTACGATCTGATGAGGCTACTCCCTTTGGATGGCCTCGGTTTTCAGTTCCAGTTTTAGAGTAAAATTCAGTTCCCCGTCGGGACACCGAATACCGTACTGTTCGGTTTCAGTTTCTGGAAAACCTTGAGGTAAACAGAGTGTTTGGCAGTTCTCAGTGTACTCGGCCATAAGTCTGAATAATAGGCTTCACCGGAACTTTAATAGCAGACACATTGCAGTCCCGCTTTTTTCTCCATGGTTGAAGTTAAAATACGGTACTGAGTGCTGGTGAAGAAACTGACCTCCAGAGGTTAGTTCCCGTTTCATCGCCGGGGCCACACAGTTTCGGTTTTTTTTCCTCAGTTTTTGTGCCATATTTAGGCTAAGATGTGGTGGTTGCGGGGAAAGCTTATTCGCTTCCTGGTTCGCGTTATGTAGATATCTAAAGGCCGTCACCACTCCAACTAGTGCACAGTCGTAAAAACCTTTGTAGAACAGCCGCCAGCTCGGGCGGCTCCGTTGACCCAACTGCAGCACTCATATTCTGAATCTATCGAACCGCCATGCATTCACCTGCCCCACGCCCAGACCGCGTCTATGGCCAACCCCAAGCACCTGCCCACGGCTGCTATGTCTAGCTTAATACTCTAAATTTTCCAGTTTCTCGGAGGCAATCATCACAGGCCGCGTGGCCCAATGGCAAGGCGCTTGACTACGAGTAACAACTCCGATATCAAGAGATTGCAGGTTCGATCCCTGCCGTGGTCATATGATCTCATCACTTTTTGTGAATATCTTTTTGCTCCTTCTGGTGGCTCATCAGGCATTATCTTTTGGTGTTTCCTCTCCATGGCTGATAAAGATCCTTTATTCTTTTCGATCACTCGGGTTGGTTTTGGAGCCTGATGAAGTCTGCAAAAACAGCATTCGCGGGCACTACATAGAGAAAATCTCGAAACCCCCCATTCTCGCCATTAAATAAGAAAATAATATCAACCCAGCATTAAACCTTTCTCGCTCAGAAGCCCCCGGCACCCGCCTCACGTACAGCGCCCTATTGCAATGGACCCAACCCCTGAAAAGAGGGTCCCTCTCCCGTCGCAGTCATCCACACTTGTCTTCTGTTTCCCACCACGCTTCCATGCCTAAACGCCTTTACCGCAAACGTCAAGTACGCAAGGTACAACGCCCTTCCGGCAGGACCAGAAGTCAGTACTTGCCAGCCAGTATCCGTACATATGTACGCATACCCTTTGGATGGAGAAAACTCACAGCACGACCACGGTAACGATCAACTGGACAATATCCGAATACCCTCGCGACGTGTGGTCGTACCAGAGGCACGGGGCAAAAAAAGACATACGGTAGGATGCCCAGCCAATACAGAACAGCGCAAATACGATCCATATCGATGCGATCGATACCGCGTAGGTGGGCCTCAGATGCTTCTTGAAGAAGAGGATCAAGTCCAGGGCGGAGACCAGGATGAACCAGCATAGGAACGGGGTTCTATGGTTGGATTCTCAGCTACTACTCAGGAGGACTGTCCAGGAATGCGGGGGGTGGGGGGTGGGGGTGGGGGATATCGCACACTAGGTTGATGTAGTAGCCTTGGATCACTAGGCCGATGGCAGAGGTGGCGATGATTCCCCAGAGGATGCGGATGGGATTCTGCGATTTCCAGCGAGGGTCGCCGACGGCCGGGGCGGGGACGAAGACGTCTTTGAAGAGCATGGTTTTCGTATCGGTGTATGTAGATGATTGTGAGGATTGTGGGGATTGTGAGGATTGTGAGGATGATTCGTTATGGGGTCAGGAAGCCACCCTTCTTAAATACAGTCCATACGACCGCCTTTTGACGTCTAGAATAAGATCACTGAGCAGTCTGCTCGTGAGAGGGGAGCGTAGAACAGATGGGCGCAGCATTGCTTGAGCTTCACGGGTTCCACCAGAGTCTCTACTTGTGCCTCACATTCTCCACCCAGGACTGCGTTGCCAAGTGCGCATTCGCATGCGATCCGATCGACTGGTAAGGTTTTGGCAGTGGATACAGTGCCTACGATATCGTCTGGCAGTGGTAGCACTGATTCAGGCTGCCCACAGTCCACCACAGGCTACGGTCTCTGAGACGGCGGGATCTCCGCGCCGATTGGGGCCCCGCGGGATGGTAGGAGATCACGGGCTTTGCAGGCAAGGTGTCCAGAACCACTCAGGTGGCGGAGCGAGTGTTCTCATGTGTTTCCAGGTGGTTTTTATACTACATTGTTGATTTACATGCGAACATTCGGGCCATGGGATGGCGTGAGAGTGTGTGCTTCACTCCGTTGATGGCTGCCACCTACTATGTATGTGCAGTCGCACAATCGTGAAAACTTTTCGGCCACGGTCACCAGCTCGGGTGGCTTTCGTCAATTTGATTGCCGCATGCGCGGTCAACCCCCCACCCCTCGCCAGACTGCGCCTACGGACGATCCCCAAGTGTCCATCCAAGCCATATCCGGCGTAGTTTGCTCAAGTGTGTTAATTCTGAGAACAAACATAATCGGCCGCGTGGCCCAATGGCAAGGCGCTTGACTACGAATCAAGAGATTGCAGGTTCGATCCCTGCCGTGGTCACTCAACATGAGTGTGAAAAATACCTTTTTGCCTTTTTTATGGGCTCCAGAGATATCAAAATGTCTTCAGTTTTCTTCCAGAAGATTAACGGCAACTTTTGCTGGTTCGGTCTCGAGATTCATATTTTCTCACATGCCCAGCTCCATGCATGCATGCTTGCCTACCAGATTGCGATCAGAAAGCGTGGGAAAACAAGAGTTACACTGCAAAATGAATAGTGGTAGATGTGTACATTTGTAGATGGGAACTTTGCAGAGTATGGTGGTGCGGAGAGGAGAGCAGAGCACAGCGGCGGCGAGATGAGAGCGGAGTGCAGCAGTACAGAGCGGAAAACATAGCATCGCAGTATAGACAGAAGTACGCCAGTTGTCGGTCTCCCTTACCAGGCCCTCCGACAGTGCGGTGACACTGGCCTCACGGTGATATGCGAGGGCCTGGTAGGGAAGACTAACAGCTGGTGTACTCCTGTATATACGGCCGTGCTCTGCTCTCCTCTATTCTCCTCTGTGCCTCTGTACTCAACCCTCCTCTCGACGCCGTTGTGCTCTGCTCCATTCTCCGCGCCGCTGTACCTATTCAGCTCTCCTCTCCTCGCCGCTGCCATATTCCGCTCTCCTCTCCCCTCCGCCACCACCTCAAATAGAGGCGCTCTGCCCGGCGTGGCCGCTGCCATTTTCTGGAAAATTTTGTTGCTCATGAATCGTTGTATATATGAAGTATGTATAGAATATGTACAATCATTCTCCCGAAGAATTCTTACTGAGTCTATACACACTAGTCAAACCGCTTATTTCCCGAGTAGTCTACTTTCGCTTAGCCCGCCTACCTGTGATCTCAGTTTGCGAAAGGTCTTTTTCGAGATCATTTGAGGGCTCGGCACGTTAAGAACTCGCCTCAGCTAGATCCCTCAGGGAGACTACCATCGGATCAATTGTGTTGCCACAGATACCTGCTCTACGATGTTCACTGTCTGGAGGCTACTTGAAGAGGATTTCGAACAGCGGCTTCCGGATATTCGGATTCTATTTGTTCCATATGATTCACACGGCCTGCAACTCTTAATCAAAGACGTGGTTGAGAAGATTCCGTGGTTTCAGATCGTCAGTCAGGGAGTGAGAAAGGTTGTGTCCTACCCCTATCGCGTAATGACTGAAGCAAGAAGCGAAAGATGTTTGCCGTAATGATGTAGTTGACGGCCTCGAAGAATCGCATACTGAAGATGTGCACCGCGGAAGTAGGACACAACCTTTCTCACTCCCTGACTGACGATCTGAAACCACGGAATCTTCTCAACCACGTCTTTGATTAAGAGTTGCAGGCCGTGTGAATCATATGGAACAAATAGAATCCGAATATCCGGAAGCCGCTGTTCGAAATCCTCTTCAAGTAGCCTCCAGACAGTGAACATCGTAGAGCAGGTATCTGTGGCAACATAATTGATCCGATGGTAGTCTCCGCGGGTAATAACTCCCAACTGCTCTAGGATCCAATTGGTGTAATTGCGTGCAGTGAGACTACGACTGCCAACATCTTCTGCCCTGTGAAAAAAGGTCAAACGACCGACATTGACGCTCATGCTAACGATACGATGCTTTGTGATGTCGGCGCTTTCGTCGGTGATGATGTTCAAGGCTCGTCCGTCTAGCATTTCTTCCACTTCGCGGCGCGTTCGTACTCCTGGCGAGTAGTGTTCATCGCATCGTCTGCCCCGCAAGCATTGCACCCCATCCGTGGGCACTTCAATCCACCCAGCCATCAGCTTTTGATTTCGCATAATGTCAAGCACCCCTATTAGAGCATATAGGTAGGTACCTTGAGGCCAAGCTTCATGGACTTGGTAAAAGCTGCAGCCACATCGCGGTTGGACTTGGGGTTTGGCATCTTCCTCAGTGAGTGTAGTGAATGGCAGAGATTTCACCCCACCCGCCGTCCGCCGCCCGCCGCCTGCCGCCCGCCCACTAGTATCGGCCATGATCGACCGGCCATGGCGGAGTCATGCGGATGGCGCAGTGTGGCGTGTGGCGTGTGGGGAGCTTGGCAGTAACATTACTGCCAAGCTTACATCGTTACGTGGACACTTTACCGTCACGGCTCATACTTTACGGTAATCCGGCATTCCTACAGGGAGTGCGAAAGAGCATTTGGGAAACGGTCATGTGATGGCGAAATTGTTTTTAACCATGCGTTTCTGCTACTGAGTGAAGCTGCGTGACCACGCCGCTGCCGGTCAGCAAGACGCAGCGTCGGACGTTTGACCGACACTCGAGCGGTGCACGGCGATTTCACGGCGGAGACAAAACCTGGGTTTCGGGATTCAACCTATCGGCCTCCACTAGCGTCCGTGAAGGATATCCCGCAAAATTCGTTTCGAGCACCAATACGGAAGGGGAAACACCGAAAAAGAAATCCGCAGGAAGTGTTAAGATCATATGACCACGGCAGGGCTCGAACCTGCAATCTCTTGATATCGGAGTTGTTACTCGTAGTCAAGCGCCTTGCCATTGGGCCACGCGGCCTGGGATATACCATGGTGACCCTGCTACACAAATCGTACCAAGCATCCTACGCAACCCGGCGGAAAAAAGCTAAGTACCCATATATCTACGCCTCTCCGCTTCAACACACTCAAAGCAATACGAAAAGACAAGCAAATAAGCAAACAAGCATGCATTCCGTGATTCGCCAGTACGCCGCGCACTCAAAATATCAGATAGGCCAAGGTAAGGTTTACATGGAAAATAGAACATAGGAAAGGAAGAAACTCGCCAGCCAACCGAAAAGAATAATAATGTGCTCTGTCTCTCCGCGTAATGCGATAGTTGTACAAAAGTCAATGTAGATGTAGGCGGGTGAATGATTTCAAGAAGAAGGAACCGCTGGAACTATGGGATCGGCCGCTGTCGTATGCAGGGTCAGAGTGACGTCTGGTAACATCGAGGGCTGTTTGTCTGCCGCATCCGTCATCACTGAATCTTCATCTTCGGTCGCTCCATCCCTCCTCGGCAGGGAACCGGTCTTCCACTTCTCGGCGAATTCGGTCAATCGAGTGGCCGTGTCGGTATGAAACAATCTACAAAGGTCAGCCTGTACTCATAATATCTATAGCAGAAGCACCTCACCCTTCCAGAGCCCTCTCCACATTTGCCCCAGCCTCTAACAGCAGCCTCAGCACACCCTCATGCCACTTGCCATCCACGGCCAACCTCAGCGGCACCTCCGGCCCAACATTGACTTCAGCTCCCCACTTCAGCAGATGCTTGACGACCTCGACATGACCCTCAGCCGAACTACAGCCGAGCGGAGTCCATTCACTCTGATCAATCTTGGCATCAACCGACGCTCCATTCTCCAGCAACAACTTAGCGACCTCGGCATGTCCGAAATCCGCCGCGCCATGGAGCGCCGTGTAGCCATCATCGACCTCGTTCTGCGGGTCCTTGCACATCGCATCGACCTCGGCGCCGTGCTCGAGCAGAAACTTGCACACGAGGTGATGTCCCTTCTTCGCGGCGGAATGCAGTGGCGTAACCTCCGTCTCACCGCGTGCCATGATATTCGCATTGTGCTCGACCAGCAGCTTCACCACCTCCAGGAACCCACCACGGGCGGCATAGTGCAGCGGAGTTCGCCCCGCGTCGTTCCGGACCTGGACGTCGGCGCCTGCCTCGAGCAGCACCTTAATGAGCTTGATGTGACCGCGGGACGCCGCACCGTGCAGGCAGGTTTGGTCGGCCATCGGGCCGTCGCGGAAACACAGATTGGGTGAGACATTGTAGCGGTGGATGAAGACGGAGGCAACGTCGGGATTGCCGTTGATTGCGGCGTAACGCAGCCCACGGGTGCCACCGTTTTCGCGGAGCGCTTGCCGGTAGAAGTCGGCGGTGCATAGCGAGTTGAGGTGTTTGTTTGTGCGCAGGAACGCTGCCCGGTCGCTCAGCGACAGCTCGTTGGCGACAAGGATGACGATTTCGTTGGGGATTTGAAGCAGCATTGGTGGTGTGTTATGGATGGTGGTAGTGGGGGCGGGAGTTCCGGAGTCAGAGCCACTGGGGATGAAGGTTGTGGAGACCATAGGGAAGCTTCTAGCGACGGCGGGGGTGGTGGGATCAGTAGTAGTGGTGGTAGCACTAACGGTAGTGGAGACCAAGGGAAGGGTCATCATTGAATCCAGTTCCCTCGCTAGTTTTGAAGCATGAAGCTGTCTTAGCCCTGGATAGCTGTGAAAGCTGATAGCTATCGGCCCTACCGGGTAGGTACCTGGTATGTCGATGGGATGCTCTGGAACGGAACTACTGGGCCTCTAGTTGGAGCTCTAGTGGGGGTGCCATCGCTAGGAACGAAACTTACCCGGCGTTCGTGTGATTAGCCATCACCAACCCACATCGCAAACATCACCAAATCCAGATTACCGATCATGCAACGTTAGAGTTCACCACAATCACATGTTCGCACCAGTTAATTGAACAAAATACAATGACCGAGAAGTAGAATAATCATACTGTCACACACACGCCCCCCTCAGGGAAGCAACTTGAAGCTCTAGCTATCGAAATACCATGGCTCGCAAAACCCAATCGCAGAAAGTCAATATCTGGGGGGAAAAAAAGTCTGTACCCATTAGTCAAAAACGCATGAAAAAAACTCCGGGAAAGATGTGAAATATACGGACAAAAAATCAACGGCCAGATTAACGATACAAGGTCCCTCCAGTTTCCCCAGTACGAAAATTCAGACCCCCCGAAAAGATGGAAAGATGAAGAAAAAAAAAAGAATACAACGCAAGTGGAATCGCAAATAAGTTTCCCAACCCAACGGACAAGTAGACAAATGAAAGGAAAAGTACACAGAATACGCACTCGCTCAAGGCCCAGAATTTTTTACAATGGGACTCCCAACTCATGAGCCGGACTATTCGAAGCTGCCACTAACAGCAAGCGTCCTCTGCAGAGACTGGATGTCGCCATTGACCTCGTTAAACACTTCGAGGGCCTGTCTGGCCACCTCCTCGCGGTTGTAGTTGGTGCGGGATTTCCAGACATAGTCCATGATCGCCGCGTTGACCTGCTCGAGCTGCTCAACGTTGTAACCGGAGGTGCCTTGCGTGAGTTTCTTCTGCACACCCTCCATGATAGCAGCCGAGCATTTCAACATCGGAACCGGGGGCGGAGGGATCGGCCAGACCTGCGACGGATGGGGAACCGAGGCGGGCGAGGAGTCCGTCTGCGAGTAGGGGAAGATGGGTCCTGTAGCTTGAGAAGCAGGTGTCGAATGTGCGTAGCCCTGAGAACTGTGCTGACCCTGCGACGACTGGAGGACCTGGGTAGCAGGCAACTGCGAGTCGCCTTTTCCAGGAATGCCGAAATCGCCCCATTGCTGCAGTTGATCATGCGAGTCTCCACCGTAGCCATTGCTGTTACTCTGCGGGTTCGAGTGCGGCTGCGAGCCAGTCCCTGCAGTTCCATCGGATGTGCGTTTGCCTCCAGAGGTAGTAGTCGAAGCGTCATTAACGATCACCGACAAGTCCGTCGTAGCCACAAGCGCCACACCAACGATGCCACCAGGGCCAGATCCCATCTGCGTGAGTTGAGTAGGCTGACTGGGTGCCATCATCGGACGATGGAGAGGCGGCGTATGATACAGGGAGAAATTCGAATCTCGGTTCGATTCCGGAGGGTGAGTGGTACCGCCAGTCGCAGCAGCGGAAGACGCAACATTAAACATTGCTGAGTCGTCGAAACCACTCTGCTCACCGAAGAGCCCGCCGACGGGCTGCTTCGGAGCAGGCGTCTTGGGAATCACGATCGGGGTCTCGTGAGGCATTCCAGCGATTGCGGTGCTTTCGGAGTTGCTCTTGGATCCCGGACGACTACCATTTCTGCTACCAGCCTCAAGCAACTTCTGCTGTTCGCCGAGTGCAGTCTTCTTTTGCTCCGCTCGCCTCTTCTTCTCAGAGGCTCTCTGCTTCTCCCTCTGGTACATATCCTCGCACTGGCCAACAAAAGCGGTATCCATCTCAATGTCCGCAATGTAAACCTCAGCATTGGTAAGCATCTCGTTAGCCTTGCGCTGGTTTTCCTTGTCCCCAACGAGCTTTGCGTCGTGTCGGATGCGTTCAACATCCATCAAGAACTGTCTCGGGGTAGAGTAAAATCCATTCGAAAACCTGTCCTCGATGATGTCTAGGTCCATGTTGTAATAGACCTTTCCCGTGAGGGTGTCTTCGACTCTTAGCACATTATCGGCATCCTGGTAGGGCCGGAAGCGCTCTGGCTGCGCAGGAATATCGGATTCGACAAGCGACGAATTGCCAGCCGGCGGGTCCAGAATACGTATTATGACTTCGTGCTCGATAACCGGCTTCTTGAATCGCCTATACTTCTGCTTCAAGTTCTCCATCAGATTGTTCAATCGGAGCTTGAGATGGTTCTTCAACTGGCGGTCCCGGAGAGCAATGGCTCGCTTCTCGTCGTCGGTTTGCTCACGCTTCGGGGGAGGCGAGGCACGCTCCAATTCAGGAAGCTTTCTCTTCTTCCGGTTCGTTGGATCTTGCGGGAAATCACGAGGCGACTTTCGGATGTGAGACATGACCTTGTCGAAGTACAAAAACCTAGCGCCCTCGTCTGGCCGCTCAAGCTCAAACCTGTCACGCTTAGAGTAGCCAAACAAATCCCTAGTGAGGTCTGGATCAAGTTTGTCCACCGGCACCTCAGAGATACCGAACAATAGAACCCTGTCGTTGGGAGCAATGGACTGCAGAAGCCCCTTGAATGCTGCGATCGCGGCCGCCGGCAGGGTGCGGTACCACACGTCCACATTCGGAATGAAGATCACACTCGGCTTGTGTCTCTTGATCTCCGTAAAGAATTGCACAAGAGCTGTCTCCGGGGTCCGAGTGGCATCGCTCAGCAACGTGGCGAGGTCAAATGACTGAACGTGGACCTTCTCCATGAAATGCAATACCGCCGCAGCGAGGTATTGCTGTCCCAGGCCAGAGGTACCATGAATCAGCAGTCTGGGACGATAGATGCGGGCACTCTCGAAGTCTGAAGAATCATTAGCATCGCAATCCACAACGGTGAGGCGGTGAACTGCTACTTACTCTCCATCATCATCTCCCGTGCGAATCCCTCCTCCGCATCCAGAACATCGTCCTCGTATTCCGCTTCCTCCAAAGGAGTCAGACGCTTGAATTCCGGGAAGATACCCTTCAGACACTCCTTAACACGTTCCAACTGTTTGGAAAGTAGTGGCACGACGTGTTCCGGCAACGGCGACGCACCGGAAGCGGTCGACCGTTCCGACGAAGGAGTAATCTTCCTTAGCGACATCATGAAATCTCGTGCCGTCACGATAACACTGTGCGGATCGACCTTAAGTTTATCCAGTGACTTGTAGATCTGCGGGTACGTGCGCTGCATAGCATTCAACGCAGCCTCGGTACACAGTGCTCTCAAGTCGGCACCTCCGTATCCTTTGGTGAGCTTTGCCAATTGGTCCTTGAACTCATCGGCTAGTGGCGGTTCCCATCCTTTCGAATGGATATCAAGGATGGCTCGCCTCGCCTCAGTAGTCGGCAACGGGAAGTAAAACTCTCGATCAAAACGCCCGGGACGACGAAGGGCAGGATCCACGGAGTCGGGCCTGTTCGTTGCGCCGATGACAACAACCTGACCTCTCCCGTCCATACCATCCATGAGCGCCAGCAAGGTCGACACAATGGAGGCATGAATCTGTTCCTGTTTACTGGATCGTACCGGCGCCAATCCATCGATTTCATCGAAGAAGATGATACTTGGCTGGTTGGCCCGTGCTTCGTCGAATAGCAATCGTAGCTGTCTCTCTGCCTCTCCAACCCACTTACTCAGGCAATCGGCACCTTTGCGCATGTAAAACGTGACCTTCTTGCCATCTGCTCCAGTAAAACTGGACGCAACGGCTCTCGCCAACAGAGTTTTACCAGTTCCCGGGGGACCGTGGAACAAAACACCGCGCGGAGGTGTGACTTTCTTGGCCTTGAAGATTTCGGGGTACATCAAAGGCAGCATGACCATCTCCTTCAACTGCTGGATACGATCGTCGAGTCCACCAATGCTGTCGAACGTAACGTCCGGAGAAATACCGAGAGGATCCGCATCGGCCAAGGCATTCTTTGCCGATTTAGTGACCTTTCCGAGGTTGGCGGGGGCACCAGCTTGCAAAGCATCGGCATTGTGAGTCTGAGCGACGGCAGGCAGTAATCCAGGCGCATGCGCTCCGGTTGGAGTCATTCCCGACATGCCACCAAGCCCAGTACCTCGACCGCGTCGGCGAATGGCTTCTTCGTCACTGCTGTCAGAGTCAATGTCTACAGGCGCTGTATGGCGTCCAAAGAACGGCACAACGTCGCCTCCGAAAGGGCCGTTGGTATCGAACAGACTCTTGGAGTGTGAGAGAGCATTGCCAGCCCTGCGCTTCGACGGAGTAGATGTCCCAGCATCATTATCGTCCAAAACAGCCGCCATCTCGGGTCGGAGAATCCGGTAATCCACCTGTCCGACACGACGTCTGAGACGCGGTTCGGTAGCAGTCGCACTCTCGTTCCCAGAGAACTGTCTGCGTTGGGTTCGCCTCGGTCGCTTGGGAGATGGTTGGAGATCTTCAAGCTCTTGCTGAAGCTCCGCCTGGGATTCAGGTTCTTCAGATCCCGGGCCTCTAGCCCGTTTCCTGGAACTCCTAGCGTCCGAGTATTCTCCATCCTCGCCCGAACTGTTTGCTTTTTCCTGGGGTTTGGCGGCAGCGCGAGTCCGCGATGACATGCTGTCGTCCGACTGCTCGGCCTCCTCGCCTTCCTCATGGTAATCCTCGTCCTCGCTTCCGGCCTTTCGACTCGTTGCGCGACCAGCTCTCTTGGCACCCCTTTTCAAGCGACGAGTAGGTTGAGAGTCCGGCTTTTTGGACTTCTCGACACTGCTCGTAGGATCACCAGCCGAGCGCAATGTTCTAGGAGAAGGAGTCGAAACTGGGCGAGAGGTGGCCGCTCTAGTTCGAATTCGTTTTGTAGGTCCGTCATCTTCATCTTCGTCGGCCTCGTGACCCGTATCATCTCGAGATATCGATTCCCCGACCTCAGCAGCGGCGGTAGTCGTCTCGGGTACATCGTCTTCCTTTGTTTGGTCGGTTTGGCTTTCTTGTGCTTCAACATCACCTTGCTGTTTGTTGCTAGCACCCGTGTCGTCATCACCTGATTCTTCGTCCGCGTTCTCAACTTTTTCAGGCACTTCCTCATCCTGTTCGTGCTCCCTAGATTCTTCAACGGAGCTCTCTTCAGGGATATCCGAGGGAGCAGTGGGTTGCAGGTTGCTCAACACGACGTGCTTGCCGGAGTTGCTGAAAGCGGCCAACGGTACGTCTGTGTGTGCCAATCTGCCCGACCTCCTCGAAGGCTCAGCGCTAGCCCCACGACCCCGGGTCGCCTTGTACCCTCCCATAGGACCTTTGCCTCCCACGGCCGGCCGCTGGGACTGAGTCTGAGACGGAGTCGCCGCAGCCGCAGCCGCAGGAGTCGCAGAAGTAGCCCTCGTTACCCGTCGTGTGGGCTGCGGCCCCTCAGGGTCTGGCGGATCCTGCGTCTGGGCAACGAGTCTAGACTTGTATTTCAGTACAATGATCGTCGTAGGACCAGTACCGGGTGCTTTGGCTGCTGCTGACCTCCTGGGATTCAACTCTTTATCACTATCGGATTCCCCGTCATGACTATTAGACTCGATGGACTCGGAATCGCTGGATTGCGCCATGACCGTAGCGTTTTTCTGAGCCTTGAGGGCGGCACCACGTCTCGGTCTACCATTCCGACCGATCGCCACAGGCTGTGTGGGCTCCTCCTCCTCCTCGGCGTCTTCCTCGGTGAGTATCTCCGACAGATCCGTGTCCTCGATATCGTCCTCATCCTCTGAATCGTAACGATTGGTCTTCTTGGGCTTTCCGCGACCTCGCCCCGCACCGCCAGCTGCGCCCTTCTTTTTGCCTGACGGCTTCTTCCCCGGCGTCTTGCGCGACTTTCGCGGACTACGCTCGGTCACCGCGTGATCGTCGTAATTTTCATCATCGGAATCGGACTTTAAAAGGTCCTCGGTCGTCACGTCTCTCTTGAGAGTGCGTTTCGGCATCGTGTATATTGGTGTGTGTGTAGGAGGGGGTTATGTTCGTCGCTCGATTAGACCGTGCGCGTCTGTCCGCCCAGAAGCCAGAAGTTAGAAACAGCTTGTCCGGTGTCCTTCCTCCATCCCGCCACGCCAACTGTCGGTCTCGACATTTCTCGACTCAAACGGCACGGGAGTGGGTCATTGTCTTACAAGGAATTTGATGTTACTTGAGTTCTCTCGACGCGTAAAAATGTGGAGCGGTGTTGGTCACTTTGGCAGCGTTGGTGGCGCGTGGAGCACGCGACTCGAGCGCGTTGGGAGGTTGGTGGATTTCGAGGGCGGTGATCGAATCCGAGAAGGGGAGTAGAGGGGGAGAGGTCTGTGTTGGGTGGCGGCGGGTGACAGCCAAGTGGACGACCAACACTAATAGCAGCTGTCCAGACAAACCATGAAGGTAAACTATTTTTCTGCGTGTAAATAGAAAGCCCGAGCAGTTATGATTGCTTGTTTCCAAGAGGTAAGAAGAAAGAAGCGAAGACGAGGAGTAGATTTGGTGATGAGCGAGTGTGTGGGTTGAGCGGATCCCTCTGTCAGAGCGAGAAGAATACGGTGGTTATTGGTGGTGTGTGTGGTGAGCAAGACGCGGCTGAGCAATCATCCACCCCATCCTCCGCGCCAAGCCACAAAACACCGCATCACCAGCAGAAAATCAAGAACCGAATCCACGGTTCCAGCCCGCTTGCAGAATTATGCTTAAATTCTCCGAGAGACCCGGACAGCGGGGCATGCCTCCAGGAGGTGTTCCTGCAGCATCCCACTTCTGCAATCTTTTTTTTTTCACAGCAAAATGAAATCTTGAGCCCCGCGATTTATATCCACCCAGCGAGCCTCGCAGCGAGAAGCAGCTGCGTCTTCTGCGTTCTCGATGATCTGTCTGTGCAGAATTGTGGTGGTGCTCATTCATCCCAAAGTCATCTCCAATTCGATCGTAACGTTTCCCCTGGAAAAGCAGATCTAGAGATTGTGGCCGTTCGCTTGACACAGAGCCGCATGCTAGAACCCACGTGACTCTCATCCGGGTAGGACCCGGTCCCATGCATCTCACTCGTATCGCCACCGATTGCAGAATCTGACGATACGGATTTCGTCCATGAAATCGCAAAGAACGCCTAGAAGAGCAAGTATTGGTATTCGAACCCCTAGAGAAAGAAAAAGAAAAAAATCATGAGGCATCTGCAGAGCAGAATGAGACCCATGTGCACCAAAAATCCTACGGAACAGAAGAAAAAAAGAACCATAAAGAAAGGAATCCGTACACCAAAGCGCCCACTGGTATTGTAACCAAACCAAAGAAGAAAAAAGAGAAACAAAAAAAAGAAACCCAAATCCAAACATGCGATTACTCAAGCCTTCTGCTGAACATCTCCAAAAACGGAGAAGAGTTGCGTCAAAATCTGCGACTTTGGCGTATCCACCGCCGCGCCTCTCCTCCTGCCAGTATTCTCCACATCCTTCAATGTAGTCATCAACTTTTCCGTCCACTTCTTCTTCGCACACAACTTGCGTCGAATGGAATCTGTGGTCGCGAACGACACCAGTATCCTCATGGCGGTCAGAAGAAGCTCGTACTGCGGGGTTCTCATGCTTGCCGTCTTCAACGTCTCGATGCAGTGAAGAATGACTGTGAAGATATCCTTCCCGCTTTTGCCAACTTGTCGGCCTGCGAGAACATTGCGACAAGAAGGCACGCGGGCGACATTTGCGATGGTGTCGATGGAATGAGTCAAGGTCCGCACGGCGGCTGCCATAGCGGTCTTCTGCACTTGCACGACCGAGGTATCGATGCAAGCCAAAATAGCAGCGAATCCGACTTCATCTCCCGCGACTATCACTGCGCACTCCGAAGATATCCTGGTCTTGCTCTCTGCAACATAAAATCGTTAGCTGAATTCGCCTCATGTACCGGAGGATAACAAACCGAGTACTGCGATTGCCCTAGCAAAAAGTGCCTTCTTCTGGACCATCTCCAAAGCCTTCGTGGTTTGGGCTCCAATGGTATCCTCCTCCGCAACCTTGCCATTCGAGATCTTCTGGATTCTCTTCCGAATCACACGGAGCCTAGGACCCGACTCCTTCCTGACTAGATATCCTCTCCAAGCACTCTGGATGACAACCGCTCGCTCTCCGAGACGGTTCATCCTGACAACCCAAGCCCTGGCCCTCCAAGCTCTCTGCAAGACGACCGCGGCCTTCGCAATCCGCTTCTTCTCGAGATATCGCATTTTGATCAGCGAGACACACGCAACCATGAGTTGATATTTCGCAGACAGCTCTCGGGTCAACACTGTCTCACGCCGACGCTGCTGTACGAATATAGTAGCGCTTCGAAGACGAACGTATTCAGCTCTGACCTTCCGCATCTCGGTTAACCGACGGTACCAAAACTGAATGTATCGGATGTCGACAACGCGGTCCACGCATTGGAGGCGAATAAGTTGACCGCGAGCGAGGCTTTGTAGCTGAACCACCGACCAACGAGTCTCCAAAAACAGTTGCCGTTCCTTCTTTGATCTAATGTAGCGCCTGAAGGCTCTCTGGATGCCTATTGTAGCAGCTCTTTGGAGCAGGTATGCATCTCGAGCTTGTCGTCCGACGATGACCTTCTTCCAGACTGCTTCAATCACCTTCACGCTCCTCTTCAGCCCATGAACGTTGTTCCTGGCTAGGATACCACGAATAATAGCCTGAACGCCGACGATCGCACCCTTCGCCACGCCAATTCGCTCATGATATTTCGCTTCGCGAACAGCGCGCCACCTCCGCTGTATAGCTGCTGCCGCCCAGCGCGCATCTTCCAGGGCGCGACGAGCCAAAACTCCACGGCCCAAGGATTGGAATGCAACCGTCGAACGAATCAACAACTCGATTTTCTTGTGAACATACTTTCGGAATGCTCGTTGAATGGTGATCGCCGCGTTCCGCTTGTTGATGATATCCGCGCAGTGGTGAGCTAGGATTACAAGTCTGATGCGTTTGTGCACATTCGCCCGAAAGACTACGTTGCGGTAGACTCGTTGAATCATCGTTGCAGCTCGCTGTTGGATCGAGGGTTGTACGAGCCTAGAACACAGATACGCCAATCCGGCGACAACAAAGTCTTTGGTGAAGACCCGGCCGCCATTGTCCTCAGTTTCAAACAAGCCAGCTAAAGAGAGTCATTAGCACAGCCGATAAATAACTTCAAGTTTAGGATAATCACCGAAATAAGAGTTGCATCCAATTCCCCGGAGCTTGATCTGTAGCGAAGCGGCAGGACCACTCTTGGCGTACGAAGGAAGGTATCGCTCGTACTCGCTCACAATGGCCGTGAAGACCTTGCCATCGGCAAAGCTAGTCGTGAGATTCGTGACGACAAGCCCATGCTTAGCTGCGATGCACGTCGCCCAGTTCTTCAAGAGTCCGACGTAATCCCGAGAATCAGAAACGACGTCGTTAGCCCTGTCTGAAGATTCCTTTGTTTCCAGCCGGGCGGTTTCGTTAATGACCGTATTCCAGTCCAACAGCAATTCAAGCCCCCATTGGCTCAAAAGACCCCATAACAATCCAACCGTCTTCTCTCGGTACCCATCGACGATGTCCTTTGCTTCGATGCGATGAGGCTTTCCGCCAGCGTTATCCAAAGCCGACAGCGCAAGATTAACGTTGTGCATTTTCTGGACACGAGAGGTGGCTGGATGCTGCAGATGGAGAGACAAGGGCCAGTCATCCTCCTCGTCGTCCTGCTCGCCGGATAATGATTGTCGTCCTTTCGAACGCAACAGCACCTCTGCCACTCTAGTGAGACGGATACCATCTCTCATGTCGACTGCGATGTTGTCAATCTTGTAGTCGAACTCCGAAAGCGGGTCTTGGACGGCCTCCAAAGTGTAATTGAGATGGCTCATTGGCTTGGATATATCGCCATGGGAGGGGATGAGCAACTTCGAAACCGCTCGCAACACCTCCAAAGAAGATTTCAGCGTTGATTCCTACTTTGTTAGTTAAGCCTGTATACACTCCATGCATTACGAGACATACCTTCTTGAAGAGACACTGTCTCCCGAGGGCACCTCGTGACTTCGCCTTATCCAGCAATAAAATAAGCATGAAGCTCCTGAGAATGGTCCGTCTGAGCATCCAAGCTGGAGTCCCTATATCCTCATCCCCCTTGGCGTTTCCTCCTAACTTGACACCCTTTTTAGGCACCTGAATCGGTTCAAAATGGGTCGAGAGGATATCCTCCGAGTTTATGAGATACCGGTCCATGTATGTCTCCAAAACCTTCTTCTCCGACTCGCCCGGCATAGCGTACGCAAACATCTCGCGCCCCACTACAACCTCCAAAGCCGTAATCAAGACGGACTGATCGTAGCTCTTCATGAATATCTCCAAGAATTTCTCTCTCGCACCAACATCGGTACCCCAGCCACTGGCTACGGGGAAACTATTTTTCGGCGGAACCCGAAACGTCCTTGCCACCGAGCTTCCGCTGAGCACATACTGTGTTATAGACAGCGCACCATACAGCAAGCTGGCATGAACACGGCCGTAAGTGAGGGGGAATGGCTGAGCAGAGTACATCAAAAGAAATTCCTTCCTCAAGGCTAGTCTCTTCTTGCCGGTCGGTGTGGGAGAGAATGTCGCGAGCAGATGATTCAAGAGCTGTGACACCGAGGACTCCTGTGCCGAAAGCCACGACTCCTCGTACATCTCACACCTTTCGATATCCTCCGCGAGAACTGGATCCAGAGGACGCTTCTTGGCCGGGTTAGGTTGGTATGAAGTGGTGCCTGGGATCAGGAATTCTGAGGGCGGCAGAAGATCGTTTTCTTCCTCCTGAGTGAGCCCCGGAGGCGTGGGAAGAGATGCAATTGATTTTTTGGCACGCTTCCTCAGTCGCAGGGTGCCAAAAGAATCGGTATAGGTACTACTCGATTGCGAGGTAAATGATGAGCCTTCATCGAACGAGATATCGTCGGAGTTCCGCTTCCTCGATTTGTTGGGATTTTTTGGTACTGCCGTAGGCGCGGGTGGTTTGACTGGAGGTGCAGCTTTTTGAGCTCGTCTGCGAACTGGATCATCGGATAGCCGAACTGATTTCCTCGTGGGCGATTTATCCCACTTATCTGCAGCACGTTTTCGGGTGTCGCGTTCGGTGGGCTGTAAGTTTTCCTTGCCACTATTGCGATCCCTCGCTCCACCGATCGGAGCCATCGTCTGGCGAGGCTTCGTGGCAGGCATCATGGTCAGTCGCTTTGGCGGTGCCTTAAGCTGTTTCTGCTCTCCTCCAAATAATTGCTTCTCCACTAGCTTGACCATCGGTGAATTCCGGGCCTTGTCGATGAGAGCTGTTGGTTTTCCGACTGCTTCATTGCTTGTGCGAGCTGGACGGCTCTCCGGTAGTGGTGCTCGTGCTACATCCTGAGCTGCCGCTTGCTCTAGGTTCTTCGCCTTCAGTAATGCACTCACTCTCCGACGAGAAGGCCGCATCGCTCCGAGTCCGCCTATCAGAGATCGTTGAGGCTGTTGCTGAAGCGCACCCTGTGGTCGCCGTTCCGGTTCCTGGCGATGCACTGGAGCTGCCTGCTGATCCTCCGTCGATTTCCTACCTCCTACCCCCGCATTCGTCTTCCTTTCCTTCTGTTGCGGCAGCGGTTGCGGCTCGTGGCGTACCGGCGGAACATAATTCGTGATCCTCCGCGGCGGTTCCTTGAGTCCCTTTCCCTCCCTCTTGCGCGTGTCCCTATTAAGGAACGGTTCGATGTCGGGTAGTGCTACGGTGAAGTCAATGTTCGCGGTGTTGTCGTCGTCATCGCCGGAGAGAGCGTCGCGGTATATGTTGAGAGGAGAATTCAGGAAGGAATTCACTGAGGTGGTCCGGACCGGACACGGTGTGCCATCCTCGTCCATTATTTTCGGCATTGTGCGACTTGCCGAGGAGTCGCGATCGATGGTGTCGGTATTTTAAGGGTTGTGGCAAGAAGCAGGTGGTGGCGGTGTGGGTGTTGTTGTTGGTGTTGGTCTTGGTGTCGTGAGCGTCGTGCGTGTCGTGCGTGTCGTATCTAGCGGTGTTTGTTGCCCGTGGGGTTTCGTGAATGGGGAACTTTGATGATCGTTGTAGCGGTGCTTGTTTAGTGCTAGCTCTCGGTTGCTAGGGCGACAGCCGGGATCACCTGCGCGCACCCCTTGTATTGAGGTTTCACGTGCCGTAAAATCTGATAAGAAGCCCGGGAACCCAGCTCCATGAACTGTAATCTAGCCTCTGCTTCAGTCGGTCTGATGCGGCTCCGGAGCTACCAGTCTAGAGATGCCAAGTCCACCAGCGATACTCTATTCATAACTCGTCACTCCGTCGATCGCACAGAATCAGCAGCCGAAGCCGGGCACATCTGTGAGACAGGAGACGGGTGCACATGGACCTAGATTTCGGATGGAGACTTTCGCCAACGGCCACACCGGGATATATAATCACTTTGCAGATGCGCCGGCCTATTCTTGATGGATCACAAAACTACCATCAATAAGCCGAAAGCATATGAATAAAGGATAAGATGCATCATCTAAAATACGGGCCCCGCTGCACCGCACCACACCGCCTTGTTGGTAATTGCAATTGCTGCATCGTGTCTATTGCCTTGTCTACACGCCGTACCTACTTTTGGAACTCGGAGCCACTCGTCTGAACGCCCGGATCCGATGGGCGCGCGAAACGAACGAACGGTACTGGTCAAGTGGTGGGGAGGATAGAGTAGTGGCTTCTTCTGATTCTTCCATGGGGCACTTCGAGTGTTTGGGCCGCAGACCGACCTGCGCGCACTACATAAGTCGGATTTTCCTGGTGAGCTGGGCCACACACCAGTAGCTGTCACGTCAAATTTTGTAATATCCGCACATATCCAAGTATCCAAGTATCCACCATCCCTACACAGCACAGCACTGCGTTTGCGAATCCCAGGCCTCGAGACCCTGCCCGGTTTGTCGTTTCTCCTAGCACTTTAAAAGCTACTTAGAAATATGCGTTCAACGGGCACCCGTTTCCCAATCCGGGATATTCGCCGAGCAATAACGAAGGATCCCTAACTTGACATGAAGCAGCCGGCGGCGTTCGGCAGCTGAGGAGGAGGGAGATACTTCATACTCCATACAACCCCGCATGATCCCAATGTATAGTCGTCGGCCCCGTACCTATTCGGAGATAGATTGAGTGGGGTGAAAACCGATCATCATACCTATCTTGACTCGCCAGCCGTCGCTTCCTTCACCCCTCGCGTTTACGGCCACTTAGGCTGCGCATAACTCCATGTAGCCCGCGTACCTTGCTTCCTCGAATATGTTGACCGGATGAAGTTTATGGGCTAGGCATCCACCTAGACCGGTATATGCGCTACGGTGCGGTGAGGTGCGGTACTGATGGCAGTCAGCCCTATCCAACAATGATGAATCTGACGCATTCTGTATCTTACATATCTCTGACCGAACCGTTTTTGAAACCTTGATAATTCTCCGGAGAGCTGTAGTTAGAGTACATAACAGGCGCCGCACCCGATGAATAGTACTATACGGCACACACACCGCACATCCAAGCCGTTCAGGATTTCTCTTCATGTCTCCGTGAGCTCAACCTTACCATGCGGCAAGCCGGGGCCAGGGGGGATGATGGACGGATGACACGTGAGATTGGAGCCGAAGAACTGCCGAATCAAATGGGCCGGTTGCTCTCTTGCCCCCCTCCCACTCAGCCTCACGGCCACGGAATCGAAATCGTCGTTCACCTCGCATCGTTCCGCTTTCGCTTTCCCAGATAGCTGGAGGATCTGTTGACTGGAAAGCCGTCGTCTTGATCGTTGCCCGAGAATTCGACCGTGGGCCCGTCTGTGAATCGAGCGGAATATATTTCCCTATATACTTCATGTACAAGGTAGGTGTACTCTACTCCATGATCCATCTACCATGCACGCCGGTGGTGCTGGACCACCTTGCCTCGCGGCGACTAGACGGTCACCACCATGACGGCGGTTTCTCTTGATCCCCCGCCTTCATCCTTGGAGCCTCAATAACCCGCATGTGCCTCAAACATATGCACTACTACGTACTTGCATTGTACCTACGTGGGGTACTCTCGAGGGCATGAGGGTCGTTTGGTGCTAGTGTAGCTGTTGCGGACGAGCTGAGAAGACGGACTGGAGATTGAACAGACGGTCAAGACAGAGGAACGGACATGGCCGCAATATAGAGCTTGATCTTGAGTAGTTATAGGGGTTTAGTTTCTTCTTCTTCTCCGTGGCATTCGTGTGCTGTGTTGCTGTACTGTTTGCAGTTGTGCTTCTAGGTTGGAGGATCAATACAATTGCACAGCCGCACAACCGCACAATCGCACAATCACATTGCGAATCAGACGCCCCGACTGCCGTGCCCAAGCGGGGCCATGGTGAGGGGAACCGAATGAGTGAGCTCGAGCACGATGAGCTATCTAGGCCGGTAGGAAGCTATTGTAATTTGGCACCTTAGAACTTATTTTGAGCCGCGTCCCACGCAGATTCGCAGGATGACCAGGCCCACCTAGAGTACTCTAGTTACTCCACAGCGGATTCGAACTAGGTAGGTTTTGTATGTAGCCATCCATCTCACTGGGCACCACCACCACCGCAGCCCCATAACACCCGCTCCCCTCCCCCTTCCACCACCCTTTCCTCCTACATATACGACGACAGGCAGCTGTAGAACAACTCTCTCACCTGGCAGCTCACAACCCCCCCACTTCCGCCTTCCTTCCCCTCCCCCCCTTTCTCTCTCCGAAGGCCGTCAGGGAGCCTTCTCAGAGTCCCTTGGGTGACTTTTCGTGTTATTGTTGTTATCAAGGCTGCAGTGGCTCGCACGGGCTGCTGCTTGCCAAAAACAACAAAAACTCGCGCCTAGTCTGTCATTTTTACCACTTGCGGATAGTCTTGGTCCCTATTTAAGTAGGTAATTGGTTACCCCCTCCAAAAAAAAACACACCCAACCCTCAAGCAGCGGTCGCGGCTCTGCTCTTCGACCTTCAGAGCCTCAACCCGCCCGCCCCATCGAAAGGCGAATCACGACCTGCAACTAATACTTAATCCGCACCAGAAATCACCAATACACACAAAAGGAATAACAGAAGAACTTGTACCCCACCCCCGATTGTGCGCGCGCTCAGTCGAGCCTGCCGACTGGAAACCCATCCGAGTTTTCCAGTTACGCGATCGCAGGAGTTCGTTCCAAACTTCAACTTCAGCCTCCTTCGACAGATCCCCGACACGCCTTAGCCTCCCTCCATTTCAGGCCTTCGCCACACGGTCCTCGGTAAGTTGCCTCCATGAATCCTCGCTCCGTTTCCATCACCTCCCTTCGCTCGTCGCTCGTTCGATGGTTCGCTCGGTCGGCTGTTCGTTCGTAGTACATGCGCTCGTTCGTTCGTCCGTGGCGTCCCTGTCTTTCGTGTCGTTCGTGTCGTTCGTTGCGTTCGATCCCCTAGTCTTTTCGCGGTCGCTGCGAGCCTCACGCACTCTACATAAGCGTTGATTTGAGATCTGCTCGCTTCATGCCCAGAGCCTCAAACCAGCCGCATCGCATGCTCGCACCGAGAGTGCTTGTACTCTTATGGAACCACGTCGTCAATTGGCTGCTTTCATATCACTTTTTTTGTTGGTTGAGCTGCGCGCTATGGCAAGAGACCTATCGCCTTCGCTGTTGTTTCTCCTGCGCTGGCCGCCCCTCCAACTCGTTGGTACTGAAACAGCGAGCGGCTGTCATGCTTCTTCCTTCTCCACCTTCACTACCCCCACCCCAAAATCTGCCTACGACCGGAACGATTGCTGAAACAGTGTGCTAATTGTCGTCCATGAGCTTTTCAGATCATTCATCGAGCCTCAGCGTTTTCTTCTCTACTGCGTATTCCGTCCAACCGCTTCCACACGGCCCGCACTTCTTAGGTCAGCACCAGCTTTCAGCTCGTCCACGAACCTCCATCCGCGGCGGGGGTTATTATCAGGCAGTGCTTTTCCCACTCGGCGCTTTCTTCTGCACTTCGCCTCCCTCCCACGGACTCGAGCGACAAGCGGTGCCACCGGTATCCCAGCTCTCCCAATCTCTTGCAACTACCTCGACTGCCTGTCGCGGTAGCATTCGGTCAGATAGCTCCTCACGAGGCTACGGTTACACAGAGCAACGATTGGGCTGACTGAGATCTCACCTGTCCAGTCACTGTCTACCCGAAAGTTGGACGTTCCTACAACGTCCTTCACTCCTCCACGACGAGTTCACATCAGAACCACCCCGCAAATTCAAATACAGACGAGAGCGAAAGCAGTTTTTTCGACGATTTCAAGGATTTCAGAACCGCAAAAATTTCCGCCGCAAAGACCCACAGACGCGGTTCCATCAACTCCGACTCAACGCTGTCGCCCGCGCCAGAAAAAAGACACGGGCTGGCATCACAGGGAGACGAAGTTCTCATCTCTTTTCTGGCTCCTGAGCATCCACATATAGCTCAATTGGCTGGGCAAGTCGCCTTGCCCTGCCTAACCGATAGTGACCACGAGATGGGAGAAGGAGGTACCGGCGGCGGCGCCGATACGGGAGACATAAATAGTCGCAGCCCGAGCCCGCGACCGTCAGATCTGGCAACCCAGCCGGCGAAGAGGGAGGGGGAGGATATCGTAATGACAGGGAGCGACAGTGATCAGACTCGGTCTGAGGGAGGAGAAGGTGGGATGACTAAAGCGAAAACCAACGGTGCGGAAGCGGCGTCGGAGGTCAAGGAGGATGGAGATATAACCCCGGCCCAGTTGGCGGATCCGCCAGTAGATCCGGAGCTTGTGAAACAAGGACTCTCGGAACAAGGCTCGAAGGAAAGTGTAGGGGGTGTTGCGGCTGATCCCATGGATATGGGTGGTTCGGAAACAGTGGGAGATACGGCTGCAAGCCTTGTTTCTCTTGCTGGTGGTGCTGTCAGTTACCTGTCTGCTGCGCAATCGGCAGGCAATGGTACGGGCTGGGGGCCGCATGGACTCCTTCCGTCGTCACCGGAATCGCCAAACAAGCGCTTCGGGCTCAGTTCGTCGCCGCTACCATCAATGATGATGGGTCAGGGCTCATCTTCGCCCACTGCAATTCGAGACGGTAAACACACCACCTTGCCACCAATCAACTCCATTGCAGATGTGCCGCTCAACTCGATTGATGTTCTAGCCGAGTTGGCCACCAAACAGGAGTCGCCGCAGCAAGGTGGCTGGAAAACCGGGAGTGTTGCTAGGACAGCTTTCCCGCAAGTCCAAGCGAATCTCCAAATTTCACCGTCTAACAGACCACCGGCGACAGCTCCCTCCCCAGGGTTACCGACTCCCGTCAGTTCCGAAGGAACACCGCGACCAAATTTACAACACATGAGTGTGCAACAACGTCAGCACGTAATCATGGCTCCGAACGAGACGTACTATCCCCATCAACAACCCCACTATCCCCCCATCAAGGATGCCTCGGCCAGCCCTAGATCCGGATACGCTGCTCAGCCTGCTACTCCTACATCGGATAATGCCAATCTGTTTGCCCGTAGTGGATTTGCTGGACCAGGTGCCGAGGGTCGGAGGGTGTCAAACTCGTCTGAATTCCAATACAACTCGGACCAGGCGACTCCTCAGGGACCTAGTACGGGCGAGACCATGGGTTCTGCAGCCTCGGAGGACACTATACCGCAGCAAGCACAACAACATCGGCAGCAACAATCACCACCGGTAGGCGCTCCACGCAATTCTAGCGCGAGAGGTTCGTCGGGTCCGATGGTTGCAGGGGGATTCAAGTGCGAATTCGAGAATTGTCGGGCGGCTCCGTTCCAAACACAGTATCTTTTGAAGTAAGATCCTTTCCCTCCTTCCGCGCGAATATTTGTACTCAGTCTCTAACCAACTCTCTAGCTCACATGCCAACGTCCATTCGTCTGCGAGACCCCACTACTGCCCGGTCAAAGGATGTGCTCGGGCCGAAGGAGGAAAGGGTTTCAAGAGGAAGAACGAAATGATCCGACATGGTCTCGTTCATGACTCTCCCGGCTACATATGTCCTTTCTGTCCTGATAGAGACCACAAGTACCCCAGACCGGATAACCTTCAGAGGTATGCTCAACCGCGTAAAACAGCCTTGAAGACCGCATTCGCTAACTCCAGGTATAGACACGTGAGAGTCCATCACATGGATAAGGACAAGGACGACCCTTCGCTCAGAGAGGTGCTCGCGCAACGCCCCGAAGGTGGAAACCGTGGCCGCCGACGACGGATGGCCCAGTAGCCCGCTACTCCTTCGACCTGGCCACCTGCGACATACCCCTCATTTTTTTCCCAAACCTATCGAGCGGGTTATGAGACAAATCAGGGCCCGTCTCCCAATATCAATTGCTGTTTATGGGGTGTCTAGGGGTTTTTTCTTGTTTGCTATCAGTCCACCCGACTAGCGAGTACACATCAGCGTCGGGCTCTTGTTTCTTTGGGAAAAAATGTTCGCAACGGTCGTTGGGGTTTAATAACCTTTTTCCTCTTATTTCTTCCTTCTCCAAACCTTTTTCCATCTCTGCGGCGTAGTGTGCTTCAGTCTTTTTTCTGCTTTGCTTGCTCTACTTTTTACCTCTGTTTCCCGAATTTGCTTTTCACCGTACGGAGTTTTCTGCTTTTTTTTCTCCTTCTTCTTTTTCTTCTTCTGCTGCTTGTCGTTGCTCTACTCTACTTAGGTATTTCTACTTCTACTTGATGGGGGGCTGCTTGCTACTCAACCGGGGTTTTAAAAGCAAAGAGCTTGCAATGGCAGGATTTGCAATTTGCATTTGCAGAATAAACACTTGGCTTTTCGGACTTCATACCTACATCTTCACATACTTCATACACTTTGCAAATGTCTCCCGTCTCGTCCCGTCTCGTCTTGTCTCGACTCCCGTGCTTCGGATGGGATGGATGTGCATGTGCTGTGGAAAATACTTACCTAGCAAGTAAGTAAGTACAAGTAAGTAAACAACACCCGGCAAGTAAGCACCATATGTACGGCTGCTGCAGCTTACGCCCCACCATCCCTATAGCTACCTACGGCGATAAGTCAAAGTGTATGTACACTGTAAGGCGTAAGGCGTAAGGCACGCCGTGTTAGTCGTGCTGGGCGGACAGTAGTGTGGGTGGTGGTGGGTGGTGGGTGGTGGTGGGATGGTACATAATGGCCTGGTGGGCTGGTGGGGGCGGCGGGGGTAGGCTGTGGGAACTGTGGTGCCGACTGGCTGGTGGGAGGGGGGTAGTTCGTAGACGGGGGAGGACGGCAGACCACCGTCCAGCAAGCGGAGATCTTACGATTTCCGTGGGCGGACGACGGCAAACTTGTCCATCCACCATCCAGATCGGAGCATGGTGAGTGAGTGAGTGAGTGAGTGCTTCGCAGGTTCGGTTTTTTGGTTTGAGACGATGCTCTGCCAAGTGCGAGTGAGCCTACAGGCGTGGAAGACTTTTGATCTTTGACCAGGTGGACGTACTATGTAATGGTTCAAGAGTGGGAGGGGGCGGGAGTGGGAAGGGGAGAAGGGGAGGGACGTGGCACGGGTGTGTGGTAGGAGGGAGGGAGGAGGGATCAGATTTGATTTGAGTGCTTATCGCGGAAGGCATTTTGATTTTGTTCGGGGAGTGTGTGTGCTTGTATTCTTTGAACGGAAACACTGGATACTGGTTGGTGGGCATAGCGAGGCGGATGGTGACGGACCACTCCACGCTCCTCCTCGTCTCCACCTCTCATCCAAGCCAGATCGGAAGATACACAGACACAGACACAGATACACAGGGGGGTGTGGACCGTATGGACCGTGTGGTAACTGTGGGAGTGTCGCCAATTTAGAACGGAGGGGAAAACTGGCAGACTTGACCTGACTTGGTTCTGATCTTTCTTGGTTCTGACTTCTTGACCGTCTGGTTTGACAGGATTGTTTGATACCCGATAATCATGCCTACGGTAACGAACTAGCGTAGGTACCCAGTTTTTGCCCATTGCCCAAACGAGCAGGACCGGACGGCGGACGACGGAGATCTTTTGAGCCGCGGTATATAGACTGTTGAGCTTGTACATAGTGTGGATGGGGGATCCCCCAAGGTGGGTCGAGTGTACTTGTGCATATATATATGGCGAGTTCAGCTGGCCGCTTGCATATGCGTCCGTAGGTTTTGTGATTGTGATTGTGATTGTGACTGTAACGATCCATGGTCTGCCATGGCAGGTCTGGTGGCAGGCCTAGACTGAATGTGGGGCATCGTAATTGCGCTGATGAAGGCTGAAATATAGTTGAAGGGTTGGTTCGTATGAAGTAAAAGGAAGGACGTCGATGGTGGATGGAACTGTATGTACATACAACGAGGGTAGGGAAATTATATCGGCTGGTAAGAATGTACTGCTTTGATCGGTGCCTGTGTAATTCTCCTCCCACCGGCGATAGGAAACAGCTGATGTCAAGCATTAGTAATGGAGGATACAGTGGAGATATGCGGAACTGTGGCATGTTGGGCTTTGACAGCTGTGATGCGTTTGAATGTACTGGTACCATGGTGTATCACTCGGCTTCTAGTGTACGAAGGGCTGTGAGATAACAGTGGAAGGGTGGTTGCCGCACTGAGACAGTGACTCGAGCTATGGACGGGAACGGGAGAAAATGTGCGCCGTCATAGTCTAAGGAGGCTGAATGAGAGTATGATCAACAAAAAAAAACCTGAAGATACACAGTTCACGTCCATCATCTTCCAAGCACTCATGTTCGCTCGACACGTTGTCTCCATTGTAACAATTTACCAGAGCACCCATTTCCATCGCCGCCTGGTATAATCTTATCGCACATTCCAGTCAAAAGTCCCTCTACACAGTCGCATCCCCACGCTCCTCCTGGGCCAACAACCCCCTCCTCTCCCCCTCCACCTCCTCCCCCTCTCCCTTGACTCTATAAAGCACGTAATGCTGCCACATAAACGCCAGGTCAAAGCCCATCGCAATCAATGACAGAAAGAACTTGACGGGGTTTCCGGTGACTCCCGACCAATCACTCTGCAGCGACGAGTCCAGCAGTAGCTGCAAGAGCGACAGCAGGCCGCCTGAGAAGTCGAGAAGGATGTTTTCGATCGACCACCCCACGGTGGATTTCCGTAGGTAGTTCAGCCGAAATTGAGGGGTGTATTTGAGCAGGCTGATGGCGAGTTTGAGGGTTGTTAGCGTGTAGACCTGTGTTTGTTAGCATAGGACGTCACTCGTTGATTGACATTTGTGATGAGGTGGAGTAGCGAAGTCGTAAATGTATGTGAGCGCTCTGGCTGTAAATAAGAATATTGGTTGGGAATATCCATCCGATAGCGCCTTGGAACGGGTGGAGCAGGATTCAAAAATCGCAAAGGAGAAGGAAAAGTACTCACCACGTCAATCCACCCCCAACTGTCACTGTCTACACAAGCGCAACTAATCCCTACAACCGCGAAGCACCCTGCGACAAATGCCTTCATAGGCCTCGACATTTTCTGTGTCGGATGCCTCTCATATCCCCACAGACTCGTCCAGAACTGCGACAACGTGATCATACTGATCACCAACGCATGCGCCGCAAACGCAAGATCATTTCCCCGCACCGTCGGCTCCGGCGCATCGGGGTGGCGATCGGCATATTCTTTGCGGACCACAGGGAAGAAGAGAAATGCGATACATGATACGGTGTAGCAGGCGAACCCAACCACGTTGAGGACGAAGTAATCGAGTGCGAGGCCTGTGACTGAACGCCGTTTTATGTTGCTGAGGAGTTGGGGGTAGAAGGATATGCCCTAAGGGATGTTAATGGCGTCGCAGGGAAAGGTGGAGCAGAATGGACATGTACCCAGCAGAGGACGTAGGACCAGCCAAGAACGCGCGAGACGGCGTGCGCCAGGACGGTCCACTGGTCGGGCTCTTGAGATGGAGGCGACATGGCAGCGTGGAGCTTGGGAGGGGGTGGCGGCGGATAGCTCGGGATATCCAATCACGATGGACTATTGGAGAACAAAGACGACTCGACAGATCGATAGCTCTGCGATCTCTCTTTCCAGATCTCGGGGATCGATTGTTACCGGCAGGCAGCTGCAGCTTGCGTAGATGCGGTGACACGTACTTACAGCACGGACAGAGGCGCAGACGCGGGCGACTAGGGAGTCTAGAGTGGGGCGGGTGTCTCTGCTTGCTTACCGATCTAGTGGAACGATCGCCCCTCGTCTAGCAACAGAATGATGGAAGATGAGGATGACGAAGGCAACTCTGATCGATATTCCATCTGTCTCCTCCACTGTGCCAAGGCCAAGAAGCGAAGCCTGACGCGGCTCTTTTCGCAAACAATCGCCCTCGCCAGACAATCAACCCGCCGCCTAACCGCCGCCATCGCACCAGCCAAAAGCAAAGCGCGACGCCCCCCCTGCTCCTCAGCCACAGCAAGCTTGCTCTGAGCCCCAAACCCAACCTCAACTCGTGCCAACCCCCTATCGCGAAAGAGAGAAGAACCGAAAAGAAACTCCGTACCGACACCAACTATACCCTACGTACCGACACAAGAGAGAGACGGAGCAGGAGAGAAGACGACAGGCGAATTCCAACTTAACTTGTGCTCGTGGGACGTGTCGCTATCGCTTTCACCCCTACACAACTCTACATGACCGGCGCCTGCACCGCTTCTTGACTGGACGTGTGAAGGAAGCCAAAGTCACGTCATCCTCCGCCGCCGCGATCTCCGGAACTCGCTGCAGCCATGACTTCGAACTCGCCCAAGACAACGCGTACGCCCTCACAGACTCCCGTGCGCGGCCGAGGACGCGGAAGACCGAGACTGTACCAGCGGGGAACGAGCACTGCGTCGAGGAGGAAGGCTAGCACGCCTGCCCCGAAGACGCCGGAAGGGACTCCTACTGGTCGTCGGCGAGGGGGAGGAGGAGTGGGAGGGTCCGGAGGGACGTACTCGAATGGCTACAGACCCGGGGGCGCTGGTGGCGGCGGACGCTATCTGCACCCCAGCACTGGAGAGGAAATCCCGGCTACGGTCTACAGAGATCTTATAAAGAAGATGAAGAGCGAGGGAGGAGGGGGAGGGAGCGGGGGAGGGGGTACTGTTGCGCGGAGAGCTGCTGCGGCCATGGCGCAGACACCGGTGATGCCTCTACCCAAGCCGCCTCCAGTGGGTCCAGATGGTGTTTACAAACCACGCGAGGAGCGCAGCTACACGGAGTTTCACCCAGGATTTGATGTGGATCAACCGTTGCTTGTGCTGCATGCGCAGGAGGTGGATGGGGAGAACTACAAGCCGCCGGTGTTGCCTGATGGGACGACGAAGACGGTTAAGATAGTCGATATAAAGGAGGAAGAGGAGATGCGGAAAGATATGGCTCCTGCCGGATCCATCAAAGAGGAGTCTCAAGGTGAGCGCAGTGCCTCGATTGCAGGCAGTGCTCCCTCCGAAAGCTCTAGTCATCGCGCGCGCAATACCACAGAGGATTATAACACAAAGAAGTCGGCAACCTCTCCGGTCTCGCTCACGTCCAATGGTGTATCTACTGCTACCCACACCGACTATGATCCCGTGTCGGCTACCAGCAGCAGCGCCAACAGGCACGTTGATCTGTTCCCATATGGATTGACGAACGATTTGCCCATTGATCCTAGCCTTACAGCATTGACACCGCCCCCACTATCGATGCTGGACCCGGCTCTCTCGGTTCCCATCGATCCGGCATTGTCGGCTCCAGATGCCCACCCGCCTCCGGCTCAAACACAGACGCCGGCTGCAACCCCCACCGACGGACCGCTGAAGGACGAATCCGTTACCTCTGCACCTACCCCACCACCAACTACACCGGCTGCGCCGGAGGTCGTACCTTCTCCTACCAAGAGGGGTTTGAGTGATGTGCCTACACTTGCATCGCTTCGTGCGCACCGTACAACGGCTGGCAAACCACCACCCCGTGCTCCCCCACCACCGTCCACTCGGAAGCCAAGGTCGCAGAACCAGAGTCAGAACCCGCACGAGAAGCTCCATTTGCGCGCACCGTCTTTCCGCCAGATCCAGTCTTTCACATTCGCTCATCGTGGATTGGGAGGCAGTTCTGGCAGCGGCAAGGGACCTCACAAGCTTGGTGGCTCTCAGCCCTACAATGAAGCGCCGATGTCAGACAAGATGATTGCCATTGGCTATCAGCATTCGACGCACTTTGAGTGTCCGCCGAATTTGATCAGAGACCAGCCGGACGTCACAGTAGACGAGGAACTCAGCGGGTTGGGACTCGACGTGGTGGAATACGACATGGACGAACAGGATGATAAGTGGCTCACCAACTACAATTCTCACCGAATGATAACCGGCGACGATCTGGTCGACAAGGAAATGTTCGAGTTTGCCATGACCAAGATCGAGAAGGAATGGGTCAACCTGGAAAAGAAGATGCCAAAGATACAAGCCAAACCACATGGTGTCGGGATGTCGAATAGGCGACGGAGTTCTGGCAGGGCTGGCGAGGAGGACGACGATGAAGGAGCTGAGGATAGCAAGTGTGCCATCTGCGATGACGGCGAGTGCGAAAACGCAAACGCGATTGTCTTCTGTGATGGGTGCAACCTGGCTGTTCACCAAGAGTGCTATGGAGTACCATATATCCCCGAAGGACAATGGCACTGCCGAAAGTGTCAGCAGATTCCTCGACAGGTCGCTGTATGTCTCTTTCCCTCTCTTTCGATTTGCTCGGGACCAAGCTAATATTGTAAAGCACTGTGTTTTCTGTCCCAACATCGACGGCGCATTCAAGCAGACCAACACGAACAGATGGGCACACCTTCTATGTGCGATCTGGATTCCCGAAGTTCGGCTTGCCAATCCATCGTTCATGGAACCTGTCGAGGGTGTTGAACTGGTACCGAAATCGCGATGGAAGTTGGTGAGCATTGTACCTATAGCCTCGGTCTGAAGGTCCCTAGCTGATATCGCTTATTTTTCAGAATTGCTACATCTGCAAGCAGAAAATGGGCGCCTGCATCCAGTGCAGTAACAGGAATTGCTTTCTTGCATTCCATGTTACTTGTGGACGTCGTGCCCGACTGCACATGAAGATGAAGAACACCAGTGGATCAGGAGCTCAACTCGAGTCGTCAGGCTTAAAAGCGCTTTGTCACAAGCATGTTCCGCCGGATTGGAGAAAGGAAAATGAGGTAGATGCTGCTACGGAAGACGCCATGAACTACTATGCCAACAGCTTCACCGGACGCGAATGGGGCGATTCCCATGCGGCTGCCATGGCCAGATCGGGCGCTTCGGGAGTTGGCGATTTCGCACGAGCTATCCATAAATCGGGCGACAAGCGGAAGCATGAATCCGAACAGAGGACAGTATGGAAACTTCAATCGGGGGCGCCAGTGATACCGGTGATTATCTTGGATGTCATCATCGATTCTCTTGTGGACTTTGGGATCTCAAATACCAAGAATTTTGCGGTCGAAGCTTGTAAATACTGGACTCTGAAGCGCGAAGCTAGGCGGGGTGCTAGTTTAGTCCGAAGATTCCAGGTGCAGGCCGATAGTAATAGTTTTACTTCGTCAGAGGTCATCCGGAAGAACTATGCTGCCCTGGGACACACTCAAGGCGGCAAGAAGCTGGAGCGCCGACGAGACTTTTCTGGAAGTCTTGAAAAGGATCTAGTTGGCATGATTGGTGTCGTGAAGGCAGTCGGCACCGGGGAAAATTCCATGCTCCGAGAGGCGGAAGTTCTCGGTGCCTACTTCGATAGGATGTACTTTCCGGAACTTCCTCTAATGAGAGAGGTCCTCGATGGAGCACAGAAGTAAGCTTTTCACCACCCCTTTGACAGTCACAAGTTGCTAATGAACAGCAGATTGGACCAAGAGACAATATTCGAGTATGGGTTCGGTCTCATTCGCGATCGCATTGAGGCCAGACTCTATCCCAACGTTTCCGCGTTCATTGCCGATATGCGGTCCGTGCTGCGCTCTTCGAGTACCGATCCACACCTCGAGTTCGACATCCGAGCCAGTCGTTACATCCAACCACAACTGCCGCCTTCTTCACGCTTGCTCAACGAAGAAGATGTCAAGACTATTGGTGGCAAGATCATGGATGCGCTGGAGCCTTCCTTCAAGAAGGCTTTGAAGAAGCAAGAGGAGCTGTGGGATGAGATGGCAGAGCGACCGGCAAAACGACCGCGGTTGTTGGAGCAATTCAACGGCACGCTATTCGACGTTCCTGTCAACGGCACCGCCGGCTCGTTACCAAACAGCCCATCGCTCCAGCTCGTTAAGGAAGCCTTACCGGAGCCACTCAAGAATAGGACCTCAATATATGAGCCTTTGAATCTGCCGAAAGGTGGCACAATCATTGGTGCTCTCGCGAAGACCGTGGCAGGAGAATGGATAGTCGGATCCATCGACACCGTGTCTCAGCCATGGCAACCCAGGGACCACAGCGCCTCCGTTACGGAGCTTGACAACGAGCCCTCGACTTTGGGAAATGGCAAATCATCTTACGGCTCAGTACTGGCGCCTGAAGTTGCGAGGTCCCCTTCGGCCGAAAATCCTAGTGGGGTTTTGCCAGACAAGCCTGTGGATAGTTCAATTGTTGACGAAGATCATGGAATGGAGGACGCACCTGCGGATGAAGAGATGGAAGATGCACCTGGGGATCCCGATGACGAGTTCTTGCTTGATGTACCGCCGACACCGGTGCCTACCGAACTCGTACCACCCGTACGCATGCCGGTCTTACCTCTGGATCTCCACGATGAGGACGCAGAGGGTGAAATTGACGACGAAATGGCTACGCAGTACACTGTCACCTCAGAGGTTCCAGAAGCCATCAATCCGGCGCCGGCCACCACCACCACCGCAACCACTACAACCACTGCAGGCGGCGCAACCGGAAACTTGTCTGATGTTGATGACAGCATGCATGACGGGTTTGCAACCGACGACGATCTCCTCGGTGGATACCGAGGCGAAGATCTTCCCTCGCCGCTCGGAACGATTCTCGGCTCCTCCGCTGTCGTACCAACATCCACCACGAAAGCGGCTGGCGCTGTTGCCGCTTCCTCCCCACCACGCTCACGCGGTGCACAGGCTCGAGATCCGATGATAGATCTACCGGACCTCCCACCGAACAATGGAAGCAGCACAACCGCCACCGTGGATCTGGAGGCACTTAGTAACACTAGTGTCCTCAGCGACTACCCGGACGATCTCGACGAGAATGCAGATGTTGGCGTGGGTGCGGGCTCGACCGGCGACGAGAATAATGAGGGCGAGAATGAGAACATATCCCCACCCTCCAGGAGCCGCAAGTCGGCCAGGGAGACGAATGGTAGGTTCGGGAACACGGGAGCGGGAACCTCGAGGAAGAAGAGGCGATAGTCCTTTTCCTTCCTATTGCTTTGCTGTGATTTGTACCTATGCTCCTTTTCATTTTGTTCGATTGGTGTTCTTTTGATTCTTTCTCTTTCTGGTTTAATTTGGAGTGAGACTGGTGAATACTTTCTTCTCGTGGGTTTGATTTTCTGGGTTCTGCTATTCTTATCTGTCTACGAAACGGTGCCTGTACTTTTTTCCTTCCTTCCGATATGTTCTTCTACGACTTCTTTTTTCTTTGCTTCAGGGTTTTATTCTTATTTGGTATGGTTTGGGATACGTTCTTGCAGTGTGATTGGTTTTCGGTGTACGCGGTACCAGTAGAGAGCGGGACTGGGAGGGGGTGTGTTGGGGGGAGGTGGAGAGGGAGGAAGTACAAATCTATCTTATGTGCTCAAATAATGCTCACGATATGAAGAATGAAGAGGATTGATATTTGTAAGGTGTACGACTATGTATTTTGGTCCTTATGTCAGTGGACGATACCGGTGGACAGTCCATCTATTCACCGACAAATGTCCCCATCTGTGAACTATATGAAGCATCTAACGTGTTCCATTTCCGCCGCCGTTGCAGCTTCCTCGAGTCACAAGGAGGCCAGCGTATCGTACTATACAGTGTCATTCACTAAGACCTCTTTTTGCCATATAAATCGATCATCTGGCTTAGGCCTGAAGTCATCTCCATCGAAACCCGCGGAGTGCCGGATCGCGGCGTGGGGTAGGCGGAGGCGGGAGTTGATCGACGCGTGGCGGTTTGCGGCTCGCGCTGAGGTTTTAAGCATACTAGAGTAGCAGTTAAGGCCACGGCTTGTGGAAGGATATCCAATCGATCTTATCGCTGGCCAGCCTCGCGCTTTTACTCTGCTCTGCTCTTCTCTGCGGCCCTCTCAATTCAATCCCCACGACAAGAAGGTCCTTCAACTCTCTCAACTTCTACGAGAACTGCCTCTGACTCTAGTTATTCTTCGCTCTCTCTCACTAACTCACTCGCTAAGATACCTGTTCACTGTTACTCACACTTTTGCCCTCTTTGATTTCTTAGCTCGGCTTGTTTGTTGTTCACCCCTTTTGGGAAAGGGCTAGGCAAGGCACTGTGCTGGGTCTTGGCGCAGAGTCGCCTCGTCGTCGTTCGCGCTTCTCCCTTTTTTCTTGCCACCAGTCCTCATCTCCTTCTTCCTTTCAACCACCATCACCATCGGACAGCAACTCCGAGCACCACCCTTTCTCTCACTACCACCGTCCTCCATCCCCCCACAACCATCGCCAACAACCTTTGACTTTGCTTCTGTTGTAGCCCCTAGGTTTTGCTCGTCGTCAAACCAGACGTTCCGTTCTCTTTGTAAGTTTTGCTTTCCTTCGAAGGAAACTCCCGGTCGCGTAGAGGCCGGTTGTCTTCGATTTCAATTTAAAACCACGAACTCTGCTTACACTCCTCCCCCCTCTCGAACAGGATAGTTCAACCCATCGCATTTTCGACAAACTACATTTGCCTCCATGATGGATTACGAAAACGAAAGCCGCGGCTACGATGGTAAGCTTTCCGACGGTGATTACCCCCACTCCTGTTCCATATGCTCGTCACGGGCATGAGCGCGCACGCACACCTTGTCCCCCATTTTACGTCACGATTGTTGCGTCAATATTACCTCGAGATTGAGTCCTCCATGGAGGACGCCGAGAGCCTGCACTGCATGGATTGGCAACTTCATCATTTCCTTGTTCCGAAAGGAGTGGCGCGTTGGACATCGAGCAGCCCTGGCTTGGAATCCCCTGACGCGTCGCACACGCACATGCATAAACACTTCTGCACAGAAAGCTGACAATGAGCTTAGATGGTGAGCCTCGCGACCAGTATGCTAGGGACGACCGCTCCATGTCTCCTCGTAGACGCGAGTCCCCTCCTAGACGGGACCGCAACCGCAGTGCCTCTCCTGGAGGTAGAATGGGTGATCGGTTTGTCTTACACTGCCTCTTTGCGTATACAGTTTGCTGACTTGATATAATAGCGCTGGTGCTGAGCGCGAAGATCGCCGTCCTGCTGGCGATGACGTGTCTAACGCGTCTGACCGTGGTGGTGACCGTCGTGGCAATGGCGGTGCTGCTGATGCCGCTACTAACACTGGTACCAACCTCTTTGTCACTGGTATTCACCCGCGTCTCACTGAGGACGACGTCATGCGTCTCTTCGCCAAGTATGGAGAAGTCGAGAAATGCCAGATCATGCTTGACCCTCACACTAAAGAGTCTCGCGGATTCGGTTTCGTCAAGATGTCGACCCTTGAGCAGGCCGATGGAGCCAAGGAGGGACTTCAAGGTGAATCCTTTGAGGGTAGGACCCTGAGCATTGAGAAGGCGAGACGTAGCCGGCCCAGGACCCCGACCCCTGGAAAGTACTTTGGACCCCCGAAGCGAGGTAGATATCTCCCGTCATGGACCAGTCCCACGATGTACTCTCAGCTAACTTGCCAGCAGATGATTTCCGCCGTGGACCCCCCGGTGGAGGAGGTGGTGGTGGTGGGCGTTTCGGTGACGACCGTCGTCCTCCCCGTGGTGGCCGTTACTACGATGACTACGACCGCCGTGGTGGAGGAGGTGGTGGTGGTTACTCTTCCCGCTACGATGACCGTGATGCTGGCGAGCGTCATTACCGCTCTCGTGACAGCCGTGACGACTACGGAGGTCCTCGTGGCGTTGATCGTTATGCTAGCCGTGAAGACAGATATGGCGGCAGTGGCGGTGCCCGTGGCGACGACAGGTACAGCAGCCGTGGCGATGATGATGACCGTCGTGCTCCCCGTGAGTCTTTCGCTTACGGTGACCGTGTTAGCGCGTACCCTCCTCGTGGTGCTCCACCTACCGATGCGCCTCCCCGCGCACCCGAAGGCGGCAGGAGTTATGGAGGTGGCTACGAAGACGACCGTGCCGGCTACAGGAGATAAATCGATGGTTGCGGCGGAACCTTTTGCTAACCATCATAGTACCGGACACTTTGGGGCGGCTTTTTAATACTTGTCTCCATGTGCTTTGATCGTCGAGCTGTGTACCCCTCTGCAAAATATGTTCAGTCCACAACCATTTTCAGCAAAAGTTTCTTACCCCTTCCTCGCTTGTACTTCTTAATTTGGCTTTCCTTTTCCTTGTCCTTGTCCTTGATTTCATTCCCACCTTGTGTGCTTTCTGTACTTTTTTTGTTTCATTTCCTTGTTTTTACACGCGGCGACGGCATTGGCGGGGATTTTCGACTACGGTGTGGTGGGAAAGGTTCGGGTTTTCAGAAGATCAGTTCAGAAGGCAACGTTTATCAGAGTCAGTCAAAGCGGAAGGAACACAAAACACAGAAAAGAAAACAATGCACGACTTCGGTGGTCTCAGTCTCTTTTCCTTTGGATTGGCAACTCTTCACTCTTCACTCTTCACTCAGTCGCTTCACTTCACTTCACAATCGCTTCGCGTCACGCTTCGGACTTCTGCAAACAAATCATACAAACAATAGGACGATGGTCGATTTCTTTTCAGATGCAGTAATTTTCGTTTCGTTGTCATATCGCCTTCGAAACAGTACGGCCCAGAAAACAAAAGCCATGGTTCAGTATTTCGCTCGCAAGCACGGCCAATCGGCAAATCGTCTTCGTCTTCCATGGTGTCGCCATCTCAGTATTTCAGTATCTCAGTAATCCAACTCGTCTCTTCTCTACTTTCGCCTGCGACATGATATCAAACAAACAATCGCTGGCCATGGTCCCTTCTCGACTCGCAATCGACGGGACTTACTGGTCGAATGTTCCACCATTAATCGCTGAACTAAGGGAACAATTCAACTCAACTCGTCTTGCCTGGGCAAGCCTCGGCCAGCAACCTCCAAAGTATAGCGGTTCACTGGAAGACGGTGACGCCTGGCCTGGCCTGGAGTGGCAGCAACTGTTATGGATATCATACGAACTACAATCGGATTACCTATACTGTTTGATAGGGTGCAGTTGCAGCTGCAGACGGGTGGAAATGACGGGATGTGCTAACGGGTGGACATGATGAATGGATGGGCTTGGTGGTTTGTGTTACTCGGATAGAATACTATAGAATACCTACTACTTGATACATACAGGATGCAGTTCGGGAAAGTTGATTGTGATGCGTGCGGCGCGATGCGTGATAAGTGAATGTAGATGTACATACCGTGAATGAGCTGTGAATGTTGTCATCTGGATATCTCGGGGCAAGCGATGGTCATACCTACCTATCTATCTGTTGATAACTGTTATTCTACTTAGTACTGAACAACCCCAAAAACTTTACATACGACCCAAAGCTCCAAAGCTGTACGCGGCCATACCTACCTCACTCTTGGCCATGTGACAGCCGAGCCCGGGGAAGTGCAGGATCCTGTAGGTACCTATTCCTCTGGAGTATGCCCCGTCTAGATACCTATTCAGGGGGAGAACAACACTTCCCTCTTTCTCCTCTAAACTCCTCCAACCCATATGTACACCCGGAAGTCGGCACCTCGTCGACGCTCGTCGGCATGTTATCCGGTGTTACCGTAGGTATGTAGGTACCCTCATGTTTCAGCATTCCACCAACCAACCGGATGCATTCGTGGTTTCCCCCTTGGTCATGATGCACTCGTGAGTCGTGGCGAAGGGAGGGATGCATAACTCCAGTCTCCAGCGACCCCGTACGGTGCGGTGTTGTGTAGAATGTGTCAGCAAGGTTCTGTAGCCATGGCTAACTAGCCGCTGGTGGTTGTGGTGGGGTGTAGGTTGTACCAAACTCTCTCACATGCTTGCATGCTTGCATGCTCGAAGCTCGAAGCTCGAAGCTCGTCCATGCAGAAGTGAAACTGAAACGTCGGTTTCGATTCCGCTTCACACACGCCGCAACACCAACACCACTTCGCCTACCAGGCATGCAGTATGTACTCGGACCCGGACCCAGACCCAGCGCCACGCAAAAATAACCGACCAACAACAACTGGTAGCATACGCTCTAGGTACTCGATGCACCCTCAGCCATGAACCCACGACTGCTCCCGGGTGGGGGTGAAGGTGAGGCGCCCATGGTTATGGTCGTACGGAAGGCGTGCGAGTTAGAGTCGAACAATCCACGGTTTTGAAATGTTGTCTGTCGTGCGGATGGAACAGCGTGTAACGTAACTGCGTTCCCTTCAGGCTTCGACGTCTATTATTGTTATTTCTGATCCTTATGCAAGGTATTTCGAGACTGTCGTCCCGGAGAGCTTGTCTCGGACGCTCCAGACCTGGAGATGGTTGGTGAGCGTGCGTGGGAATGGGAACGGAGGTGGGTATAAAGTGGCTTCGTCGTCGATTATTGGAATTCTTCAGACAGACAGACAGATCATCACAAGCCTCCTCATCCTCATTCTACACATACACCTACACCTTGTCCACGAAACAATAGAAAGGCAGACAGCAAGAACACTCCTCCCTCCCCACCACATCCACCACATCCACCACACCAACCAGCATGCATTTCCCCACGACCACCCTCGCACTCCTGAGCGCCCTGCTCTCGCTCAGCAGCCTAGCCAGCGCGCAATACCCCTCCGCCGCTGCCTCGGCCACCTCCACCGCGCCCGCCAGCGCCACTTCCGGCGCCGTAACAATAGTCCGAGTATCTAACGCGCAGGGCGCCTTAACATTCTCACCGTCGGAGCTGACAGCGCCTGTCGGCTCATGGGTCGAGTTCCGCTTCTGGCCGCGCAACCACTCAGTAGTGCAGAGCTCATTCGACTCGCCGTGCGCTCCACTCGCCAGCGGCAAGGGGATCTTCACGGGCTTCCACTCGGTAGCGGCGGGAACGACCGACGTAAGTTTCTTTTTGCCCCTCTGGCGGCCCTGGGGCGAGCACGAAGCTAACGGCGGACCCAGTTCCCGACATACACGATCCAGATCAACGACACGAAGCCGATATGGTACTACTGTTCGCAGGGCCAGCACTGCCAGGGCGGCATGGTCGGCGTGATCAACGCGCCCGCGGACAAGAAGCTCACCACGTACGTCGCTGCCGCAAAGGCGGCCTCGGCCAACCTCTCGCCGTCCACGGGCCCCTTCGGCGGCGTCAATGGCTCCTCGAGCACCAGCGAGGGTAAGGATCCCTCCGCGAGCGGAAGCGGATCCGCCGCGCAGCCGAGTGCGACCGGTGCGGCGGGTAGGGCCCAGGTGGGCGCGTGGGTTTTGGCCGCGGCGTTGGGGGTGGCTGTGGTGCTTGTTTAGATGGTCAATATGGGGACGGGGCGTGGGTACTTACTTGCATGTGCGCTTTGATAGCGACTTGGTCGGTTTTCGGAATTTGTACAGGCGCTTGGGTTAATAAAACATGATTTGCTTGTACTTTGTGTTATGAATGGATGGATACGTAACTCACCATTGTTCTCCCACTACTACTGCTCGAGTGATCACCAATGTCTTCAGCATATCGGTCAGTGGGCCTCACAGTCGCAGCAGGTTCGATACCGAGAATTTCACGATTGGGGCTACACTAGGTGGAATAACCAGAGCGAGTGCTTCATATTGTCCACGTCACGTTTAGCACTGATGATGGGACACATTTCATTGATTTGACCTCGACCAGACATGTAAAAAAAACCCCACGAAAGAAACCCCCAAATCGCCATTTTTTTACCCCGTCTCTCCATCTAAACGCATGTCTACTACGCCTTGAGCGTCTCAAACATAGCAATAAGCTCCTCCAGCGTCTTCATCTTGTGTGTCGCATCGTTGAGCTTCTCCTCGACCTCCTCAGTCTTCTTCGCCTTGAGCGCCTTCTCGAGCTTCTTCTTCGCTCCGTCGACGGCCACTAGATCCTTCTTTTTCTTTGCAATCAACGCGTCAACATCGGTACGTCCCGTGACAGCGAGGTGCACGGAGCACTTTGTCGAGATGGTCTGTGCGTAGCAGCCGTGGGGGATGCTGCCGGAGGCAGAGGAGACGGCGGTGACGGAGTCAAGGCCCTTGACCAGCGCCTTAATGCTAGGAATCTGCGATTCAATAGTGGCGAAAGTTTCGTCATCCGAGGCTTGAATGTAAAGCTCGGCCTTATCATTCGGAATCTCACACTGCGCAGTCATTGACCGGATCTCTCTGGTGATCTCAAAGATCATGTCGTAATCCTTCTCGACCTTTTCGTTGTCCAGATCCTCGCGGAACACGGGATAGGCGGCCTTGCAGACGGTGCGCGTCTTATCGCCGGCGCGCCGAGGGAGACGCTGCCACAGCTCTTCGGTCACGTACGGCATGAACGGGTGGATCAGGAGAAGTGCGCCCTCGAGACAGGTGTAGAGGGTGTCTTGCGCGGACCGCTTCTGCTCGGGGGTTCCCTCGAGGATCAGTGGCTTAGAGTTCTCCTACGCAGGCTTAGTATATGGCTATTAAATTATAAGAAGGGTCCGTACGATGTAGACATCGCACAGCTCTTTGAGCCAGTACTTGTGGACGGCCTTGGTAGCATCCGAGAAGTTTCTCTCCTCGAGGAGCTTGTTGACCTTCTGCGCGGCCGCATTGAACTTGTGGAGGATCCAGAGCTCGACGAGACTCTCCTTGCCAGTCAACTTCGAGTCTGGCCTGGGCTGGTAATCGTCGCCGAGACGCATGAGCGCGAATTTGGTGGCCTGGTACATCTTGTTACAGAACTTCCTGTATCCTTCAACGACCTTGATGTCCATGTTGATATCCCTTCCACCGGTGGTGTAAGCACAGAAAGCGAAGTGCATAGCGTCACTTCCGCACTGCGGGATACCGTCTGGGAAGGCGGTCTTCTGGTATTGCATTGCGCGCTCGACTTCCTTCGGGTCGAGGTTACCGGTCAGGAGCTTGTCGTGAAGCTCTTTGAGCGGAATTCCGGAGATGAGGTCGAGCGGGTCGACGACGTTACCGAGGGACTTGGACATCTTACGGCCTTCGGAGTCGCGGACGATGGGGTGGCAGTACACCTCTGTGAACGGGATCTTACCAGTCATCTTGATTCCCAGCATGATCATGCGAGCTACCCAGAAGAAGAGGATATCCCAACCAGTCTCGAGAACCGAGTTGGGATAGAACTTCTCCATGTCCGGTGTCTCGTTGGGCCAGCCAAGGATCGAGAACGGCCACAGACCACTGGAGAACCAGGTGTCCAAGACATCGGGATCACGCTCAAGGTGGATCTTCTTGCCCGGGAACTTCTCCTTCGCTTGCCTTTCGGCGTCCTCGAGAGTACGGCCGACTACCCATCGCTCAGGAAGTGCACCGCATCCATTGACCTCCTCGTCGTCCAGGTAGATGTAGTAAGCCGGGGCCTGGTGACCCCACCAGAGCTGACGCGAGATACACCAATCCTGGATCTTCTCAAGCCAGATGAAGAACTCCTTCTCGGGCACTTCGGGCCTGATCTTGACCTGTCCATCCCTGACAGCCTCCATAGCAGCATCGGCCATGGCCTTCTGGCTAACCCACCACTGGGGCTTCATGACGGGCTCGATGACATCCTTCGACTTAGCGCAGCGGGGCACCTGCATGGGGTTGTCCTTGGTCTCGACGTACAATCCGAGCTTGGTCAGCTCCTCAATGACAACCTTACGCGCAGTGAACCTGGGCATTCCGTTGAACTTCTCCCCACAGGTCTCGTTCAAGGTACCGTCATCGTTCAGGATGTTGATGAACTCCAGCTTGTGGCGCTCTCCGATCGCGTAATCGTTGGCGTCATGGGCGGGGGTGATCTTGACACAACCAGTTCCAAACTCCTTGTCGACGTAGTCGTCTCCTACAATGGGGAGTAACCGGTCAACGAAGGGGTGCTTGGCCTTCTTGCCGATGAGGTGCTTGTATCTCTCATCTTCGGGATGGACAGCAATGGCAGTATCTCCCAACATCGTCTCGGGACGAGTGGTGGCAACAATGACCTTCTCCGAACCATCCTCAAGCTCGTAGGCGAACGAAACAATGATACCGAACTCGACCTTCTCCTCGTAGCCGGGGACGGAGAGGAGGGTTCTTCCGGTAAGCTCCTCGTTCTCGACCTCAAGGTTAGATAAGGTGGTCGTGAGCGCGCAACACCAGTTGACAAGCCTGTTGGCACGGTAGATGACGCCGTCTTCGTGCAGACGGACGAAACACTCGACGACAGCTTTCGAGAGGTTCTCGTCCATAGTAAACGCCTCCCTGTTCCAGTCGTACGATGCTCCCATCTTCTTGAGCTGGTTCTTGATGCGAGTGTGGTACTCCTCCTTCCACTCCCACACCAAGTTGGTAAACTTCTCACGACCAAGATCATGTCTGGTCTTCTTCTCCTGCCGCCAAAGAGTCTTCTCGACAACACTTTGGGTACTGATACCGGCATGGTCGAAACCGGGCACGAACAGCGTTGTCTTTCCCAACATGCGGTTCCATCGAATCAAGGTATCCTGGATCGCGATTGTAAGGGCGTGACCGATGTGCAGCGCACCGGTAACGTTTGGTGGGGGTGCGGGAATGACAAAGACACCCTCGGGCTTGATCTTTCCATCCGCCGTCAATTCGGGCTCAAAGAAGCCCTCCTTCTCCCACCAGTCGTACCAGGCCGACTCGACGACGGCTGGGTTGTAGGATTTGTATGCAGGGTCATCGAGGGACTTGAGGACTGTGCGCAAAAAAATCGTCAATGACCCACCCCTCTCCCCTCCCCTGAAAAGCTAGAACTCACTCTTCTTTTCACCCTTCGGCGTTTCCTCAACGTATTCGGGTACGGGCTCAGCAGCCGCCGCCTTCTTCTCCTTCTTCTTCTCCTTGGCGGGATTGGTCGTTGCCGTAGCCGCCGCCTTGTCGGCCGCGAGTTTCGCCTTCTTTGCGTTGAACTTTGCTAGCTTGTCGGCCTTTGCGCGCTCCTTCGCCACTGTGTCGGGGTATAGTCAGTCAATGTGCCCTTGGTTGTGAGGGTTTTCGTGCCCCCACTAACATTCTTTCTCGGACTTGGGTTTCTCGGGAGCATCGCCAGCGGGAGGAAGGAGCTCTGCAGGTGTAGCCTCTGGACAGGAAATTAGAAAGAGTCAAGATGACAGTCAAGAATGGAGCGCTCACGACTCGCGGTCGGATTCATCGCCATGGTTGATGACTTGCGGGTTTTTGAGTGGTGAACTTAGCGGGTGTTGAAGTGGGGTGGAGGGGCACGTCTTAACGCGGGGCAGAGATGGGGATCGCTGCGCTTGACTCAGAAGGTGTTAGAGATATGAGGATAAAGAGTCAACGGCTGGGTTTGTACTATATTTGGGACGCAATAATTTCGGCCAGACCCACTCGAGCATCACATTGAGATGGACATCAAAACGACAGTTCGATACACTGGTTAAATTCGGTGTATTCAATTTAGTCTATAGAAGTGGAGGTATCTCGCTGATCGAGACCATCTGTTTACAACATCAAGCGAAAACCGAGGTAGCTCTTGGAAAGGAATCGAAAAGCTTGAACTCAAAAATATATGTATCGGACCTTAGGTACGCCATCCCCCAACTATCAGGAGGTGGTGTTCGTAGGGTACGAGTGTATTACTCTTGGCACGATAGAATAAATTCCTTCAGCACGCGTAGGTAGGGTTCCTTCGGTGCTGTACACACAAATGCCTGACTGATTGGAGAGTCACTCTTTCCGCCTTCCACCTTCATTCCTCGCCCATTCTTTTTTGGGTCACTGGGCATCTCAGACAGCTTGTCATCCTCCAAACACAGCTTCCATACAAGTCGGCAGCCAGCTGGCGAAGGCAGGGCGGTAATCGGCAGAAACTGGTGGTCGTGATGATGAATATTCGTCGCAATCGACATCGTATGCAAAGCACGTCCATTCACAGCGCGTCGCTAATGTCACCGGGATTGAGAAAAGAAGATGATTCTCATGTCGTGCGCGCCCAGTAAACCCCCAGATTGACCGAAATTTGCAAGAAACCCCCGTGTATGAATCGGAAAACGACGACGCTGAAACACCTCTTCCCTTTTCCACCGCTCACATTAGATATGGAATATCTAAGCGGTCTCCCGCTTGCCGTCCTTGAACTCCTTCTGTAGAAATTGTCAGCTGCTATTCCGGAATCGAGGCTGTGGTGTCGGTCGCGGTGGAAACGTACGATGGCCTTCATGGTGCCGTGGAGAGCATGTCTAGTTTCACCTCATCAGCCAACTCCTCACTGCAGTCCCGGATGCGATAAAAACACACCTGTGGTTGCGGCGGAACTTGGGGTCGGTTCCCTTCAAGCTCGGATAACGGAAAGTCTTAGGCTTCTTGATACCGTTCCTATGGGCTGTATTTCGGTCGTACACATCAGCCCGCGATCTCCCTGCGCCCCTCTATCCTCCGCAATCGGTCGAGCGTACCCTTCTTGGACTGGTTGTGCTGGGACGAGTTCTTGGATTTGGCCATCGCGACGGTATTCGGATTGTCGAGAAATGGGGGTAGGTTGTCGGCGTTTGTTTTCGATCGGTCGTTAATTCGTGAAGGCCGGCGGGAAATCGCTAGACTTGGATGACGGGGGGCTTCCGCCGTAGTTTGTGTGGGTGCGGGTTAGACAAGTCACAAACCCTAGTGTGTGGGTGTTGTTGGGCAGAGCCGCGCACGGAAAGCATGAAGTCTCACTCGAGAGATTCAAAGCACGTCTCCTTGCCTTAATTCCGTTAGCCCAAAGCAACCGGCTTTGGTATGCAGTGGCGCGGAACGGACTGTGTGCTAGCGGAGTTTCCACCTCGATCCTTTGCAGAGCAGACGGGAAATGCTAGTTAGTTTGGTTCGCCATCGTCTACATAGTACGGCTGTATGCGAAACGAATTGATGTTCTCTCTCTCGTCAGTCCAAAGCTGTTTCTTGTGTCCTCTGTGGCCATCAGAATGGCAATCAGTGATAGTCCTCTCTGCCCAAAAGCATCCTATATTCCCTCCATCTAGACATGAAAGAAACGTTCTCCAACTCCCAAACGCCCAGAAAATAATATGCACACATCACCTAATTCCCCAAATCAACAACGGGCCCGATCTCATCACACTGTCTAACAAACTCGGCCTCAACCCGAAGATTCTTGCTCCTCCCTATGGCTCTCTCGATCTTCGCCTCAGCCTTCTCTCTGACTAGCTGTCTGAGCGCCGTAATCAAGAACCCACCCACAATATCAATACTCCAATCGTCGGGAATAACACTCAGGACATGAGTAACATCCAACCAGCGCCCGAATTTCTCGAGTAGCTGGCTGGTTTGCTCGATCCTTTCGTTCATGTTCTTGAGTTTCAAATACTCGTCGAGCAGGACGGCGAAGAGCTCGCTTTGCTCTGCACGGTCGGTGATGACATTTCGGGTCTGGAATATGCTCAGACCGCCAAAGAGGCAGTAGTTGATCGCGGTGTCAAAGTCTCGAAGGTCGTGGGTGAGGAGCTTTAGTGCGTCCGTGTGTTTGGATTCGCGGCCGTAGAGGATCACCATTTCTGGTACGAGGATTTCACGGTACTGCTTGATAGACTCGGAGACTTGGGCGATATCATAGCCACTAGCACCACCGAGGAGCTCAAGTAGTCGCATGCGGTTGTGCCACCACGGTTCGGAGCCGGCTGCTGGTGAATTATCGACGATGAATTCGTGATAGGTGGGTTTAGGTGTGTGAAGAGCCCGGTAAGATTCATATGACGTTTGGAGGGCTGTTACCGCCGAAGGGTCGACTGAGAGCGTATGAGTAAGATCGTCGAGGTATAGGAAGATGAGCTCGTTGGCGTGAGCTGTATTCTGAGGTGCAGAATTGAGTTAGAATCTTGTATGCGGTAGGTGCTGTGAAATCTCTACCTTTTTCTCGAGAACAAGATATTCAACATACGGTCGAACCGCTTCAGGAGCCCGTGCACGTAGCATCTCAAGCACCTTTGCGGTTTCAAATTTGACTCTCGCTTCCTCGGCAGCGAAGACCTGGATTCCCAGCACGGCATTACGTGTCGCAAGCCAGCATCCAAATTCTTCTACGAGCTCTGGGTCCCTCATCTTGAGCAGATAATTTTTGACCCTGACTTCTCCATTCTCAAACTCGCCGGAGGTGTCTTCTCCGTCGAGTATCCGTCTCCAAGTGTCGAGTACACCTCTGAACATCTTCGCCTTGGAGTAAAGAATGCTGAGAACATAGAGTCGCCCGAAGGTCTCGAGGATAGAGGCCGTACCAGCGATATCGTCAACACCGGCATCGATGAAAGCGTATAGCTCCGCCCGAACATTGCCTTCAGGGACTACAGTCTGTCCCCTATCGACCAAGTACTTTTCTGAGTCCAGCATCAGCAGCACCCTCAGCATCGCCGCATCAACCGTTGAGAAGACCTCCTTCTCATCAGCCACACTGCCAAACCCTTTCTTGCTCCTCCACTGAGCGAGGGTACCGCTTCAGTAGCAGCAACACGTCTCTAGTGAAAGCGCTACCCACTTCCTTCGACTCCTTCAGGTTCATGAACACCTCCTTCACTCCACCATAAACCCATACTCCGCCGTCCCCTTCCACTATATCCTCCTCAAAGGCGTTACCAAAAAGAGCGACAATAAACCTAGGATCGAGCGCACTCTCTATTAGTGCCACCTCCACTTTTAGAATTTCATCGGCTGTGATATCGGCGGTTTGCTTTTGCGTGATCTTTAAGAGTTCCCCAAGTACCAGTAGCCCACACTTCTGCCTAACAAACGACACCTCATGGAAACTTGTCTCGGAGTCCGGCTCCATCGATTGCACTTCATGAAGTACATGAAGCACTCGTCGCACTCTAGCAAGGATGCCATCGAAATTCTCATCGGAAAAGTTTGGAAGGCGCGAATTGAGCCGTACTGATAACGGGCATGGGAGTAATGTCCACACTTTTGGTCCAGCAAAGACAACGACCCTGCTTTGTACCGTGGAGATACGTTGCGCTATCACTCTTTCCTCCTCATTTCGCTTTTGGTCGGCCGGAGATTCGCTGGGTGCGCCATCCACGGGTTTAAGCGGTACACGAACGAGTCGAAGTGTCCTCCCAGCATCGGCTACTATTGTGCCATCCAACCCAAGCACTTCCTGCAGCTGCACCTCGCCTTCTAGCGGTATAGTCCCCTTTTTGTCCGCCTCATCGAGGGAGCTTTCATCCTCTAGATCCCACCGCTGCATATCTAAACCCTTGCCATGTATCACAGCAATGACCCAGCCACCTTGTACGATTAGCTGGTCAGGGTATCGCTCAAATTGTATTGTGCCTCTCGTTCCATCACCCTCCATATTCACAAATATCCCCACACCCGGATCCTCCGGGGTTGTACCAGTAGTCAGCAGGAATTCGCCCGGTGACGGCGATGCAATGTGTGGTTTTAACGCGCCCCTTGGTTCAGGGCTCTTTGGCGGAGGTGGCGGAGGAGCAGGCGAAGACACCCGAGACCCTCTGGATTGTGAGCGCCGCCTACCCGTCGGCGGGGCTGGGGACGATGTCCGTGGGGTTCCGGAGTCGGGAGTAAGGTGGCTTTGCCCTAGCCGGGAGGTTGGTCTGCGAGAGCCTCGCTCACTACCCCCAGGGGGTATGTTGCCCGCGCTCACGGATCTGTTATGGGTGACAGCCGTAGACCCCTCCCGAGTGACCGTGGCAGAACTGTTTCTTCTTTCCCGGACGGCAAGGGAGGACGCGCGCGGTGGATGGAGCTGTGAGCTGGAGTCCTCAGATGCTTCTTCCGCCGGTGGTTCTGTCGGTGGTTCTGCCGGAGGTTCTACCGGAGGAGCTGGAAGATCTGGATCCGAAGCCGTAGATATTGGGAACAGCGGTATCCGCTGGATATTATCGATATCGAGCATATTGTAATTCTGGTTCGTTGCCACGCAAGCGATACTATCGCGCCGTACCGCCGAAAGGGTATTCGATAGTGGTATGTCCTTCTCAATTATTAGCCCGTGTTGACGATGCCGCAGGTGCGCCCATGTAACCTTGACGAGTCGAAGCTCCTCGCCGATCCGGATCATTCGTATCCTGCTTTTAGCGAGGGCCATAACCAATTTTGGTCTTCCTTCACTCGATTCGGCACCAGGGCGCTGGTCCGCCTCCTCTTCGTTGAGGTTGAGACCACCGACATAGGAGACTTCTTTCAGTTTGGTGCCCTTGAATGCTGGTGAGAACTCTGGAAGCGTGTAGAATGTGAGAAGTCCGGTGGATGATAGCACTAGGGCTTTTGACACTGTGGGTAGAACAAATATCTGTTTTATGAACGGCTGGCCGGAGGTTGTAGGGGATGATTGAGGTTCCAATCGAGAAGCTTGGATATATACAGGCTTCGGAGATGCGGGATTTGGGGTCGCCGGAATGGAAACAAGATGGAGGATTTCATGCGCGGAGGTTCCCACGTATAGGTTGTTTCCTACGAGTCCACATCAACCGTGTTAACACCCCACTGTGATCGGAGCTTCATGTACACGGGCGAACTCACCCCAAGATTCAAGGCAGGTTATGGTAACATTCTGATGCGCCAGAGTATCCAACGGCAGATCATCCACCAGGTCCTGCAGGATGTAGGGCCCAACTGCAGTTGAGGTAGGCTCCGCCATTATATGTATCGTAGAAGTAGCGCTCGTGGAGATGTGCCAGGTTGGCGGGACTTTGAGATGTGGAGAGCTCTTTCGCTTGAGGTGATGATGTGCCGGGTAAATCCTTGTGTGACAGCTGTTCACGAGCCAGAGCTTCCCTGCGTCGTCGGCGTTGTTTGGCCTCTTCTATAGATGCGCAAGGTATCTCCATCTCTCTCGCTCCACGCTCACAGACCAACCACTCTCTCGCAATAAATTTCCTACAGTCCGAATACCTACATCATACTTCGACAGTGCAATAAAACCGTACCTATTCCTTTCCAACATTCCCAACTACACTGGAACTTCGACCAGCATAACTCCCCCGGCCTTCATAATGGCTTCCGAGCAGCAGCGACCTCGAACCTCCACCGATTCCAATCCCGCCAGTAATGTCGCAGCAACTTCAAATGGCGAGGCGCGAAATTCTACGGATGAAGCCGCTGCCGGCGGGGCGTCATCCCAGACGAGCGCATTCCAGGCTGCAATCAGCGCCTGGAGAAGTGAGACTACCTATGGCCAATTTAGCTCTCTATGGAGCGACGACTGACGGACTGCCATGATAAAGGTATTGATCTGACGCACCTACAAAAGTCACTCGACGCGACCGCCGGCGACATCGTAAACGGCCAACGGGAGAGCTTAGTGGAACGCAAGGAGCTCGCGCAGAAGACGAAGGAGTACCGGAAGCTTGACGACGAGCAGAAGAAGGAGGAATGGAAGGGACTACTGAAGTGTAGGTACTGGAAGAGAGGAGTGGTATGGACTGGCGACAACCCGGCTGACGAGGCTGCACAGCGTACCAGATCTTCATCGACCATCTAACGACGTCGAAGAAAGCTACCGAGACCTCATTCCTGGCGTTATATTCTACCCTCGCGGAGGCGCCAGATCCATACCCGCTTCTAGAAGCGACGATCGACTCGCTCGTGAACTTCTCGGATGTGCAGGCCATGACGAAAGATAATGCCTCCCTCAAAGCCACCGTAAACCGCCTTTCGAACCAGATCACCAATCTGGAAGCATCTCTCGCTGCCAAGAACAAGGAGCTAGAACGGAAGGAGAAGGAGAAGGGGGAAGAGTCGCAAAGGGTGGAGAAGGTGTGGAAGGGCGTGTTGGACGAGAAGACACGAAACTGGGAGGGCAAGGAGAAGGCTTTGACCGAAAAGCTCGAGCACCAGGAAACTGTGCTTAAGGAGATCAAAGCCAGCTTCGAGGTTGCGCAAAGGATGGGACCAACCAATCTAGGCACTGAGGACGGCTTGCTGGGCAAGGAGCGGTCCGCCGAATTGGAGATTGTGAATCGGGACCTCGAACGCACGACACTGCGCCTGGCCGAGGCAGAGGGAAGGAACGAGCAGCTGCGACTGGAACTTGCAAAAGCATCCAGCCAGGGCAACTCTGGGCCGGCCCAGGCAGTCGCCGAGGACGATTCTACCATCCTGCGTCTGCAACACGAAAGCGCCAACCTCCTCCGCAAAGTCAACAACGCCAAATCCGACCTCGAGGCACAGAAGAAGGAGGCGGAGCGCAAAGTTCGCACGCTGGAACGCACTATCGACGGCTTAGAAAAGGACAAGGACATACTTCGGGAAAAGGTGTCCAAGTGGTCCGACTATGAAGACGTCAAGCGCGAGCTCGAGATCCTGAAATCGATCGAGTTCTCCACCGGTGACGAAGACGATGATGTTCTCGATTTCTCGGCCCCCGCCGAAACCTCCCCCCACGACAACAAGAAGGAAACACTAGAACAGCTCCTCTTAGCGCGAAACAAGAAGCTAGGTAACGAGCTCACCGTCCTCCGCGTCTCCCACCAAGACCTCACTAGCCGCCTCCAAACCCTTCAACAAACCCTCGACGCCATCACAGCGGACTTCTCCACCTCCCGCGCGCTCAACCAAAAGCTAGAGAATGACCTGCTCAAGCTGCAGGACAGCCACCACCAACCCTCCTCCGCCCTCTCGGTAGCAGGAACCTACGTCTCCCGCTACCCGCAATCCTCGATCGCACGGGGCTCCCGCCCCTCCCCCACCTCCTCCATAATCGGCTCCCAATTCGACTCCCTCCGCACCGCCAACGACAGCACACCCACGCCCAACGCTGGGATCCTCCCCATGATCACCGCGCAGCGCGACCGCTTCAAGACCAAAAACGTCGAACTCGAGCACGCGCTAGCACAAGCGCACACCAACATCGCCAATCTGCGCGACGAAGTCGCCAACCTGCGAAAGGACAATCTACAGCTGTACGAGAAGACGCGGTACGTGTCGTCGTACGCCCGCGCACCGCCCACGAACACGGCGACTGCCACCTCCGGCTTCGCGCCGAACGGCGGCAGCGGAGCAAGCATCGACCGCTACAGACAGGCATATGAAGCTAGAATCTCGCCGTTCGAGGCGTTCCGTGGCCGCGAGAGCGCCCGCGCTTACCACCGCATGAGGGTGCCCGAACGTGTCATTTATAGCTTTACCAGGGTCATCCTCGCAAATAGGGTCAGCAGGAACCTCTTCGCGGCCTACTGCCTGCTGCTACATGTCCTCATCGTTAGTATGCTGTATTGGGCCGGCATCGGCGAGACCACCGGCGCGGCTACGGCGGGGTTGGGCGTGGGTGCGGTTGGCATGGCCGCTGCGGCGCCGGGCGGGAAGGAGTGGACGCAGGAGGGGTTTGATGGACGGTTGTAGGAGCGGGAGGATGAATGGCGGTGTATCGTATGTAATGATAGATGAGCGTATGTTTATTTCCTTTTTCCTTCTTCCTTTTTCCTTTTTCCATTTCCGCTACTTTTGCTTTTTTTTTCTTTTCGGTTTACGTGGGGGCTTTGAGTGATCGATGGATGGATGGGGGGGTGTTCCGGATGAATGGATAGATAGATGGATGGATGGCAATTCTGCGGACGGACGATATAATTCTACGACTGGTGGCAGAAGAAGTCTCACTACGGTACGGTACTCTACCGCGCTGGTGGTACAAAGCCAACAGGCGACAAGTTGGTGTAACAACCGTATTCCTTCACTCCAATCCAATCCAGTGCAGTGCGACTCATTTCTTGATCCCAGCCTCGATCTTCTCCAGCAGGATCTCCGCTACACGAACGGACAATCAGCATCGCCGTTTGCATACCAAACTTCATACTTCATACTTGAGATGGGAGGGAAGGGGGGGAACTCACCATGCTTCTCCGCAAACACCAGCATGGGCCTCAACCTGACCGCCGACTCGCCGGACCCGCCGACATTGACACCGTGCGTCTTCATGACCTTCAGGAACTCATCTCGCCGCGGGGAGTCCCACGCAATGAACGTTCCCTGGCCCTGGCCCCTCAGATTGCGGATTTCGTCCGGATACTTCTCCGCCAGCGTAGCCAGGCCGGCATACAGGAACTCCCCCGTGGCCGCGGTATGCTTGACCAGATCGAGGCGCTTGATCTCCTGTATGATAGCGCGGAAGATTATCGCCCTGGCCGGATCACCCATCCAAGTATTGAACTGTCTGTACGCCTTATTCGGTCTTAGCGCGGGGTTTCCGAAGTAGTAACCCGCGGTCTGCGCCTTCTTCGAGAACGTGACGAGATCCGGCGGTGTCGGGAGGTCCCAATGCTCGTGCGCCCAAAACCTGCCCGTGGCGCCCACGCCTGTCTGCACCTCGTCGACGATGAGGAGCACGTTGTGCTTCTGTGTGACCGCGCGCAGCCCCCGGAAGAACGCTGGCGACGCGTGGTTATCGCCGCCCTCGCTCTGCACGGGCTCGATCACCACGGCAACAACGGGGGCCTTCCACCCCGTCAGGATCTCCTCGACGTGCGCGAGGCAGCGCGCTTCCTCCGCCGCGTTCTCGGCCGTGAAGGCGGCGAGCGGGTATTTCAGCGCTGGGAAATCGGCCTGCGGCCATGGGAACGCGGGGATGTCCAGCTTGTGGATCGGCTTGCTGCGGGTTGTGCTGAGTGTCGCAAACAGCCGCCCGTGGAACGCTTTCTTGAAGCTCAGGATCGCCAGGTCGGGGCTGCCCGGCGCTGCGTTGTTCATGCTGCTAGACATCTCCTCGGCGGTAAACTCCGCCCCTTCCCCCCGCTCCCGCCGTCGGTAGTACATGCACGCCGCTTTGTACGCCGTCTCGTTGGCGTCTGAGCCGGACAGCGCGGTAAAGACTTGGTTCAGCCCCGGAGGAGCGACGGACAGGATCCCCGTTTTGAGAAGGTGCGCGTAATCCCCCGGTGGGAAATTGCCCAATGCCGGCCGGTTGATCAGGGAGTTGACCATCTCGGGAGAGCTGGCGGCGGATCGCAAAGCCGCGTTGTTATAACCTATCGGAATGGAGGCGATTTGGGCGTAGCTATATAGGGGGAGATCAGTTTCGTTCTTTCGGTCTTGAAATATATTGACTGAGCTGTGGTGGTGCTGGTGCTGGTGGTACTCACACATCCAATAACATCTATATCAATGATAAGCATCATTCTTTTGTGTATGTAGAAGTAATCGCATAGCATTGCATAGCACAGCCAGAAATAGAGTACCTACATTCCCGTCCAAATCCGCAACATAATTCCCCACGCTCTTCTCATAGTCACACATCATGTTGATGCTGCGTGTATCAAATATCTCGTTCAGCTCCGCAATTGCCGTCTGTGCCGCGGGGCCCGGGATCGCACTCTTTACGGATGGCCCCGAAGGCTCGTTCTGGAAGTAGCTGTCGACGGCGGAGCTGTAGCTTCGCGTCGTGGCCGTGGCTGCGGCGACGGCTCGCGCTTGGAGCCGTGCGCCGCCTAACATGCGCGTACTGCGGAGGAGGGATTGCATTCTTGCTGCTGCTGCTGCTGCTGCTGCTGTGGGAAGGGAGAGGGAGGCGAGGGAGAGGGAGGCGAGGGAGAGGGATTGGTGAATGGATTGAGGGAGGGAGGGATAGAAGGGGAGGGAGAACCGTATTGTACAGTGATGTTGTGTTGGTGCCAGCAATTAATGCTGACTCCGTTAATCCGTTCGTTCGTTCATTCGTTCGATCGTTCGTGAGCCGTAACAGGTTACCGGTATGAAGTAACCGTCGCTACCCAGCTGCCGGCCGGACATCATGTGCCGTATGTACAGTACACATACATAGGGCCGCACACATACAGTTACATGTTACATGTTACATACGACTGCCCCGTCGATCCCATCACATCACATCACATCAGCGGCGGACCGGTGGTAACCGGTTATCCTCGCATCTTCTCGCTCTCCGGCTCGCTGGTGAATTCCATCCCCCAGCTGATACTGATGCTGATGCTGATGCTGATGCTGCTTCACGAAACGGACATCCATGAGTAGTCAATCAATCTACATAGCTTAACCGGGCGGGTTCGCAATAGAGTTGTTTATATGATACAGACCGACCTAGTTAGTCAGTGATAGTTATCTCCACGTGACATGCGGGGTTACGTTTCGGTTGGAGCATTGGCCAGGCGACTTGCGAGACGAGAGTCAAAGCCGGGTGCCAGCCGGCTGGTCGTGAGTCGTGACTCGTGAGTGGGTAGGCCACCCTGGCATATTTTTAGAACCGAGCGTGTTACTGTTCGCCTTCGGCGTTCGCATGCGACTTCTGCGTGCGGCTTTTAGTGGGGCGAGTGGGTGGTGGGTGGGGCGGACGAGTGAGGTCTCATGATACATAGGCCGTTTTCAACGGTGGGGCGGATGGGCGGGCGAAAGGCTGCGGAGAGATATTGAGGATCACCAGTCACTATAGTAACTACGGTCTGGTGATCAGGCGTCAAATTTGGCTATGTACGGTACTCTACGGCGTGCACGGGGAAGGCTTACGGTGGTGATGAAGTCAATATCCATTCGCTGATTCCGCGTGTTGTGGGGCTGGATATGCAGGTTAAGTTAGGTACATGTACGATGCGATACATACACTGGCACTTGGTTGCTTGCTTGCGCAATTGCAACGGCGCGCTCCCTCGCGCGGGCCATGGTTGTCTGTCTTCTGGAAATCGGATGGATGCGGAAACGGGGCAGTGGGGAGTAGAGTACGGTAGGTAGTATGTATGTATTTGTTTTTTGTCATAGGTAGGCGTTTACGGTTACGCATGGTTAACCTCGAAGCTGTTGGTGCGGCGAACATCAGGAAAGCGCAAAAACGCACCCGGAACGATCCTGGCTACACACTGAGCTGAGCTGAGCCGGCGTGTCCAAGGCGGCAACCGAAGGGAGGATGCACCCCCCCTTTAGTGTCCCAACAGGAACTTTTGGCTTACTGCTGTCTGTGACATGTGTGAGCAATTCTGCGGGTGGGTTCGAGTCAGTCAGTCGCCGCTGATGTTGCGGGGGGGAAGAGGCGGAGGGTGAGGGGTGCAGTGAAGCCATGGGGAGCAGCAGCAGCAGCAGGAGGAGGAGAGAACAGGAAGGGAAGGCAAAGGCGCGATATTTGCGTGCTGGGATTGGGGTTGGAATAGAGTGCTTGTGAACGGACTCTAGACTCGAAGCTGTCGTGCATAAAGGTGTGTACGGATAGCCTGTAGATCTGTGGGTGGTGGTGGTGGTGGTGGAGGAGGTGGTGGTGGGGGGTGGGCGGGAGGGAGGCAGGATAAAGGAAAGGAAAAGGAGGAGGGAGGGAGGGAGATAGATATGATAAAGTATCGAGATAGAGTAGATACGGACGGGGGAAGGGGGACGGGGGACGGGGAGACAAACGCCAGAGTTACGGTACGTGGGGCTGAAGCAGTTCAAAGTACCGGCATACCGGGGGTAAGCAGCAGGAGCTGGACAGTGGTGAATGTGGAGAAGACGAATGGATGAGGCAGAAGCAGAGGAAGAAGACGAGAGGAAGTCGAGAGGAAGACGACGAGAGCAAGATGTGTGCGAAGATGCTTCCGATGAACGGTTTGGCTGATTGAAAGAGGACACCATTGGCTGCGCGCAGCAGATCGTGAACGATCGATTGAATGAGTGACCGGTGAGTGATCGGATGGGTGAACGATATTGAAGCCTTCAACTATTCGTGAAGACTCGCGAATCATCCGTTTCCAGTGTCTCTCTGTCTCTCACTTGCCATCTCCGGGAATTAATCGTCCCATTTGCTGTCCCTTTGCCCTTCTTTGAAGTCGGGACTCTGTGTTCTCAGCATCATCACCACCACCACCACCACCACGAACGACCACCACCACCAGCATTATCCGCCTTACCTCTTTCTCCTCTGCGGCCTCACACTTGCCCAGGCCCCCAAACAAAACAACTCCCTGTAAACCCTCTCCTACTCCACCACCACCTAAGCCTCCCTAATCCCGACCGTCGCAATCTTCAACCACCACTACCACCACCACTGCCACCACTACCACCGCTACCACCACTACTACTACTTTACACCACCGCTAACCACTACTGCAAACCAACTACAACCACCACCACCATCCGTCTACTGCCTACCACTTCCACTTTCACTTCCACAGAACCCAACAACCCTCTTCGCCCCATCGCCGTCGTCGCCGTCGCTGTCACCACCAAAACAACTTCAACTACTACTACTCAACCCAGCTTCATCGCTTGCTACTTCTGCCTCCGTGCCTGCTGACCGCTGCTGCCTCTGCTTCTCCGCCTTGCCAACTTTCATCTCGAAACAAAACAACCCGCATCATTCACATCCGTCCGTCCAGTCCGCAACGCCCACCACAACCTTCACGCTCTTCTCGGTCTCTCTCCCTTTGCAAACTGGGCAAAGAAAGAATCTCGCGATCAAAAAGTAGCTATTTCTCCCTCTCTTTCGCTTGCTTCTCACTCTTCCCACCTTTGTTTTTCCCATTACCAAGCCAGAGCGCCCCGCAGGAGCAGCATACCTAAGAAATAGGCCGCTCTGTTTCCTGCTCGGTCGAGTTTCGTTTCGCTGTGTGAAGCGCCGCCTTGTTCTGGCTGTCTTGTCCTGGCTTGCGCACACCACACATAACCCACACACGCCTGCTGCCAACAGCTGCGTCTTGTCACTCTGGTGCTTGCCCTCCTCCTCGATCATACCTCTCACTCCATCCTCGTTGTTGTTGCTGTTGCTATTTCGCCCTTTTACTCTACCCCCGTTGTTATTGTTGGTGTTCAACACTCATCCCCCCCAACCCCCAAACTCCGACCCCCCTCCCTCGTCCTCATCCTCCTCCTCCTCGCCTCTCCCCTCCTCCTCCTCCCACTCATCATCGACCTCTGCCCCCTCTTTCTATCCAATCACCCTCTCCCAAAACTGCCACCACTACTGCCACCACTACTACCACTTACGACCCGCTACGGTTGTTACTACCTTACCCTTTACCCCGTGTTTTCTCGACTGCTCGTTTTATTCCATTCACCCCGCGCTGCTTTCCCCCTCGATTCGTCTGCTGTCGATCATCGTCGGCTCGGAATCCGTTGCTCACGACTTTCCCAAACTTCTAGTTACTCACTAGTGTTCTCAGTCTTCGTCAACCACACTTCGGACTCGTTGAGACTGTTATCTGTCGCCAGCTGCTGAGCGTAAAGCTACTGCTGCATCGCCTTACGAGCGAACCGATACCCCCTCCCCCCGTCCTTGCACTGCAACGAAGCAACCGCAACAAGAAGTCACTGCAACAGACCTCGATTTGATCGGCTCCCGCATCAAACCGATACATACCAAAAACACACAGCACTTTCCAGGATCGCGAGCCAGAGCGCATAGAGCAAAACAAACCGAGGTCGCATATCTCGTTCGTTGCTGTCGCCTTCACAAGCACCCCATCACCACTACCTCCAAGGGGCAAATCCACGCCGCCCTTCATCGCAATCTGGTGAACAGATAACGTACTTTAATCAACAAAGAGCATCTTTCATCACCTGGTACTTCTACCCCTCTCCTGTTTTCATCGATATTTTATTTTTTTCGATTTTTTTTGTTGTTGGTCGTCGACTTCCTCTCCCCGCCAATCGGCCATACTCATTACATTCGAAAATGTACAAGCGTCAACTTGAGATAATGCGACGCCCGTTGCTGTTCCTGGTCAAGAGGCTAGCAAATTCTTGGATCGACTTTTTTTAGTGGATGAGGAGGCGGCCTGAACTCAAACTGATTACGCGTGACGGACCAGATCTACTCGTTCCTGCAACAACACTACTCTCCAACCTCCACCGATCTTCCTTTCCTTCGTCCCATCCTCCCCCCTCCTCCCCCCACTCTTTCCCGCTTTTTACCCCTTCCTTCGAGACAACGCCGACTGCCATGGCAGACCAGACGGACGTCGATCTCGACTCCATCATCGACAGATTGTTGGAGGTCCGCGGAAGCCGCCCCGGAAAGCAGGTGCAGTTGATGGAATCGGAGATTCGTTTCCTCTGCACCAAAGCGAGGGAGATCTTCATATCGCAGCCGATCCTGTTGGAGCTGGAGGCTCCCATCAAGGTATTCCCATTGATTTCCGCCGAGCCAGGAATGAATTTTTTTTCCCTCCAACTGTTGTCTGAGGCGGCGCAACGGCAACGTCATGATCAATTGCTGACCAGTGCAACCCAACCCGATAGATCTGCGGTGATATCCACGGTCAATACTACGACCTGCTGCGACTGTTTGAATACGGAGGATTCCCGCCCGAGGCGAATTATCTCTTCCTCGGTGACTACGTCGATCGAGGAAAGCAGTCCCTCGAGACCATCTGCTTGTTACTCGCATACAAGATCAAGTACCCGGAAAACTTTTTCATTCTGCGGGGAAACCACGAGTGCGCATCCATCAATCGTATCTATGGATTCTACGATGAGTGCAAACGGAGGTACAACATCAAGCTGTGGAAGACGTTCACCGACTGCTTCAACTGCTTGCCCATCGCCGCCATCATCGACGAGAAGATCTTCACCATGCACGGTGGATTGTCTCCCGACCTGAACTCCATGGAGCAGATTCGCCGCGTCATGAGGCCTACCGATGTGAGTTTGAGGAGGATGCGCTTGGAAGAGGAAGACGCAGGCAGCTGACGGATTCGTGTTAGATTCCCGATTGTGGACTCCTCTGCGATCTCCTCTGGTCCGACCCCGATAAGGACATCACTGGATGGAGTGAAAACGACCGCGGTGTTTCCTTTACCTTCGGACCGGACGTAGTGTCTAGGTTCCTGCAGAAGCACGACATGGACTTGATCTGCCGTGCCCATCAAGTCGTTGAGGACGGATACGAATTCTTCTCGAAAAGGCAGTTGGTCACGCTGTTCTCGGCTCCTAACTACTGTGGAGAGTTTGACAATGCTGGTGCGATGATGAGCGTGGATGAGAGTCTCCTCTGCTCGTTCCAGGTATGCCTAATCCCGTTCGGCCACGGAAGGTTTCAGGCTAACACGTGCACAGATCCTCAAACCGGCCGAAAAGAAGCAGAAGTACGTCTACGGTGGCATGGGATCGGGGAGACCGGTCACTCCCCCCAGGAAGCAAAAGAAGAAGTAAACGGGACGCACGGATATCTCTATCACCACGATTACAGGTTTAGGTGGGGTACAATCGGTGAATTGTATTTCATCACCATGTTCTTTCGCAGATGGTTGTTTTCGGTTTACGGTCGAGCGGCTTGTACGTTGTGGTGGTGGTTAGAGGGTATTAATGGGGTTTCTTTTTCTTACTTCTTAACGTCTTTTACAAGGGAAAAGCAAAAGATTGTTCATCATGTTGGAACTCGTACGGAAACCCGCAGCATTGGATGGAGTGGGGGAGGACGGTGTTGGATGGGGATGTTTCGTGTCCTTCTTTGAGAACAGGAAGGAGTTTGGAAAAGGGATATCATTGACTATAGGCAAGGGGATGGGCATATTTTTCGTCTTCAGACCCTTGTGCGTGTTGTGTTGCTTTTCTCTCTATTCTTTATGCTTCTCTCTCGCTCTCTCTCTATCTCACTATCGGCGGTGCTTCGTTCTATGTGCTTCCCTCTGCTTTTTTTTGTTTTTTTTGTTTCGTGTGTCCGCCCTTTTTTCTTTCCTTTTTTCCGCTTTTTTTTTTCTTCGTTCTCGTTCGGTTCTGTTTTTGTGGTCATCGTATGTGCATGTGTATGTGTGGTGTGCACTGTGTGTGTGTTGTGTGTGTGTGTGTGTATGTGTGCGTGTGTGTGGTGGTGGACGTGTGTGGTGGACGTGGTCTGTGTTGTGATGATGACGATGCTACCTACCTAACTACCCTCCCCCTCCCACTCCTACTCCCCCCGCGACTACCGTGCCAACTACCTATACTACGATACGATACGCTATACGCTATACGAAATCAATGACATGGTTGATTGATATGTTGTACGGCCATGGTTAAATGTGATTCTGTGGTGGGCTATGGGAGATGAGGAAGGTATGGCGGATGGCGAAGGAAGCGGATGGCGAAGGAGGCGGATGGCGAATGGTGAATGGATGGCGGACGGGTGGAGTAGAGTAGTTAGTTGCAGCTCGGGATTGATATCGTATCAATGATATATGGTAGATGTTCTATATTCGCAATCGCCTTGGGACCGATCGGCGCTGGGTGCGGCGCTGGGTGCGGTGCCGTGCGGATGGTGGGGAGGATGTGAGTCTCACTCTGGCCCTAGAAGCTTGCCCTGATGGATTGATGGATGGATGGATACCGGTAGATGGATCGGCCGATTGATTGCCGCCGAAGCTGGTACCCAAAGACTTTGTTGGTATGTTGGTATGTATAGTGGCTGAAACGGGTCGAAAACGGGGTCGGCGTCGGCTGAGGGGGAGGCTGAGGGAGAGGCTGATACTTCTCCATGTTCTCCTTACCGTTAACTATTTGCCCAGCGGCGACGCTCCACGGACAAGTTGGGAAGAACGAGCCAGCCTGAAACGACCCACCTACCAGCGTCGCGGGCCTGGTCCTATGCATAGAAACTGGATCTTGGACCGTTGGATGCTGTGCACAGTGCTCCACTTTTAAGCGCTGGCGGCTGGTGGTTGGATTCATGGAACCTGGGTTCTGGTTGCGAGAGTTGTCAGATACCTAGTAGGTAGACGCGTACATGTTTCCACCGTTCCCGGTGGAGTGTAGTGGAGGTGAAGTCGGAGAAGTATCGTATCCAGCTCCAGTGCGCCACCCGAATGCCGAACGCCGGGGACCCGGGAATGCCGGCGTGGCCAAGCCGAATATGAAACATTCAAGCCGAACAATAAAAATAGCACGATTCCGGCTCTCCCGGCCCGAGATCGGAGCCGGGAGAGCCGCAAGCGTGGTAGCGGCGACGAATGCGGCGAGTTCCATAACTATGATATAGAGGAGGTATGTACGACAGTACGAGTGCTTCCGAACGACGTATTATGAGCTCCTTGAGGCGCGGATGCGGGCCTAAAGGGGCGGTCTTGGGGATTTACATAAGACTTGGAGTCGTAAGCTGTCCGGCTTGCACAGTCGGATTGGGAATCGGCTTCCAAGTTCCCACTCCCCGCCCACTACGGACCTAGGTAACCCCGCCCTGTCCTGTCCTCCTCGCCCCCTTCCCCTCCTCCTCCCCTCATCCTCCCCTCCCCTTCTCCTTCCCCCGCCGACCGCCGTCGCCGCCGCAAGCAGTCCACCTTCTAGACCGGAGTAGCCATACTTTAACGTAACAGATCGCCGGGCAGTTCCACAATTTCAGTTACGCAAACGACGACGGCGGTGGGGCGGGGGGATGGGGGGATGGGCATCACTTTATTTCGTCCCATCCTGCTGCGGGTGATCGGGAATCGGGATCGGGGCATTTTTCTTTTTTTGGGGTTGGGCTTGGGTTTGGGTTTGCTTTTTCGAGGGCGGGGGGGTTGCTTTTTGGAAGTTCGTCTTTGCGTGATGGGTTTCGCTTTGGAGCGGTGGAGGCCGCGAGTGCGAGTGGGGCGGGAGGGAGGGAGTGGGCGGCGGGGATGTGGGAGTCCGGTACCGGAGGCATAGTTGCGCAGCCACGGTCTCGGTATCGATATTCGGCTCCACATTTTCATGCTATGATCTATCGGCCGTGGTGGTGGAGCGTGGGTGATATTCCATGATTCGAGCACGCTGAGTACCCAAGTAGGCGGTCAACAACTTGGGCGATGATCCATCCGTCTACCTATCCGAGGCCCATACTGTACATACGCCGAATTCATCCGATTGTGTCCGATTTGCTGGTGCCAGCTAGGTTGGAAGGACTCGTGGGCGGCCGCGGACTCGGACTCTGGCGGGAACTTGGAAGCAACACTTTACTATACAAACGATTACATACACACGAACAACGGAGATGGAGTGCTGATTGAAGATGTAGAACGTTAGCGATTTCTACGCCGCAGTAGGGGAAAAGATTGCTCTGTAGCGATGGGTACGAGAGCATCGAGGTAGCGGTACGGAGGAAGACTAGGTACGAATGGCGCCTAGTGAACATCACCGATCACTCGGAAGCCTCTGGTTTGGAGAAAAAGATAAACTTCCTCGTAGGTTTCCTGAGTCCTTGGTGGCGTTAAAGTCAAAACACTTGGGAGAAACCCCTAGCAGCCAGAGCGTTGGAACTTGGAAAAAGGTCGCATCATCATGGAGTAGAGGGCATGGGCATTCGGTGTTCAAGAACTGATCATCACAATCACAGCTCATTCAGACAATGCACGATAGGTATGCATAGATGAATAAACGATACTGTTACAAAAGCCCCAAACAATGAAGATATCTACAAAAAGAAACCACCGAACCAAAAGTCAAGCAAAAACGCAATGCACACACACACACCCCTCCCCCCCTCTCCCTCACACGCACTGGGAGTAAAACGTATTTGAAAACGTACAGGTATACGGCGACACACAAGCCGTGGCGCCAGTCCAGCCCTGTCCACCGCACTGACCATACTGCTCCGCCCACAACCAACGCGCGTTAGAAAAAAATCCTCGATTAGAAGGCACGGATGTGGCGCCTAGACGCGGAAGAAAGGAATCTCTTTACCCTGGCGACGACAGTGCTCGTAGAACTTGTGGTTGCCGCCGTGGTCGTGGCACTCGTCGTTGGGAAGTTCTGCAGCGGGATCGCCAGGATCTTCTTGACCGCGTGCTCGGCTGCTACGAGGATAGGCGCCGAAGGGTTCGTGGAGACATGACCGGGGAAGATGGAGGCGTCGATTACGTACTATGGAGGTCAATATTGGAGCTCATGGAGGAAAAGGGGGCGGGGGGGAGGGGACACATACGATGTTGTTGGTGCCGTAGACCTTGGTGTTGAGATCCACCACTGAGCCGGAAGTACCGCCGAGCTTAGTGCCGTCGTCAGTGCCCAGCCTGGCCGATCCGAGCCAATGGTTGCTACCACGGCTCTGGAAGTACGAGTCGACGTAAGCCTGGGCGGTCACACCCGACGCCGGTGAAAGCAGGGTGATGGCGGTGCCGTTGGCGTCGGTCCAGCCCTTGATGGCGGTGAGCATGTTATCGATGCCCTTGACGATGGCGGCCTTGTCCTGGCCGGTGGTGCCATAGGGCTCCGTGCCGACAGTCATGCCGAGGTTGCTCTTGATCGTGATACGGCCGCGGCTGGTCACTCCCGTGCCCAGGTACTGCGATATGGTGATCAGGGTGTCGCCGGAGTTGCCGAGAGAGCCTTCGGCACGCGCGGTCCATTGCATCTGCCGGGTGATCCCGTCGGTGCCGACGACTTGGTCGTAGAGAACGAGGGGAATACCCGGGGCCGCGGTGGAGAGGATTCCAGCGCGGTTGTCGAGGTAGGCGTTCTTGTCGGCCTCGATAGGGGTGTCGTACGCAGCGTAGAAGTCATAGGCCTTGATGTTGGGGTGCGAGACGACCATATCAGTGTTGGTGTGGTCGAGAACGTTGTAGCCGACGGGAGACAGAATCCAGTTGGCCGAGGCGATCATCGAGGAACCATCGGTGGACGAGCTCTTGACGATGTCGAGCATGTCTTTTGGCCCGATTCCGGAGCGGAACAGGATCTTGGCGGTTCCGAACGCGCCGGCGGAGAGGATGACCCTTCCAGTGGCCTTGACCTTGTAGATACCAGTTTGGCCGTTGGAGGCAGTGGCGTAGACCTCAACACCGGTGGCGGTGGCTCCGCTGCGGACAACACGGCGAACCATGGTGTCGGTCACAAGCTTGAAGTTGACCCTCTTCTTCGCAGTCCTGAGGTAGGTGGCCAGGGGACCACCACGCTCACCGTTGCTGAACATGAATGGCGAATGGCCGAAGGTCTTGAGCTTCTGGTTGGGGGCGGCGTTGATGCTTGCAAGTTCTGTCCATCCGGCCTTCTTCACGGCCGCTCCAAGGACCGAGTAGGTCTCCTGGATGTACCGCTTTCCGTCCATCGAGGGGGTGTCAGTGCCGGGGATACGGGCAAACATGCGCGCCTGAGCAGCCGCCACGTCCGATGCCTTCCACCCAGTGGGGAAGTTGTAGTCCCAGTCGCGATCCTGGGGAACGAAGAACATGCCGGCGTTAACAGCAGTACCGCCTCCAAGAACACATCCAGCCATGCGGTCAACATCATCACAAGCAATTCCAGTGCTGTCCACCCAGATCTCGTTGCAAAGACCAGGGATATCGAAGCGGGTGAGGTTCTCGGCTTTGGACCATTCAGGGGCGATCGCTAATACACTGCGTCAGCATGCTCTGTATCCGAAACCCGACGACGGCATGGATAGACTTACTTCCGCCATGTTCACCAGTAGAGGGAGGACCACGCTCGATCATGAGAACGGTCGCGCCAGACTCGGAAAGCCTGTCAGCAGCAACCAGACCTCCGGCACCACCTCCAACAACGATGTAATCGTACTCTCCTAGGACATTTGTGCTGGAAGGAATGGGTGCTGCCGTCGAACTAGAAGATGGGGCCACGGTGGTGGACGACGCCGGGGCAGTGGTTGTAGGACCGCCGACACCGGCAGCATCGAGCCAGCTTTGGTAGAGAGAGCTCTTCGCTCCGGCGAGGTTCATTCCGTACTGACCCATTCCGTTGTTGTGGTAGGGCAAAACCGTGTCGGGATCCGTCTTATCGGTCAACGCATCCAAACTGATGGCCCAACCCAATACTGTAAAGTCGGCAGTAGGGTCCCAGCTAGAGCCGGAATCCCAAGACATGCAGTTCTGGCAACGGAAGGTGTACTTGAAATGGGTGGTATTCACGGACGAGTACATCGTCGTGGCGGTGGGCCCGTCATAGACCAGAGGGTCAATGTAGGAGTCGATCCAGCGGAACGAGTGAACGACCTCATTTCCATTTGCCCATGCGACCAGAAGAAGGGAGTCCGTCATCGAGCCACGGAGAGAAAGACCCGACCAACCGGCTATGGGACCGACCTGAGTGTATCTTCGTCAGTTGAGTCACTGGAGGGCAGTGGATTAAGAACATACGATGTGTCCAATGAACTCGTCGGTAGGTGATGTTGGCAAAGCCATACCGAACACATATCCACCAGCTGACACTGTCGAGAACGACTGGTAGGCGATGCCAGTTTCGGAATCGGTATATGCTGTGGAGGACTGCGCAGAGGCAAGTCCCACCATCGCCCCAAGGGCGAGGAGACAAGACTTCCAGTTCATGATGTGAGGATTTTCGAGCTTTCCAGAGTCGAGTTTGCCGTCAGGTTAAAAAATTGGGAAGCAACACAAAAAAAATGAAGGACAGTTGGTTCCAACGTGGGGAATGAAAGGAATGAAGCACGATCTGGCGATGTGCTGGAAGAAGAGAATGTGGGTCCTGGCCTGGTGGGAGGCTTTGTGGATGAATTTTGAAAAAAAAGAGTGCGAGATCTGAGGACCTTATATTATCTGGAGTTCACGGTGGGGGATTGATATATTGGAGTTCGGGTAAGCATGGGCCCCACGATGTTGATGCCAAATTCGAAATTAGAGTACCTGACCATCAGACAAAACGCAGGCTGCAACTGCCCCTGCCATGCACCGTCATGGCGCGGAATAGTGGGCTAGCAGCTCAAGTGAGGTTGATTTGGCGGACATCTGGAAGGCTCCCGATTGGAGTACGGGTTGTCCGGACGGTACGATCCGACAGTTGCTGCCATCGACGTCGGCCAGGACGACCGAAGGTTAAATTCCACGGCCCTGCTGGGCCTTAGCACGAACACTGCTATCATTTTGTTGTGGCACAAAGGCATAGTGATGATGCTTTTCAAGCACAGCCTGCTGCCTCAGTTGTATATGGCTATTCCAACGCCTCTGGTGGAAGGAACCGACTCTATCGTCAGGCTCCGTCAGTAAGACTCCACAGAGAAGTGGGTATCGATCGAGCACGAACCCATCTGGAACTCACCGGCGTACTTCCCTCGCCTCTACTGTAAACGCCTCTTTCGTGCCGACGTAAAGGGCGGCGTGGTGAGGCGCCGCACACCGGCTCCTGGTGACGATTCCGAGGTAGCGAATAGAGTATCTGCCAGGACAAGTCTCCTGTAAATTGACCGTACCGGTTGAAAGCGTCGGTTTCGGGGGTTCTCACCGCCACTCCGGGACCTAGAATATTAGAACCCGGAAGGTCACTCTATGATTCCGACTGCTACTACCTAGCGTTTGTGGATGAATTGGACCTGGTCATGGGTCCCACGTCTCGCCAACGATATGTATGGCGGGTGGCGGTTAAACAACGTCGCTGCATTCGCCGGTGCCGGGATGGGCGCCAGTGCGTGGTGGTACCTTGCATGCTCATTCACCCCTAACAGAGATGACTGAGTAACCAGTAGATTGATGATGAGGACGACTGTTTCGCGGAGTCGTAGTCAAAACACAGTACCTATGCGCACACCGGACTCTCATGGGCGTTCACTCCAGCCACCGTGCGTATATAAGGAGCGCCTCTAGACACTGAGCGTCCGTGGCTTCGGGAGAGCTTTGAGAACGCCTCTGGAACAGGAAGGCTTGCACAGATCGGGTGCCGCCGACGGAGAGGGAAAGCGAGATAGCCAGCCACACACACACCCAGCGAAGCGCAGCCCGGATAGGCGGTAAATACCCCGCGCTTTCCTTAACCACCTACCCTACACTCGGGTCTTATTACTGCAGGTCCGATGGCATCGCGTAGCTTTTGGGGTTTGTTGCACCATGCGGGGAAATCATTATCTGGGGAAGCGGCCCTGCAAGGCACAATCCCCCCAGAGGTACTCCGAACTTGTACGGGCACGTGAACAGTGGCGGGCTCCAATCTAGGATAAACGGCCAGTAACCCCGATCGAATCCGCCAGTCTGGAAGCCATCTTCAAGGCGGTGGCAAGCCCTGGTGTCTCCAGACTTCGTATTCTCCATCCAGGCTTCGGATTTCTCATCCATAGCGAGAAGATTCGATCCCTGTAGATGCAATTTCTGCCCTCCTAGCTAGAATAGGCCACTCTGCGATGCATGCAATTCTCGAACCTTGACAGTCCAAGTAAGGCCCCCGCTGGGTACTTTCCTCAGGTACCTACATATGCGCGCGTTATATTCGAGGTTTATATGAGGCCTGATATTGCACCTACCTTGAGGCAATACGTACATCATGAATCTCGTATCAGACGAGGCTAATCAAGTCCCAGAAGGCTCAGTATGATATAGTAACACTGCCCGGAGTCGATGTCCATTCTAATACAGATGTTGGATTACCTACTCGTCCTAGGTTGAGCCGACGGTAATCAAAACCTCGCTGTCGAACTGCGCATGTGCTTAACTAGCACCCCCACGAGTTAGTCCGTTAGCATTAATGATTAGTTAGCATCAGCGGGAGCTCAAGTTCGGGCGATGTCAGTCTGCGAGTGTATGAGCAAAAGGAATCGTCTTATCAAACCCAAGAACAGATGGTGATAATCCGGCTTATCACTTGTAGAATGGAACCCAAGAACAGATGTTGATAGGTAGTCCGGCTTATCGAGTATTTGCAGAATAGATCTCAGAACGAGCATGAATGATAGCTGAGGAAATTCTCATGGTCCCGAAACAGCCGTTCATAGGCGTTGTTGAATTTGAATGGCAGCGTGAATGTGTTTGTTCGAGTATGTAAAGAATTGTATGTCCACGGCCGGCCAGGATCGACCTCGCATAACAACCCTAGCCACTCCCGTGTGTGCTGTGTCAGCTTCGTCACTACTGCAACTCTACTTGAAGCTCAACATAGCTCCACGCTCATTGCAACCTCCAGGCAACGCCCAGCGACAGCCGCAATGAGTTATCTGCTTCGTCGTCTCCCACTCTCACCAGCCGTGCGCCCCCTTCACGCGACAACCTACTTATTCGCCGTACCCCTATTCTCTATCGCCTTCCTCGTCTTCCTCAACAGCAGTCTGAGCTTCCTGCTCACGCACCTCTTCCATGTCTCGCCCAAGAAACTCGGTAGCATCGTCGGCACCCTTGGCTTCGTCGATGAGCTCGTCGCGATCTTTGCCGCGCCGATATGGGGCCTTATCAGCGATGGACGCGTCGGCACGCGCGGAGTAGCGAGCATGGGATACCTCGCGATAGCAGTTTCGTTGGTGCTTTCGGTGGAGCTGAAGAGCGTGTACCCGGGTTTAATAATCGGGCGGATCGTATTTTCCCTCGGTGCAGCAGCAGTGACAACGATGGTTTCCGCGATCCTACCTGAGATGACGAATCCTCCGTCCTTATCGGATGACGAAGCTTCGGAGTTAGTGGCGAAGCCTGCGCCGACGGGTCGGTTGGCGGGACTTGTAGGACTTTTTACGGGATTCGGCGCGTTGTTGGCACTCGGGCTGTTTCTCCCTCTGCCTACGCGCTTCTCGACTCACCCCGGTGTCACGCCTGGGGCTGCGGTTAAGATCTCGTACTTCATCGTCGCCGGTATTGCCGGTGTCGTTGCAGTGTGGTGCTACCTCGGCCTCCCGCCGCCTAGGAATCCTGCGGCTGGAAATACGTGGCACGATATCAAGACGTGGGTGTGGACGCGGATCTGGGGCGGAGATCCGGTATTCGTAGCTTCTCCTGAGGACGAGGATGGACGGCGGAAGGGAGCTGCGCAGGTGAGCGGAATCCGCGGCCTGTTGGTGGCGGTGAAGTTGGCATGTACGGATGGCCGTATCGGTGTGGCATATGTGGGTGGTTTCGTCGCGAGGGCAAGTTCGGTCGGGATCAGTCTCTTCATCCCGCTGTTTGTGAATCACTATTTCGTCTCCACTGGACGCTGTCAACCCACCGTTCCGGAACTATCGAAAGAAGAGTGTCGGAAGGCCTATATCCTCGCCTCAAGTAATTTTACCTCTTACTATTTATGCATACGGGGAAGCTGACGGAGATTTAGCCTTAACGGGTACGTCGCAACTTACCGCGCTTCTCCTCGCGCCAGTTTTTGGTTACCTCACCGACCGCCTCTACACCACGCCCTCTCTCCGCAATGTTCCGCTGATCCTCTCTTCCGTCCTCGGAATCGGATCCTTTACGCTTTTCTCTCTTCTACCTACGCCGACCAGCCCTTGGGCGTTTGTCTTCGCCGCATTTGCAGGCGCCAGCCAGATTGGTGCCATCGTTGCTTCTCTTGGCCTTCTATCCCGCGGAATCGTCGAGGTCGCATTACCAGGCGACCATCATGTGGTTGACGGAGCTGAGCAACCATTGCTGTCCGGTAGTGTGCGCCAGAATGACAAGACCAGAGAGGCGTTCAAGGGCAGCATCGCGGGCGTCTACAGTCTCTTCGGCGGTGTTGCGATCCTGCTGCTTACCAAGGTTGGCGGTAAGGCGTTTGACGGTACAGTTGGTGCGCCATTTTGGATGTTGGCTGGATTCAACGGCGTGCTTTTGGTTGTGGCGGTTGCGGATGGAGTTTGGACGTGGATTTGCGATGGGCGGTAATATCGAGGACTGTGGACGGAATTTTTGGAGGTTACGAGGGATATGATACGGTATACGATTGGCGTATGATACGTTTGCCTCATGCGTCTGTTTCTTTAAGGCGTTGTATGTTTGAGTTTTTCTTCTGATTTCTGGATATCCGCATGGAGATGAATGAGTTTTTGATAGTAGTTAATATACTTTTGGATAAGTTTACTTTGCACAGGCAGGCCAGCGTAGATCAAGTTAGCCGCGGTGCTCGTTATCGGAACGAGCCGTGAACATCTAACATAGATCTACAGAAAACTTGTCACCCGCGTGCTTCGCCATGTCGCAACTTCAACACCATACAGTCGATGACGTCACGGTGAATTCATCGGTGTCAACGGTCAATACTACCCAATTCGGCCAGCAAGGAAAATTCCACCGTCAATGACAAGACGATGACCTAGGTGGACACCGTAGGATCAAAACCGCCGGATTGTACCCATTTATTTAAACAAACAATGAACCATTGCCGGCATACTCCTCTTCCTCTCCTCTTCCGCACACTCCACACATACAAACCACAACTATTCCGCAGAATACCACTACTACCAACTACCGTACGCAAAACCACATATACAAGCTTCAGAATGGCATCCTCGCAGGCTGGAAAAGGAGGCGAGTTTAAGGCCAATGTTCCGAAGCAGGAGCAGCCGCTGCCGGGGTTAGTCACCTCCTAAAGTGCTTACTGTTTGTGGGCTTGTGCTGACATATGTGCAGTCTCGAGAAAGACATGGCTCCTACTTCCGAGTCCACCAAGCTTGAGGGATCCGACGGATTCGTCGAGTACGAGGGCTCCGGAAAGCTGAAGGACAGGGCCGCCATCATCACTGGTGGTGATTCTGGCATTGGGTGAGTTCTTCGATAATTTAGAAATAGAGATCGAGCTAACGCCTGCACCCCCACTAGCCGTGCCATTGCCGCCCTCTACGCTCGCGAGGGTTGCGATAGCACCATCGTTTACCTCCCGGCGGAGCAGGAGGACGCCGAGGAGACCAAGCGTATCGTCGAGTCCGCTGGCCGCAAATGCAAGCTCATCCCGTTCGACCTCGAGAGATTGCGGGACTTGCACGAGATTGTCGACGCGCACATGAAGGAGTACGGTCGCCTCGATATTCTTGTCAACAACGCCAGCAAGCAGGTCATGTGCGAAAACTATGAGGATATCGAGATCGACAATATCGAGTCTACGTTCCGCAGCAATATTCTTCAGATGATGGCGCTTACGAAGTTTGCCGTGCCGCATATTCCAAAGGGTGGAAGCATCATCAATACGACGAGTGTGGTTGCGTTCCGTGGAACCAGCTCCATGGTCGATTATGCTGCTACCAAGGGAGCGATTGTCGCCTTTACCAGGGCTCTAAGCAAGTCTTTGACCAAGAAGGGAATCCGTGTCAATGCTGTTGCGTACGTTCTCTGTCCTTTCTCTTTCTCTCACTCTTCACCTGTGCTAACACGCCAAAGACCCGGCCCCGTCCACACGCCTCTCCAGCCCGCAAGCCGTCCCGCCGACCAGATGGAAGGCTTCGGCAAGCAGAGCCAGATCGGACGCGCTGGACAGCCCTCCGAGATCGCCACGAGCTTCGTCTTCCTGGCATCGAAGGACGCATCGCTCTACTACGGCCAGATCCTCCACGCCTACCCGATGGGTGATTAGAGGGTGGAACAAACAAAACTAGAATTTCGGCGAAATCTCTATGGGCGTTTTCTGTTGATTTCTTTTCTGTTCTTTGGGCCAGTCTCCTTGTCGTTTGTACTGTACTTTAGCTGCGATGTGATGCGACAATCGATGTGAACATCACTTGATCGCTCGGTTTGTTGAGATAGTGAAGTAGCATCATCATTCGCCATTCGTTTGAGCATGGCGGGCATCGCGTTTTCCTCTCCAGGCGTGGGATTACTCCCCTAGATGTAGCGGATAACATCCCCATAAGTATCTAGATATTCTACCACTAATCTAACATACAAACGCTGTATACATCGAGTCCTTCCAGGTCGTTTCCACCGACTTCCTAGTAGCCAAGGCCCCCCGCCTTGGACAACTCGGTCATAATAGCGTGTTGTTTCCGGTATACGTAGGAACTTAACCGTTTGCTAAAGCCTATTCCGCGAGCGAAACTTACACTTTGTAACTCCCACCTGCGTACGCTCATATTCGAGCATCAGCTACAATCCCGATGCCTTTCAAAACCCCCTCTAATCCTCCGCGCTCCGTAAAGAACTCCCAATCCTCGTCGCGCTTGACCATCACCTCACCGGCAAGCACAGTGCCGTTGATCCCCACCCCCTCCCGTCCTCCGTCTTCCGATATCCGCGGCGCAAGCGCGATCCACTCCCGCGTGATCCCCATGTTGTAACTACACCCCTTCCCCCGCGCCTCCTCGCACCTCCGGAGCAGCGTCTCGTACGCCTCCACCACCTCCGGCACGCCCACGGCCTTCGGGTAGCGGATGCAAAAAGTCAAGAACGGAAGCCGCGGGTGGGACCACGCCTCTCCATCCCCCTCCCCCTCCTGACCCTCGTCCCCCGCGGCGCTTCGATCAAACGGCAACTTCCCGCGCTCCGCCGGAACGGGGAAGAACTGCACGTGTCTATGCGGCTGGCTCGCGCCGCTGTCGGGCCCGCTATTGAAGAAGCCGTACAAGCGCTCGCCTGTGGACACGTCCTCCCAAGTCCGTAGCACGGCGTAGACCGCGGCGAGATCCTGCGGGCGCAGCGGCTCGGTCTGTGGCTCGAACGTGGCGGTGCACAAAAGGAAGTGCTGCGGTATGATTGGGTAGCGGTTCAGGATCAGGTTGTAATCGGGGATGCTGGCGATTAGGAGGCCGCGCTGTGGCGGGAGGAACGGGTTCGCCTTCGCCTTCGGCTGAGACGAGGATGAGGAGAAGGTTTGGGGAGTGGGAGTGGGTTTGTGTTGCAGCGAGGGACAGAAGCGCGCGCGGTAGACGACATCGTTGATGCGCAGGTCGCGGGTCGCCGCGGACGAGGTGAAGATTACGTCGCCGGCTGCGAGCGCCGCTGCGTACGCTTTTGCAACGAGCGTGGGGAGGTTGGCGGGGAGCGTGGGGAAGGCGGGCATCAAGCAAGAGCTCTAGGTTTGTAGATAGCGGGGAAATCGGCTAGTGTGTTTTGTTCCTTGCGGAGAACCTTCACTGATTTGCACTCACTACTAGGGACGCTAGCCCGGCTGCAGCAGGCTTGGCACTCACGTGTGCTGCGTTTGTTTCAACTCCACGCCTTCCTCCAATCAACCTTCGCCTTTGGCATCATCACACGCCCAACACCATTTTCATCTCGCTTTCCAATTCATTTCGCCCACTTTAAAAAAGAGTTGATAAGGGGGCGATTTTTAAGAGATCCTCGAAATGCTTTCCCGACTCGCAAAAAAAACTGGGGACCTTGGGAATTCACTCGAGCGGAGCGCTTTCGAAGATCAGTCGACAATATTATCGCAACCGTGGCTGGACTCAACCGAACGATGGCTGCGCTGCGCTCTACCGACTCGAGCTACCGGTAGTGCGCATTCGGTAAATCACGAGGCAACTCATCGGCATCATTCCGTTCTGCAGAGGGCTGCTGTCGTCGGCTTCGCTGTCGTTGCTACCTGGTAACCCATTCACCACCTTATGTCAAACTGGCCTGAAGGTGAGTATTTTTGGGTGGCGCATTGGATGAGCGATGGACAGAGGTTTCGTGAAGGGGGAAGACACGTATGTACTATCAATGCTGTCTGTCTGGTGGGCCAGCTCGCTGACGCCTTCTCGAACCGGGTATTCTGTGAATAGTGGTGTGAATTATGTGTGGCATGGGAAAGAAGAAGCAGCCGGAGGAGAGGACAGGACAGGGTGAACGGAGGAAGGCTGTGTCCAGGAATGGGGTGGGGCAAGAGGGGATTCCGCGCGAGAACCGAACAACGAAACCGACAGCGACAGCAGCGACAGCACCACACAAACTGACAGTTTGGAATTGAGCCACCACCACCACCACCCCCGTTTGAGAAGCGCCATCCGGAATTCAAACCCCCATCAATTGTCGAATCCTGGACGGAGCCACGATATTGACCCTAGGTCAGTCGTCCGTTCGTTCGCTCCGTTCGCTCGCGTTCGCCGGTCCGTTGGTTCGTTCGCGCGCTGCTAAAGTAGATGTGTACATGCTACATATGTGGCGGGACACACCTGCGTGTCGTCAACGAACTGCATGGTGGGGTGGGGGTAGGAAGTTGTTTCGATCGGAAAAATACCTCGAGACAGCCAACAACCACAGCAGAGCCGCCAATGTCGCTGTCCCTGGCGGCGAGCGAACGGATGCTTGCATTCGACTCAATTCAATTCCAGGAATAATTTTCTCTCGCTGTCTCTTTCTCTCTCTCTCCGTCTCTCCCTGGCCGCGGGAAAAAAATATGGCGGAGAACATATGACGTTGCCAGTCGTCAAGTTACTCGTCCCTAGTAACTGAATTCCGGGGGTCCGAGTCTCATCAACTACGGTGCCGTCAGTCAGAATCGAAGCGAGCGACGTTGGCGACTGGCAATTCCCAGAAGGCCGGCTCTCGTCGTCAACTGGTCACAAAATGCGGTGCAAGAGCCGCCTGGCACTGACTCTGCAGCACGGCTTGTCGACGACGTCGACCAGCAGGATGCAGCCCGCAAAGCAAAAGCGACAGCGGAAACGGATGAAAGAGGATGAGAGCCAGAGAGAGAGAGAGCGAGAGAGGTGTAGGGTGCAGAAAGGGCGTGGTTTCGGTTTCGTTGCGGAAAATTAATTATTTTCCCATCGGATTGTGCACTCTTCGGTGGCGCCACGTGCTGCTTGACAGGTTGTCTCAATGGTCTGTCTCTCTTCTGTACGGAGAAACCCCTGGCGGTCGTCATCATGCTCTAGAGCCGGGAGCGAGTGACAGCTCTGTGGGGAACATCAAACGCCCGCCATGAACGGTACTCATCAAGGTACCCGCTCGCTCGCTCATTCATCACCAGGAAACAGAACTTTCGCGGCCAGGTAGAGGTAACATCAAGAAACCACAGCAGCCCCCCAGTCTATATTGAACGCCTGAAAATCTATGAACTGAACGATAGAAAGAAGACCAACTAACCTATACTTTTCAGTGCTCTCCTCCGCTCTATCTTCATGACATGGAGCCCGGCTATTTTTGGAAATAGTACCGTGCAGCACGCACAACAACCACCAACACCCTCCGACATGCAAGAAACCAGAAAACGCACAGCAGTGCAATCGCTAAACCGGGAAAAGACCAACCAAGAAATGCGAGATGCAACATCCAAAAAAACAAACCAAATAAAAAAGGAATTAAAAAAAAGAAAAAAAGAAGGATTGAACGAGGAAAAGAAGAAGAATGAGAATGGCCTCCCAAGAAAGAAAAAAAAAACTGTGGCACCACGAAGAGAAACGCCCCAAAAACTCAAAGAAAGCAGAAAGAAGAAAGAAGGGAAAAAAGGACAACTCCCGCCAATAAACGCCCTGCAACTCGCAGCCTGCCAACCCTCAATACGCCTCGCGTCAATCACACACCTCGAACACTCACTCACTCAGTCTCCACCACCATCCCACCGATCCACCTGTAACGGATTGACTGGGTCATTTTCCCCGCGCCGTTCGGGTTATTTCCTCCTTGCAGGTGACAACCAGTCACTCAGGCTTAACAGTGCGGTGCTTTCTCCTCTTACTGGTCTGCACACCCTCGCTCAACGGCTGAGCACGGCCTTCTTGAACCAATGCAAGGTACTGCTTCTTGCAGGTGCTGGACCCAAATTTGTAGCTGCCACCTCGCGCGACGATGTTGTCAGAGACCTGCTTCCACTTGATGTGTGGCAGGTCCGGGTCGACGATTTCCAACAGGAGTTCGATCTGTCCAGAAGGAAAAAAAGTCAATTAGAAACGGTTTCTCGAAATAAAGTTGGAGTGGTGGGGGTAATGCTCACATCTGTTTCGGCCCAGACCGGCTTCCGGAGGCGCTCGTTCTTGGGCTTCGTCAACGTCCTGAAACGTCCACGGAGCGTTGACTCGGCTTCCTCCAAGTTCAACTGGATCTTGATGGTCTTGTAGGACACACCCTGCTGCCGCAGATATACCAGCTGTGCGTCGGTCTCGTCGTATTTCTCGCTGGCGGGCACGCAGGCCGTTGGCGGGATGGGTTTCCGCGCACGGCGCGGGCTCGAGCTCGTGGTCGATTTCTTGGCCGACGGACGAAGGTTCTGGCCGCGCGAGTGGGGGTACGTGGACGACGATGAGTTGGCGACATCTGGCGATGACGATTTCGTGCCCATTGGGGTGATGGGTTCGGGGGACTCGCCGCCGGGAGAGGCCGAGGACTCGGCGTAGTAGGGCGAGCCGTTCTGGATCACGATCGCCGACATGTCGTCGTCCTCATCCGTCTCGTCGTAGTTGTCGCAGTCGTCGTCGCTGTCGTCGAAGTCATTGAAGTCTTGCTGCTGGCTGTGGTGGTGCTGGCCGTGGTGGTGGTGGTGGTGGTGGCTGGCGTGGCTGGCGTACGTGTATGCCGAATCGTAGTTCGCGGAGGGCGATTTGGGCATTGGGTACAAGGATTCCGGCGTTACCGAGCTTACACCATAATGTCCCCGTGGCCGGTCGCTCTGCGATGGGGAACGAGTGCTAGACGGCCTGTATGATGAGCCCAAGCTAGGATCCACCATGGCCGGCGAAAACCGCCCCCTGGAGGTTGTCGACGTGTAGGACGAGCCGGAGTAGAACGGGGGCCGGACGGGTGCTGGCGTTGCTGCCACCGAGCGGCTCGAGTCGTCGCCAGGGTAGTGGGTTTCGTTCAATTCGGGGAAGAGCTCGGTGACTGCTTGTCGAGCGGCGACGGCGCTGGCCTCGCTGCTCGGTGCGAGTTGCACGGCGGGCCCTCCGCGGGGACTCCAGCGGCTTTCGGCATCGGTGGAGCTCTCCGGATATGCCGATTGGCCCCGGCGCGAGTGGTGGTAGTGTTGTCCAGCTCGTGCCGCCCGCGAGTCGCCGGAATCCGAGTACGGAGAGTTGTCGAAGTCTTCGGTCGAATGTCTGCTGTACGACTTGGTTGCGTAGGTGGAATAGTGTGCTGTTTTTCCCAAGGGTCTCAAATCAGCATTCAATGGCGGGGGAGGATAGACGGATGTGAAGGAAGGAAGAAGTAAAACTCACCACCGGAGGAGGTTCTTCGGTCCTGGTCGTCTCTGCTCTGTCTTGAGTACCAGTATGAGGAGTCGGCATCGGACGCGGCGGCACTCAGCGGGTAGTGATCGTACATGGTGTCATAGTTGTCGTATCGGGGGTCCTCTTTCGAGGGCGAGACGGAGGAGGAGGAGGCGGCGGCGGAAGCGGCACTTTGCGGGCTAGCAACTCTTCTCTGGCTCAGCTCTGGCCTGTGCGAATAGTATGAAGAAGAAGGCTCAGGGGTGGCTGAGACTCTGGTCTTCTTTCTGGGCTGACTCGAAATCGGCGGCGTAGGAATTGACCGTGGGTCATTGCTACCTCCACCGCCGCCAGAACCACCGCCAACGCCACTACCACTGCCACCACCCGTTGCAGTGCCTTGTGGCCAGGGGGAATACTTCTGAGGCGTAGGGGCGTACATCGAGTAATGACCGGACTGGTACATGTCTATCCTGTCTGTGTTTCGGGTACGATAGGGGGGTTTGTTTGTGTCCGAAGTTCTATGCCAGAAACTGGTCGGGGTGGGTCGGTGTGTGGATGGGTGGGGTGGGTTGGATGTGTGGAGATCTCTGGGTTGATATGGGGGGAGAGTTCTTGTTCTTGTTCTTGTTGCTTCGGCTTCGAGCTCGAGGTTCAAGACACTTTGTTGACGGTGGTGGTGGTGGTAGTGGTGGGGCTGGCTGGATTGAAGGTTGTGTTTGAGGAGAAGGATATGGCGGGGTCTTTAAGAGTGTTGTTCGTTGTCCGTCCGGTTGGCTGGCTGGCTGGCTGGATGGATGGTCTGGATGGTCTGGATGGGCTGTCTGTCTGGCTGTATGGTCTGGATGGTCTGGCTGGCTGGATGACTCTGCTATTGACCTGTGGATGTGTCCGAATATTTCAATTCTGTGTTCCTGTCGAGGGTCCGATGAATCCCATTAAATGGAGGCGGTTTATTGCTGGCTGCTCTGCTCTGTCCTGTCCTGTACTGTCCTGTCCGATGGAGGGGCGACGAGGAGGAGGAGGGAAATAGATACATTCACACCTTATAGTTAGCACACACGGTGTAACTCCATAGCTACTACCTACTACCTACTACCTACTACCTACTACCTACTACCTACTACCTACTACCTACTACCTACTACCTACTACCTACTACCTACTACCTACTACGCTACCTAGCGGCAGGCCGATCCACCACACAGGGACAGCCACCGCAGCTCCCGGGAATGCGAGCTCGACCTACCACGATGGCCGCCGCCCATTGGTTAAAGCCGAGGATGGAAGGAACGCACAGAAGATCCAGGTGCACCCTCCCTCCCACAGTCACACACCCTTCCACTCCCCACCACGACCCCCGGTCAATACCCACCCACCCATCGCCCACCACACTACACGCAGCACGCTACACACATACCGTCATTAATCGGAAAAATAACGTGGTTACTGTAGGTGTAGAGTTGAGGTGTGTGTTTTACCACCCACTACCCACTACCGTACCTACCCTGGAAACTGTCTGCGGCGGCGGCGGCGGCGGAGGTAGCCAGGTAGGTAGCTTCGACGTAGTTACGGCCAGACGTACAGTACAGTACAGTACAGTACAGTACTCTACCGCACAGTACAGTACAGTACTCTACCGCACAGTACAGACGTAGAGTAGTAGAGTAGAGTACCTAGAGTAGAGTAGAGTGTGTGGTCCGAACGCGCAACTGTTCAAAACACCTATTTGCTACCACTGGCACTGGCACGAAATAACGCTATGCAATGTATCTGTTGGCAACAGAAGTGGTGGGTACGGTACGGTACGGTTGGGTTGTTGCAAACCCGGCACATATTGCTTTGCTTTGCTTGCTTGACGGTGCCACCACTACTCTAACTACCAGCGAGCGTCCCTTTTTTTCTTCGGATTTATCCTTTTCTTTTTCTTTCTTTTTTGTGGTCCGTTTTCTTTTATTTGCTTTTTTCTTTTCCGGGGGGAGGAGGACGGGGGTGGCCAGGGGGAGATCTGGCTGTCTCTGTCTCTGTCCCTGGCTCTGGCTGTGTCTCTGGCTCTGTCTCTGGCTGTGGTCTGGCTGTGGCGCCGATTGATACGTTCGCTGGTCGCTGGGAAGTTGTGGTTTGGTTTGGTTGCGGCGGGAATCTTTTTTCTCGTCTAGAGTACGGTACTTTGCTTTCCTGTCCTCAACTCTACGGACAGTGTAAAAGAATGGGACACAGAGAGATGTAGATAGGTGGCGGCTATTGGCCAGAGTACAATACAAGAGCCACCTCTAGAGTACCTCTACCTCTCCACGGCAGGTGCGTGGCAGAGAGCTCTTCGCACCAGGGCCGCTCCCATTTGACGAGCGCTCCCTCTCCCTCTCCCTCCCTCTCTCTCTCTCTCTCTCCCTCTCTCTCTCTCTCTCCCTCTCTCTCTCTCTCTCCCTCCCTCTCTCTCCCTCTCTCTCTCTCTCTCTCCCTCTCTCTCTCTCTCAAATAATAATTTCAAAAACGGCGAAACCGACAACCGACAAGCAGTTGTTAATGTTAACGCTGTCTGTCGCGGTAGGACCAGTAAACTAGCGGTCGGTCTGCGGTGGGATGTGTGGTGGGATGTGGGACGTCGTGGATGTGCGTCGTTCCACACACCACACACACACAACACAGGAAAGGGCCGGCGGTTTGGGTTGGTTGGGCCAACGCTTTTTCTTGTGGGGGTGTTCCTTTTTTCTTTGCTTTTGCTTTTCTTTTCATTTCTTTTCTGACTGAGTGGACTGGACCGCACTGCAGCAGCAGCAGAAGAAGAAGAAGCAGAGGAAGAAGAAAGACATCCCGGCAAAGGCAAAAGCTTCTAGAACATCAGTGGAAGCATTAAGCAGCAGGAGCAGCAGGTACGGCCATGCAGGTCGCTGCCCCTGTCGCTGTCCCGGCCTCAGCCTTGGTAAGGCCAGCCAACCGCGGCGCAGGACACGTTGACACATCACACACACACAGAGACACACCGCTGAACGACCATCGATCGTGCATGCGAGACGACGAGGAGGATTGACTAGGTCGGTGGGAAACTATGAGCGAGGGGGGGTCTGCCGGCATCCCCGCGAGCGGGTTCGCGGTGTGCTGACTGCTGAGTCTGGCGAGTTCTGTTCCATGAGGGGCGCGCCGGTCGTCGGTCGTTTGGCCCACGGGGACGACGATGCGAAGGTGGTTACTGCTGCTGCTGCTGCTGCTGATGATGATTACGGCCGTTGAGCAGGAGGCACAAGGCTAATCCCCCCCCCCCCCAAAAGCAAGGCTACATAAAAGAAAGAAAAGAAGGAGGGCCCGCCCCACCAGGGCCACCACCACTACACACAGTGGTGGGCCCGCACGGCGCATGCAGGGGGGACGGCGGAGGAACAGACAGAACACTTTCTTTCTGCACAGCACTCTGGCTGGGCTGGATGGGCTGGCTGGTAGGTAGGGGCTGCACATCCAGATTCCGTGCATTAGCCCAGAGGCACCGTGGCGTGGCAGCCCAGACGAACGGAAGCATGGAAGCATGGAAGGTCCCGTATTGTTTCTAGAAGCCTTTCATCTCTTCGGGTCAGGTTCAGGTTGCATGGTGGGATGGTGGGTGGATGCGCCGTCCACGCAGGCTGCCTGGTGACATGGGGACAGGGGGGTAGGGGGGAGGGGGAGGACGAAGTGGAGGATGGGGTGGTGGAGGATTGGGTGCGGGAGACGGAGGGGGAGGGCCGCCAAGAATTGCTGCTTCCTCCTTCGCCGAATTGCTTTTGGCAAGTCAGTCGGTGTCTATTGGATGGACGGGGGTGACAAGTTCTGTTCTGTTCGGGTTCCTGGCAAGTACTTCCCCCCCACCCCCCACCCCCCCCCCGTCGGTCTCCTACGCCGACAGCTGTACATAGTAGCAGCAGACGAGCCTTGCGGATAAAAAATCGCCGCGGAAAGAAAAGAAAAGTCCACGATCGATTCACCGTGTGTCCATAATTGGAATTTGGAGTCCGCCCAACCGAATTCGGTATCCGGTCAGTGGTGGGAAACGGGACAGGACAACAACGTTCATCCCCCCCCCCCCCCCCCCCCGCCGCTGGGCCATCGTCCAGGCTGCCCTTTCCGTCTCCTCCCGACCGGCTGACCCACTACGGCCTTCGGTGAGTTGAGGGAGAAAAGCGTATACTTTACCTACCTACAGCTTCACGTCGCAGTCGCAGTCGCAGTCGCGGCATCGCAACGGAAGCTCGATGTTTCGACCATCACACATTACGTGCGTCCATCTCAAAGCATTGGATGCCACCCTGTACAATGTACATACTGTACACACCTACATACGTCGGTTGTCGGACTAACTACTGCGGGCTGTCTGTCTGTCCTGTCGATCTCGTCGAAAGCTGAAACTCACCAGCTTTTTCTCCTCCCCCCCTTTGTCCACAGTCAACCACAGGAACCGGTCCACACCTACCCACTATACTCTATCTGCTGCATGTACCCGTCAAACATGGCTGCGCGCGATTGGAGCAAGGGCTAGAGGGGAGGAGGCGGCTAGAGATGGGCCCCCTTTGCGTTGCGTTGTTGTTCCTCCTCGAGCAGAGCAGAGTCCTCGCTGTCAGCCACATCGGAGGGAGGGGAGAACTCAACTCCACTCCTCGGGGTGATTCGAGGTGGCCCGAAGGTATGTACTGTTGTGTGGAACCCCCCTTACCCCCGAGGAGCTAGAGGTAGTTGTGGTATGTATTGTACCTGTTTGTCCGCTTGGACGGACTGCCGGCGTGACATCGGGGAAACCGATGCGATTGGCGATTGCCGGACACAGGAACACAGGAACACCCACCCTCCCTCCTGCGTCATCGATCATGGGCGCCAGAGCCAGGGCCAGAACCTAACTCAAAACTAAGGCTAGGGAGACGGATGTCCTGGGGATGCGGAGACGACACAGAGCGATCATACTGGCGGCCCCAGCAGCCGCCTCAGCAGCAGCAGCAGGTGCAATGCCATCCATTACCTACTCTATGTGTACCCTTGAGGACTAGGCCCGGTATGGCAGGGACATGGGCGACGGCTATTGACAGTTCGTCTGCAGGATGCATGGCATGCGTACCGTATCGTACCGTACATTCATCAGGCAGGTACCTACATACTCTGCCTACTCTACCTACTCTACCTACTCTACCTACTCTACCTACTCTACCTACTCTACGTCCGTGCTGTGTGCGATCTTGAGTGATTTTTCCTTTCCTTTCTCCTGATCGGTGGGTCGGTGGGTTTCTTTGGCACGCACGGAGGTGATCATGGCGCACAATCCTGGGGGCGGACTGGTCTGTTGGGACTGTCTATCTGGCTGGGTAGCTACATGCTTCTTGCATAGTACTCACTTACCTACATACATCCTACCCTTTGTCGCAACGTCCCGCCGTACGCCCGCCGTACGTACGCCCACCGTACGCCCGCATGCCAGGCTGCCATACCATACCATGCCATGCCATGCCA